TGGAGAATTGGTGGCTGGTCGTTGGAGAGGAGAGTACAAAGATGCTGCTGGCTATCAGGCGAGTCACGATTGGCCGACAACTCAAGACTAAGTTGGAGTACACTGTCCCGACACCGGGCAAGCATGATCTGAAGTTATTCTTAATGAGTGACAGCTACGTCGGTGTGGATCAGGAGCCAACGTTTTCCGTCACGGTCGCGGAGGGCATGGATGTGGATTCGGATGAGGAGGAGGAAGATGATGAATAGAAGCCTCGTGATGTTGCTGTGGAACTTACTATGCGTGAGATCAAATCTATCCGCTGTACGAAAAGCTTACTGTATATATAGAAAACCATTCAAAGGCGATTAAAGGGTTCCCTGGTGAATTATCTTGGAAATAGGGATATATCAAAACTTTTACTACTTGTTCTAAGGTGTTCGAAACGAGTCATTTTCACTTTCTTACTTGAAGCATGTGCTATGTGGACGTTGGTGTGGTGTTAGGTTGGCTGGCAAGCAGGCTATCGGGCGATCCGGGGGGGCTGATGTCGTAGAGGGCGTCGTCGCGGCTCAGCTCACCGAGTATGGAGAATGGAAGCAGATGGAAAAGAAGGTAGAGGGGAGGGAATGTTATAGATGTAGGAAATTGAAACGAGAAGGGGGGGCTATGTTGATGAAGGTCGATGCCGGTTCGATGGCTACCTTTGCTACACCTCTATATGTAGGTACCTAGGAGGTAGGTAATACTGATGTACGTATGGGGGCGTGTTTCTCGGGGGGGTGGGTTGGCGTTACCTATGTGCCCCTTACTTAGGTACTTCTCACTCGTATCTACCTAATCTACCTAATCTACCTATCTGGACCACTAAGGCAAGCGGGAGAGCGGGAGAGCGGGCATGTAAACAAGTAGGCAGGTAAGAAAAAAAAAAGGAGGACCCACGTCCCGCGTACAGGCCAAGCTAGGAAAGGAAATAACCTACCTTTGCCTGTCTTCTTACCTTCCTTGTCTACATTAAAAACATTAGACTTACTTTTATTAAGCTACCCATATGCCCATATTGTCCATATGTTAGGTAGACTTACCCTCTCTACATACCTAAGGTCCATAGTACATTATACAGTACATAGGTACCTATACAACAACTAACACTGACACCTACCACTTATCTTCACTACTACCCTCGTGAACATTTACGAGACGCCATCTTCATCTAAGTCACGTGCTTTTTTGTTAAGAAAAGCTACTCGGCGTACATTCTACTCGAATGAGCACAGGCTTCCCATCTCGATCCTGGGAAATTTCTCTCTATTATCTTATTCATTTATCAACTTTTCTGCCTCCATCTTTTTTTTTCTTCTCCTCCTGTCGATTTTCCACCAACAAAACATCATCCCGATCGCGCCTTTCAATTGCAACGGTTCATCGACAACCGCTGTTAGTTGTTAGCCCCGATACTTTCTTAAGACTTCCCCAATTTAAAGAAAGTTGACTGGACGCGTTTTTCTACCTTCTGCTCTGCTGTGTCCAATTCTTGACCAACAACTTTCGCAGCAGCCAACCTTTCTCCCCAACTTTTTTTTTTAAAAATCTTTTTTGTACCTTTTTAATCGGCGGCTGGTCATCTTACCTTCACCATATTCGCATCGCGCCCATTGTCTATCCTATCACTGTACTTTCCGCGTGGATTATCAATATGTCTGACGAGACAACCGCGCAAACTGCCACCGCGCAGGCCCCCGATGCTACTTCTACTGCACCAGGAGACAATACATCCGATTCTGTCGCGCCTGTCACCGACGCGAAGCCAATTGATAAAGAAACCGCGCTTACTGCTGATGACGCCCAGACCAAAGAGGACGTCTCAACCGAAAAGCCAAGCGAAGCCAAGGGTAAGTCGCGTCCCGCAAACATTGCCACCGAAACTTCCCGATCACCGCAACACCAGTTATCCCCTTGTAAACACGTCATGCTTTACCACATGTCTAGCGCCGTTACCACATCCTTATTTACTTCTTTCAATTACAATCACAACTATTTATTACTCATATCTTGACTTGCTCAACTACTGACATCTTATTCTTAGAAGCCGTATCCGTAGACACTGAAACAGCTACAGCTTCTGCCCCGGCCGACGAGAAATCCGCTGACACTGACGTCGAGATGCCTGACCAGCCGGCCGAGAAGACCGAGCAGCCTACTGCTGACGCGAAGGTTGATTCGGACAAGGCTGCTGAAGATGCTTCTCACGTGGAGCAGGATGTGGCTGCTAGTACTGCTGACGGTGCTGCCGCCGACACAGAGTCAACGCCTGGGGACAAATCTAAGGCGCGTCGCAAATCTGCTGGCGACGCCAAGGGCAAGAAGTTAAACAAAAAGGCATCCAGAGCCAAAATTCTACACGTCGACGCGAAGCCAGGTGAACAGTACTTTGCCAAGCTGAAGGGTTTTCCTCCGTGGCCTATCATCATAGCTGAGGAGGATATGCTACCACAGAGCATGTTGAGCACGAGACCCGTTACGGCTGCCCGTCCCGATGGTACCTATCGCGAAGATTTTGCCGATGGCGGTAAGAGGATTGCAGACCGGACGTTCCCAGTCATGTATCTGCACACCAATGAATTGTATGGTGACTATTTAACCTTAAATATGGTGATTATGAGCTGACTATCTCTAGTTCCTGGACAAACAACTCCGATCTGAGCGAACTGGACCCATCTACAGTCGGGGATATGATCACGACTAAGATGCGTAAAGATTTGCAAAACGCCCATCTACTGGCTGCGGAGCAGAACTCCCTGGAATATTACAAGAACGTGCTCCGTGAATTTGAGGAGCAGCGATTAGCGAAGTTGGAAGCCAAGAAGGCTAAGTCTGTTAAGACACCAAAGAAAGGTGCCAAAGCCGCTGAAGCTGTAGCAGTAGATGAAGATGAAGACATCGAAATGCCTGATGCGGAAGAGGGTGATGATGCGGAGCCTATTGAGAAGAAACCCAAATCCAAGAAGCGCAAGGCCGAAGATGAGACCACCGTAAGGGAATACTTACCACCAGTTCGAGCCTCATGCTAATTCTGATATAGACTCCTCAACGCTCTGAATCCGTCAAGAAGCCGAAGATTAAGTTGACTAACTCGTCAACTCCGAAGGCCGCTAACGGCGTCCAATCGCCATCTACGAAAGACTCTTCCAAAGCCGTGAAGGTCAAGGCGAAGTCAGCCAAAGGCAGTAAGGAGAAGTCTGATAGCAAGAAAGAGAAGGAAGCTTCTGCACCTAAGGAGCCGGAGCTTAGCCCTGAAGAAAGACACGTACGCAAAGAGGTAAGTTATTACGACCCATCATTATCATGTTAGTTTATGCTCACAAATTTGTAGAAGGAGATATTGTTTTTGCGGCATCGATTGCAAAAAGGCCTACTCATTCGAGACCAGGAGCCGAAGGAAGAGGAAATGAGATCGATGTCAGAGTTTCTAGCTAAACTCGAGACCTTCCCTGATCTCGAAGTTAGCATCATCCGGGCGACCAAGATTAACAAGGTCCTCAAAGCTATCCTGAAATTGGATACAATTCCGAAGGAGGAAGAATTTGAGTTCAAGCCGCGATCACAGACGCTCCTGAACAAGTGGAACAAGCTCCTAGCTACCGACGAAGCAGCTCCAGCTCCAGCTAACGGCGTTAATGGTGCTTCTAGCAATGCTGTGAAGAGTGGAAAGGGAGCCGCTAATGGTGTGAAGGAGACCTCTGACCAGAAAGCAAGCTCTGAAAAGGAAGATGCCAAGGTTGATGCCCCGGAAAAGGACACGAAAGATGAGGTAGATAGCAAGGCTGAATCGGTAAGTGAAGAAAAGGCAGATTCGGAAAAGGTATGCTTAACATCGACGTCATTTTACTCTCATATTATCAAAGACAAATACTGATTGCTAGTAGAATGTCGATGCATCTATCAATGAAGCAGCAGCAGAAGTCGAGGCGACGGCATGAAGAGACAACAGATACTAAACTCGATGCGAAAACGATAACTTCCTTTTCAGTGCCTCGATTGAGCGAGGCAAACCAGGGGCGTTTAAGGGTATAAGAAAGGCAACATTGCTAGGTATGGCTACCGTTCTTCGGACGGTAGGCCATGAAGCCAAATGATGCATGCGACATTACAGTACTTGGGCTCGGGGTTGTATTCATCGTATGTAAATTAGGCAATACTTTTCATATCAGGTCATGCGCTGTACTACTCGAGCAGTCGATATTCAAACAGGAAGGGGGCCTCTCTTGGGGGAGAGAGGGAACGAAAAGGTCAGGCTCCTACGTTATTTGGTACCCCCTAATTAGTTCGTCGGCTGGTAGAGTTGATGAGCTCGGGATATTATAGTGGTTGCGTTTTCAGTTTAGGAGGTTTGTGCGGATTTCTCGGAAATTTTGCAGTAAAAAAAGTCACTACATTACATTAGCTACTATAGAATCATGTAGCTGTTGTTTCTATTTGAAGTGATGAGTGAGATATTAGTAAATGGAATATATCAAATACGACTATTGAAAATGAAAATGAATATGAAACTTTACACATATAATTTAGAATTGTATACCTCCATTGTACCAGTGTACCTAGGTAAGTACCTCTATGTAGGTGAAGGTTGGAGCTTGGGCCCATGCCAAGCTTAATTTTTAAGCTGCAAGAACAACCCCACCTTTAACTCTTCTAATAAAGTTCTAAGGCGCGCGTCATCAGCCATCAGTGCCTGATACTTGTGATTACTTACTTTACACCCGGATCCGTGCATATGTACAATTTAATCATCTTTCTCAATCTGATATATTCTGCACACTTCTACTCTCCGCCACCTACCTTTTACATTGTCACCACACAGCTCATTTCTTAGAAATATTTCACTCAAACTAGAAATCGAGAATTAACATATAACTTTGGCCATAGGAGAACATATGGGCGAGGTCTCTTTCCCCTCTCATTTCTCATTAGTCGCGAAATACACTACCCCAATATAATCGCACCATTCCGAGAACACCATCATGTTGTTACGATTACGAGGGCCGGATGGCATGATCCGGATTAGTATCGAGAAAACCGATTCTTTCGCAGAGCTTGGTCGTCAGGTATATCCCCTACTTTTATTACATTCGAGCTGCTATGTCTAACTTGAAGCTTAGCTCGTGGCGCAATTGCCCCCAACCGTCGACCCGAATAGCATTAGCATGTCCCCAGATCCGCAGGCCAAAGACTCGAAGAAACTGATAGACATTGCACAATTTAAGCTGGCGCAAATTGGGTTAAGGTGCTGTTACCCCTACCATCTTTTCCGAATTCCAATATTAACATAGGTGCAGCCACGGAGATTTGATATTTATCAACTACCAACATCAGAACGTCGCTAACGGCCACACGAATGGGGCGCCCACGCCCTCCAGCACTTTATCCTCGACCAACAGATTAAATGGGAAACCCATCCTACCTACAGAGGATCTACCGGTCGACCCGCCGCCGCTAACATCACCTACGAAAATCATCAAGAATCCTTGGGAAGTGGTGAGGCAGTCGCCGCTCGATGACCGGTTAGATAGACAGGATGGGAAGATTCCTCGAGGTCGAGACCGGATGTGCAAGCATGGACCCAAAGGCATGTGCGACTACTGCATGCCCCTCGACCCTTTCAACGCACAATACCTCACCGATAAAAAGATCAAGTACCTATCATTCCATTCATATCTCAGGAAGATCAATTCGGCAACGAACAAACCCGAGTTAGGGAGCTCATTCATTCCACCCCTAAAGGAGCCGTATTTCAGAGTTAAGAGGGACTGTCCTTCAGGTCACCCGCAATGGCCCGAAGGCATCTGCACAAAGTGTCAGCCCAGCGCCATTACGCTCCAGCCGCAAACTTTCCGCATGGTCGACCATGTCGAATTTGCTTCGTTTGAGCTTGTCAATTCTTTTATTGACGCGTGGCGGAAAACTGGTGCACAACGGATTGGTTACCTGTATGGCCGCTATGCCGAATACTCGGAAGTGCCCCTCGGCGTTAAGGCGGTTGTCGAAGCTATATACGAGGTACCACAGATAGACGAGGTTGATGGGGTATCGTTAAACGCCTGGGAAAACGAAACCGCTGTGAACGAGGTCGCCAAGTTATGCGGTCTTGAGCAGGTTGGGATTATCTTTACAGACTTACTCGATGCAGGTACAGGTGACGGAAAGGTCATATGCAAGCGGCATGCCGATTCATACTATCTCAGCTCTCTAGAGGTTTGTTTTGCAGGGCGTTTACAGGCTCAACATCCCAAGCCAACCAAATGGAGCGATACAGGGAGATTCGGTTCTAACTTCGTTACATGCATCATCTCGGGCGATGAGACAGGTCAGATCGCTATTTCATCATACCAGGTATCAAATGATGCTGTGGAAATGGTGCGGGCAGATCTCATTGAACCCTCGGCTGACCCCAGTGTCATGCTTGTGCGAGAGGAGGAAGAAGACGACGGCTCGACGAGCCGGACGCGATATATCCCAGAGGTATTCTATCGGAAGATTAACGAGTATGGCGCAAATGTGCAAGAGAATGCCAAGCCGTCATTCCCTGTTGAATATCTCTTTGTAACACTAACACACGGTTTCCCCGCGGAACCCAAGCCTCTATTCAACACTTCCATCTTCCCTATCGAGAATCGTGAGGCTTTGGGAGAAAGCCAGGAAATAACATCAGTTGCTAAGACTCTTCGTACCTCCGATGATAAGAAGCTCGCATCTCTTTCGGATTTCCACCTCCTCAATTTCATACATGGAATAGGCGTGCTGTCGAAGGTAAGTATTGATTAGCTGCGACGCTTTTTTCCCTTTCTGGAACCATCGGGATAACAAGTAAACAGGAAGAGGAAGCGCTCCTTTGTCGCGCGGCTACAACGCACGACCTCGCCGACACGTACCAACTCTTCTCCCAGCCGGGCTGGCAGACTCTGGAAACCATTCTACAAGAGACTGGTGAGAAATCCCCCAAAAGAATAAACAAGCGCCTTCGTCGTTCAAGTGACGAGGGGGGCCAAGCGCATAGCGACGAAGCATCTTCCGCCTCATCATCGTCTTCGTCCCGCCCCAGTAGATCATCCAGTGGACCGCTTGCTAAGCGTTTTGCTGCCGTTAGGCTGAACGAACGAAATTCAAACACCCCCTTTTACGATCGCTCCCGGTTCGAAGATATATAAAAAGCATATGTCGAAAGAGGAGAGATATCTTGCCGGCGCGTATTTCGCATAGGTTCGTGCTCGTTTGGAACGAAGGGAGGGAAAGAAAATAGTCAAAGATCTAACAAGTGGCGAGTTAGGTGGAGGTATTTCTCGTCACCAACAGCCAGGTAGAGACTGAAAAGGGGGCTTCATCTATCTTTAGTCAGCGTGGAAGAGAAGAGCGACTTATTTTGTGCTTAGGGGAGGAAAATTAAGCCCAGCTCTGAGATGGTTGCGGTAGTACCCCCTATTCGTAATACACATCTTCCGTCGCCCATGATTAGGAAGGTGAATTAGAAGCGCATTTTTGGTGCATAAACCATTCTTATCACGTAGTATGTATGTTGCCTCATATCATTTAGCTTAAGTGCCTTAGGTAGCTTAGAGAGCCTGTTCCAGCAGGTAAGACAACTCACATCTATCAGCTTCCCTTCTATACCAAGATAAATACGAAGATGATACTTACCTATCTTGGGTACCTCCTATAGTTAATATCATCAGGAAGCACGAGAATTAGTTAATAGCACTGGATTCACAGGAGATTACATTTTTATATCATCATAATGCATCATAACACTAGGCAAATATTTTATTTTGAACTTTTTATTTCATTCAAGTAGATACTATAGCAGACGTAAATCTACCTTCCTACCTACCTACCTACATAGATACCCACGTACCCGCGCTTCTCCATAGTGCGCGATACGAAAGATGAAAATTCATCCTCTCCTTTTTTTTCATTTACCCTCCTCTTACCAGGAAACTCGAAAAAAAAATTAAGAAACAAAAATAACACGACAGACCACAAAGCCAGTCAGTCCATCACTCATCAGGCCCCCCCCCTTCACTCCGACCCGACCGCCTCCTCGAGCAAGAATCCCAGCTCAACGCCTATGAAAATTTTCGCTTTTAGGAACGGGGGAGAAAAAATATCGCGTTATTATTGCGATGTTAGAATTGTTTTTAGTATAGACGGGAAATTTTGGTGAATCCAGGTATCTGGTAAGCATTTACAAGGGCTTGCCGCCCAAGAATTCGGACCACCGGCGGACCTCGGACGGGATGCCTTCCTTGCGGGGAAGCTTCTCGCTCATGCATTGGGCGAAGAGCACCGCGGTCTAGAATTACATTTAAGTTAGTATATACGTATATAATTATATCAAAAAAGGTACTATGCAAAGGGAGGGAGGCTTACCTGAGGCTCCATGAACAGCGGGACGCCAAAGTCGACAGCATTTCGACGCATTACGTAGTCGACATCCATAGTAGTCTTAGCTCGGGCCAGAGCCAGGTTGAAAACTCCTTGGATGTCATACTTCTGGAAGACTTCGCGAAGGGCTCGTTTGTCCTCCTTGGGGAATTCAATGACCTCCACGGTGACCTTGTCCTTAGTAGTAGACTCGATGAACTGCTTGACATTCTCGTCAGCAGCATAGAACTTGTAGCCGAGGGGAGAAAGGTAGTCGACGACCTGGGTGAGCCAAGTCTTTGAGGTCTCGCCACCAAGGAGGATACCCTCACCAGGCTCAGGTACGCGGAAGTTCATGGCGGACTGGAGAGATGCCCAGTAGGCCTCGACAAGGTCCTTACCGAAGCAGGCCATCTCTCCTGTGCTAGACATTTCGACGCCCAGGAACGGATCAGCACCAGCGAGACGAGTCCACGAGAATTGAGGGACCTTGGTAGCGAGGTAATCCCTCTTGACAGACATGAGATCGGTAGGGTCAGGAACGTTCTTGCCAACGAGAGCCTTGGTTGCAACATCAATGAAGTTGGTACCGAGCACCTTACTGACGAAGGGGAAAGATCTAGAAGCTCGAAGGTTACACTCGATAACCTTCAGTGCTGGCTCTCCGCCTTCAGGGTTATCAGCCTTGATTATTTGCATGTTGAACGGACCAGTGATGCTCCACGCCTTCGCAACCTTCTGGACGATCTCCTTAAGGCGTTCCATAGTCCTGTCGTCTAAGTTTACAGGAGGGAGGACCAATGTAGCGTCACCAGAGTGAACACCTGCATGTTCGACGTGCTCGCTAATGGCGTGAATGAGCAGGCTACCTTGGTGGGCAACACCGTCGACGTCAATCTCTTCCGCACCCTCAATGAACTTAGTGATAACCACAGGGTGGTCTGGAGAAACATTGCTGGCAGCCTCTAACTTGTCCTTCAGATCTTCGTGGCTTCGAATAACAGTCATAGCAGCACCTGAGAGAACGTAGCTAGGACGGACCAAGACAGGGTAGCCAACCTGGTCAGCAAACTTCTCAGCTTCAGCCACGGAAGTCAATTCCTTCCAAGCAGGCTGGTCAACTCCGATGCTATCCAGAATCTCAGAGAACTTTTGTCGATCCTCGGCCTTGTCGATATCCTTAGGGTCAGTTCCAAGAACATTCGCCTTGCCGGTCTCCTGGAGACGCAGAGCAATGTTCTGCGGAAGCTGGCCACCGACAGAAACAACAACGCCAGAGGCATTTTCAAGTTCGTAGATATCCATAACCCTCTCGTAGCTGAGTTCTTCGAAATACAATTTGTCAGCCGTATCAAAGTCAGTCGAATAAGTTTCGGGGTTGTAGTTGATCATGACAGTCTTCTCGCCCATGTTCCTCAAAGCAAGGGTAGCACTGACGGCACACCAGTCGAATTCAACTGAGCTACCGATTCTGTACACACCACTACCAAGGATTACAGTACCCTTATCCTCGAACGTTACGTCGTGGGAGCTGGCGTTGTAAGTGGTATACAGGTAGTTGGTGTCAGCTGGGAATTCGGCGGCTAAGGTATCGATCTTCTTAACCCAAGGTCGAATACCCATACTTAATCGAAGAGCGCGGACTGAATCTTCATTGCTCTTAACGGCGTTCGCAATCTGCTTATCAGAGAAACCCATCTTTTTAGCCTTAAGAATAAGGTCTCGTTTCAGACCCTCTAAGCTACCAACAGCTTCCATTTCCTTAGTGCAGTCAACGAGGTTTTGAAGCTTGTACAAAAACCACTTATCAATTTTGCTGAGTTCGTGGATCTTTTCAGCCGAGTAACCCTCATGGAGCATTGCCTGGCCAACAGCCAACCATCGACGGTCTGTCGGGTGCGAGAGTTCATAGTCGAGGTCGTCAAATTTGTCACCTTGAAAGCCGAGGAACTTAGGATCGACTTGACGAATAGCTTTTTGGAATGACTCTTCAAAAGTGCGGCCAATAGCCATCACCTCACCAACAGACTTCATGGCACTGCCGATATCACGCTTGACGTGCTGGAACTTTGCCAAGTCCCAACGAGGGATCTTTGTTACGATATAGTCGAGGGAAGGCTCAAAGTTGGCAGTGGTAGTTTTGGTAACAGCATTTGGTAGCTCAGGCAAACTGTGTCCCAGACCAATCTTCGCTGCAGTATACGCCAGAGGGTAACCTGTAGCCTTCGAGGCAAGGGCAGATGAACGGGAAAGACGGGCATTGACCTCAATCACCCTGTAATCGAGGCCATCCGGCTGAAGGGCATATTGGACATTACATTCGCCAACAACACCAAGGTGGCGGACGATTTTGATAGCGGCGGATCGAAGCATGTGGTATTCCTCGTCGCTGAGTGTTTGACTAGGCGCAACGACAATTGAGTCACCCGTATGAGTTCCTAAGGGGTCGAAATTTTCCATGTTGCAGACAGTAATACAGTTGTTGTTTGCATCACGGACGACTTCATATTCAACTTCTTTCCAACCTTTCAACGACTTTTCGACGAGGATCTGCGGCGAGAGGGTCAAAGAGCGGGCTGCCATATTGCGAAGTTCTTCCTCGTTATTGGCAAAGCCGGAGCCTAAACCTCCTAGCGCATAGGCAGCGCGAACGATGATGGGGTATCCGACCTTAGAAGCAGCATCTATAGCATCGTCGACGGTGCCAACGGCAATTGACTTGGCAATTGGAATGTCAATCTCGTTAAGGGCCTTGGCGAATAAATCTCTGTCCTCACTCAACTCCAAGGTATGAACGCTGGTGCCAAGAACCTTGACGCCATATCGCTCTAATATACCCATACGCTGCATTTGCACACCCAAGTTCAGCGCAGTCTGTCCACCAAATGACAGGAAGATACCATCAGGCCGTTCCCTTTCAATAACGTAAGATACATACTCGGGAGTGACAGGGAGGTAGTATACTTCGTCAGCGAGGACGTGGTTGGTCTGGATAGTAGCAATATTAGGGTTTATAAGAACAGATGCTACACCGGCCTCCTTAAGAGCCTTGAGCGCTTGAGATCCTATACAAGTTCTGGTGTTAGCATCAATATACTTAGTTGTAGTATGAGTCACCCTTAATAGCCAAGATCGTGAGATTGAAGGGCGGTTTTGCAGCACCAACCTGAGTAGTCGAACTCTCCAGCCTGTCCAATGGCTAAACCACCACTACCAATGACCAACACCTTCTTGACATCCACGACGTCTCTCGGTTTTATGACGCCGCTCTCCAAGTAGGCTTTCGGATTTGGCGCCTCTTGAGAAGTAGCTACACTTCCCGTAGAGCAGAGGGCGGTGACAGAGAAATTCCTCTGTTGAGAGAAACCAGCTTTTCGAGTAGAGGCGAGAAGCTGTGAGGGAGCCCGGAGACTCGCTGTGGTGAGTGGCCTCCGGGCAATGGGCAGTCGTCGGCCATGTCGCAATAGGACAGGTGCTCGACCTGCAAGCTTGGTAGAGAGGGCCATGACAAGCTGGGAGCTAGAATGTTGAGAGAGTTGGGAGGTTTAGAAGGGACGAGGTCTTGTAAGACCAAATTTTGGAGCTCCCTACTCCCAATTGAAGTCAATTGAGCTTCTAGGGAAAATATCCTTTTCGCCCTTATGACTCAAATTATATCTAGACTAAACAATTAACAAGTCTTAAAAGATCCGATTCCGTGTTTAAGTTGATAAATTTCAGGGCATGCGCCTATCAATGTATAGATAAGCCCGATAAGGATAGAAAAAAAGAGGCACTAAGGGCTCCGCTAAAAAATTGAGCAGCGATTAACGGAGACAGGGTAAGATGGCTTGGAGGGGCCGGAGGGGGGGAGCTACCTGGTAGGTATCTCTTGGCAGACCCGATCTAGTGGGATACAGTACATTAGAAACCTTATCTCATTTCCCCAAGCTACGAGGTCCCTCAATTACTATGTACGTATTCGAGCTACTTACCTAAAAGCTGTGTGCTCTACTTCCTCTTTTAGTCAAGCACCAGGTACCAAGTCTGCCATTAGATCTATGCCTAGAGGTGGTAATGACGTCGTCCGCAAAATTACCTGTATACCTAGCCTGTATTTACTTTAATATATAAGGTAGTTTGTATACTGAATTGAGATATGTCGTGATTTTTTCATATTCTAATAAAAATTCCAAATCGATTGAGTCTTTGTAAAATGGTCTCGCCATTACTTATTTCCTTCCTTGGTGCTATACAGGCCTCATTGTCGGTATTATTGACAATTGGTTATGGTGTTATTGCTGCTCAGTTTGGTCTGGTCACAACGGAGGCTGCTGAAGAAGTATCACACCTCTGTGTTAATGTGCTGCTACCTTGCTTGTTGATCACGAAACTAGGATCCGAGTTACATCTCGACACGGTAGTGAACTATGTACCTATTATTAGTATGTCCCTTAATTGACTCCCCAGAAAATTCTCTGACAATTCATCAGTCTGGGCTTTTATTTTTACTCTCTCATCTATTGCTATTGGAAAAGCAACCGTAGCCTTTTTTCGCCTACCAAAATGGGCATTACCTGCTATTGCCTTTAATAATACCGAATCTCTCCCTCTACTGTTACTTCAGTCGCTTGAAACCACTGGAGTATTGGCATCTTTGGTTGGTGCGGGTCAAACATCTGACGGAATTGAGCGAGCACGCACGTACTTCCTCGCCTGTTCGGTTGTCAATAATACTATCACATTTAGCCAAGGTGCAAAATGGATAACTGGCGAGCAAGATGAGCAGGATGATTCAACAGACTCTGAAAGTCAACAATTTCAGGAAAACGGGCAGGGTTGTCATTCACCCGTCGATGAGAACGGTGATGATTCAGATGACCCTAATGAACGCACATCCCTTCTCCCTAGGAAAGTCGTGTCCTGGAAGCGTAGGATAAAAAACAAGCTTATCTCGCAATTTCAAAGTTATTTTCAAGCCAGCCCGAAACCCGTTCAGACGATACTCACGGCTATTGGGACGTTTGCTAGCCCACCGTTCATCGGCGCAACCATCGGTATAATAATAGGGCTCACGCCGCCTTTGCACCGACTTTTCTTCAACGACATGGATGAAGGCGGATATTTCAATGCGGTGCGTATGAGAAGTAACCCGCACCAAGGCTGGCTGTTTTCTTCATCTAAACTCCCTGTTTTATGCAACCTTCCCCCCCCTATAGAGATCTTCCAACAGGAAGTTGACCAAAGTACACTTTCATTTTATGTTCCCTCTCTTGCTAAACTGCTCTTCTGAAGCATATCCGACCTTAGTGGTAGGATTGGAATTCTCTGAATGTGATATTAACATACATACTTAGTGGCTCACTTCCAGTCTGAAGAACATTGGAGAACTATTCGTGTCTCTCCAAGTTATTGTCGTCGGCGTCAAATTAAGCTTAAGCTTGCGCCGAATGAAAGAAGGCGAAGAAGCAGGTACACTGTCTCTAAGTACCGTCCTTTCCGTGACCTTCGTCAGATTCATACTCTGGCCAGCGTAAGTTAGGCCTGGTCTTTAATACGTAATCATGCTCACCTCTGCTATAGCATCAGCATTCCCCTCATCTGGGCTTTAGTAGCTTACACTGATATACTTCCTAATGATCCCATGTTATGGTGGGCTTTAATGATGATGCCTATTGGTCCTACTGCGATGAAAGTTCTCGCGTTAGCTGATATCAGTGGAGCGGACCAGAAAATACGAATGTCGATAGCTAAGTTCCTTACGGTAAGTGTTACATATCCCAGAGCTATTGTGAAGTTATGACCTAGGCTTACCGTTATAGGTTTCCTATATCATTACTCCTATAGTATCGTTTGCAGTTGTGGGAGCTTTAGAAGCCGCGAAAGCTGCAAAGGAATAATATTTGCCTATAGATAGGACAAGCAAATTACTAGAATAGAATATAATTTATCCAATTGTATAGTTATATAATAAAATCTAGTTAGAAAAAGAATATTGTCCAAAGTTTTTATAAAGTTACTTGATCGATTCTTACAATTTGTAGACAAAAAAACCGAACACTTTAAATCTTAATATATTAAACTTCATTTAAATTTACAACGCTTAATAATATTATATTAAAAAAATCATATATGTAAACTAATGTTTATTTTATTTTTTATATTTAATTTTGATTTTAGATTTTTAAAAAAGTAATATTTAAAAATGTAAAAAATATATATTTATATAATTATTTATTAAATATTTTAAACCTACGTTTTAATCTAAATTATTTGATTTTTAATTTCTTTTATTTTTCATTACAAATAGCTTTTATTTAACTATATAACAATATTATCTTTATATTTATACAATTAATATTGGTAAAGTTATGGTATTTTAAAAGTAATGAGTTTAATGAAAAAACGGTATTTTATACCAAAACTTTATAAAACATACATATTTTAAAAATTCGTAACTTTACCAAATTACGAGATATAAAGAAATAATAAATATTAATAAACTTATAAATAGCTGCTATATTTATATAAAATGATAAATATTAAATAATACAATTATTGAAATAATTATAAATTAATTATTTTATATATAATTATAATACTTTTATTTAATAAATTTTAATAGCTATTTATAACATATAATGAAAATAAAAATTATAATTATTAAATATATATTTCAAATAATATTAAATTAAAGACTGTATATTTTTAACTAATTTATTTGTAAAGTTATTGATTTTTAAAATATGTAAGTGTTGGAATAAAATGTGCGGTATTTTTGTCCACTTATTGTAACACTTTAATATTAAGAACTTCTAATTAATGTTGAAGGAGGGGTTATGCATTTAAATAAGCAATTTAGTCAGCAAACTGAAATACTGTTCAGCAGCCACAGGTACTTCCTTGTGGCACTCATAGTACAACCTGTGCATGCGGCGTTCTCAGCTGCTCTAACATCATCCTCAGCTTCCAAGAGTTCCATACTTGTGGCTTTGCAGTCCTTTGAAAACCAACACCACGCGCTCCCCGAATTTGTTGCCTTAATTCCAACCCGAGCGCCTGCGCAATAAGGCAACTGATCTATATCTTTATGACGGCTTCGCAGCATGTAAAGACATATCACCCGGTGGCTTCTCACGTCGATTGAGGTGGAGCTATGAACAATGCTTCCACCCCGACCACGCCGGCGGACCCTCATCGTACGTCCCACTATCATCAAGAGGACAATGCCGACGACTTACCACAGTCCGCAGCCTCCGAGCAGAATCGCGATGGCGGTACCACTACGCAGAATCCGTCACTCTCCCAGGCAGCAAAGGATGGCCTCACAAAGAAGCTGCAATTCATGATGCATTTAAGTGTCAGCTTAGATACTGTCGTCTATGCCGAATTGTGTGCGCTATACTATATGGAGTATGACGAGACCTTCCTGTTCTATACTGTTATAAGTGGTGCATCGTACGAAGGCGCTGACATATCATTTCTAGTTGTTCGTTCTTCCGACTGATGATACGATGGGTTTCTCAAGCCCTATTCATAAGCCCCAAGGCTGAAGATTCCATTCTAATTATACCCAACTATCACGTCTCTGCTATTATCGGCCCCAACTTTTTATGTATATTACTGCATATGCTCACGTCATTACCCCAAGCCGGCGAAGCATCCCGAGGCTACCTCCACGGTGGCATACTCTTCGATTTTGTCGGACAAAAAGCGCCCTCTTCCAAATTCTCTCTCCTCTTGTTGGACCTCCTAATATTGGGGCTACAATGCTTCATGTTGACTGTGAACATTGAGAAAGAAAGAGTGCGTAAAGTAGTGAAGCCGAGGAGGCAAATAGACCGCCCCGAAACCGCCACAGAGGAGACTACTACTGGGCAAGATCACGACGCAGAGGAACGGGGAATTTTACGAGATGCGCCTATGGTAGATGAAACAGACGATATCGAAATGCAATCTCTAGGAGGTAGGAATGCTAATGGCAATGAGCGCAATGCGGATGAGAGGGTCGGCCTATTGAGACAAGCCACCATTCCTGTAGGCGACCTTGAAGGTTTAGCCGACACATTGAGATCTGGTAATGCTGTCCTGGCCAATTTCAATATTCGACGGTCACTTTGGACGGCCTGGCATACACGCGCAAACTCTCCTGAAAGCGCAGCTGCTTATGCTATACAAAATGTTGGATATAATGCGACGCTCGCGGCCTTGGCAGCACAGAGAAGAGCGAGGCAAGCCGCGGCTCAGCCAAGGCAGCCATAAATAGTTATTAAATGACATTGTACAAATTTCAAGGATATCATTACTACGCAATCTTTCTACCCACGTTACCGACCCCAGTCCCTTTTACCGAGACTATTATGTCGCCTGAGTCGTCGTCTTCGGCGTCCCGAAGCCCCCAACTACTGGCCCCAAATTTTCTAAGATCTCGTGCGAGTCCTATAATCTGTTCCGTCCCCACAACGTCTCTCCCAAGACGTAAACGTCCAACATCTTCGGATCCCATAGCCATCAGCGTCAAGACTGTCCCTGCGGCCGCCCCGGTAACACAACCTCCAAGATTTATAGTTTCTAGGAGTTGATATGCGCACCTCTTTCCAATATCTTCAGGAACTATTCCTCCCTTAGGTGGTACCACAACATCTGCTGAGTACAGTACACCCACGGCGCTAGACTCCGCAACTAAACTGAGACCAAAACCAATACCCATTCTTTTCTTACTTCCGGCTTTTTCTGCCGCATCTGGGACTAACGGCGCCTGGTCGTATTGCGCCGCGATATGTATATCTGATACGAGAGGGTTAAGTATTTCACGCGCAGAGTGTATCATACGGGCATTATTTGACGCTGATACACCTGTCGCATATGCGACTCCTCGTATTCTTTTTATCCTGCCGGGGCTTCTGTTTAGATGTAATGTCTTCGGTAACCGAACCTGGCTTGCAAATCTGAGTTCGACGATACCCGCGCCACCGGTGCCGTGAGGCCCGGCGCATGATCTCTGAAGAACTCGCAGTTCTATCCGCGCTGCAGGAATGCCAAAGAGGTTGTATAAGGGTAAGATGGCTGTACGGAAGGAGTCGACCGACAAGTCGCCCGTCTCGGTAGCTGATGTGATGACGCCCGGCCCTGAGAAGCGGACATTCATATGTGACTTAGAGAAGGGTGCGAGAAGGCATAGTGGTAGGAGGAAGTATGTGACGCCTCGTGAGCAATTCGCGGGTAGCTGATGTTCGAGGACGTCGTCTGTGGCGCCGAAGCCCGGTATGGCACCCGTGATTAAACCAGGCTGATACGTTATCGTCGTACCGGTGTAGGAAATCTGCATAGAGCTTCCATTGGTGACAGCTTCGAGCAGACGAAGGAACGAGATCTCATGCGGGGCGAGACCAGGATTGGTGGGGGAATTCGAACGGATCTTCGATATATGTAAGGGTCGGCCTGTTAATGTCGCAAGCACTAAGCGCTGAGTAAATGATTTATGGCCTGTGCATTTGATAAACTCTGGTCTTGGAGCCGACATGGTTCGTATAAGTTAGATTGATCGAGGCTGCGCAAGTGTTTGTCGAACGCGCGCCTGTCGTGATAAGTTTAAAGATGGAAGAAATTCTGCCGTATCAGCTCCAGAAGAAAAATTGATAGCTAGTCCATAAAGATAAGCTAAAAATTTAACTAGGCAAGGCGGTCAATATGTTCGCGCCAAATTTAGTACATAACTGTGGCTTGTGTCTTTCAAAAGTTCTGTCCATATGTACCTTACCTAACAGCGCCCCTGTCAGGCCTGTTATGCACAGACCATTTTTGGTGACAGTTGCTCACCCATTTGAAGCATATATCATATTTTACCCTATCCTTTTAAACCAAGATGTCTCCTTTACAAAAAAACTATATAATTATTAAAAATCATTCTTCTATAAATCATAGATTAAAATAGTGTGTCATATTTTTTTTTTCTTTATTTTAGTTATAAGTTATAGTTAGGATATAGCTTTAAGTATAAAAGCATTGTTTTATGTCTACATCTACCTTTAAGCCGCCAGGTGTCAGCCAATACTGGTCAGTGGATTGATTAATGGATTGATTAGCGCAGATACAAAGGTACATGCAGGTATCAGATGTGGTACGGACTCGAGCTACGTGAAAAGTGTCAAGATCCCGACTACCCAAAAGGGCACATACCTAATTGCCTACTTTGGCTACATTTCGATATTTTGTCAACGGTGTCTTTCACTTCTCTTTTCCACATCTCCAGTCTACACAACACGACTGAATACACACAATATGTTCGATATAGATTGGATGAGCCTTGCGCTCCCGTTCGCATATATTAGTGTTCTAGGAGGTTCTTTGTATACATTCTCAACGGTTTATCGAAAACGAAAGGCTTGTATGATTCCCTGCATCAACCTCAAGACACCGCACCGAAACTAACAAGTTCATAGTTGAAAATGCCAACCTCGAGCCATGGTTCCCGCCGCACTTACAACGAAACATTTACCTAACTCTGCTTCACATGGAGCCCGAACCCGGCCAAGAGAAGGCGCCAAAGGTACCCGATAGTGTTATCCGGGCCGCGCTATTACGAAGAGCTGTCGAGGATATCCGTCGCATTATTCAGGTGCGAACGTCTAAGCAGGCCCTTAACAGCTTGCTGCAGAGGGGTAGCGTCGGCGAGGATCTGAATCAAAGATTCTTAAGAGCTGAGAAGGAAATCGAAGAGGAACTCCGCGACGTAGTAACAGAGGTAAGGACAGATCGTCGCATCTACCCTCCCAAGGCGCACTTATACTAACTCGACCAGGCGAATGCTCTCTCTCCCGGCTGGGGCCAGACCATCTTCCAATCCGCAAACGAGATTGCCGCAAATACCATGCTCCGCAAGCGACTCGAGGAGATCGATAGCCGCGCGGAGACCGACAAGAAGTGGTGGGAGAAGCGCCGCGAGGCCATCCAGAAGGACTTCATGAAGGAGCTGGACGAGGAGTCGTCGACCAAAGGTTCTGTCAAAGGTAGTGACGATGACGCAGTGCTGGTCGACTCGGGTTCCCCCGGTGCAAGCAAGAAGAAGAAGGGCAAGAAATAAACGCTTGCCTAGTATCTCGAGGTTTTAGGAGGAGTGGAGCAGAGCAGAGAATCTCTTGTTAGACCGTCTTGCACCGTAGCTATTAGTCGGTGGCATATTTGCATTGCATCCGGCGTTCAGGTGTAGGGGTACAAGGGCTAATGTGCGACAGCACGCTGTATTTACATAGGTAGACTACGCGGGTTGCGTGGTGTGTAAGTTGGTACGAAAAAGAATTGCAACGTGATTTTGAGGACTAGAATGTGATGTTGATTTCTTGACGGCCTGTATCTGTTGCTATACAGTGTTTAAGTGATATGTCATGGCACTTCACTGACAGCTTCCTTAGATCTAGGACTTACAAATCATCATATTATTATGCGAATGGTAGTTATAGATATTGCATCACGGGCTAGTTAGGTAAATCAAGTAGTGTTGTATTTTAGTACTTTCGGAGACAGCTCAGCAACATACATACTTGGTAAGAGATAAACCATGCTCGTGAATATGTTTTATCTTCAGGTGATATGTGATGAACATAACCAGCTGTATCGTACATGCTGTGCAATATAGAGGTGTATTATGGCCATCGGTGAATCATGCTATATTATACCCCCAAAATCACGCTCTACGTAGGTACCCAGTGCCATTGTGATTTATCATCTCGTCTTACCTATGCTACTCAGACACTTATACTCTCAAGCTCGGACTGGAGGCTGATTTATATTAAGAATCGTCTTCGAGGAAATCGAAGCCAAACTAATGAGTTCGTGAAATAAACATAGCTATAACTAGTAGATTTTAAAAAAGCGATATTTTTTAGATATCTATTTAATAATATTTAGGTACTTATGAATAAAGTATAGTGAATGACTGACAACCTTATTCTCACATCGTTTCAATCTTGAGGTTCTAATTCAATTCTGGTACGATTAGTCTAAACTTGATGAGGTAATGCAGGGGCTGTCTCAAGCATAGAAGGTGCACATCATTTAATTTAGTAGGTACTGTGTTCCACTGACGTACAGGTACCTTGTAGTAGTGTACCAGTAGCGTAGCGCATAAAGCTTGCGAATTGAAAGCTTAAGTCCATTCAAACACTTACTCAACTACGATCAACATTATCTAAACAAATTACACGATTTGCCTCGCCTGCCTATCCAACTAATGCTACTTTCTATAATTATTTCATAAACCCACGAGACGATGGCAGACCCGCAGCCTGGCCCGGGTCTCTCCTTCCCGACAGACCCCCAGGAGTTCGAACAGGACGACCGAATCTCCTTCTCCAAGCTTGACAATAAGTACATCGCGGTGCAGGAAGACGGGAGCGAGTTTGAGTGGGATTCCCAGTTAAAGCGGTGGATACCCGTAGTCGATGAGGATTTGCTCGCCCAGCAGCAGTTAGCTTACGGCGGAAGCGCGAGCCCCGACAATGGACCGGACAACGGTAGTAATAGCTCTGGTATCCCCAACAAAAAGCGTAAGACAGACCAGCCGAATGGTCGTGGAGATGCGCCTCGGGGTCAGCAGCAACGTCCCAAGAAGAGGCAAAAGCAGCCGCCGCAGCCGCGCCAGAACACGGCTATCTACGTTACTGGCCTGCCCCTCGATGTGACAGTAGACGAGGTGCACGACGTGTTCTCGCGCAAATGCGGTGTCATCGCCGAGGAGATTGACAGTGGTCGCCCGCGAATTAAGTTATATACAGACGAGAAGGGAAACTTCAAGGGCGATGCTCTAATTGTCTTCTTCAAGCCCCAGAGCGTTGACATGGCCATTATGCTACTCGACGACACCGATTTCCGGTTTACCTCGTCCGGGCTTGCGAGCGGGCGCATGCGCGTCCAAGCCGCCGATTCGAGCTACAAGAAGATGAACTACGAAGGCACCAAGGAAGAGGGCAACGCGAACGGCGCGGATGAAGGTACCAGCGAGCGCAGCAAGCTCATCCTAGGCGCGGGCAAGGCGCCCGACCGTACGCGCGAGCAGGACAAGCAGAAGATCATCAGGCGGACGCAGAAACTCGATGCGAAGCTCGCCGACTGGGACGACGACGACCCGTACGGGGGCCAGCTAGAGACAGGCACGCGGCGCGACCGCGTGGTGATCCTACGACACATGTTCACGTTGCGCGAGCTAGAAGAAGACCCAGCGGCCATGTTAGAAATCAAAGAGGATATCCGCGAGGAGTGCTCGAAGCTCGGGCCCGTGACCAACGTAGTACTATACGATCTCGAGGAGGAAGGCATCGCAAGCGTGAAATTCACGACGCCGGAAGCCGCCGAGGCCTGCATCAACCTCATGGACGGGCGAGCCTTCGACGGTCGCACGGTCCGTGCTACGATTGCCACGGGGCGCGAGCGTTATCGCAAGTCAGGCAAGAAGCAAGGCGATGACGCGGATGCTGATGATAGCGATGATTGATGTGTGGGTGGGCGAGTTTACTGTTATTGCTACTTACTTAATATTATGAGACCGCACTCACTTATTATGTACTATACGCCGAGGAGTGCTGCACCCCGCGGGAAGAGTTACGATGTACGATTATTTAGGACTGGTATTAGCGACTAGCAACGCTTGTAGTTTGCGCGGTTTACTCGAAAGGTTACCAAAATGTGTTCCTCTGGGGATAGGTTGCAAGAACAATGGAAAAAATCATAATAATTAAGCAAATGCTATTTCTTATACGGGCTATCTTACACAGGTGGCTAGAGCTCAGTTATAGGATCCGTGAGTGATCTCCTATATACCGAAAGTAGGGATATCAAGGGGTCTTGCTGACTTAAGCCGATGCAACGACTTAAGATATGTCTGCATTGGATATATAAACAAGTGAACTTCTCTTGAGCGTCTGTCATACGTTCCCCATGAATATCCCTGTCTAACTGATAATTAATGAACTAAAATTATTCTGTATTGTCATATTTAAGTCTATTTTAAAACGATACGTTATTGTGAAGCCCATCTCTGGTTTCCCACCTCATAGGACAATCTAGGTTGCAAATGCCCATGCAACGGCTCATTTCTCTCCCACCGCGTTCAGCTTCATTTCCTTTGCACTAACCCACCAGCCTGCAGCTTCAATGATCTGACACACAACTTTCAGCTCATCCATCGATCGTGGAGCGTATACCATGGTGAATTGTTTAGGAACAGGCATCTTCAGAAAACACTGGCTCGTCAAGGGATGTCGTTGACCCCAGCCTTTCTCGATAACCTCCTTCACATCTTCCGGGTGCAGGTTTAGATGCATCGAGTAATCCGAGTTATGCACGTGGCAGATCTCACCCTGGCAGGTCTTGTTGAAAGGATATCGAGAGAATAGGGCCAAGCCGTGCTTTTCAAAGCAAGATGTGCCGATGCCCACTTCCTCCGGATTGTTACAACTATGAGATTCCAAGATACGCCGTAGAATAAGGTAGCAGTCCCGAGAACCAAACTGGTCGACCTGCCGTTGCGGCGCGATCCCGACGACTTTAGGTCGCAGCCCGCAACGGTAAGGAAGCGGTTTCTCGCGGAGGATTCCAGCGGCTGGCTGCACATCTGGATCTGCTGGAAGAGGGGTGAAAGGATCCCGACAGGCCCAAAGTTTAAACCAGTTGATTCGAATGTAGCCGGCAAATGTCGCTGGCGTACCTCCGGGGCCGAGCTTTAAATAGTTCTGGTAATCATTGTGGGCGAACACAACGACTGTAAATACACTGATGAGAAATGCTACGGTCGAAGGCCGCAGCAATTGAGTGCTGAGAATCAGCAAGATAGCAATGAAGAAGATAGCGGGCCCATCCAATGTCACAGACAGAGGGTCTTGCCTAATAGTCACATTAATGGCTAAAGGGTCGCCATTGCGAGTAGGACAGATATCGATGGGTGAGGGAGGTCTTGTTGTGTCAGTCCTCGTGAGTGTGCCAGACATGATGTCAGAGCAGAATGTGGACATGGACTAAACCGTACAAGTAGGATGAGGCCTGTATATCATAGAGGGGAGCACTTTGTGTAAGTTAAAGCTGAAGGAGTTTATCTTCGAAGAGCGAACTGAGAGCCTAAAAGCCACTTGGAAGTCTTACCCATATAGAAGAATATTACGATGAGAGAAATGAGACCTGGGAAGGGGTATATAACCTTTTAAGAAAAAAAAGGCAGACATTGGAGATCTAAGTTAACCAACTAATTCCTGCCATTGGTCAAGTGACAAGAAGAAAGCCAAGAGCAAGCACATATGAGTTGTATGGGTTGTACATGTTATACATGTTCAAGCCAGTCGCAGCTGTCAGCGGGATCGGTATGTAAACCTTGACATAACCCGGGGAAGCTAATTATAAAGAAAATAGTCGCTTATACTACCGCTTAGACTGCCGCTTAGACTCTCGCATGTAACTTAATTCTTTAGCAACTGCCTAAGCTACATTTATAGCAATTGATCTAATAGATCCACAGTTGAGTGGATTGAGGATCAAAACTTGACATAACCACGACCGAGGCTTGACGAAAGAATGATGTATTACATCTCTGTACACCGAAACAGACTTTGAATCAATTTAGTCGAAGCCCCCGAGTTAGACATAGTAATATAAGGCGAAAAGTCGTGTGACTTCACACTATTGTAAAGTTTTTAGTTTACTGCGTCTTTGTGACCGGACCTGCAGATATGCACAAGTATAACTATATTGTCCAAAGTTAGGTAGTATTCTTCCTCAATGTGGCTGCAGACAGAAGCCCGCACTCGGAGACCATATTGCAACTTTGCTACAAACGGGATGCAGTGAGGCGTTCCGGGCTGCACCTGGACATAGCATCGCCCAGTAATCATGAATACGGACAACGGATCGATCCCATCGGCATCTCGAGGTTGCAAGAATCTGCAAGTCGTCGCGCTTATGAACGTCCGATATGCTCCTAGCCTACCTAGGATAAATGTCTAAGATATGTAGGATATAAATGTGAGCGGTCGTAACTCAGCTCATGCGATGAACTCTAATGGTTAAAAGAGCTTGCTTTGTCTTAACAATTTGTTCAGTTTGTGGCGTTTATGATCATCTGGACGATTCTTATTATTGAGGGTTAGAAATCTCCAAGTTGATAGAGAAGACTCTTTTAAATATTCTCTTTGTACACAATAACGTTACACGCAGGAGACAACGTGTCAAAGTGAAGTTTGCTAACCTAATATTAAAGTACGACGTCTAACCGCCGACTTCAAGTAACAAAATGCATTCGACAAGTCAGTAGGTTACAAGGTTTCCGACATTATGCAGTATGTATGCGGTATGTAATAGTCAGAATATGCTTATCTAACCTCCCTTATCCGAACCATTATTAGGCGTCTATTCCAGGAAAGACAAACTGCTCTGATTGGTTCAGCATCAGCAATTACGTAGTTCCCTCGTTTGAAGTACCTAGGTATCATACCTTCCTACGGTTGCCAGGTCGTTAACATGACAGGGGTAATAACAGGGATAGGGGGCCAGTGGCCATTGGACTGAAAAGGAGAAAGTGGGAATCTCAAAACAAATCATCAACAACTTACCTATCGATTACGATACCCCTCGACTTCAAGGTTGGAATTATATTTATTTCCTCGTGTTTTATTTGCAAACTTGAAATTAACTTCTGCAAAACGGTAAATTTAATACACGCGAATATCAAATATATTTATAGTATCTGTCGCGACTTGCAAGTCTGTCGTTACCTAGTATTCTTCACCCAAGCCGAGCGCAGGGAGACAGGCAAAGCAATCAGATCAAATTTGGTGTACAAGTTCGTAACCTCTCTTAAACAGACAGTTGATTAAAAACGTCGCAATACTAATACGGTCGGACAGAATCTTGCTCCCCATCTAAGATGGGAATTCTTTCGAACCCGTTGCGTTCCCGCGAGGGTCGACAATCTCAATTGCCTGTTTACGAAAATGTACACCTTACAAGTAAGGAACGAAATTCAAACGATTCTTATGACGATTCCGATTATGACGACTATTCTACCACCTCATCTCCTGGTACAAACAACTCAAGATTCACAAGTGCTTCAACTTCTACAGCAACCCCTATCATGCCTAAAAGAGCATTCCCAGTTCCTCGTAAACCGCGCCAACCACTTAACTACCGTTTACCAAACAAGGTCGTTCGGTACCTCTGCTTTGGCTTAACATTCTTCATTGTCTCAATGATATTCTCGCTCATTCGAGCAAGTCACAATGAGAACAGAGCCCTTGCTGAAGGCAAGATTAACAGACCGGCATCCACGCCTCCTTCGTGGGAGCAATTCCCATTCCTTACAAGATATTACGGTGGTATCAGGAACCTGGTACCCTTTTCTCAAAACACACCCGAGTATCCCCGATCGAAAGGGGAGCCGCCTATAGACAAGTTGTTCTACGTCAATAACACCAACGTAAAATCCGACGTCGAAGAGCGGAACTTGCCTGCCAGTAAAGAGTATATTCGGTATCCCCAGAGTGTTTTCCAGGATGCCCCTGAGCAATTTCAGGAATGCTACATTGACAAGGCAAACAAAGTACGCGTACCTCCTATTCGCTACTATGAGGGGCGCCCCCATGGTTTCCCTGACCCCGTGCTTGGTTCCTATGAGCTCCTAGGGCTTCCCGAGGATATCTGCTTCGAACGCTACGGTCGATATGGGCCGTATGGCTTCGGTTATTCCGTTAGGTCAGGTGGTCTCGGTACTGGGGAACACGGTGAAAAGGAAGGCTTTGAGGCTACTTGGGACAAGGTGCCCCAAGTCGACTGGAGAGGGACGGACTGGGCGGATGTTCAGAGACGGTGCTATCAGACAAATGCTGGTCGTTACAAGCAAGTGCCCGCTAGACAGCCCTCTCCTCATGGTTTCTACATCAATGAGGACATTGCTGCCACAAAGCTCCAGGCGCGTGACTCTCCGGTTCCCGAGTCACCCAAGTCATCAACCGACAAGACAGACAAGACTGTCAAGGAAAAGAAACCGGTACCAGCCGCCGAGGCTGTAACTGCAGGGAAACAGCTGCCAAGGACCGCGGTTGTGATTCGGTGCTGGGATGAATACTTCTGGAGAGAAGAGGATGTAATGAACATCCGCTCCCTAATCAGCGAATTGGTGCTAGCATCCGGTGGTCGATATGATATTCACCTACTCGTTCAAGTTAAGAATGATGCTGCACACCCAATTTGGGCAGATGCAGCCGTATACCAACGACGAATTGAGGAGACTATACCGGAGGAATTCCGAGGTATTGTCACGTTCTGGACAGAAACCCAAATGTTATCACTTTACCAGGGAATTTTCGATCTTTTCGCTCGTGGCCCGGATTTGCCCGTTCACGGTGTCTACCGTGGCTTGCAAATGGCCATGCAACATTTTGCCTACTTACACCCAGAATATGACTATTACTGGCAGTGGGAGATGGATATTCGATACACTGGCCATTACTATGACTTGTTCACCAAGATAGAGAATTGGGCCCAGGAACAGCCACGTAAGGGTCTTTGGGAACGGAATTCTCGATTTTACCTGCCTTCCGTTCATGGAACGTGGGAGGATTTCAAGCAGATGGCGCGAGTGCAGACTGAGATGGGCACTACGGGTGCCGATAATATATGGGACAATGTTCCCGGAGCCGGCAAGAAATCGCAGTCTAGTCGTGGCGAAAAGCCTATTTGGGGTCCTGAGAGACCTAAGGATCCTAAAGATTGGTTTGAACCAGACGATGATCCTGTACCCGAGACAACCTACGAAAAGGATAAATATGTGTGGGGAGTTGGCGAAGAGGCTGATTATATTACGTTCAACCCTATGTTCGATCCAGAAGGAACTACTTGGGGTCTAGCTGACGACATTACTGGGTATAACACGACGGGTAGCAATGGAATGCCGCCTCGTAGGGCTCAGATCATCACAGCATCACGCATGTCTCGCCGTCTACTCATGAAAATGCATCGAGAGACTGCCTTCTTGAAACATCACGCTTTCCCAGAGATGTGGCCGGGTACTGTTGCTTTGCAACATGGTTACAAGGCCGTGTTTGTACCACACCCTCTTTACGTGGACCGCGAGTGGCCTACGGAGATCTTTGAAAGGACCCTCAACAACGGCAAAAATGGAGCTACAGGAGGCGCCCGTACTTCCGTATTTGGCCAGCGTGAACATAATCTTATAGGTCTCACCTGGTTCTACAACTCAGGTTTCGCACCCAACTTGTACCGAAGATGGCTTGGATTGAAGGTCAACAATGATGGAGGCGAGGAGTTCGAGTTGACCGCAGACGAGAGCAAGAACGGCACCAATGTCAATGAAATGCGTGGCGGAGAAGGCAGAATGTGCCTGCCGCCGATGCTACTTCACCCGGTTAAGGAGGTTGAGTTACCAGTTGAAGCCAACCCGGAAGACACGCTCGAGATCCCCGAATCGGATCCCGCGGCTTGAGCACAGTAGGTTGGAATGGGGAACAAGGTTATTTAACGAATGCATAGGCCAGGATTTTGTAATGGGCCATTTCTATATATGGGCTCTAGCACTTGTGGCGGCGTTGGTCGGAAAGTGTGTTATCGGATGGGTTTTTTGCCATGTTCTTGGTAGTTTGAATGAATAAACGATGCGAAGCAAGCGTTGCGCGTCGATATCAGGTGTACCATATAGCTGGTTTGTACACAGGCGGAAGGGCATGACTGGATAGAAGGAGTGGATAGGGATAGGGACCTGCTTGGAGAGTAGGCTGTAATTATGACACTTATTCCGACTTCTCAATGTGTGTGGTGTGTGATGCCTGGTCAAGATTTTGGTGAACTATGCGTGTCGAAAGTGTAGGGTGGTTGCTCGGGTTGCTACTTGAATTGTCCGTTATCGCGAAACGTACCGCTATGTTGCACGTTAATAGCACGGTATTCTAATCTCACGAAAAAGGGACAAAAAAGGTGAGTTCAAACCTAGCACTTGACCTGAACAAATTGGCCTTTTTGTCGCCGCGACTTAGCCTCGAACTCGATTAGCCCTTCATGTCCTTAACCACTAGACCACGGCCATGTTGGCAAGCAAATCTCGGATTGGGGCTTCGTGATAGAAGGTGCGCTTAATGCGCCTTTTAAACACAGCATGCGCGTGATTTCGTTGCCTGGTAACCGTCATATTATTACCCACCGCCTACGTATCTACGTAGGTACCTAGGTAGGCAACGACGTATTTACGACCAAGGAATTTAAGTGTTAAACCAATATTACAAGACTTCTATATAAGTACTAACTCCTAGGTCCAGAGACACGTCAGAAGCTACCCTCGATTAAAGGGAAGGCAACACAGTTAGGGGGGAGGGCGCTTTTATCACCAAGATATGTTCAGTAGCTTCATCACTACTATGTAAGTTTTCATATCCGGGAAGATATAACTACACTTGCGTTACTACTGGGTACCTATACATAGACTACGGAGAGATTGGTGATAAAATTAGTAGGATGTTAAATTTGCCATGGGCATGTTTATAAACTCAAGATCTATAAGGGCAATAAAATGACACTTGCTACCTATATGTTTCTTTACAAGTTGAGAACGAGAATCCGTAGGAAGTAAGGATATATGAATCGATCAAGAAGCTCTATACAGGTGTGTGGGGATAAATTATAATAGCATTAGAACGCATACACATCCTCAGTTGCTAAGTATATCAGTCTCTGAATTTTGAATACTAAATTGTATAGAGTAGTGATTGCCAGCGATAGATAATAATTATAAGCTTAATAAAATACAGTAGTATTAGATATTTCTATCGATGTCCTTTTTTATTAAACGTAACAAGTCAACCAAAGGGTATACATTCTTGGCACTCCTTCCACAAAAGACAATTATCTTCTTCAACTATTTCCTACACCATTTCGTATAGTTAAGTGATAACAGACGTCCTGTAAAAACCAACCACGAACAGGGTAAACCCCCCCTTTACCAAAGCCGCAACACTACGTTTCAACCCCATCGCCAAACCAGGTTTGTTTCTCTCCCCAAGACAAGCTAATACCGCAATACACGTACCAAAACCTGTTGACATTCTCGCATCAAACCCATGAAACAAGACTAAATAACCAACAGATAACCATCCAACATAAATAGTATAACCTACAGCCAGCCAGTGACCCGTGCTCTCAACTCCGGCCACGAAACAGGAATACTTACTTACATACATAGGACCCCTAACTAAAAAAACCAGATTTCTTCCCCGGACCCTGGTAAGTAGTACGGTGAGGATACGAGCAGATCGACAGCGCGGATCCGGATCCGGAACGCAAACGCGACGTCGTAACAGCAGCCCGTTATAAGAGGAATATCATTACCGAAACATTTGGGTTACCCAAGGTAAATGTTAACCAGCCAATAGGTCATTGTTGTAGGTACGAAATATACGATTCTTATGCGTCAGTCACACTCTCTTTACATAGCTACCTGTTATGGGAAGACGAAATATAATAACTAGGGGAATAATAAAACTACAAATAATAGTTATACACTTTTATTAACAGTTTATTAAAATAAAAGAACTCAATAATTCTCATTTTCTTTGCCATTTATGGCCTTATGAAACATGTAAGTTTTGGTGAGGAAATAGAGGATTGATGCAGAAGACTGAGAGGTGATATTTTGTATCTACCAACCTGATGGCTCCCTCCTCCGACTTCCTAGGAAGTTCTGCTTAGAAAGAAACATCAAAAATCCAAACATAACTCAACACTAATAGAGTAGTTACAACTATAAACCAAACAAGAAACATTTCAAAGCACATTCAAAAATAGTACATCACAAAAGATATAAATCGTAAAGACAAACAGCTTTATCCAATAATAGATACTAGTAGATTACAACATTATGAATCAGACCCTACATTTGGGACGGGGCCGAGTATTGACACCTAGGATTGAGCTACTCTCAAGAAATACATCTATCGCTTTCCTTGCGCCGCCAGTCCAACCCTAGACATTGCTCTTATTACAAAGGGAACTACGGATACGCATCCTCCGGATATACAACAACCGAACCGCCCTGACGGTAGCCTAGTCATATACTTCTCCGTAGCCAAAAGCGTGTATGTTGCAACCCGTTTGGATAAAGACGTAACAATGTACAATATAACGCTATTAGTGCGCGTTTAGAAGACACCTTATATGCTGATGTTAATGCCAAGAGCAGCAGCGACACCGAAGTGAGGCTCGCACTTGCAGGCAGTGTTAGGGTCCTTCCATGCGTCGGAGGAGTAGCTGAACATGACAGCCTTGTCACCGCACTCCTTAACGATGCTCTTAATGGCCTCGGCTTGCTGGGTTACACCGGGAACGGCAAGACCCATAGCCTCACCGGCTGAAGGCCAACCAGTCTCGAGAATGATACCGGGGATACCCTGGCAGATCTTGCTGACGATGTCGAGCTGGCCCTTGACGAACTGACCAGCCTGCGAGGCAGCGGTCTGAGTGTTGAAGAAAGCGTGAGCATTGGCACCGGCAACATCAACAACACCGCAGATAGCAGAAGAGAAATCACTCTGTTGCCAGATATTGACGGTCTCAGCAGTAGTGTACTGGCCAGTGTAACCGCTGAACTCGCCCTTGCACTTAGTGATAAGAGAAGCAAGCTCAGAAGGCTGGCAGTAACCGTGGAAGACAGCCTCGTTACCAACCGAGATAAGGTCAACAAGTTCCCACTTGGCCCAGCTCTTGATGGCGCTGATCTGCTCAGCAACACTGGGGCTGTGGGCATCGCAGCCAGGAGAGTCAACAAAGATACCGATGATCATCTTCAGGCCGTGCTTAGCGCAAGCGCCACCAACATTGGGGAGGGTATCGCAGTCAGTGGAGTAGACACGGACGGACTTGATACCAGCAGAGGCAATAGCAGCAATGTCCTGCTCAACCTGGCTGGCGCTCTTGCATCCACCCTGTGGGCCAGTCTCGTAGGGAGTGTACGAAATACCCCATGGCTGACCAGCCGGTCCACCGAGAGTACCGCTGGGCTTAGGCTTAGAGGGAGTGGAAGAAGAGGGAGAAGAAGCCGGGTACGAGCTGGGCTTGGGAACCACAGGAATGGAGGTAGGGACCTTAGGAACAGTGGGAGTGGTGGGAACGGCAACGGGAACTGAGGTCGGGACCTGGATGGGAGTGGTCGAGACGCTAGGAGTAGGAATGTCGAACGGGCAGTAGACAACGGTGTTAGTCTCGGTGACAGTGGTGACAACCTCAGGCTGAGTGTAAGTTCCAGGGGGATAGTTGGTGACGGAGGGAATGGTCACAATGGTGGATTTGTCGACCGTGGTCGTGGTGGGAGCAATGGTGTAAGTACCAGCAGACGGGCAGACGTAAGTCGTGGTCTCAATGACGCTGGTAGTAACACCTTCGCTGGTGGAAACCGTAGCGTACGGGCAAGTAACCGTAGTTGCGGTCGTGACGACAGTGGTAACACCGCCGAGGGTGTGAGTACCACTGGGGACAGCGGTCGTGGAAGGAACGCAGACCGTAGTCGACTCGGTTAGAGTGACGGTGGTAGCAGGGAAGGTGTAGACACCCGTGGTCGAGCAAGTCTGGGGAATTGGCGTCGGGACGAGCACGGCGGTCGAGGTAGTCGTAGCTGGCGGTGGCGGAGGGGTGGAGGTGGAAGAGGGAGTAGCTACAGGTGTAGCAGAAGTCGTAGGGGGAACCGGAGGGAACGAGACTAATATCTATGATTAGGAATTTATTCTGATAGTCGCGAAAGGATTTATTAACATACGAGTGGCTTCACCATAGTAGGTGCTGTAGATGGTAGTACATCCGCAGGTGGCATTGTCAGCCTTCTTCTCGAGGGCGTGGAACGCATCGTGGGCGCGAGCGTGTCGGTGGTGAACGCTGACAGCGTTGACACCGGTCAGGGCCGCAGCAGCGGCGACCGCGAAAGTTGCCTTCATTATTACTTCTTGAAATTCCTGAGAACTAAACTCCAATTGACCGTAGATGATTGCGCGAATTTAACTGTAGAGCTGTTTGTTTATTTTCGTGATATCGTGAAAACGAGTGCCCGCTAAAAGAGTGAAGCGGTGGGTTGGATACGCAGAAAAAGACGAAAGCTGGAGAGATGCTTTCACGTCACGGCATCGACATCAACAGGGTCGTTTCGTGAGGAAAGAAAAGAGGAAAGGAGGGTATCATGGGAACGGCAGATCTCTTGTACTTTTATTAAGGCACCATTTCGTCCCAGCGCTGCCCAGCCAGCCAGCGCCAATTTTACCTGATGGTTGTTTTTGGCAATGGGGCAAATGGGGTGGCAGCGTTGGTCCCCGCTGATCCTGGGTCCCCTTGCTCTCCGTCCTCTGCATCTCTGCAAATGGTTCCTATGATGGATGGATCCCTAACCAGGGTTGCCTGCCAGCCCTGCTTGAGTGTGGCCCAGTTTCTCTTCGATTTGCACAGACAAACTTAACCCACCTAACAGCTCGCGGAATCCTCCACGGACGAATAGACGGCCAGAGTGTCTTGACCCTCAGTGCATAAAAGTAGGTCCATAGTGGTCAAACTCCGAAATTCTGGACAAAAAAGTAACAATCTCTATCTTGGGTCCAAGATGAGCTGTACAAAACTGACCATTGGACTGGGTTCGAGGAAGATTCGTCGAAAGAAAGGTGAATAAAGGGGGTTAGAATGGGGTTGTAAGCTTACCCCAATTAGGATAATATCCATAGAGCTTTTTGCTTATGACCAATCAAAAATGGTCTTGGCCTGTAAAATCGACTCTTCTTGGAAGTCAACCCTTTCTTTCCAGTGGGGACTTGCGGTCTTTCCTTTGTCGCCCTTGGGAAATTACCCGACCATCAAGCGAAATTACGCATCGGCCCTGACTAAACCTATTTTGTATTAGAGCTGGTCTAGAGCTGCAGCGTACCTGCAGGACTAGACTTATCTCGGCTTACATACTATGTACATAGGAAAAGTACCCCTCGTATGCATTTATTATTAGGGCTTCAAGCGTATCAGCAACTAAGACAGACATGGAGAATTGGCAAATATGAGATGTCACTCCTTTTTTTTTTCATTCTCTTTCATTCGGGAGTTCATCACCGCTTGATTGGCTCGTATTTTCTCCTACTTTAACTACTTTAGCTACTTTCAATTCCATTTTGATAACCCACGTCATTACGATTCGAAGGATTATTAACAGTTTGTACTAGTTTATCCTCCTTCCTGCTGCGTAGTAGAGAAGCTAGGTTAAGCTGAATAGCGGATGGCTTGCATATTAACAGCCGTGTGATCTTAGATGATTAGCGAGTTTACTCTTGTTGATCGTTGATCAGATCGTCCTTCCTATTCGGCATCCACCCTTCCCCTACGCCGAACGGCCAGACCCTCTACATAGATAATAGATACATACTAAAAAAACAAGCTAGCTTCCCCAGGATTCTGACCGACAGCATATCTAATATCTAATAATCTATGTGACCAATGTAGGATGACATGAACGTAGTAATTATCCACAGGCTAACCTAAGCTTCCTAGGCACTTAAAGACTCTAGCTCCCTTCTCCTATTCTACACAGCCAAATAGCGGCCATTAATTCTACAATAAGGCTTTACCAAATCTATTGTGACGCTTGAGCTTTAAGCCTTGAATAACCCCTTAATAGAGCGAGTGTTGGCTGGACTGTGGACCCGAACAAGATTAATGCCGGATTAACAGGTTCTTGTAGCCTGAAACCTAGAGTCTAGATAGCCTATTGTCAGGGTCGACGTCAAATTTGGGCCCTAGGCGCATACTACGTGGTACTGTATGCACTGGGAACTTTACATAGTAATCATGGGAAAATGGATTGACCGCTGGCGTTGTACACGTGGTTGGGTGCCGTTATTGGTTATTCGACCTGATAATACTGACATTAGGTCCGTTGGCTGTGTTGCCAGCGTCAGCTATCCAAGCACCCAAGTCTTATTTTCCCGACTTGGAACTTACATAGAATAGGTAATAATCTTCGCTAACTTTCCATCCAAGGTTGGGATCACGTTAATCCTCCACGTCCCCATTATTCAAGCTTTTAAATAACACGTTCTTTCAGGCATATCAAATGTCAATCCTATTATTTCTATTTATGTAGAGCCTCACCATGTTATGTTTAGTACACTGTCTTGAGAAGATTGGCATATAGGCTACCTTTTTCTATTAACAGACTAATTGTACAGATCTACGACTTAACCCCGAATCCATATCCACACCAAGGAAACATCGTAACGATTCCCCGGATCAGGAATGTTGTCGAGTGTTAATGGATCTTATAACCAATTCCGAGGGTTGATCCAAGTGGTTTTACGGAACGTGCTCTAGATTATGTTTGAAACCCTCTCCGTTTATAATCGAACTTTATCGCAACATGTAAGAGTCCGACAACTTGCTGTCGGCGGGGAGTGCTTTACAACAGCACTGAGGCGGCAAGCGCTATGGAGACAGCGAACAGACCAACCTGTATCCAATGTCAACTACAAGCCAAGAATATAAGAAGACGGACTTACCGAAATGTTGTTAACAGCTCCGGCGCCTGACACAGGGATTTGCCCACCGCCAGTAGCGTTCGGCGTCACTCCGCCGGTACCCATCGGCATCCCAGTCGTCGTCCATGTCTCATTGGCCGTGACAAGACTGGATGTGGGTGGTTCCGCTGGCGCAGACGTTGACCAACTACTAACCGTGGCCGTCGTATACGAGCCGGATATGCCGGTGGAGGAACCAACCAACTGTGAGATCGAAGTCATCTCACTCATAAGAGAAGCAGTGCTCGACATGCTCGACGCATGCGGCATGTTTTCCATGTCGGATGTCTGTGCTAAGGCACTGTTGGCTAACATCAAAATTGCGAAGCGTTTAGCAGCCATGTTTCTAAATCCGGTAGAAAGTATTCTAAAGGAGAAAAGGGTGTAATGAAACAAGTCACGAGTTGGGAGGAGATGATGGGTGCGAATATGAGAGGTCAAGTAGAAAAAGCTACTCGCAGCACACAAAGGCTCACGATGGCCTTTGAGAAAATGACATAGTTTACACTTAGCGAACAGGTAGGCTCGAAAGACTCCCTTTCATATATTATTTGCTGCCGAGGTGCACTTAATATACTTGAAAGACATGAGATAGTATCTCGTAAGGTTCTTAGGTACAACGTATTGGAAACTAGGACTGACATAATTCAAGTCATGAGCATTACTCATAAGAGTGAGTATAACTAATCCTTAGTTCATTAGCTACATGACTATCAAAAGAAAAAAATCGCTTTTTAATAAGTGAAGGCCTGCGTATAAAAGGTATTTTAGGTATTAGTTAAAATTTACGATTTAAACTCTTTACATTTTGATAATAGGTAGGTACCTGTCTCGGAGTAGTGACGGACCGTTGCCACCTGCTCTCAATGCAAGTACAGCTGATAGGGATATATGATGCGACCCACTCATTCACTGTTTAAACTTTCAACAACAAATTTTTGCCACGATGAGAACAAACACGACAACGAGAAATTATCTTTAACAAAAGTCTTTCTTTCATCTACGACACGTGGTTACAATGCTACGGACGTCGAATAAATCTTATGTATGCTGGAGATGTACCTTTCAAAGGGCCACATCACCCGTAGCTTCAAAATCAGATGCAAAGTTTCTGCCAAGAAATAACCAACCTCTATGGAGAAGAGTATGTGATAGCAGACTTTCATGTCCCTCTTAACCATCCTAATCCTAAATTATTTCTGTAGACTCTAGCTACCGTTCAACATTCCAATCTAAGTGGTAATGATCCACTTGCGCAGTTGCGCGCCTTGGAAAAACAAGACAAAAAGGGGAAAACCAAAATACCCATCCGAGAACACTTAAGGAAATGGGAAGAAGAAAACCAAGATGAAGTAAAAACTATCTTATCTGATTATGCAGATACAGGCGAGCTGTCCAACAGCTTCACTCGCCCGCAGAATGTGTCCATGGGTACCTTTGATGTGGCCGCGCCGCTATTCGATGGAGATGAACTTGGCGACCTACGCTCCGATGATGCCATTCTAAACCCCGGAGACATGGTTGAGCTAAGGTATAATACCCTTTTTATTTATTATTCATATTAAGACTAACTGGGCTTCTACAGCTCTGAAGGATCGAGGCGACCTATGTTGGCAATTTGCCTAGGTCGTTATAACGGCTATGATCATTATTACACAAGCAGCGGTAAATGGTTCGTAGGCCTAGGCGTCAAGTCGCTTTTCGTTGTTCAAAAATTCGTCACGCCGGCTGAGCTCGCACCTGTCCTCAAGGAACTACCGACTGGTGCCGTACCGTTAGAAGCCCTAAATGCTCTTCAGGATCTTGGCCATGGTCCTTCTAGAGCCGCAGGAGCTAAGTTGCTGCGTAAGATGTTAATTTTTGCCCATGATGCGGAAGCCGTATATCAAGGAAATGCTGGTACCCTCGATGCGTCTAGCGCTTTCATCGGTGATCCACTGAAACATCGATATCTAACCCTGCACGAAATTACTGAGCTGCTGCTTCCTGAATCTTATCAAAAGGACGGAAAGTTTGAGCCTGTAGCCCTGTACGCTGTTCATAGGTCTCTCCTGCAAGATGAAGTTTTCTTCAGACCACTCAGACAGACCGGCCACAGAAGATCGTATATTTTCGAAATCAGTCCACTGTCTGAGGTACAAATCATCCAGAAGGTAGAAAACCTAGTCCGAGATTTTGTAGAAATAGATGTAGGATTACGGGAAGGTAAAGAGGACGGTCCATCTCCAGTGCACAATTTCATCAAAAATGCTCGCAAACTGATCGACCAGAGCCGAGAAACCCGAATATGGACAGAAAGCGGTATTATTGGGCCGTCAAAGGCAAAAGAATTGTCGGCAAAAGCGCCAGCACCAGCTACCCATCAGTGGTCCCCGACCGATCTAGAAATATTGCAGTTTATGGAGCTGTGGTGTAGCTACCAGAAATTTCCAAGTTACTCACGACTTCAATGCTTTGGATCTACTATCTTACGAGCCCTCGGCAGATACGAAGACGCTGGAGGCTATTCAGTATCAACGGGCTGGACTTTCCTACAAGAAGTTGGCTGGATACCATCCTGGGAAATTCCTGCTCGATATAACATACGTTTCCCGGGTGTTGAGATTAAACGGGGAGGAGGATATGTTCGACCCTACTTCGGCAATCTTGATCGCCACATAAAAGGAGACATATTAGCTCCTATAAGGAAACCTTGGAAACTCACTGCTTATTGTATCGACTCTGAAGCTACCATGGATATCGACGATGCTGTCTCAATCGAGAAGAGTTCCAAACCTGACCAATTTTGGATTCATATCCATGTTGCAGATCCGGCTTCTTCAATACAGGCCGAAACGCCCGTCGCTAAGTATGCCGAGCTAATTCCAGAGACGATATACTTGCCCGGTCACTTCGAGCGTATGCTACCCCAAAATATTGGCCCAGACAGATTTTCTTTAGCTCCAGGCAGACCTTGCTTGACGTTTAGTGCGTTGGTAGACAAAGACGGGCACGTTTTAAATTACAATATTACACCCAGAATTCTAGAGGATGTCGTGTACATGACCGACGGGGACGTTGCTTCAGTAATTGAAGACCACCGGGAGCATCCCACTACCGAACAAGAAGACGAGGTAATTCTTGGTCCTATTCCGAAGGCCAAGCCTCCTCCAAGACAGATGACTCGGCCTCAACATTTAAACGAGGACCAAAAAAACGACTTGGCGCTCCTTTCGGAATTGGGAAAGGCTATCCATGGTCACAGACTTAAGAAAGGGGCCACTCCTTTCTTTCATCCTCGCCCCGAAGCAATGGCCTACTTTGACCACCTTCCACAACGCGAGATCGATAACTTCACGGCTCTGACAGGGGACCCTTCAATCCGTATTGGATACTCCAAACGCTCTGCGACTGACCTAGTCGAAAATGCCATGCGACTAGCTGGTGAGATTGCTGCTAGATGGTGCCATAGGCGTGGCATTCCAATTCCGTTCCGCACACAGCCCCACGCCACGAAGAACATCAGCAAAGTTCAACAGTACACCCGCGACGTCTTCTATCCTCTACTTAGAGCTGGCATCAGACCCGACGATAACCAGTGGCGCCACCTCTGGTCTCTCACCGGCAACGACGAGCTCACCACAACTGCTGGCCCGTACTTCACGCTCGGCGTTAATATGTATACCAAGGCGACATCCCCGCTCCGTCGGTTCTCGGACTTGATCGTCCACTGGCAGATCGAAGCCGCCCTTTTGAAGGAGCACACCTCCGGCACTTCGCTAAGCGGCAACAAGAGCGACGATTCCTTCCTGCCCTTCAGCCGCGAGAAACTAGACCGCATGCTCCCTATGATCCGGGTGCGCGAAAAGCAAGCGCGCGCCCTGATCCGCGGCGACGGCGGCGACCAGTGGATCCTGCAGGGGTTGGTGCGCGCATGGCGCTTCGGCGAGGCCAAGATCCCCGAGACCTTCCAGTTTACAGTCTTGCACGTGAATGGCCGCCGGTCAGCCCAAGGGCGCCTAGATTGGTTTGAGCGGACTGCCCTCTTGCGCCCCGAGACGCTAAACGACGTCGTTAGGATGGCGGAGGTACGGGTTGGAGATGTCTACGAAGTTAAGCTGCATAATGTCAATGTCCATGCGAACAAGGTCTACGTCGAGGCGGTTAAGGTCTTGAAAAGGGCGGGTGAGGAGACGATCATTGTGCCGGAGGGGGATAAGGCTGAGGTTGTGGAAGCTTAGGGGCATGGCTTGGTGAGAAGGGAAAGGGAAAGGGAAAGGGGGTACGTCTTGTTATGAGATATTGCCACGTGTGTTATGTAAAATACGATGTATACGTATATATATATATAAAAGCGACTCCATTAACTTGAATACTATCTGCTTCTTCTGCTATGATATATTTGCTAATACTATATGTTTATATCGAATGTTAGAGTAGGGTTCATACACACTTCTAAGACTTATTATATCTTTTTAAACTCCCTGGTTCTTGGGAATTATACTGTACGCAAACCCCTTTAAATTGTCTTATCAAGATCCTCATGTAGTACCATCTCGACAGGAGGAATGAGGGAACTTCGAGGCCACGAGCTTGGACTAGACTTAGGATAAGGATAGATACGCTTACCATAGACATTGGCTTCATCAGATAAATCGTTATGCGAGCAGTAAGGAGTTCTCCATCAACACAATCACAATTATCACATCACTCAAAGTACACACAAAAAACAACAACCAGAACTATGACCAAATCCCCAGGGACTTCTGTATTTTATCGTGATCATGAAACCCGGTAGGCTTGCATATTGCCCAACTACCTCTTATTGCTCTGGGCGAATCTACCTGTAAGCCGCCCTACCGGCGCTGGAACAACCAAAAGTACATTCCCAAGGCCAAATCCACGAGACGCCAATCGATTCACCCATTATGTGTCCTTGCTGAGAGAAGCAGCCGAGAAAATCGACAAAGCCACCCACAGGCATTTTATAGTAGTGTGTGTGGTGAGTCAAATTAGCTCTCTGCTCGCTCTCCCTGCATTACGACAGCCAGAACCAAGGGTTAATAGACGATCCTCGTAGCTGCCCATTCTTCAAAGGGGTGCCCCTGAAACGCACTTCGATAATATTGCTTTTTTTTCCTTCTATAGTTTGACCCTTCCACCTCAATCCGCCGATGATATAATTCCGATGGTAAATCAATACATAGAACGCCTCATTAAATCGCCGGTGGAGGAAAACCCTCCCGTGGTATTTCCGTGATTCCGCTCCGTGTAATTGTCTTCCCCACTCCAGTTCCAAAGACCCGAGTTCTCTGATATGAAAGTGATTTTGCTTTTGAAAAATATTGGCGCATTAGTCAATCTGTCAGATGCCAGATACCATGCAGTTATAGGTGGTAAACACCCGACGGTGCGTTGGCAAACCGATGTCCTATCAAACCAGCCACGAAGTGCTATTCCGGGATATACTGGAACAAGAACCACACCAAGTAGCGCCCTTATCTGTCAATGATAAGGATATTCCCATCGATTCCCATCGACTCCCCGTCCATTAGATCCTGTGCTTCGACGATGAAACGATGTGACCCTATCACCTCCTCCAACCGACATTCCAGATGACATGTGCGATATCCCGAGCAGTGTTGACCGTATCTATCATCCGACCAATTATTCCATCGTTAGGCTGGACATCGCCCTCCTCAAATGGCATGAACATGCCACTTTCTGTCCGACGCATGCCTGTTGGTTGATTGAGGTGATTATTCGTGGAGGAGGAACGTAGGGGGCTTTGCTTAAAGGGAGACGTTGCGTCCACTGGGCTAGATACTGGGGTTGAGCTGGTCTCCTCGTCTAATTCTTCGCCATCGTCACCTACAAGAAATGGGCTTGATGCCTTAGAAGGTCTTAACGTCTCTTGTGAAGGAGACGGTGATATGATTGGACTCCTCAAATTGCCTGTGCTGTGCTTCATGGCAGTTTCAGGGTTGGGAGAATCTTCCCTATACTTCAAAGTCGTCGAAGGTAGCATCGCGATGGTCTTACTCTCGGCAGGCGTATTTACCGGAGACCTCTTTCGTGGAAGGATGGGTTTCTTGGACGTCTTAGTTCTCTTCATCATGATTGCGCCATCATCGGAATCGCTGTCGTCGTCATATGCCCAACGTCGGTGAATCACTTCCTCCTCCTCTTCCTCCTCTCCCTTTACGTCAACTGCGATGCATTGCTGGACCTGCTCGTCGAAGTGAATATGCTTCCGTTCCGAGGAAGGTGAGACAATGCCAGACGAAGCTGTGGATGGTAGCATACTCGTATTCTCACGGCTTCTCCTTCTGGATGAGAAGGGGAAGGTGACATAATCTGTGGTTGCGCGGAGTAGTATGGGCCGACCAACACGAACGGTACTATCCTTTTGTTGAGCCTGAACTGCAGCCGTAGCTTGTTTTAAGAGCGACGAGGAAGAGAGCGACCTTTGGAGCATAACCTCCGACATACTCCTCTTCTTAAGGATGGGCTTTTTGTTAACAAACGAGTCACATCTCGATAGTCTGGAATTCTCTTGTTCCGCATCGTTGGGAAATAATTCCCCACGGCGAGTCTGCAGAGGTCCATAGAGCCAAGTCACGTCACAGTCCTTGAGCCTAGAAAACGGGTCAGATATTTGAACGGAGTGTATAAAGAGAGACGTACCAATTTAGTGTCTCCGGCGTTACTGTTTTTAACTTATATTTAGCTTTCATCCATGTCCTCCACGACGCGTTCTCGAGCCGCGGCCCATTGCTATACTCGGATTTCTTGGCGACAATATACCTCCAGGATGACCAAATATCTTCTTCCCTCCAGTCGTGCGATAGATAATCGACATGCTGAGTAGGGTGATGCTCAACAGCTGTATCATCTTCAGCACGCTCCAAGGCATCCGGTGACTCCGGGCGCGAGGTGGTCGCTGACGTATCAGGGTCAGTTGGAGATACGGTATATGAATCGCCCGTCCGAGGACTCGGAGGCGGTTCCAAGTCCTCAAGCGGATCAAAATACGGATTGTGGCAAAGCCCGGACACAAAGAGGTGGTCATCGGACTGGATGCGAATATCTTCTTCGCATTGTCCGTCGAGGGATAGGTTAGTGGCTGGCGTAGAAGTATACGATAGTTCGGAAGATTCGGGTTGGAGAGTGCGAGGAGAAGATGGAGCAGACGACGGACTAGAATTGGGTACTATGTGAGGATGGTGGTGGTAGACCTCGTGGTAGGATTCGTGAAACGCGTCGCTTATTTTTGACGTCGAAGCCGAGGCATGAAAGCTCTGCGATGGGCTCGACATGAATCTAGATTGAGAATGAGATCTCCTCAAGGAGGACGAGGAAAAGAGGTCGTTATCCTCTGAAGGAAGAACCACAGCCATGTCGAAATAATGTTCGTCCCCTTCCACGAAGAAAAAGAAACCCAAATCCTCCGACGTTTATAACTCTAATACGGATTCGATGGCTGCCTTCATGAGAACGATATTATCGTCTACGATAGGACGACTAGAAACCCTTCACGACAGTATTCGCTCACAAGACGAAAAGTCCTGAATCGATCCCAATCGTTCTCGCCTGGCTGGGGTATTTCCGGATGACGTGACAAATCTAGAGTGGATGGTGCGCAGCCGGAGTGAAGGCGATATTTGAATTCAATTTCTGCATGAGACAATTCGAAAGTAACCGGCTAAAGATGAGACGAGATATAATCGGCGACGTGGAGAAACAAGGCGCACTCGCACAAAGAGGATCGGAATCGTAAATTCGATGTGGTGTGCGTATGTAGAGGGATGAATTTACATAGATAAGCGGTTTGAGAGGCTTAAGAGGCTTAAGAGGCTTGCCTTGGTCCACGGTTTAGAGTGTATTGGGTCGAAAACAATCCGCGGCAAAATGTTTGGTACAGTAAGTTGCCCTAGGCTAGTACAAGTACAAGAAGGGTGGAAATTCCGGGAGATCGGAAGCCTGCAAGGATGTGAAGGAGGATTGAGGGGTTGATACTTGACAGGGCCAGCCAGTTACGGAGCGAGGCTGATGGCGAATGGCATGGATGACTCGACGTGGGTGGACGAAGACATCTAAGAAGAGAAAACTACATAGTATGGGACGGGTATAGAGTGTATAGAGTGTATAGAGGGGGAGAAAGGGAGGAAGAGGAAAAAGGAAAGTCTTTCTATTCTTTCTATGCTAGGTATAGATATGGTGAATACCTTGTAAGGTTAGGTCTAGGTATGTACTTAGGTAGGTAATAAAGGTAAGATAAGATTGGTGGAGAGAATCGGAATGGATTGTGTTTTACTGTAAAAATAATAAGTAATAAGACACCTGCTGCACCTGCTATGGTTAATGCTACTTCCTACTGTAGGTACGCCGCAACGTAATAATGTAAAGTGCAATGTCGAAGTTACCTACCGACCTACTTACCATAGGCTAGTTCCGTGGTTAGTGCCTCTTATTTGCATCTAGTTACACGCCTATTCCGTACTTTCCATACCTATGTAAATAATAGGTATCTAAGGATATGAGTATTACATTATGTACCTAATGTATTATACTTTCAAGCAGTTTACAAGCACCTATAAACACACATATCTTTAAGCGACCTTTGAAGTTGCTCAAGGTACCGTCTTACATATACGTGAGCAGATAATTTATCACTATTTTGCGAAATTGGAACTCTCTATTGCGTCTAGCCCTGCCAAGTGCGTTTGAGCTTTGCCGGAACGTACATACCTAGCCCGTAAACCTGGGCGACCTGGGCATGTTGCGAGGGTATAGCGTAGTGTATGTAAGATGCAGGGCGAGCCGGGGGAGAGTTTTTTTTTTTTTTTTTTTTCCTTGCGTATGAACTACGAGAGCTGATAACATGGACTTTCAGGTCCCACTAATGCTCACTAATGCCTAAGTACCTACATGCTGATAGGTACTTGTATTCTATGCGCCGGAACTAGAATAGAAGAAGTGGAGATGCTAGGAATGCGAACAAGATAACTTTCTACGGACGCAACCTTGGTGGAAAGCGCTGCATTAACGGCCGTGACTAACGGAAGTACCCCAGAACAGCCCAGAACTGGACCAGGTTTAAATATGTTCGAGTTAGCGGATGGAGTATATGTAGAGTATATGTAACTATGTAGATAGCGCGGCTGCTTGCCTGCACGTACATACACCCATACACCTAGACTTACATCAAAAAGTACCTACACATATGAATGCATACCTGCATACCTACCTCCTACATCAAATGTCTACATGTCTCTATATATTTGCCCCATTTGCCCACATATTAGTTGCATACATACAGTACCACTGGACGCATGCAAGCCTACTACATACACTACATACATAGTTACATACTACCTTGAGGATATTATGTACGAGCGGCGCCGCGAGTTGATACCTCTTTTGCATTGCAGTGCGACATGTAAGGAAGTGGGCTTTTTTAGTTCCAGGACTCTTTGCCTCCTCCCATGGGCACTGGGGCGGTCAGACACTCATCCGCCTGTCCTGGTTTCATAAAAACGCATCGTTAGGCTCATTGAAGAACAGCCGCCGCGCCGTAAAAAGAGAAGGAAGCAAAAAAAAAAGAACCACCGACCGAAGCTCGAAAAATAGATACCAAATCAGAGCCGGCGAAATTGTGGATTCTAGAAACTGGCATGGGAGTCGAAAAAAAAAATTCTAGTGTCTCACTTTTTACGCTTCGCCAGGAGAAAAAAAAAAATGAGTGGAACGCAGGCTAGACCAGAAACCGTGTAAACCGATTTGTTTCTTACCTTCTATGTACGAAGTAACGCCGACTTCTTTCTTCAGCTTTTATACCTCTTTTCGGGCAATTAAGGAAGAGAAGGAAGAAGAAAAAAAGAAGGTTCTTTCGGAAATTCGTAGCTCGCTAACCCACCCGACGCGAACGGACGCATACGCAAGATCCATCGCCGCCAAGTATTCCATAATATGTAATTTTTTTTTGTTAGTTATCACATAATTACATATCTACGACACTTACGATTTATCTACATACATACAAAAACCTACAAAGGTATAGTACATACATACTTACATACATACCTATAACTTTACGTAGCTTGACAAAGACTATTACCGAAAGTCCCAAAGGCTAGACTTTCCAAGTTGCATGGGGGCGAGAGAAGATCGACAAGTTTTTAGTTTCCCTGATAGGTGAGTAGGTTTCTCTTCCCCGGACGGGCAGACGGGCTAGAAAAGCCTATTTCTTCCATGTTGCAGGGATTGATTCGAGAGGCAACCGCAGAAAAAAAAAGATAAAGGGGGGGTTGGCGTAGGTAGGTAAACACCGAAGCATCATGATGATAACCGTCTTATGTGTAAGTGTTTTTGTTTTATCGAGATCTTGACTTTCTTTATAAGATAAGAATATTATACCTTACATATCACAAATGAAATTCGTACATAAGCTTTAAAGGTTATGGCTTTTTCCTAGAAAGCTAATACGTCGTCTTGATATATGGGAATGCGTAATACTGCATTCGTAATTCCATTTTAGTTTTGTCGATAGGCGAGTTAGATTACATATTTACATAGTAATCATCATATGTTCATCCCATGCTCCATGCTCCATGCTACCTACCTGGCTGTCATACGCACATGATAATAATTAAGCCTCATGATTTACATAGATAGGAGGCTTTTTATTTATTCACGAAACAAGTTCTTCAAAGTGTATGTAGGTATGTAGGTATGTATGTATGTAGATTGTGGCTTTTCGGTAACATCTCTTGGCTAAAACATATCCACACAAACTACAGACTTACAGATTACCTCACGCAAGCAGCTGATCGCTTTAGACTATCTACCTACCTTACCTACCTAGCCTTAGAGACGATCACCGACCGCTCGGTCACGCTATCTACATAAGAGGAGTAATCTAGATTTCCCCTTTTCCCCTTTCCCCGACCAAGGCTCCATTCCAATCCAATGTCTTATCCATTTCGTGGGGAATCGTTTTTCTTTGGTTGTTATGTATTTTTCTCGCTTCTTAGGTTGTATTAGGAAAGTTGGATCATACCTATACATAACTAGTAGTAATAAACGAAGAACTACCTAGTTAAGATTATAAATTCGTGTTTCCCTACCTTTTCCTCTTTTATGTAACACTTGGTACCATCACATCACAACATAGCCGTTCTTGTACTACTAGTACGTAGAATACTTCATGTCTGTATTACGATGGTCAAATCTCCACCCCCGCCGCGTTCCGTGTGACGTACATCCCTCCACGTTCGAGCGAAAATCTGTGGCTTCGAACGGACTGAGGCTACTACTAGGTTAAGTATTTACTAAACCCCTGTTTTTCCATCATCATCATCATCTTCTTCCCAACAACGGGGAACTGGTCCCGACGGAGCCCCTTTTACGTTATAGCATTGACCCTCGACGTCACTCGTCAATGATCTAGGTGTTATTCGGAATAGATTCAACAATGAATGCCCGTCGCATATGTAATACAGTACATACATACATACCTAACTACCTAACCTAGAGTCAACAACGTCTTTTGCTTGCCCTTCTCCACGTTTTCTGACTAACTAACTAATATTGGCCCTCGGAACTCTGCAATCAGCCGGATTAGGTTATAGATTGACGATCTCTCGATGATAGATGATATTGATGATAACCGGCACGACTACACCTACCTACCATGTCGTGCCGTGCTGTGCTGCAGTAATTTCCCTGAGTTGGCTTCTGTGTGAGATATGTCAAGTTCCACGATCTGCAGTGCCCAGATGTCGTCCCCGACGCCCAGGATGCCTTCGTACGACGAGATGGGGTATTCGATACGCTATGGTTTGTCCAAGCGCCCCCGCAGATGACTCCGAAGCCGAAGTCGAGAAGGGGGGAGGGGGGGAAGAGAGAAGCTGACTAAAAAGCGATAGGGACGACATTCATTTGTAAAAGCACCCCAAGGTAATAAAAAAAAAGTGCCAGCCAATCCGTTCCCGCGGGTCTCTTGGCGCTGTTGCCAGACTCGAGATACGGAACCCCCATGGCCCATGGCCCATGATCCTGTAGTGCAACAGGAAATACAACACCGATTCTATCATTCCTTGCACACCGAGTCCGCGCCCATGACGTCGACCTCACGCCGTCATATCGCAATAATATAGCAAACATACAACAAAGGGTCAAATTACAATCTTCGGTTCCTTTCCTACGCGCATAAGCATAAGCCCGAGCCAGCAGCTCACTTAATCACCAATGATCAGATGAAGCAGATACAGGTAACATAAGAAGAAAACAGAAAGAAAAAAAAAACAATGGCCTGTCTTTACGGGCGATCACTGACGATCTCGATAATTAGTGACCTGACACATACATTTTATGATTCGAAACTTCTTATCTGCAACGCGCACAACAGCTGTTTTATATTATTGTGTTTCCGTAGGGTGAAACCGAGTCAGTCAGTCAGCAGCTAACAACTTTCTTTGCCAGCCGCAGCTAGTCTCGCTTTTTTTTTAATACTCTTTTTATATACAAATCTCGCATCTTCTTGTAGGATTAAGCTAGTAAAGAACTATGTCTTAGATATACTTGCTCTTTATCTTCGCATATACTTCTATGTAGATGTTATGTATAGCGCTACTTTGTATAGCTCTATATACATGGTTGTATCGTTACCCGCTAGATTGAGTTTGCTACTATGCAAGAAGCTCTAGCTATTTTATGGCGTCCATGCTAGTAAGATATTTGGATGTCTGCAAGCAAGGTAGGTAAGGTAGGTAGCTGGGTAAGGAACGCTACCACAATAGCTATAATCCCGGACGCGTTGCTAGTTGTTGGTAACACAAGGGCTCCGAGATCTCCATCAAAAACACAATCCTGGGTCCTGTGGGCACACACGAATTCGAGCCGTTCCGAGCTTACGACGGTCGCCATCATGATAAATAAAAAAATAATGGAATTAGTCATCGAAGTCAGATATACGGATCCCCTGCCATGGCATTTGTTGGAGCATAGCCTCGTAGCCCAATTGTTTGCCAATGGCACCGACCGGTGTGGATGAAGGAGTGTGTTGTCACGCCTCCTCCCTGTTGTCTGTTGAGACAGTAGGAGTGTTTTCGGCTAAGACGGATTCTGAGCTCACTGGAGAAGAGTCTTCGCCAGACCTTTTGTTGTTCCGAAAAACGAGCCGAATAGACTGCCGGTTCCTTCGCAACGTCGGGATACCGTCACTGTATCATCACTAGCATCTGAAATCCTGCACCTATTAAATGACATATGAGCCGTTCCCGAGGCTCAAAGCTATTCGGAAACTTATCCGCGCGCTCCCTATGGCGGTGCTTTATCTTATAGACGAAGGCAGCAGCAAGAATCTGATCATAAAAATCGCGTCCGCATAACCATGTCGCCTTATGCTCTCCATATCAAATAAAATGCGACACAAGGCTAGGTGCACAGAGTCGCAGTCCGATCCCGTATGTCTTCTCCACTTCCTGCGTGCATATTCGAGCAATAAGCTATTGTCTTCCGCTTTTGTCTAGAGCAAGATCTCCTTGAATGGACTAGCGTCTTCTGTGGGTGGTGTATTTCGCAATAGACGGCTTTTCACCGGTGAAACGGAAAATTGAGAATGGAGTCATCGGATAGGTTATGTTTGGGCTCGCTAGCATATAGGGAGCCCCGGCCTCGCATTAAATCTGACTATGAGTATCAAACTTAGATATAGAAGAGGCTATTCATACGGCCGGGCAACTGTGGGTTTCATCGAAGGCTGTACGTATTTAGCCCTGCTCACTAGAATCCATCACGTAAAATCTTATATGCATCAGGGCAGCTATCAGGGTTGATATTGTGCTGAGACGACGGGGGGGGCTAGGTGTGATAGGTACTGGTGCTGCAAGTCGCGTTGATTCCCTTGCCAGTAACAACTGGTATTAAGCATGAGGATGAGTTAGCGCTGTGCAGCTTCGAGGAAGATGCTGAACTATTATCCAATAGGCCTCTTCAATCCATCCACAAAGGCAAACTCAGAGTTGCAATCATGCATGCTTATCTGCATGAACGATGTTCGGCTATCGCACCGGGGTCCGTCTTCCCCTTCAATTTATACAACCTCTAGACAGAAAGTGATACTGCTCCTCTTCGACATGGGGAGTATGATTTAGATAGGCTTAATTCTTGACGCCTCCGCTGGTTGGTGCGGTTCCCGAAGCAATGCGTGCCGTAACACATTAATTGAGTATTTCGCTTGAGATGTGGATAATGGTATCCCACGGCGGACCTAGTGATCCGCGCTCGAGAAACGTTCCACGGCACCGTGATCTTCCTTACCAGGCGCCAACAAGGAACATATTGTATTAGCATAGCATCCTTGTGCTGCGCCCTATGTATGCCGTGATCCACCTGCGGCGGCCAGTCCCGCCATAAAATAATCACAGACCTGGAAGCTCCCTGGACTGCGAAGCTAAAGTTGATATCTTCACATGTGTTTTGCTGCAGTGGTCCGCTTGGCTTGCATACCTTATATTGCTCAACAGCCTCCTAGCGCCTAACATGGTAAGCCGATGATACGAGGGTTTATTTACTGCGTTGAGGGTCTTGTCTGATCTTGTTTATACTCGGGCGGCAAATGCCACTTCAGGGGGCACTCTGAAGGATGCGCAGAACATGCGCTTGTTAGGTGCCACATTTCTGGTTTCTAAAACGGATACCTCTCTGGTATTTTCGGCCTCGCCTAACTTCATCTCGACGCCGATCTCCGCCGAGATGCGCTCGCAGATATCATTGAGTGGTGTATCATCATCTGCCTTGGCCGCGAAGCAATAGACGTGGACCATGGGTAGCTTCGTACTTGTGTGGGGAATAAAGAGCTCCTCCCGTGCGGCATAAAGACCGCGGAAGTGCGATAGGAAAGTAATAGCGGATGCAGGAAGGTTCATAACGAAATGAGAAATCGTTGGCGGAATTGGTGTATGTTTAGGTTTCGGGTTGGGCATTGACTTGTCAGTAGTGTTTGAATTCGGATGTTGACTGCGTCTCAATTTTCTACTCGGTCCCGAGACGACGTATTCGCCTTTAGTTGATGCTGCGTATACTAGATCGGCTGCTTCTCTGATGAACGTCCGTCCATCTTGATTGAATGGTCGCACGTATTGGTGGACCTGGGGGTGGTTTGTTAATTCGGTTGAAGACATACAGTGTACTTCTTTCATTCGACACTCACCTTGTTCCGTTTGATGTTTTCATCCATATAACGATAACTCTCAGGGTTATAGTCATTAGCCCAGACAAAAACCTCTTTCTTACCAGCAGGTACTGCAAATGGGCCAATACCAGCCATCACATCGCATACGACCTCACCGGGTCGAAAAATATTGACTACTCGCCTGTGTTCACCCTCCAGCTTACTATTCCAATACACTTTAGAGTAATCGAATCGGAATAAGCAGTCATTTTCTCGCACTTCGACATTTAAGTCATCCGGTCCGGCAAGGACTTCATATGCAAACGTCCGGAATTCTGATTCAGTTCCTACGTTGGCGACTTTGTTGATGACCGTTTTGACCGCTGGGTTTTTATCGAGTATAACCTCTGCGATCAGTTTCTTGTACGGCAAGAATGCTTCCCTAAGATTCATGTGCGCAACATGTCCTGCCTGGTTGAACCCTCCGGGAATGCCATCATGCTCGTCCCGTAGGTCAGGGGGGAGTAGAGATTTCATCACATCCTCTAAAACAACCAGTTAATTATTGCGTTCATAAATACCAAAAAGTTTAATATATATCTGTTACCATAAGACCAGTAGTCGTAGTCTAACGACAAGTTATATGGGACTATTCCTATCTCCTTACTAGCTACCCCATCTTGAAGAGAGGATGTCCATGTTTCAGGTACTACAAGTAGCGTCATTAACAGAATGCAATCAACCACAATACACTTTTCGGACTAACGTTACCTTCGGCCTTAACTTTGGGGTTTAAGAGTAAGCATTTTGTGCCCTGCGCTGCGAGGGTCTGGTCCGGGTGAGTTACGACGCCGGGTATCCTTTCAAGAGCGAGAAGAGTATCCTCGCTCTGTAGTTTCTGACGCCAGACAGAGATTTTCTTCTTGTCAGCAATTGCAGCTGCAGCAAGGTTGACCGTCTTAGAGAAGAGCGACCTGTCAAGGACACCGAAAGCCGAGCGTATGGTTGGCGGCCGGAGGAGACTGCTCATATCGTCGCCCTCGGCGGTTATATCCTTTAAAAAGTAAGCAAGGAAGCTAGATAAAAATATCAAGGGATTTATATACCACCATATTATAATTTTCTGAGAGGGGTTTCTGGGATGGTATCTGTGAAGTTTTGAATAGACCCTTTGATGGTTTGTGCGAAGAAGATCTACCCCAGGATCGACAAAATTTCGACTGGGATAAGACCCCACGCTAAAACTGCTAAGACGCAAGGCTGCCGCGGCTGGAGTTTGTGTGCGACTTACATGCGTCATACCAAACGGAAGGCTGTGTGGGCTGATGATATTTTCTACGTTCTTGCCTGTCTGACTTGTCTTATCTAATAATGCATATATGATGGGTTCGAGGGAGCCAATTGATTGTGTCCCTGACATGGATTAGGTTATGACATGTCAATTTCATCTCTACTCTACTGTATCAAATCGACAAATTTAGACTTAGCAACCTATATTTTAATAGTCCTTTATTAGCTTCTATTGATCTAACAATAATCTTACATAGTATGTTAACTAATACCGTAACGACAATATAATGCTCTTGTCCCGAATGCACCAACTCTCTTACTAATTATATGACAGACATTCATAGCGGATGCTTTTCCAGCCATAAGAACCTGAGTACGCCAAATTCAATTATCATTCCTACCTCTATAAAACCCCTGACGTATCGATTGAAAAACCCAATTCTCCTAGCACGCCTAGTCTATGAGGGGTCGAACGGCTAGCTCTAACTAGGTGAAGTTCGATGGCCATACCAATACTAGGTTTAAACAAGCTGTGGGGGAAATAGCGACTGAATGATAGTATAACGTGGTGTCTATTAATCAGAATATTGTTAACTAGGAGTTGATGTCTAAGCCGTGAATATGATTCGGCTTCGCTATGCATTGCGATCTAGACAAACCTGCTAGTTCTATTTTCCAAGTTTGAAGGTTGCTTCCGTATATTTCTGTAAACCTTGGAGGAATACTTGATATGCTACGCCCTGGTTATCAGGCGCGCAGTAGATCTCAGTCAGCCGAATTGGCCATGGTGGATATCCTTGCAGATCAACGTAAGGCTCAAATGAGATGAGTAGGTCTGGCTCTGGCATAACGGCTTCAGATAACTCATGGTCGAGAACATCCAATGTAATGTCGCCAGCCAATATCTTCTCTTGCTGGACCATATGAACTAGAACCTTGGTAAGATCTACCATGGCCTCACGGCCGTCATCTTCGGAGACAAGTATGACCTCTAGCGGAACCTGGTCTTGTCCATAAGACAGTCGATTTACAGAATGAATAGGTGAGGCTCCACGAGTAATGAGGGACAGCGGCGGAGCTTGGTGCTTTCCGAACCAGCCCTTCAGCTTGTGTGCTAAGGCACGATGTGCCTGAGGCATATAGCGTTTAAGTATTCCTATGCGTACCTGTTAGTTTTCTAATGTTTAACTCGAACTGGTTAGAATCATGACCCTTACCTGTTCTCTCGTATACAGATAATCGAGGAATACCTGCCGAAGCACACCATGCTGCTACCTCAGAAGCTTCGTTGATGAGCTTTTCCAAGGCATCCCCAGCTCTTCCACCATCTTCCAATGTCAATATTATACTAACGTGCTTAGGCAACCTTCTGTATACGCTAACGTCTCTTCGGACATAATCTGGAGTGTTATGATGGTGTCTGAGTATGGAAAGGACTCGAAGGGTAACGGCATGGTAGGCTGTGCGAATTCGGATATAAACGGAGAATATTGCGTGTACAATGATGTATAGCAATGCATGGAGCTGCGACTTAAGGAATTTCCTAACACCAAAGTGGGACGTCTCCCGCTTCCTCTTGCGACTCCGACTCGGTGATCGATTGGGCGGAGAGGGTAGATAATTCTATAATAATTGGATAGGTTAGCAGATGTGCGGACTCGAAGTTTAATGCACGTACCTGCACGAGCTTTTCCCGCTCTTTTGCACCGAGCTTCTTATGCCCGGCCCTCTCGTCCTCTCGATAGAGTTTCGTATCCTTAGAAGTGAACGACATGATGCCGTAATATATGTAAGGATTATGAAAAGAAAATGAGCGATGTAAGAATTTGAATTTGAAGGTTTAAGAAACAATTTCTCGTATAATATTAAGTCATAATAGTAAGTGGTGATCGAGGTTCGCGTTTCAATACGCAATTGAGAGGCTTAAGTTGTCAAGCCTGGATTATTTGGATCAGATGTTAAACAGCGATAGGCCACCTACGATATAGGTCATTCATGTTACTAGAGCTCAGCCACAATTTACGTGGCGTCATATACTATGCATAATTCTATCGTTTCCACTATTTCCACCTCCTGTAGGTAGCGTTACAGAGCTAGAGAGTTAGGTACATTAGGTACACTATAGCACGGTATATCGTACCCCTGCAGTCCGTCATGGGTACCTAAATTATTGAATTAAATCAACTTCGCCTTGTCGGCGCATTCAAAGTAACAACGACGCTTCCTGATTGCAATTACGGCCCATATTACCACCGCAAACCCCTCCTCCTTATTTTCTTCGAACGTCTTCTCCATGTTATAGAACAAATGACAAATTAAACATCGCTGCTTGATGCCATGGAACGGACAGGCTCCGGATCGCGCGCTCTGTTCCCAAAGGGTCCCAGCTTTACTATCGATGATTTCTCCAATAAGGACTTCATAGTTCGTGATTTTGTCGATGAACTTGCTGAGAATGCTGTATCTTTTAACCGTCGTTCTGGACCTGCTCAACAACCCTTTGATCCGAAGCCCTTAATCCGAACCTTTGAGAGTATGTTGTTCCACCATCCTCGTTAAGCCTTAATACGAGCCACGTGTTGATACTTGTCATTTAAGATGCACTACAGGGCTTAGGCAACTTATCAGAGGAGCTACAAGCAAAGGAGTCGGATCTTCTATCACAAGCCCGCCGCGGAGAAATCCAGCATGACCAAACTGTCGATACTCTAGGTCGCAAGTTGGAACAATCTATCGACCAATTCGAAGCCCTAGATCTCACCCTTAATAACCCGAATGGAAATGAGCGAGGCAACCGTGGCGATGCAGGTGGGAATATCGCTGTCCAAATTGGAGAGAAGCTGGAAGAGTTGGATAGGAAACGAAGGCGGGCGCTGGACGCCAACTTTCTAATACAATGCTGGCTCCAAGTTAGCGAAACCGGAGAGCTTACACTACTACAAGATATTCAACGTCAGGGCGGCTCCGAAAATAAAGTGAGATGCGCTGTGATTGCACACCAGCTAATGCGAATTAGTCAAAGATTGGACCCTATTTCCTGGGGTCAGACGAATGGATTCCGCAATGGCTTTGCTAATGGCGATATTGACGATGATAGGAGATATAATACCCGTGAAATATTGGAGAAATTTTGCGAAACACTAGAGCAAGATCTACTGAAGCAGTTTAACAACAGCTACCGTAAGCAAAACTTCGACGATATGAAGGAGTGTGCCAAGGTGCTATACGACTTCAATGGAGGTGCCAGCGTGATCGCTGTTTTTGTGAATCAACATCAGTTCTTCATTGACAGAGACCAACTTATAACCGACGAGGTGACGATGGATGGAGAAACGTGGGATCAACTGGCAGATCCCGACTCTGAACCACCGGGAGTTGAGCCTAGCCTTCAATCACTTATAGACGAGGTCAAAATCGTCATGCAAGAGGAATCGTTTATCATTAAAAGGGCATTCCCTTACTATGAAACAGTCCTGATCAAATTTATACAACGTGTATTCCAGCAGTCGATACAACAACGGATGGAGTTGGTGTTAGAGAAAGCTAATACCATCTCATCATTAGCTTTTCTTCGATCCCTCCACTCCTCTAGAAGTTATATCGGTGCCTTGGTAGAGGACTTGAAGGCACACGGCCTCACAGAGCACTCGGAGCCTTGCTCCCCCCAAATATCCCAGATATTAGATCAGCAGATGGAAGAATTATTCGTTCCATATATAGTAGGCAATTCGTACATCGAGCGTGAGAAAAGGAGCTTGGAAGAACTGTTCAATTCGCTACTCTTCAAATATAATATTTATCACTCTAGGAGGAAGAAGGCACCTACAGGTTTTATGGCTTCGTTAGCCCAACAAACCAATCAGCTCATGGCATCCGCTAAGGACGCGTATCTGGAGCGGCTTGAATCATCTGATCTCACCCCGACACAGAAAGCCATGATGTTGAGGGTTGCCGGTGTCCAGGAAAACGATAAGAACAAAAACGAAATCGAAGTTTCAGAGGCAGAGGGTATTTTGAGCACTGTTATAGCAAAGAGGATGTTGACATGGCTTGCCGAAAGTGTCCGACGAACACTCGAGCTGGGTAGTCCAAGCGACACTCCAAAAGACGTTGCTATACTCCTTAATCTCCTGCTGACTAACATGGGACAAGTCTACGTAGAGACAGCTCTGGAAGCAGCTCTTGAGAAGGCCACATCTCAAGAGAACGTGAAGACGGAACCGGATCTCAGCTATTTACCTTCTGTCCGCCCCGCCGTAACAATCGGTAGCATGATGAACCGCTTCATAAATATGGTGCTCATCCGCCTCGCCGAATCCAACACCACTGTACGAAGGAGCATGGAGGCCCAATCGAAGATGGGTATCGAAAGCATCGAGAAGAAAGCCAGTAGCATCATGAAAAGCACTGTAGATGTCATCGTCAACTGGGTATCTAAGTCTCTGGCTCAGCAGAAGAAACTCGACTTCCTACCCAAAGACGAGCTCAGCATCATCGAGTCGCTACAAACACCAACATGCACCACAACATGCCTATTCCTATCGCGGTGCACGAAGCTCATCGCACAGGCCGTCGACGGCGCCAACCTCGAGGTCTTCAGCAGCGAGCTCGCGCTCGAGATCCAGCGCCTGCTCTTCGACCACTTCAAGAAGTTCAAGGTCAACGCCACCGGCGGTCTCATGGTCACCAAGGACATCGCCGGCTACGTAGCCGCCCTCAAGGAATGGCCTCTGGCCAAAGACGTCGAGGTGGCCGTCGAACTGCTCACCGAAATCGGTTACCTCTTCATCATCGGCCCCGAGGCCCTGCGCGAGCGCTCCCGCAACCTAGCTGCTTCGTCTGCGGGCCCTGCCGCTGCTAAGAAGCTAGCCAAGGCGGATTTCAAGGCGTTTATACAAAGCAGAGACGACGCCAAGAGTGCGGGTGTGCAGAGCGTCTTGTCGAGCTTATAAGGAAGAGATATGGGAAGAATAGGAGAAATTGGGAGAAAAACAATTATCTGGACGGGTATCCTAGAACAATCAATCAAACAAACGAATAGCGAAAGAGAACGAGGAAATCGAGGTGCCTTTGGGTCGTTTGGATCGCGCGCGCGTCTTGTTGCATGTACAATTACGAGATCGATGATACCAAATGCGAGAGAATGAACGCCCCCGACGTATTCATCTACGCCTTACCTTACCTAACCCAACGTGCCCCTTCCCCCCGTCTCCTTTATTCGTAAACTAAGTCTGTCGAATGTATGATTTTTACACTGGGCCATCCACAATTATATATGAATATCAGCAGCAGCAGCATGGTTTGTTTGATTCGCTTTATTGAGATGTTTACATCATGGTAAGTAATGTGTCGAATGAGCAGCGCTTACCGTCCCTCACGCACACAGATCCGAGTAGACACCTAAACACCACTTCCCCTCCCCCTTCCTTCCGAACCATTGCGTAAACATTAGGTACTCCTGCTCCTTTCCCAGCCGCCAACGGAACTCGCAAAACCACCCACCCATCACCACCACCAGGAGTTCCCCTTCACGCGGTGCTCAGTCAGCCTAACCAAGTAGGCCACGCCACGCCACTTAGAAAAGATGGAAGAATACGCCAATCGGCTTGCGGGACCAGGTAAAGAAAAATAGGAATATTCCTTCAGCCGCAACCGTTTTTTTCTTTTCCTAAACCCGCCTGATTTAAAAACTCCGGTCAAACAGTCCATCCATTTCTCCTCCTCCTCCTCCTCCTCAGAGGCCAAGTTCTGCTATCCACGAGCTAGAGCGCATTTTCCTTTCCAGGGGGGTCTCTCCTTCACGTGGTAATGCATATAACCTAACAAATATCTAGACTGTTTCGCTTACAGTAGCCGCTTGAATAACTTCTGATGCTAGAGTTTAGCTTAGTTTATCTTCCTTTAAGAGGAATACGAGTCTTTAGAGGTTCGGGGCGACTTTTTTCAGCGCCAGTTCCCTTGACTCAGCGATAACAGTCCAGCCACGCAGTCCAGGTCTCCACGCTTAGTAGGGCTAACCGAGCCTCGTGGTAGTTTCCTAGGCTCATCATCCCCATTTGCGCTCCCCTTATCTTCAAAGATCGACATTGGCGAACCTCGCGGCTTTAGCGATGGCGCCGTGTTGGATCTGTTTCCGAAGAGTGAACGTTTAGTGGTACTATCTTGCTCGCCAAGCGGGCGTCCTACGCGGCGAGGATTTTTGCTTGGGATGGTTTGGTCTTGAACCTTGGGGGGAGGCAACGGTCGTCGGCGATTAGGGTTGCCCTCCGAGTTTGGGCTCCAGTTCTCCTTGTCAGAATCGCCGGATGGGCTGAGTATGGTGGTGAGACTGCCTTTTCCTGGCTTCTCCAAATCGATCGTTTCCGGCCGAGTGTCCAATAGCGATGTAGGTGGAAGGGTCTGCATACGTGCCACGCTACTAGTTGTTCGGCTGAGTTTAGCTTTCTTAGCTACTCCTTCTCGGTGTGCGGGTTTGTTCTGTGGCGCATTGCGCTTGTTAGGATTGGACTGGAGCACGTTTGCCGTGCTATGGCTATGAAGCAGGCTACTAAGACAGGAGGAGCTACTACTCGATCGCAGAAGGCTAATGGCTGCGACTGCAGACCCAGAGGACTCGTTCTCGGCTTGTTTCGTTAGCTCATCACGAGTGTCTGCTTCGCAGCAGGATTCCCAGGCATGTACGTCTCGAGACCGACCTCGAGTAAGCTGTGGAGGTAGATGAGCAGTGAGGGTTGAGATGGGCGGGAGAGTAATCCCGGGTAGGGCGCTCCGGCTCCTATGAAGGGTCCTGTGACTGCGGACCGGAGGTAACGTATCCGCGTCTCCTGATAATTGTATCTGGGTAGGTCCAGGTGGTGACGGATGGGAGGAAACCAACTCAGCCTTTCCATCCAGGGAGAGTGATAGACGGACACGAGATGAAGATGCCGAGGAAGGCGGTGGAAGAATTGAGGCAGGAGAGCTGCTAGCGGCTGAGTTAAAAGAGGATGAAAACGACTCAAACCTGGTAAAAACATTAGTTATGCTTGCATCTGAAAAAAGGACAGTACATACCTAAACGACTCATCCCCGGCCCGTCCCCAGGTAGAGGGTGTTGAGAATGAATTGTCGAAGCTCCGTCGGTTTGCTAAATACGCGACTGACGCCGACGAGATCTGAGAGAGTGAGAGGCTCTCAAATTCGGTCCTTTGTGGCGGGGGTGGTGTATGTCTTCCAGAGTCCTCAGGCTCTGGTATCGCCGGGTTATCTATGACAGATTGGTCCATGGCGCCCAGCTTCGGGGAAGAATGGACAGAGTGCTGAGGGCTCGCGTCTTGGGAGCTGAAAGGTGATTTCTCCAAATCGAAGGCTTTTTCGTCTCCCATACGCGTCTCCGCCGGTTGCACAGGTGCGTCTTGCGAACTCATCTGTGCAGGGATAGAGTCGGATGACAGTATTTGCACACCCCCACCATATCTGAGTGCCGCAATTTCCTGCGGCGAAAGAGGACGCGATTTTCGGCGATCGTTCTGCCGACGGTTCTGGAACCATATCTACGGGTATATTAGACCCAATTCGTTCTGACGTAGTTTTCACCAAGTCGCTCACGCGTCTCCGCTATGATCTACGGATTATACTAACCTGAACTTCCTTTTCGTTGAGTGAAACGCGACTCACGATATCAAGACGCGCTGCCTTGTCAGGCTTCGGATTCGAGTTATATGCGGCTTCAAGAATAGCCTTATCTTGTGTCCTATACAGAAGAAATACAAGATGTGTTTAGTACATGCAATGATATAAGCTGATTTGGGGTTGGGGTTGGTTTTGATTCCGGGGGTACACACGTAGTTCTCTTCCGCTTGCCCTTGGGGTGTTTTTCTGTGTTGGAGTCGTGTGTAGGATAGCCAGATTCTAATCTAAAGGAAGATTCGAAAGACATTGTGCTCGAATCCGGGTTACTGCTCTGGGAGCTGATTGACCCTCTGGCTTCGCGTGGTTCGCGCACGGGCGGCATGGTGGGAGGTGAGGACGCGGTGGAGTGGGACATTGTTGTAATATGTAGATAATGACGGATTCTAAATATTCATTCTACAATGTGTAAAGTAGATGGGACAGGAAGTAAAACGAGAGACAAGTCCCCTCCTACAATCTACAATAGAGAGAAAGAGAATAGATGTTGGGCTTAGATTTAGAGACTTAGACTTAGGGTTAGGGAAAGGAAAAAGAGAAAGAGTAGAGGTTGGTGCTGGAGTAGTAAATGCATTAGTGGGGCCTTTTTGGCGTGTCAGTCTATGTACATAAATGTAATCAAGACCGCGTCTTGAGATCTAATGCATAAAGCTTGGACCATACCTTAAATTGGCCAATCACATCCCCGATCGCGTTACAGGTCAGCCTAAAAGGGTAACTTATTTACTTAGAGCGTGACCATCTCCAGGTAGACCAACCCAATTTCTCTTAATTGTTACCAAAACACTGCAAAGCGAAATGGAATGCGCTAAATGTGCTAAACAAGCAAGAGTCCGGTACATCAAGCATCACCAATATAGCTAACTATTGTGGATAATAATGTCGGCAATTGGTTTTGCGATTAAAGAAATCTTAATAGTATATACATAGGTACCTATCTACGTAGTTGCGAAGTTACATGAGGGGCAAAACCCATAGGAGTTGCGTGCATAGGCCACAATTAAAGGAATATTTATAGCTACGATGCAGTAATAACCTAAAGTACTCCGAGATCTACAATAGTTACACGATATATAAGTATCCATTGTTGTATACCTAAGGGTTGTTACGGTCAAGCTTAATATTATTCCATATCTTACTCAAAAAAAGATGCTAAGTACCTAACCTATGTAAGCAACAAGTAATTACATCACAGTCATACAAACTACCCAAGTAAACAAAGTTTAGAGGCTGAACGATGCTTCTCAAGTCCCATAATATAACATTCCCAAGCTTCCATGTGATGTGGGGCCAACTCAGCTAATTTAGGGCTTAGTTATGGGACGTGACATTGATTCATCTCTTACATACATAGTAGAGACAGACCAACATTCATCGTCATAGTGTAACCCACTCACTCGAGGGGATCTGATCTGATCCCCTCTTCATCATTCCCTTCTTCCCTAACACCCTCCCTCATCGCCTTATACCTAATAATAGCTTCCATACACTCGTCACGGCGGTACTCAGGGCCCGGCCACCCATGGCTCCGGTAGATATGGCGGACCCAGCAATTATCCCCCTCCGTCGGGAAGAATTCGTCGTCGTGCTGCGGGCCTTCCACTGGGGCCACCGCTTCATCCTCGTTAAAGCTGTCCGGCATCTCTTGGACAGTTTCGGTTCCGGGAATGTGGAACATCTGTAACGTCTCGTATTTCTGCTTGAGATCGTTAAAGTACTCCGTCACGTCCCACTCGCCACCCCGGCTGTGCCGGATTATCTCCTCGATGATCGTACCCTCCTCCGTGTCTAGTAACAAGTCCACTCCGCCGCTCTCGTGGCCCTCTGCAATTACTACTATATGTGCCGGTACCGGTCCGTCGGCGGTAGCGGGTATCTCTCCGATCTTAATCCAAGTGCCGCTGAACTCCTCAGGCGTTACGGTAGAGTAGTCGAACACGTTGCATTTATAATGGATGTCGACGTCGTTATCTTGTCCTCCCTGTATATACGGAAGGTGCTTTAAAAGGTCTACTACGAACGCGTTCTTCCCAAATCCGCTACAATTCTCTGGCGTGATGTTGGGCCAACCCCCTTCAGGCGGGTGCTTCAACGCTGAGTCTGAGATGTACATTCTCGTCAGAAACGTGTAAAAATCGTTAATGATGGCGACGTATTGGTCGCGAGTATAACGAGTCATTTTTGATAATTCGCAATTAACGACGATGTCTTGAATATCCTGAGAATAAACGGCGTATAGTTATCTAATAATAACAAGTGAAGCCTTGATTTACTTATATGTTAGCAATTCTTGAATTAACCAAGTGATCATCCTTAGGCGGCACAGCATCTGATGGCTGCCTATCAGGGGCTTAATGAGATCAGCATATATTTCAATCCTCACCAACCCGTAAGATTTAGTGTTTACTTTAGTGGAGGTCAGATATGATGGAGTCAAGATTTCCCCAGGCATCCATCTGTCGCATAGACAAGGACCAGCTTTACACCGCCTTGCCTAACCCTAACATTGAGTCCACGACTCACCCTACGTCGAACGAATACAATACAATACAAACGCACATTGACCCGTTAAATGTGAAAACACATGATTAACTTGCAATATATTCACATGCGATTAGATTAGTTCAAAATAGGCCTCGTAATAATCTTATTCGTAAGAGTCTAGCCTAATCGCCATCGTTGCGACTGGCAATGTAAAGACGGTACAGTACTAATATGAAGTATTGTCTCCGCAAGTCTATAATACCCAACAAACGAAAAATCAAACGGCTACTCGCTAAGGAAGCGCCTTGATTATCTGCTCCACGGAAACTCCCAGCTTGACGCCAATGAACTCCTTGAGGTGTATCGAGATCACCTGAATCCTCCTACCACGTACGCAGTGGAAATCAGACATAACTGCGCGTGAAACTCCAACATCTAGCTCTAATCGAGACTCTAAATCTAATTCTCTACATGCCCAGAAGGCTCATCTGTCGTCGTAAAGGACTCGCGCTGGTGCTACCATCCTCACTTGCATAGTATGCAGAGTCGGTATCGATATCCCATTCCGGCTCGTCGTCTTCATTGACGGAGCCGCCAATTTTGCTCTCGAAGCCTTTCTGGGTGGCAGCTCGCGTGTTCCATTGAAGCGTGCGAGAAACGCTATCAAACCATTCCGTTCCGGTACGCATCACGGTGGGGAAGGGGTACTGAGAAGCCGTGATCGTCACACAGTCGCCCTGCTTTAATTCTACCCTGCCTTTTCCATCAAACGCACAGTACGCCGTAGCGCGGGAATTCCGCGGGATAGAAACACGAAGTAGCATCGTGTCACTAAGCACCATCGGTCGGAAAGATAATGTGTGCGGGCAAATAGGAGTAAGAAGAATGGCAGGAAGGTCAGGGCTGACCAGAGAGCCACCCGCGGAAAGGGAGTATGCAGTCGATCCGGTTGGCGTGGAGAAGATGCACCCATCCGCCTGGACAACGGTTAAGAGTTCGTTGTCACCGTATAGCTCAAGGTTGGAGACGTAAGGGGATGGGCCGCGGTCGATGACAAGCTCGTTAAGAACTTCAAACTGCTCACCCTCTTCCATATCCGGACCCCCCGAGGTACCATTACGGAAGACAGTACACGTGAATCGCATACGAAGGTTGACACGCATACCATCGTCACCCATAACTTTGTTGAGATGCTGCTTATACTTCTCAAATTCAAAGCTTGTTAAGAAGCCGAGACTCCCCAGACTGAACGACAAGACGGGAGGAACAACTCTTTGGAAGAGCCAGGAGGTAAACAGTACAGTACCGTCACCTCCAAGAGTCAAAACAAGATCAAACTTCTCCGGGCTACTCCAGCAAAGGTCCGGAGACCAGTATCGAAGCATAGACTCAAAGCGAGGATCTTCGTCTACAATGCTAGAGGCACCGAAACGCTTTGAGTTGCGTAGTTTCGCATCAACGTAGACGTTGACTCCTATATCTGAGCCGTATCGGGGAGTTCTTAATAGCCACATGGTGAGTTCTCTAGTCAGATACACCAATTCATTATCGCGGGCTTTGGTGACGATCATGACACTGCGGACAGCTCGGCGGATAGGTCGGCGCTGCAGCTGCTTCGACACCTCACGAACGCCAGTGGCGGTCTGCACTAATCTGGAATGAGACATCCACTCGTCGTTTTTGATTTCTTCGAGGACCTTATCAATATCGACTGCGTCATCAAATCGGTTGTGGTAGAAGCATGGTGACTGTAAGGAGGGGAATGCGGTGGTCGGAGTTATATTTCGGGCGGCAAGCTCGGATAGAGCGTCGGAGAGTTGTTGAGAGGAAGAAGGATTGCCAGGTCGTTTATCGACCGCTGAGTGGGCGGACAACATGTTGTTTAATGATAATGCTTCAGGTTTATTATTCCGTGCGACAGAAGCCAGTGCTTTCATAAGAGTTTGACGCGGGACGGCATCGACAGAGGGTGCGTTCTTGCGGTGTCCACGCGATTGATTATTAGAGATAGAGTCTGGACCTTTTTTAGTTAGAGCAGAAGGCTCAGGTTTTGTGTCGTTGCCGTCAGCATGATAGTGGGATTGAGAAGTAGAAGGAAAATGCGGCGCAGAGTCGGACTTTGTAGGCGAGCCGGATTGTCGCAGGGGTTGATCTTGATCTGGAATGGCTATGATGGAAGTGGATTGCTTAGAAACGGGGCCGACAGCGATCCCGACCCCTCCGTCAGCTTCCTCCTCCAGTATGTTATTAGTATTGTTACTTAGAACAGGATGTACCCCCATTGCCCCCATTGTTGGCGAACCCATTAACCCTAAATTAGGCATGGCTCCACACTCTTGTACCTAGACGAAAAGTATCGATGCGGTTTAATAGAAGCCGCCAAATCCGAAGATAGCACAAAGGTCCTACACTATATCCGAACCGTGCAGGATTAATTTAGAACCGGTGCAGATGATGTCTTGATTATTTGTGTCCGATTCCCCGTCGTACAACGAACAACACTAAAACAATACTTTGTCAGCGGGAGATTCCTATATAAGGCAACACCTATATGAAGTAGGAGGGGGATCATATGCTGGTTTATAATAGCCAAGGTAACAAAATCTGGTGCTGGTGGCACTCGGCAAAGAAACCATGCAGTGACGGCACACTATAGGCGCTTCACCTCCGAGACATAGCAAATCATAGGTAGCAAAACTTACAAAGCTATTCCCGAGGTATGTTAGTCTCGTGATATCGAGACACTAGATGTGATGACGATATGATCACAACAGCGGCGGATTTCCGGACACCGAATCGGCGAGTATGTTGTCTTAGGAAGCACAGAAGATGTGAGAGCTGGCTCTTGATTAGGATTAGATGGCACACTCCGTTTAGAATTAAGCTATTTCGCTAGTGGCTTGTTCTTATGATCGAGCTGAACGAGAAGGTCGACCGTGGAGGAATTCGCAAATGTCGAGTAAAAAAGTCCGTCAAGGAAAATTAACGATGTTGGGATTGATAGAAAACCGAATTGTCGAGGGATATATTTTATTAAAAAAAGAATAAGAATGAAATAATTCGAGTTCAACTCTGCGAAAGACTATATGTTGGTAGACAGAACGAAGGTAGCAGCCAGGCCGGGAAATAGTCAAACGCAAAAAATTAAAGGTCGAATTTGCAAGAACTTCCAGAGCTCTGCTTTGCTGTTTTCACAAACAGCCGATTGAAAAGAAAGACTTGGGTCTGAGTGACTGAAGATCCAGTTAGACGAGAGATTCGAGAATTTAGTCGTGCTCGGCTCACTTATTAAGATAAATCAGCTACTTGGTGATAGAGAGATGGAGGACCGACTGTGGAGATGCTTGAACGGTACCTCCGTGCATGGACTGTGGAGTAGCAGCTAGGTGGAGCAGGTAAGGGTCCGGCTCAAGTGGGGGTATAAGTATATGTATATGTATTTAAGTACCCAAGTACTCTAATACGTAGAATTGATCCTTACGTACGCGGTTCTTTGTAGAAGGATGGCATTAACGAATGAGAAGATAGAAGAGGATAAGGAGGATAAGTAAGGAGGATAGGAACTGTTGCAAAGGCTGTAACTTTGCATACTGCATCTAGTAGTAAGACCCGAGGTGACAAGTCTGCCACCCCATACGTCGCTGCAGTGTCTTGTACCTATCTCGATTCCCAAAAAAATCATATGTAGAAAATCAGAAAATTAGAAAATGGAGGGTACGTGGCGGTTTGTTTGACCCACCATCACTAGTACTTCTCCTGTTTTCCCCTAACAGATGCTGTTAAGTCTTTTCGCGCCAGGTCTCACGTTGTAACTCTTACGCAGGGGTGCGTAAGCGAACGCTGCGTTAAGGAGACTAGACTCGTCTCATATTTTCCCAGCTCCCCAATGCAGGGCTTGCAAATGCTCCCGGATTACTTGCAACCGATCTTCTCAACCGACTAATCAATCAACTGGAAGCTGACGGGGTTTCTTGAGCCTCCTTGACCTCCTTGACCTCCTGCAGATATCAGCATTATGCTGATTTGTTTTGGGCCTTCACTTGAGGACGAATCCTGCGTCTGGAACATCATCGAGCAAAGTGGCCTCCCCTGCGAAGATCACACATCTAGAAACAACCACTAACCGCCACTCCACCAGCATGGACTCCACTGGATCACAAATAAATCGAATTTCGATAGGATTGTCAACTCGTCTTTTCGGTACTTCGTTCGGTACCTCGTAAAAGTCCTAGCTGAGAAAACGTGGCTACGAACAATATGCGCTGTGAATCTTTGCAGACACATCTTGTATGCAAAGATTGTTATGCTCCCACCAACGTACTCGATTGGTGCTCGGGACGAAGCGCTTTCTTCGTTTCTTAGTGTCCCTATGACAGACTCGTCGGTTAGCCCAGCACATCTGCCAAACTCTTGGCTAGCATTGGCAACGCATACCTAGCCATTAGCTTCCTGGGATGCTGCCGTTTTTCCCGTCCGCCTACCAAAGGAACCATCCGATCAACATTTGCCATGCTAATGTAAACAAGAACCCCATTAGCTAGCCAGATGATCCACCGCACCCGGTAGAAGATCCCCAATCCATAGCATCTCCATGAAAGCGATGCGCCGATTCGGGAATATCAAACATGTCTGAGCGGGACTAGACCAACGTACATATTACTGACCGCCAATCCAGCATTGCTGCCGTAGATTCTAGCCAATCATATCCGTACAATATAGTCCGTGTTGATCCAGGATGTACGGGATAAAATCGCTTACTTCCAATGTAAGTCCGAGGCTATTTTCCCCTCCAGCGTAGAACGCGTAAACTGCTTCAAGTCCGCGCCAGGTAGGCTACCATCATCCATGAGAGTATCTCCATCGCCCGTAGTGACGGGAGGGCAGCATTGACGTTGAGCGACGGCAAAGGCATCATCCCATTCTTTTATTGTGAAGCTTCCTTCACTTTCTGCGAGTATCAATTCATCCTGCGAGGTAAACGAGAAGACATGGAACGATTGCGACGTTTCAATCTCTCGCGGCGAAGGGTTTAAGACGACTTTCTTCGATTGGCCATCAGCGACAATAGCCAGGGAAGTCGATGTCAGTGTCGCCGTCAGCGGAAGGGCAGCAGAGAGGAGCGAGAGCACTGCTGTCTGGAGTAGAGCAGGCAAAATAGGCAGGTTCTATAATATTGCACGTCCAGTTAGTATGATCATACTTTTCTTCTTCCAAACCCCATATTGAAGTGCAGCTTACTGAGGTAGCCTGTGCTACTTTGGCATTGACATATTCGTTCTCGGGCGTAGTGGTTACTTGTAGAACAACTTGGATGAGGGTCCTCGGAAAGTTGTTAATGAGGATGATCTGGCGCAAAGTCGACTGAATCAGTGACTCCAAGTGTCTTTCTCTAGTGCCTACACAAAATAGCAATGGTGAGTTATGTTTATATATATATGAGGGTCAGTGTGCTTCGAAGGAAGTCATACCTCCAACCCCTGCAGCTGGTCGTACGATCACGTCGACGGCCGCCTCCTCCGGGAGCTCATCTCGTCTCTGAACCTCGATCGGCCCATTTACAGCCCCAACCACGGTATAGCCAGCAAAAGAGAAAGTAGCGGAGCCGTCAGAATTTTGAAGGTGAGACAGTAATGCTTCTGGCTCGGTATTGATCGTCATTTTCGCGAGGAATTGTAAGAGATTTTCTTAGTTGTAAAATGATGTTTGCGCAAAAATCGGAATTGGTGAGGTCTTGATCTGACGATTGGGATTGAACTTTTTTCTCAATTAGGTAGGGACCTGGTAGCCAAGAGGATAAATTCTAGGTGCGGCTGCATTTCATAGGATACAAGTACTTTAACCCCGCCAAAGTTGTACTATTACATTCTGCAGCTATGGCCCAATACATAGAAATAATGAAAAGATACTAACAACTTCTATTTCCTTCATCAATTCGATATATGAATTTATTATTTAATAATGCATAATTGCTGAGGGGTGACTTACCTTAGGTACTTCAATATTGCACCTACATTTCTTTATAATCAAAGTATTATAATCGCCTTAAGATAGATCTGATCAACATTTTTGTAAACACTATTCCTGGTTCTATGATTAAACCTATCATGGCTACCCAAAATCCCCTACAAACGATACCCAATCTTAAGGATAAGATCCCGAAGTTAGAGCCGCGTCGTCGACGGCCTCCACCATCAAACCCTCTTCCACCACCAGAAACGCCTACTTTACCACCACCACCAGACCCTTCATCTCATTCATTCCAGGTTCCCACCCGGCGAATCCTATCTACCCAAGACCACAAACTCTTTCTCTCATCACAAACTCACACCCTTATTCTAGCGTTTGTCTTCGGTCTCGCAGATGCTGTAGTAGACATTCCTATATCAGCTATTAAGGATGACGACTGCAGTCCCATCATCAAATCTATCATTGGTGTTCTCGATGAGGTTGAAGCACTAGTTCTAGCCACCCCTCCCGACGATGCCGAAGGGTCGCGGTTTGGAAACAAGGTTTTCCGTACCTTTCTTGACAAGGCCAAAGCTACCAGTCCGTCTTGGCATCAGAAGCTCGGTCTGACATCGCAAGATGCTATATCAGAGGTCGAGACATACCTTAACCAATCTTTTGGCAACCGGACCAGAATAGACTATGGCTCAGGTCATGAATTAAATTTCATAATATGGCTATTGTGCTTATACCAGCTTCAGATTGTGAAGAGAGCTGATTTCAAAGCACTGGTCCTCAAGGTCTTTACCCGGTATCTAGAGCTTATGCGAACAATCCAGTCAACATACTACCTCGAACCAGCCGGTTCCCACGGTGTTTGGGGCTTGGATGACTACCAATTCCTACCATTTCTTTTCGGAGCTAGCCAGCTTCTCCATCACCCTTTTATTACCCCCATGGCGATACACCAGGAACTAACCCTAGAAGAATTTGGCCATGACTTCATGTATCTTGGCCAGGTGAACTTTGTTAACAGCACAAAGACGGTCAAAGGCTTGCGTTGGCATAGCCCGATGTTAGACGACATCTCATCAGCGAAGAACTGGACCAAGATTGAAGGCGGTATGAGAAGGATGTTTGTCGAAGAGGTGCTCAAAAAGTTGCCAGTGATGCAACACTTTCTCTTCGGCTCACTGGTGCCTGCTGTGGAGGGTATGAGCACCGAGTCTGAAGTAGGCGTATCAAATGAAGAAAACGAACCTGAAGGTGGAGGAGTGGTTGTCGAGCACGACGGAGTGAAGCATGTGCACAATGGTAGCAGCTGGGGCGATTGCTGTGGGATTAAGGTCCCTAGTGCAATTGCCGCTGCCCAGGCGATGCGGAAACAGGGCGCCGGGGAGCTACGCCGGATACCGTTTGATTAGGTTCCCCGGTTGTTTCTAAAAAGATGAAGACGATGTTATGATAGAACGCAAGAGTATGGAACTCCAATACCTCAATAGACTTCCATGATTGAGATGCTTTAGTTATACTACAATACCGAGGCGTAATATTTGATGTTACAATCTCAACTAGTAGTGTTTTGAACGACATATATAATATTATACCTATGGTAAACTTAACCGGTGTTATTTGCAACCCGGAAACTCAGATTAGAAAGCTACGAAAGCAACTAAAACTAAGATCATATAACTAGTTATTCTCAAACTGGACCTCAAACTGGACGTATAATTGGAATGATATTAACGCCTCACGACCATGGCCATAATTCATAACCCTAACTACCTAACCTAACTACTTGTCTGGTGTCTTACTACCAAGCAGAAAACCAAAGGGTATCCTTCAGTATCATGGAAATACAATCAACCAAGCCAACCGTCCACAAAAACGGATACTTAAACTCCGTAGTGAATACCTAAGGTACACTGTACCCCAAGCGCCATCACGCAAAGTCAAACACGCAACTTAAAACGACGCCAGTCCCTCATCCCCTCTTCCCTACTACTTAGGTACTTACTCCCCACCCCCCTCATCACGCCCCCCTAACTCTCCCGATACAACTTCATCAAATCCGTCCTCATCTTCTGCCTCGCCTCGCCATCCAACCTCCTCTGATTCTCCAGATCCGCAACCCGCTGCTGCAGCTCCGCGACCCTAGCCTCGGCCTTCTTAGCCGCCTCGCGCGACGCATCGCGCCCTCTCTCGAGGCCCTTGGCGCGCGCCGCGTGCCGATCCAAGGTGCTCCGTATCTTGCGGCGCACGGTGCCGTCGATGTTCTGGTCGTACAGAAGCGCCATGATTTCCTGCGTGAGCTCCCGTTCCTTGCCGGGCGTAGCGGGGTCTTGTTGTTGCTGGGAGGACGGGGGGCTGGTTGAGGACGCGGCTAGGTCCCGCTTGGGAGTGATGGGGGAAGACGGGTCTGCGAAGAGCACGCGGCGGGTGGGCTTTTCGGTTAGCGGGGTTGCCATGCCGTCTTCGATGAGAGTGCGAGGGCCGGAGGGGGTGGCGAAGGCGTTGCGCTGCTTGGTTTGGGGTTGGGCTGAGTTGTTGGCTAGAGCAACGAGTTCCTGCTCTTCGCCGGAAGTGAGGTCGCTGTACTCTTCGACATCTGACCGTTTTCTCTTCGGCGCTGCCGATGGCGTGTCTGGCGCCGAATCAGATTGCGCCTGAGCGTCGTCTGAAGTGTGAGCTAAATCATCATTTTCGTCTGATGAAGCGCTCTTCTGTACACTTTTGGCCGCCTCCTTGGAGCTAGATCTAGTCTTCATAGTCGAGCTTTGAGCTGTCGCAGAAGGAGAATCGGGGTTAAGCATACAATCTAGATCTGCTAGACTAGTAACAGGAGTCTTCCCCTGTCGCTTCTCTTTCGCCGGAGTTATGCTCTCATGGAGCGTTCGCTGCCTCTTCTTAGGCCGCTGGCTAGGAGTTCCCTCAACCTCGCTGCGTGAATTAGTTAGGACGTTATTAACTTCGCGCGTGTGAGCTTCCTCAGTCCACAAGAAGAAATTGCATTTATTCTCTTTGTTTCTGTCCTTTTTGCAGGCGTAGAACGATCGTCCCTTATTGGGGGTCTCTCGCTTGGCCAGGTACTGAATTGCGGGAAGGCGAGGAATACAGTTACCTAGCGTTGCAAATAGTAAGTTAATTAGTTTACCGTGTGGTAGCAGATATGATATATTAAGTTCAAGGTCATATATAACTTACAATACCAAATACCGTTCCTAAAGTGCCCATTCAATGGGACTTTGCCTGAAGGACTAGGAGCGCCCGACCGGCGCATCTTGTTAGGTAAGCTTCTTTGATATTATATTTATTCAGAGGCATATATTTGTAATCATATGATATAAATTCAGTACAAAGTATCTTTGTCCGAATCTAGACCCTTAAGAGTTGTAAACGGAATTGGAATTGTTTCACAGCAATAAATGATAAACTCAAAGATTAGGAGTAACGGCGGGGTGGGGAATTCTTTAGTGGTGCCAGGTGGTTGGGGCTGGGCTGAAAACTGGTTGTAACTAAAGCTGCATATTAAGTGGATACCGGGAAGCAACCACGCTAGTACATATGTCTCCTATGCACATATATATATATTACCCGCAAACCTTGGCAGAATCACCCGCAGTACATCGCAGAACGTTCAATAGATCTTACGAATAATTATGTAGTTCTAACTATTGAATAAGCTTAGACAAGTTAGACGATTAAACTTAAAAGTATAAGATGAGTTTTATATATAAACTTATGGCTATCTTAAGTCAGGCTTATCCTGTATTAAGAAGCCATAAGATACAGCTAATTACACATGTCGATTATTTATAATATCGATTCTTAATTCAGTCGTGGGTATATCCTCTAAGAGTACAAAAACTAATCGTGGTATCCTCGGATAAAAACGATCCGCCGTAAAAGCTTCATCCCCTGCGGGCGAGTCTGTATGTCGATTAACGTTGAAACCAGTGTAATAGTACCACCTCTTCTGCACTCTGGATCGCAGACTTGTACTAACAGTAAGTATGCGACCCAAAATCGATGCTGCCCGATGCCTCTACGTATTCGTGGAGGAAATCATATTAAATTTCGTACCAATAATCGTCATTTAGTTCCTCTCTACTCGGCACTACGCCTGCACCTTCTGGTGGACCCATGTAAGTAGCTTCCATCCGGACATTCAACAGTCTGATCTTCATGCCATAGTCTTGTACTAGCTTGATGAGCTTATTAGTCTCTGCTGTTATAGGGGTTTGGCCTAGCAGCATTAGCAAGCCGTCGAGCCATTCCGATGCTAGGCTATGGTTCAAAGGATGTAAAGTGAGCAATGGCTCCTCTTTTATGTCGCTCAGGTCTTTAGCCTTGTTGGCCTCGTCAATATTAAGATAGCCAAATATTGTAATCTTTGTGCTGTTGCTCGTCTCGCCGCCCGCATCACCAGACGGAGCAGATACGTTAGACGCGACAGAGCTAACTTCTCGTAGATCTACCTTCTCGCTAAGCGCATCCAGGTTCGGCTCCGGCCCGGTTCGAAACGCAAAATCGGCCCAGTGCAGATAGCGGCGGTTGTGCGACAATTTAGCGTACCTCCAATTTGTACCATTAGCTGCACGGCGGTTGGATGCATTATTCCCTTGGTCGTCCTTCCGCGTCGATGGCTTCGAAAACCAGCAACCTTGTAAGAGACATCGGACACGTTGTTCCTTGATAAATGTGAGAGCCTCTTGGTTTAAGCTTTCCCGTACTTTGTAAAGGTGCTGACCCCATTGGTCGTCGAACGAGAGTTCTAGGAGCTCCATTTGGAGCTCGCGCAGCCGCCCTAAGTCGTATTCAACTAGATCATCCTCGACCTCTAAGACGTCCTTTGATCGGCCAGCCTGTCCTACAACCTGGTCGACAAGTATACGAACCAATTCTGCCACCTTCTCAAAATCCTCCTGTTCTGCGCCTGTAGATTTCCATAGCTTGAAGAATGCATTTAAACCAGCAGTATGTAATCTAGACCATTGGAGAAGTAACGGTCGGAAGAGTTTGTCTTGGTGATTTCCGTCTGATAATTGATATTCTCTTAGGTCTTCCATTTCTGATTTATCACAATCGAAATGTTCGTACAAAATAAGGGTAACCGCTAGACTGGATCTAGCGATAGGACAACGTTCGTGAAGCGGCTTAGTGGCCTGCTCCAGAAGTAACTTCTGAAAACCATCTTCGTTCTTTCGCACGTAGTCCGCAAGATCCATAAGCCCAAGAAACCCCGTATTGTTAAACTCCGCCGCCGGACCCTCAGTCTCGAAGCCAAGCCTTCTCCACTTCTCGGGATTGTGTCTTCTGCTACCCTTCTTTCCGGACTCCTGAAGCTCTTCGACTTTCCCTACGCCACTCGCATGGTCTCTATTTGGTGCGCTAGCAAGGTGAAGCCCTTTTAACGCTCTCCTATGTTCGGGTCTTTCAACGTCAACCTGAACTTGCCGCCACTTTTGAAGCAGCACCTTCGTAAGAGACTGAAACTCCAACAGCGGATGTGCAAGATCTTGCAGTGCCGAACTTTGCATCAAGTTGTATACTGCCTTGATTAGACCCAGATCTTGTAATCTCCTTATAAATTTAGGCCACTCTTCCCCAGTACCAGCTGTCTTACTACTGTCGAGATTAGACTCGCCTGAGACGGCATCCCTTATGAGAGCGTTGATCAACATAAGCGCGTTGGCGCAGAGGGCGTGGTCCGCCGAGTTTAATTGCTGTATGACGAGGTCGAAGAACTGTGGATATACGGCGACCGCTGGTTTTAATGCGCGGAAGCCGAACGATACAGGCACCCGTCCTCCTGACGAGGTAGACTGCGAATGGCTGACAAGTGCGACGAGAATGGACATAGCACCTCGAAGAATGTTGACCAATGGATTTGTGACGATGAGTTCGACAACGCGCTCAACTAAATCACCTGCAGTCGGGCCCTCGAAGATATCCCATCCCATGTCCACCTCAAGCAGTCGAGTGAGACTTTGTAGCGAATATGCGAGGGTATTGCCGCCGGTACTCATGATAAGACGCCGTAGTATAATTAAACCGCCAGAGGAGATGAATACATCGGCGAAGGAAGGGTCATTTATAGAGGATTGCAGTTTAAAAACTGCCATTTTCCGCGCGGCATCTTCGTCGCTAGCCAACCGCGACAGCAATGCCGGTATATCTGCCTGGTCCATACTTGTGGTGTTGGAAACGCGATCGGATAGGTTTGCGAATGTGAGGTCGGAGGGGCAGCGGTCAATCGCAGGGGGAAATCGGCATGAACCAGCGCGACGTAGCTGCTGAAGGGCTAAAAAAAGCTCAACAAGACACTATAAATACATAATCACATTAACAAGTTACCATGACACACCAATGGCATATGTATTATGTTTATTGTTTGTTTGTTTGTTTTTTTGCCAGGTGTTGAATGCTGCCGACAGTTGATCTTTGCTAATGCGGCTCGACGAATATGGAGAAGAGAAAAGGTAAGATAAGGAGTGTCGAGCAATGGGCGCATTGAGATCTGGAACAAATCGAACAAATCGGTGCAATGTTGGAATTAGCAGATTGGCAGATTAGCAGATTGGGTAAGGGGAACCGACATTTTGATGTGGGGCAGTTCCTATTTCCGTTCTTGGCTTCCAATTTTGTATGTACCTGCCTACATAAATATCTGCACATGCAAGGAACCGGATTCCCCAAAAGACCAAAAGAACAAAAGAACGGTAAAGTTTAGGGGTAGCGCAATGTCTCACTTCGTGCTTACCTAGGTACATATTTAAATTGTACATGTATTACGGAACAATAGAAATCAATTAGAACCCTGTACCCAGGTAATCTACCAGGTATTTGGGTGCTATTCTCCGAATAACTCCGGTAGAAATATTCAAATTATGTGGTATATGAGCTATAATTCTTCCTTCGCTTATATCCCCCCAAACTCCAACAAGATAAAAGTACCATATAGCATCTCCAACCTCTCGTAAATACCAGAGGTCAGAATAATAGCTATCGTTATTGGAGGAAATCCTATACGGTCTCCTTAGCTACCTCACTTGTTGCAGTCTTCTGGAGTTCCGGATGTACATCAGTATGAACATCTTCGCCATGCTCTTTGCGATTCAACACGGCCTGGATCTCAGCCTCAAGACGAGAACCACCCTTCTTAGTCTTCCACGCCGCTGGCGCGCCCTTAGCAAACAATAGTTCGATTTCCTCAATAGTCTTGCCACATGTTTCAGGGTAAGTAAACCAGGCTTGGATAGCCGCGCCGATACAAAGTACACCAAAGATGATGAAAACTTTATACTTGATGTTAAGGAATGCCGGCGGGGTGAAGAGTCCCAGGGCGAAGTTGAATAGCCAGTTGGCCACCGCAGCCAATGACATTCCAGTAGCGCGTGTTCCAAGTGACCAAACCTCAGCAGCGTAAACCCAGGCGACAGGAGCTAGAGTGAGCGCATATACGATAATGAGAAGGTAGCTAAATGCAATGACACCGTGAGCAGGGGAGCCCGTGACTTTGATAACAACATTGTGGTTTCCACCGACACCCTCGGGGACATCAATGCTGTAGGTACCAAGAAGGCCACCAACTACAAAGTGGCATACAGCCATTCCTATAGCACCAGATACGAGGAGCGTTCGACGACCGGTACGGTCAATGAAGAAGAACATAATGGTGGTGAAACTAAAAATAATCAGCACCTATCGTAAAGGATCGGATCACCTTAGCTCATTATGACTTACATGATGAATATCGCATATTGAATACCGGAAGAAACCAAGTTGACATCACCTTGGAGATCTGCCATCAAGAAGACGTATCCGATGTAGTAAACGATAACATTAGCGCCACTCAATTGCTTTATAGTGGTTTGTAGTGTTAGCGTTACTGAAACTCATGGGGGTAGCACTTTGTATAAGACTTACTTGCCAGGCCTGTACACTCATTCCGGCCAGAGTTCGCTTCCACATGCCATTAACGAAGAACTTCTTCCATCCTCGAATCGATTCGCGCTCTGCGTTCAAGACAGTGTGTATTTCTTCCCACTCGGCGACGACAAGTGGGTCATCCTTGTTACCACCAGCTTGGATATCAGCAAGAGTTTGAATTGCCTCTTCCTCACGGCCGACTTTGGCGAGCCATCGTGGAGACCTAGGAAGGAAAGGAAGACCGATCATAAGCCCCACGCAGGGGATAAATTGTGTCCCCCATGCAGTTCGAAACGACGCGGTGCCTTCGATTTTAGAGCACTACAATAATGAGTTAGCTATTTCTCACCGTTTGCGAATCGTGGAAACTACTTACTCCATAACCAATAAAGTACATGATCAAGATACCCCACTCGATAGCAAGCTGTTGGATAATGATAATGCGACCCCGAGTATCCTATATAGCTCGTTAGCGAGTGGTAGTGATTCCAAGCACAAAGTTTCAACTTACTCGTGGGGCGATCTCTGCGAGATACACAGGGACTTGAGAAGAGGTGATACCGACACAGACGCCGTTCAGGACACGACCAGCAATTAACGAGCCTACTCCGGTGGTAGCAACTTGAACCGCAGTTCCAGCTAGCCACCAAAGACAGGCAAACATGATACTACAAGACGTGAGATTCAACTCAAGTAAATACCAGTGAAGAGTTTAAACGTACCTATCACGTCGACCATACTTATCCGAAATAGGACCGGCCATTAAACTACCAACGACAGATCCAGCAGCAAGAGCAGACCCAATAGCTCCTTGGGTGAGGCCAGAGGGATTATTGAAGTAGTCGATATACTGGTCGGTAATGACGATAGCAGACATGGACGAGATATCGAAACCGAAGAGCATACCGCCCACGGTGGCGATAATCGCCATGAAGTAAGTGTTTGCTAAGACGTGTAAGCATTGCGCGTATATAATTGCTATTGACTGCTATTAGTTGACGTACTGATCTTTGGAAACCTCGACATCTTGATCGCTTTCCTCGTAGGGTTGTCACGGGGGAGGAAAACAAGCTCTGACGCGTGAAGGCAAAGCCGAGTAAGAAGAGTAGTAGTTCGGGAAACGACAATCCATGGCGGTGGAGTGAACCCTTCATATATTAAAGCTCACTTGCATGCGTCCCAATGACACCCAAGCTGCTCCCAGTCATGGCCATCGCACGCTTACTGCGTAGCATGGGCAATCTTGGGCCCATTCGGTGATTTTCCGCCGTGCAGGGGGCAGCACCCATCGGGCCATAATCCATATGAGGAGCTGGAGCTTTCCGAAGCCATCGGTGTAAAGTCGCAATACGGAGCGCAGATAAGGACGGGCTGCGATAGGTGCAGAAATTGACCCCCAGGTAAGCTTGACCATTAAGTTCGACGTCACATTCCCATCCGTTTCCAAGATCCTTCGAGCGCAAGGCCACCCTATAGCGCGGACCTTCTCCTACAACTAACCCGTCCATCTCCCCACATCCTCACTTCTAATACTACGGTATCCCCAGGACTACCAATCACCGTACGGCTCCAGCTCTGCGGTCCTCCACATTACTCCAGCGAATACGGGGTACGTTGCCCGTTAGGACGAAGTTGCGGAGGCGGGAGAGCATGGGATTATCGAGCTAGCCTCTTCTCGGACCGACCTTCCAGCTTGCTGGTTGGTGCGCTTGGAACTTCGAGATCGTCTAACCTCTTTAGCTGCTTCAATTCCCGGGGCTGCGGGGGATGGTGGCTTGTGGGGAACGGCTCCAATTTCAGCGAAACTCGAGCAAAGGTCTCGACTAACATCGTGTTACAGTTACATTCTGGGAGCATGTCTTGGGTTGGATTTATACGATATCTTCATGTATGAGTTACTAGTTTAAAAGATAAAGAAAAGCTGAAAGTAGTCGAAGTAGATATTGATTACATTGAGCCAGGTCAGATTTTTTGATACAACTTGGCTGTTGTGTCTGACTATCCTATCTTGGACTCAGGAACAGGATATATTCAGTTTCACTATACTTGTGGAGTTGGTTTATTAAAGCTTAAGTAGTGTATTCTATCTAGGATTAAAACGTTACAGAGATGCGTAAGATGATTTACACCATTGCGTTAAGGACTAGAATATATATATTGGATCTTGAATGCATAGTTCGCCGCCCCAGGTCCCCCGCATTTAGCCATTCAGCTCATGTAGACCGTCAAAATGATCCTTGGAAACACGCGAATATTGATGAGCTAAACTTTATAAGAACATAATTATCGAGGTTACAGCTAGAAATGTACACCAAACACAACAATAACAGGTCCAATTACAATTTCAGTAGCTAATCCTCTACAATACAATGTTACATACATACTTTCAAACAGAGCGTGATCCTGGTGGAGGGAGTGCTTCAGGCCCAAAAGACAAGGGTAACAACTGGTCATACAAAGTTTAGCTTGTGATTATATTTAATAAAAGACTGACGCCAGCCAACTTACCTCTTCAAGACGGAACACTGAAAAGTTATCATCCTTGTCGAACATGATAATTGGGACCGTAAGATCGCAAAATTCCCGAATACTTTTACAATTAGGATTCCAGTGAGCTAATTTAGACATAAAATAAAGGATTCTCAACTTACAACTGGCGACACATCCCACACGGACTAGCCGGGGGAGTTATGTCAGTGGCCACAGCCACGGCTTTAATCTTCCGATGTCCCTCAGTCACCGCCTTGCCGAAAGCCACGCGCTCGGCGCATGTGCCGACCGGGTACGAGGCATTCTCGACATTGGCTCCGTTGAAATAAACGCCGTCGACAGAGATGATAGCCGAGCCTACTCGGAACTGGCTGTATGGACAATAAGCCGTCGACTTAGCCGCAACGCAACGGCTATGCAGCTCGCTGAATTCTGCTTTAGTCAGATTGTACTTCTGACATGTTGATTCGACTATAGCATCATCTGCGCTTGGTAGGATCTGATGCTGGGGAGGCATTGTGTGCTCTCTCGACTACCTAGATGAAGTGGTGAAGCCGAAGAGTGAATGAATCCCCTAATGGATTAAATTATAGGTACTAAGAGTAAGTTCCTTAGTAAGATGTTACATAAATACTTTATATATTGTTAGAATAGTTGGGCTGGGAGTGGGCTCTCTTATCTACGGGAAGTATCTACCTATCAGGCTATCAGTTAATGACGGAAACGCGATAAGAGCTGCAAACGGTGCTGCTTCATTCCTTAGATACTCTTCATTTCAACTTTATTTTATTCATCTCTCATATCAAGAATAATAAGTTCAACGATTATATTAATGTTTCCATTCAAAATCGGTTGATAAGTATCTTATATAAAATATATTTATATCCCTCATTCCTGTCGTCGCTTTACATAGGAACCGTCAAGGGATTCATTACACTAGTATCAATTAGCTTAACTTGGGACATCATAGATAAGAGTAAATCAAGGGTAGCTCACGATGCGCCGCCATCTACAATGAGGTTTGCACCCATGACATAGGACGAGAAACTGCTCGCCAAGAAACCAGCAACACGTGCTACTTCTTGGGGCTTACCAGCTCTCTCTAACCCAATCGTCATTTTTTGCGTCTAAACGATCAAGTCAATGGGATGTATTATTGACCGTGGCTTAACTTTCTTACCTCTGGCTTCTGAAGACTGGCTGGGGGGAACTGGGATGCCATCCCTCTCATATCGAACTATTCAAGGTCATTGATTTTATCATCGGCCGAAGAAATGAGCTTACTTACCCCCTGGAGGTCTACGCCAATGTCGATTTGTCCTGGAGATATCTGAACGGTCAAGTTAGCATTAACATTGACCAAACAACCCTCGAATTTCGCAGCTAGGAGAAATCGCTCTTGGCTCTAACTAGAGCTCAAGAAACAGCGATAGACTAGGTTCACGTACGCAATTGATTCTCACTCCAGTGCCTTTGAGACTTGCGACGCCTGCTTTCACTACGCCGAGAGCAGCGTGGGATGTCATAGTATAACAGGGCCCCCAGCATCCACCATAAACCGATGCGACACTACTGATAACAATAATACTGCCATACTTTTGGCTCTTCGGTGCAGCATTCGGATAGGTCTTCTTCTCGGTCAGTTTTGCCATCGCAGCAGGGGCGTACTTCAATGTGAAGAAAGGTGCCAACGAATGAGCCTCGAAGCATTTCTGTAAGTCGTCTGGCGTAGTGGCTTCGATCGAAGGGGGTCCTAGAAGACCAGAAGAGCAGACCCAGACATCTAGTCTCCCGAAGGCGTTGAGGACCTCATCTATAAGGACGAGTGTCTCATCTTCTTTGGCAACGTGGAAAGGGTACGGGATGACCTTGCAGCTCGGGAATTCCTGCCCTACTCTATCGACGAGTTCTTTATATAAATCTGAGCTGGCGGTTCTGTCGCATGCTATTCCTCGTCAGGATCTAATGCTAATCTGTTAAGATATTTCGATCCAAACTCACCGTATATGCAAGCTGCTCCGTGGGCTAGTTTATTATTAACTTCTCATAATGCAAATATTTGATGAGATCGGCCAGACCTGCTAGCTCTTGAATGATGGCCTGGCCGACAGGCTGCGAAGCCCCTGTTACCACACAAACAAAGCCATGCTATGGTTTCGCATCATGTTAGTCGGTCTTTTTACGAGATTTTGATAATTAACACTTACGAGCTTGCCGTCTGCCCTGTACGGACTGAAATCATCGGTGACATCCATATCGGCACGCGTACACTTGTGCAGATGAATCTTAAAACAGAACTTTTTATAAAACCTTGTGGGAGACCTTGAATTCTACTAACAGCGGTAGCAAGGACTACATACTAAGTTTTCGGGATGCGCTTATAGAAATCTGCGACGTGAATTTCTTTCATTTCATATTTAATTCGGCGATCTAGACTATGTTTATTTGTCACAAATTCTCATCAGCATGACTATTTTGGACCATCATCATTCGATACTATTTGCGAGATGTTGTTTCTCCGAGGCGCTCCACGGGGACTATTTATTCTCTCGGCAATAGAATTGATAAGAATCAGATAAGTACAAACTAACCAATGTAGACTTGGTCGTATCAACAGCATTCTTTATAATTATTAAAATCTCATCTAGTTTATGCTCTTTCACAATCTAAACTCACGAGATCTTAAGTGGTAAATTTAGGATTTGAATATGACTTTAGGTACTTATACGCTCATTGAAGGTCACATAATGTAATTCTGGAAAATTACCTACCTATTACGTATGAGCTGAAGGAATGGTGGGAACTAGGATTTGCAATGGTTTAAACAATCACTAACAGCCAGAACGCTATCCCTTCAGCTGGGTTCTAAGGAAACATCTTAGCTTCCGCAATTAGCTTTGCAAAATCAGGAATAACCTGAATTTAAGGTTTCTGTTTACCTCTGCAAGGTGCAAGGGGTAAATATCCAAGGTAAGTGAGTATTACACCTCTCATTTTGCTATGTATAGTTTGACACCTAACAAACCACGTAGATCGAGATCGTCTTACCCATAAGACGGACGTAATAGGGTTCGTATATGTCTCGGTGACGCCAGTGGCCGCCACATATATGCTCTTAAAACTTGGACGTGGTGAGCAGCCACGCCTGGAAATCAGGTAATGCGGCCGGCCGTGACGTCACATTCCGCGACGAATATATCCACTCCAACTCCCGTCTTACGGATCCCCGTTATAAGCAACCACGGCGCCGGTTCTTGATGATAATCTCGACATTTCCTAAATAATTAAAAAGTAATAAATCAAATAATACTCTAGTTAATTACAATCGTATTTCCTGGGATTCGAAAAGAAGGAAACTCCCGTATACTCGTCGGGGTTCGCAACTTAAGGAGACTTCTTACACTGGTTAGGGAGCGGAAAGTAAAATATTCAACGAGGAAGTAAAACGAGGAACGAAGGAAAGAAAACGAGAAGAAGGGCACCATTCACCTTTTAATACCAAACCGCATCTATACCTTACCAATTATTCCCTATAAACAAGAATACATTTAAAAAAAAAAAAAAAAAAAAAAGAAGGCATCATGGGCCACCCATTCCACCCCGACGACTTCCCCATCAACGAGGACGTAGTCCTGCAACCCACACAAGTATTCTTCCTCAAGGGATGCGTGCACTTCAAAACGACGGCCAAAATCCTCAACCTATCGGGGCAAATCCGGGCGCCCTTCTCCGGCGACTTCAACCACGCATTCCTCGACGACACGGAGCGCGCCGCGCAGAAGCAGCTCCAGAGCAGCAGCAACAGTCCGCCGGCCTACGAGATCAACTCCTCGGGCAACATGATGCGCACGCTGAAGACCATGGTCGACGGCCGCTCGGGCGACAAGGTGTGCGACCTCAACATCACCTTCGTCTCCTTCGACTCGTCCCGCGTCCGCTTCCCCCCCGGCAGCAAGCACTCCCGCCACGAGGTCGAGATGTATCCCGTGGGCGGCAGCTCCCACGACGAGGATAGCAAGCACGAGGCCTTTGTCCGACACAGCATTCCCTACTTCTGGGACATGACCCACGGCCGCGTCGGCATCTTGTATAAGTGTCTGAACCAGCAGCGCGTCGAGGTCGGTCGGGTCGCCGGCTTTGGGTTCGATAAGGATGCTGTGCTCGTGCTTAATGGCAACGAGTTGGATGATGTGGTTGCTATCTCGACGTGTATTATCTTGTTGAATGGTCGGGATGCTATGGATGCTTAAGCCGGCGTAAAGGGGTATATGTCGATATGGATTTACGGATGCCTCGGCGTGTTGAATCTAAGGTAAGGGGTTCCAGGATTGTGACAAACGCACCGGAAGCCAGGAAACCGATTTTTCTTCTTTTATTTACTGCAACTGCTATTCTTCGACATATCTAACTAATCATTTTTTTTTCTAAAGTGGAAAACGGGCATGGCTTTAACGAACCGGTTTGTAATCGAATTTGTAATTATACGCTGTTCTAAATAATATATTCCTCTACATAAAACTCCATCGTTCCTGTCGTACCTGTCGTGGCCGTCGTAACTAACTGTGGTATATCAGCTGTAAACAAAAGAGATTCTAGCGATCTATCTATGTTGGCTGGCTACTTGAACACGAGGCCTTTCGTATTTTTGGCCTCATTGAATGCTCCAGAATTCATAAATGCGCTCCAGCGCCTCTGTCGCGTGTGTAAAAGGGAAGTTGTGCGAGCCAGGTACGATGCGCCAGTACACGTTGTCCTCCCCACCGAGAAGTGGGAGGGCATCTTCGGCGTAGTCGTCCTTTGGGATAAGGCTATCGTCTTTAGCGAGGATTACCGCCGTAGTTCCAGGCTTCCGCTTGGCTAGCTGTCGCCAGTACCCGTGCTGTTCCATTAGCGGGCCGTATCGGATCGTCGACATGAAAGCCTGCACGAAGCCGTAGTGGAAGTCAAGGGCCCAGTGCACATAACCGAGGACCTGGCGCTCAAACGGCGTTGGAGGCACTTCCCCCTCAACAGGGTCTACTGCTTCTTGCACGGCGACGTCTACGTAATCCTCTTTGGTTTCGCTCTGAAGGGGGCTTTTTGGAGCTACGCCGTTAATGGATTTCCGGACCTTCTTAGACACGGACGAGGCGATAGGCTGGCGCAGACGGCGTTTAGTAAGCCACGCAAGAAGGCGCTCGGGTATAATACCGGACGTGAAAACGAGTCGGCTCGCACGCCCGAAGTTCTCCGCGCGAATAAGTCCAGCGGGTGCTAGAAGTACTAGAGACTCGACCATGTGGGGGAAGGTGGCGGCGAAATTGGCGGCGATGCCACCGCCGAGAGAGTACCCAATGATGCTCAAGCCGTTCTCTCCAGTCCATGATAGGGGAGATGATGCCAATACGAGCAATATTTGAGTAACAAACAGCCTGGTATCGTAGGGCACATCAGCAGGCGCATCGCTAAAGCCTCGTCCAAATAGATCCTAAGAAGTGTAAGCGAATGTTTTTTCAAGGGACATGATTTTACACCGGGGTCTTCGAAGTCTACTCACAAAAAGCATGACCCGGCATCCCTTCTCAGCGAGCGGCACGGCGATGCCCTTAAGAGTCATACACGACGTACTGATCCCATGAAGGAATAAAACTTTACGGCCATCTTCTGGTCCAAACTCATATACACGGATGTTGCCATACTATGAATTTAGATTAACTCATGCACTAGTTTATCTATTATATAAGAGAGGCTCACCGGCGTAACTACATCTCTGGCGCCCGGGAATGCGTCTGGTTGATAGGGAATTTCGGAGCGAGCGGACTGAGAAAGCTTAGGCAAGCTAGTCGTTAGAGGACCGGGTATGACAGCGCGCTTCTCGGGCCATAATGTGTATCGAGCAAGCGAGATAAGTGCAACTGTGGTCACAACGGTTGTTGCTATCACCGCAGTTGACCCTGATCCCGCCCCCGACTCGGTTGGAGGCCCGAGACACATAGAGGCTATAGCCTCCATCCCGATTTTTAGTGCTAATCAAGTCGATTGTTCCGTATCAAAACCGGGGGATCCGTGAATTTAGATGGATAGGTAGTTTGTTAATTTATGTCTTCGTAACTAGGTAACGAATAGAAAGAGTACCTAACGTAAGCTTTCTAAGCGGAGTTCAAAGTTTGGAGACTATAGAGATGCGAAGTTATTTATAAAAAAATATATAATTTGACAAGGCAGCCAACGGGGTTGGGTTGGGTTCGGTGTGTTATTAAATAGAGTCATTTAGAAGTAGAGAATGGTCGGACTTGTTACTCAGCTGACACGCAGGGCTGAATGTTATAAGTACCTAGTCCATGTATAAATGCATATAATTCGCTAAAAGCCTCTGCAACCACTCAACCTTCCCACGTGGCAGCCTAGGAATATGCCTAACGGGAAGGAACTTTAGGTACCTTTTAGGTAGAGTTTACGTCACTATATAGGTAAGTACTGTACATAGTATATAGTAGGCAGGAGCCATCCTTTTTATACACCTTGCTAAGCCATCTTATATTAACTATTTTGTTTGCTCTCCATGTCATCGGTCCTAGCTAATTTATACATCATTTATTCTAAAAGCCACATGCGACTCGGACTACACGTTTATTCCACATGATCAACCACAAGTGCACACGGTCATTCTCACCTCTGATCAAAGCCACGGCGAGTATGAGTAAAGTTTACATTTTATATTTATCGGTCTATGGACAAGCACAAGTATGCTTGCTATGTTTGCCTTTGCTAGGCAGAACTAGCATATACACCGTGATGAGATCATAGAATGAACCCCGAATCCATCACAATGTTGATACCTGTCGTACTCTTGCTCTTTGCAAAAGTAAATACTTGTTCAGCGACATCCTCAACGCTAACGAAACGCTTAAGCTTGGTCTTTTGCAGGTGGGCTTCTTTCTGCTCGTCTGAAAAGCGACTTCCCCATTCCTATAATTTAACGTTAGACTCTAGCTATTAATTCTAACGGTTTGGAGTATCTCACTGTCAGCAATAGCCCGGGGGAGACAGTATTAACTCTAATCTTAGGGGCAGCCATAACCGCAAGCGCTTTCACAAGATGGATCTGTGCCGCCTTGGTAGCGGAATATGCCTATTTGGTGTTATTACAAGTTCGAATCTAACAAGATTCTAAGGCTGGGATTGCTTGCCAGAGAACTACCGCTTGGGATCACACCAGCAATAGACGCCGTGGTAATGAAAGCACCCTCGGTTTCGTCAAGATACTTCTTAGAGGCTTGCATCAGCCATAGGTGGGATTTGACATTCATATTAAAGGCACGATCCCATTCTTCCTCGTATGCATTATCGTCAATGCTCTCCATCCCACGGCTGTGGACAAATACGTTAGTGGTATCATAAAATAAGGACCTTCTGATGGCTGGCAAGCAAGCAAGCAAACTCACAAACGAGTCCAGCCGCCATTAGAGAATATGACATCCAGTCTACCAAATCTATCGACACTCTCCTTGATAAGACGGTTGATCTCGTCCCGGCTACCTAGATCAGCCTTGATAGCGACGAAATTATCGCCCGGCAGGGTAGACAGGGACGGTAATTCTTCTAAGAGCTTATTGGCCCTTTCTTCGTTGTTGGCGTAGTTCACGATGACTCGGAAACCATTCTTCGCGAAGATCCGGGCTGCCGCGGCTCCGAGCCCGGCGCTCCCCGCTGTGATCAGTGCAACGGACATTACGAATTTGAGTATTTTTTGATATATATATATATGTCGCTTCTTAGCCTGTCCCCTCTTTATAATAATATTTTTTTGTAAAATGGCTTTCGCTTGGCGTTTGGGAGAACACTACCTTATGTATTCCTTTGAAGTCTAGTAAGTTATTAATTAAACGATACCGGCAACCGGGTGTTCCGTCGGAATTGAACTGCCGTGCTAACTGGGCAAATTGCCGTACGAACTAAGCAGACACCCATACCAGCCAAGCAAAATACCGTTGAACTCCCCCGCCTGTCAAAAACTATGCTGTATTACATTATACTATGATGATCCGAGGCTTGGCACCTATTAGTATCTAACTTCTTTCCGAAGCTCTCAAGATAAAACAAGGTACTACCTAGTTAAAGGAAATCCGTGATACCTTATCTCTTCTTGATAGATACTGCATCGGAGAAGAAATCAAGGAACGAGAAACGAAGCCTAGTTCCTGTGATACTAATTAGTATATTATAACTAGTAAATCTTATGTACCTTATATATATATGTTAGAAACGACGTCGATAACTTAAGACAAGAGGTAAGTCAACACTTCCATATATTTATTAACTCCCCACCGAAGCTTTTAAATATATCGAATGCAATCTTTAATACCAGCATATTTGAATTCAACGAGGTCTTCAAAAATTGACCGGTACTTCTTGACCATCAATGGCTAACGATAGAACGGATATGTAGGTCTGAAATGATAAATTAATTATTTGAAAGAGGACTAGGGTTTGATATGACTTCTTACACCTTGTCATATTATACTACTCTCTATAAGTAAGTAATCATAGGTCCAGCGGCATCCATTCTCCGTCACCAACCGGCGCCGCCCCAATCTTGCATGGTCCATCATATAAAACCCAATGGGGAGGGTTGATCCCATCCCGAACAGGAATCATAAGGAGAGTCGTTTCGTCGCCTCCCGGAAACGTCGTCCTGTGACCCCAAACCGAGATATCCGCCGTATCGTCGATATACATGAGCCCATATCTGCCACCATGTAGGACTACTTCATCTGTGGCGTTCGGTAAGTACACTAATTCGGCAATTATCAGCCAGTCTTAATGATACCCAGACTCTAAAAGTCTTATTAGCTAGGGAGCATACTATGCATAAGGCCGCTGATGACCCAGACATATTGCTTTGCGGGCCCCGGGTGTCGCCCGCTGTCGAATCTTGGCGGGATAATGTGATATAATGCACTTGCGATATCGTCCATTCGTAGCACGTCCATACCCGCTTTTTTGATGAACGGCGAGGTAAGCTGCCAGCATTCAAAGACCGAGATGTTGTTCCTCCCGGTGACGGCAGGTAAGCTCAGGCTCGGCTGACCGTGTACGAGACCGAGCATAGTGGCGCTGAGGTAGGATATGTAGGGTAACATGTTCTAGTTGGTAACGTACCTATTGCCGGAGCGGAAAGGAAAGAAGACAAGGAATATTTGTAAGAAGGAAAATACTCATGCTAGAGGGGTTGGGGGTAAGAAGATATTTAAATCCATACGATAACTGTCACAATACTATGAGTAAACTAGACGGTTACCAGTATACAGACTATAATCTTAGGCTGATGGAGGCTTAAGACACGGCACCTCTCGTGGTCACGAGCATCCAAGCCATGTATGATACTCCAAAAACGGAAATTTGCGAAATCACGGCATGGAGTTCCGAACTCAGCTCGCTTTCCGGGCCCATTTACTTCTCATCTCTGACGTTGTAGTGCAGACGATATCCTAAGACTCAACTAACCTCTATAACTATAATTTGCTTATAGAACGACGACTTTGGTCGTATAAGACTAACTCCCTTCCACCTGATAGTATTCATATTCATATTCCCTACCGTTGATATCCTATTTTCCTATACCTAGGTAGGTAACTATCCCCTTTTAAGCAAATACCAAGCAACAAGAACCTTCAACATCACCGCCCTGGTTTAAGTGAATCTAGTGACATATCCACCTCCACGCAACAAGCAAGCAAGCACCCTCCCTACCCATACCAACCCTACTACCGTCTACCGTCAAGTACCCACTATCCACCAAGTCACCCCCCTGAGTCACAGACTTCAAAAACCACACACCGTATATACCATAATAACCCCCCCATCATCCCACAAGCCAGGTCAGACTATTGGCAAAGTCGCCCGAGGAAGCAGTAGTCCCGATGTCCTAGCTAGCTCAGTGGACTAATGGGCAGGACGTAATCGATGACCTTGTGCCTTGGTGTACTAAGTAGATATGCGGAAGGCTGAGTCACAGCAAAGAGGGCAGGACATATGACGGATTGCTACGAGGGAGAAGTCGGTTCGAATCCGGCACCTGGTATTCTTTTTTTTTTCCTTTTTGTTTTTTTTTAGGCTCTTCCCTTTTATATTCCCCTCTACTACCTACCACCCCTTACCCCCTACTCCTTGCGCTCAACTACAAGACATACCTAATACATCATCTCACTACCAACAGCATCGCACCCAAGTTTGAACAGTGAAAAAAAATATTGGTATTCTATCCGTATACACATCGTTCGCAAAACCATGCATAAGATACATACAGTAGGTCCCCGCCACATTGGACGGCTCGTCTCGCACTTCCCCACCCAATCTGCCAGACCTAGGATACGCCTCGTCCAACTTATACCCCCATCGCTGACATTAAGTAAGCTAATAACCGTCCGTCTATTGATACCACACTACCTTCGTCTGATCGTTTTGTTTGTTTAGTAAGTACGCTTGAACGGCGGGACGGCCTTGCACTCATTCTCATCTAGCGTTGTGCCGATGACTCGTCGGTATCCGAGATCGACCTTTCCGTGGGGCTTCTTCTGGAAGGTGAGCGTGTGCTTCATCCAGTTCTCGTCGTCTCGTTCAGGGTAGTCTTCTCGGGCGTGAGCGCCACGGGACTCCTTTCGGTTAGCGGCGGCAGTGGCCGTTTGGGTACTGATAATATCGTTAGCTTATTATCTCTTAGTCTAAAAAGATTCTATAACTTACGCGCAAGTAAGAAGGTTCCTTAACTCGAGGGTCTCGACGAGATCTGAGTTCCAGATCATGCTGCGATCCTTGATTCCGACTTGAGAGAAGGTACCGTCGATCTCGGTTACCTTCTTCACACCCTCATCTAAGCTTTCCTGTGTACGGAAGACGCTCACATCTGTCTGCATGGCCTTTTGCATGGCGAGTCTGATTTCGGCTGTGCTCTTGGGGCCATCGGAGTTGCGGACCTGGTCGAGGATCTCAATTGACTCGGCACCAGCATCAGCGCTAATAGGCTTGGGCTTAGCACCCGGGGTGAAGTTATCTCGGATGGTGTGAGAAACGGCTCGTCCAAAGACTACAAGATCCAGCAGAGAGTTGGCACCAAGTCGGTTGGCACCGTGGACGGAGACACAAGCGGCTTCACCGCAAGCGAACAGACCAGGAACAACCTTGTCGTTACCCTTGTCATCAACAGTGAGAACCTCACCAGTGTATCTCGTGGGGATACCACCCATGTTGTAGTGAACAGTCGGTAGGACGGGGATGGGCTGCTTGCGAACATCGACACCGGAAAAGATGGCAGCGGTCTCAGAGATACCAGGTAGACGCTCAGCAAGGATCTCAGCAGGCAAGTGGCTTAGTTGAAGGTAGATGTGATCCTTCTCAGGACCGACACCTCGTCCCTCACGAATTTCCAAGGTCATGGATCGCGAGACGACGTCACGACTGGCCAAATCCTTCGCGGTAGGCGCGTATCGCTCCATGAATCGCTCACCTTCAGAGTTGAGGAGGTAACCACCCTCACCTCGGGAACCTTCCGTGATCAAGCAACCAGCTCCGTAGATACCTGTAGGGTGGAATTGAACGAATTCAAGATCCTGGTTGGGAAGACCGGCGCGAGCAACCATAGCCATACCGTCACCAGTACAAGTGTGTGCCGATGTGCAGCTAAAGTAAGCTCGTCCGTATCCACCAGTAGCTAGGACAGTGTTCTGCGCAAGGAATCTGTGAAGGGTACCATCCTCCTGGTTATAAGCCAATACACCACGGCATTCTCCGTCTTCCATGATCAGGTCGAGAGCAAAGAACTCAATGAAGTAGTTAGTGCTGTGTCGTAGAGATTGGCCATAGAGTGTGTGGAGGAGAGCGTGTCCCGTTCGGTCAGCAGCAGCGCAGCAACGGTAGGCCTGACCACCCTTGCCAAACTTCTGCGATTGACCACCGAAAGCACGCTGGTAGCTAGCAATTGATGTTAGAAGCGACCATGTGGCCATGTGTTATGCGAGGTTCAGCCTCGACTTACATTTTTCCATCTTCTGTTCTCGAGAACGGGCAACCGTAGTTTTCCAATTCGATAATGGATGCGGGTGCCTCTCTCGTCATGTAATGAATAGCATCTTGGTCGCCAAGCCAATCAGAACCCTTTACTGTGTCGTACATGTGCCATCTCCAGTCATCCTCGTGCATGTTTCCTAAGGCGGCATTGATACCACCCTGTGCAGCGACGGTATGACTTCGCGTAGGAAAGAGCTTCGATATACAAGCCGTGTTGAAGCCAGCTTCCGCCAGACCGAAGGCTGCCCGTAAACCGGAACCGCCCGCACCGACGACGATGGCATCGTATTCGTGGTCCTACGGTCAAGTTAACCGTTGTTGATCCTAAAAGCATTGTCTCTAAAAGCGTGGAACGTGGAACGTGCGACGTACGATAACGGGGTATTTGTTGCTAACATGTATCGGCGCTTCCTTGGCCCGTAGTGGGTTATTCGCGATGATCCGAGCTGCGCGCACATGCAATTAGATATCAATTCCATCATACATAATTTGGCGGGGCACATACAAACAGGGCGCGTAGAAGTGAAGGTTCTGGCTTGGCATCTGGCTGCCCTCGAGAACTATTAAAGACGAATGGTAGTTAATATCTTCATCGCACTCTAAACTTCGGGAAGCCCAAATCTATGCGACACATTCTGAGGTTCTTAAAGTAAGGGAGAAATACTCACGGTAGAGCCAGCGGCTAACCTTCTTAGTGCCATTGAAGATGCCATTACGAATAGGGAACGAGTAAGAAGGAGGGCAAAAGGAGAGAAAGGGTTGTATCGAACAACTCTTCTCTTGTCCTACAAGTTTCGGGGAATGGGGAATGGCGAAAGGCGAAAGGCGAAAGACAAGAAAAAAAAGTGATGATGCCGGTCGAAGTTCAACCGCTGCTTCCAGACGATCGAATTCCTTCCTCCAATAGCGTCGTTTCTGATTACCGAGGGATAATAAAGCCGGGCCTTTCCCCAAGTAGGAGGTACTCTTGTACATTTACCCACCTTCACCCACTCTCTCCCACATTCGCTCCAGTAAGCCGTTTTAGCCATCGGCATCATCATCACGTGTAATTAGACAATGGGAATACCTTATGTGCCGAGTCGTACATACTAGTGCTAGTACATACACATATGCATATACTTTGTACGTATTCGCTTAAACATGACATTTAGTATTTTGTATGATTAAGGTAGATAGGTACTCTTATACTCGGGAAATAAAAGAATATATCATCTAATAGCTACTGATGTATCAAAATCGTAACCTTGAACTAATATTAAACAAGGAGTTATGAAATACGATAACAAGTAATTCAATAACACATTAAGAATAACCGATCCTAACTCAATGTACGAAGCCGTCTTACACCAAAACACACATCCAAGACATCATCCGAGTTAAATCTCTATTAAGCTCCTTTAGCCTGATGCTACCATGACAATAAGTCCTATACTCTTAGGACCTAGGAATATGAGTGCCTATTATGCCAATATCTCTCCCATCTGTCAATGAGCATTTCATAATTAGAGGGCTATTCGAATGTCCCAAAGACTTATAACCTAATGCATCCCGCTCGACGCCTATTATCTCACTTAATTTTCGTACACGCTCGTCAATGCAACCGACCAATGGGGGAATACACCTTTGTCCTAAACCTCGACTCAAAATGCTAGAATAGTATGACCGCTAACGCGCTAGAACCTGCCGTAACATCTGGACGAAGTTGTCTTTTAACTGGTGCACCTCGCTGACCTCCGGTTTCTGCGGCTCGCCGGCACGTGCCTTAAGCCGGTCTTGTTTCTTTGCTCTCCTTCGTCTTTCAGCTTCTATAGGATCCATCTCATCCTCTTCTTCCGCTTCAGCCTCATCGTCAGATCCGTCATCGTAGCTCATGTCTTCTAAGTCCGCATCGTTGAGCCCGAAGTCGCTAGCGTGAAAGCTACTCATACCCGGTACGCCACCGTCGATACCGACTGAACCTTCCGCTGCCATCTTCTGCCGAGTTTTATCATGATGCCACTTTTTGCGAGCCTCCTGCCAGGCGATAAGCTGATCGATTTCCCTAATCGCCTTCTCCTTGTCTAAGTTGCCGCTAGCAACGGCTCCCTCGAAAAGGGCGTTGATGTCTAATGCTCCACCAGCCGGGCCCTTTCTTAAGAACTCTAAAATGTCTTCTATCCAGGCCATTAGTTGCGTGAAAAGACCGTTGTCGTGAGTATGAACTTCGTGGATGAATTTGTAGAAGTTATGCTCGTGACGCTGACATAGGTCGATGAAGGCTTGTACCGTCTGATTCGGGTCTGCCGAGGCATCCTGCTCCCTACACTTCTCGACAACCTAAGATGGTGTTAATATTATTAACTCTTGGAGTTGATAAGTTAACATACCTGGATCATATCACCAATAAAAACGGCAAAGTCGGTAATACTGTCGTACACGTTGGCCGACTTATACACTCTTACCAAAGGTTCGTAAAATATGGTGAAAAGATCCCGGAATAATTGTAAAGTGACAGGTTCTTCGATCAAGCTAAGCATCATTGCCTTATCGCGTTGTCTGGTTTGTAGCTTCATAAGCTGCTTTAGATGCGAGAAAAGCTGCGCGCCCTGTTTTAATTCCTCGTCGACGTTTTCCACTGCATTGTTAAAGGCCACATATGCGTTGAATAATCTCCCAATCTGTTCTCCAGTGAGAGCCGGAGTGAAAAGTTCGGAGCGCAAGACGGCAACTATGATATCTACCCCCTCAGAGTCCGCTTCTTCTCGAACTGCAACCTTTATATGTTCCTCAGCATCCGCAAATTGCTTTAGTTTATTCACAAACACGTCATCCCCAATTATAGTAGCTAAGGCATCGATGGACTTCTGATAGCTCTTAATGCCGTCGTTTAGCGTCAACGAGAAAATTCGTTGCATAAGAGATCGAGCTCCAAATGGCTGCGCCAGGAAAAGGTCAAGCACTCCGGACATAACAGCGGCGGGGTTCGCGAGCCTAATGACGTTTTTCATAAGAGTATAAGGGATCAAGGAATGAATCCGCTTAAGCTGCGCAAATAATTCTGGCGAATTATCTTCGGCAAGGAAAAGGTGGTAGATGGTTGCAGCCACTTCGATGCGGAGCCACTCGGCAAACTTCTGGTATTGGAGACTTAGATCTTGGATGGTGTTTTTATCCTTGATCTCTTGGAAAAGTTTTGTTAGCCCATTACGCTCGACGATATCTTGTCGGAACTGCTCCATATACACGTCCAACTCTGCAGCCCTTTTTCTTGCTATTTCGTAGAATTGCTTCTGTTCCTCCATACGTTTCTCGTCAACAGCCTTGCGACGAAAGATGTCGTCGACATCTTCATCAGTTGGGGTGAGCGGATCGTGTGTTAAGAACTGCTGTAAAGCATTGGTCTGCGCAATCTGGGGGTTTTGCAGTAGATACCGCAAGTATGCTCGTAATGATATACGCTGATTCTCGCGCCAGAGAATTGCATTCTGGAAACATTAGCCCTCATCCTCGCTCTGCTTTAGGTTAACTAAGACATGTCTTAGTAATAAACAACTTACATCGATTTTGGGACTGAGAACCGCGGACGCTTCGAGGGACGGGCGCGGCGATGCACGGCTAGAAGCCACAGATTTGTTCCGGCGGTGATCTCGAACTGTTAAGGTCTTCATTGACTCTGCAAACCCACCACTTTGAGACCCAGGTGCGATAGTAGAAACAGATGAGGCGGACGAGCCGTCGGAGTCTTCAGCACCATCTGTCATGCGCGACATTAAACTCGCTGCAGCTGTATCTGACTTGTTCTTCTTGGGTAACGGAGGGAGGACTTTTCCTGGTAGTTCCGTCCTTAGCTGTCTATGCAATCGGACAAAGTCGCCATATCGTCTGCCTACGTAGAATTCAAGCTCGCCCTTCCGTTTGACGCGCAATAGGAATTCCTGTTACAAGTTATATGAGAATTATGTATCATTTCCTTTTGTAGAAGTACTCACCGCATGCTTGTGACGTCTAATATGTTTCTTGACCTGAGTAATGCGCACACCAGCAACATTGACGTCCCATCCGTTAACGTAGTGTCCCTCGGGCATAGTATTTAATACACCGGTATCGATTGCGTCTCGGTCTACGATTTCCATCTCTGCAAATCTTATGCGCTCTTCAAACCCCGACGCCGTGGGAACCCCCGACACCATCATCAGCTCGACTAATTTCCGGCATTTTAGGGCTAGTTTGCGACGCTTAGTTTCTTCTAATCGATCTTCCGAAGATGAGATATTCTTGCTGGCGAAGGACTCAAGGAACTAGATGCGCGCAAGTGATTATGTTAGTATAGTATAATAATATAACGAGCAGCTTGCTGATGGAATCACATACGACTTGCAGCTTGTCCTGCCAGAATTCCTTCTCCTTCGCCTTGTCAAGGAACGGGAACTCTCGTACATGATGTACGAATATATAACGTAGGATGGGGAGTTCAGAATCATAGGGTGACACCTCTCCAAATTCCGACCTAAAGGGGGCGCCGAATCTGCGAAGCGCCGTAGTAGAATTTAATTCGGATATTTCCCAGTTGACTTGCTCAGATATGAGCTCTCGCTTGAGGTCTATAGAAGATGATGGTTAGCATGAATGACGTCGAGGTGTTTGCCAAGACGAGATACGAACAGTGCTCCTGTTTTCCGGTCAGGGTTTGGCCCGGAGGGGTAGCGGAATCGGTAGTAGGGCCGCGGGGTTCGCCATCTTGGGCGATTTCCGCAGTAGACATATCTTAATGCTGGGATTGATTTGATTTTTTCTTTTCTTTTCCAACCCGGGGAAAATAAGTGGAAGTTTGCGGTTTATGATGTCGGGTTGTAAGTCAATCTCTCTCCCGTTTTCGTTCTTGCTTCCGTCTTCGTACAATTTAAGCTTCAGCCCAAATGCCAACAATTATGCTCAGCGTATACGGCGTACCGGCGAGTGGATATTATGGCGGGGAATATTTGATAAATTCGATGAGATTAATACCGTCAGCCACAAGTCGTTTATCCCTTGATAACTCTCAACGAATAAGATAATATCGATTGTGAAAAATAGGGGGTATGGGGTATGGGGATAAGAACAAATAGAAAACTAATAATGTGAAAAGAAGAAAAAAAAGGTAATGTTTAACTTGTGAGTTAATGAAAGAGTGCAGTTGGTGCCTTGTAAGTGTTCTGGTAACGATGGATAGATGTAAATACAGTGCCAATTATATTATATACTGTATGTGTTTACATTATACTCTCATGTGATCTACAATTATTCGAGGCCTTGGGGCTGAGGTGAATCACTACCAGTTAAGACGATCAATCCGAAGTTTTTAGATCCGGCTTGGTGCGCCGTTAAACGGTAGCGCCCTTTCCCTCCTAATTGGTGGTAGTACCAAGTGGCTTAGAGATGACGTCGACAAATATGTACCTACCTGTTAATCATGTGTCCCACTATTTAAGATGCTAATATACCTGCATTCACTAATATCTCACTTATTAGTGCTTCATCCCTTGCTTGTATATAAATAATATGTACCTAGTTATATATTTTACCTAAGTAAGTTTTATATATTTTGTATGTAGTGGGTAATAAATAATCCTAATATTATATGTATTGTTCATCATCATTATGATTGACTAATAATAAAAAAGGTTATAAGTGACTAGAGATCTATGTACATAGGACTACGCAATTATGGCTACATGTGTCTTACGTACAAACTCCACAGCTTTGGACCCTGCAGGGCTGAAGCCAAGTGGTTGTCTGAGAAGTGAAGTGCCATATATCCGCGGCTAAGACGGCATCAACCTTATACCTATAACTACTTGGACCTTTTAGATTAGTCAGGTACTCACACTCACGAGTTTCATCCAAGTGCTACTACAAAACTCTTTCGACTTGCACACGTAGGCTTTTATATGTCATCTGTCAAGCTTTCGAAACAATGACGGTTGATGAATGAACTAGTTATAAGAGGTACGTTAGCTATATACATAAACAATATTGATAGAGGTTGAATAGCCGTCACTACAGCATAATAAAAGTAATTAGTGTGTTAAAGATAAGGGCAACCATTCCGTAATATAATAGTACCTTGATGATGTTGATTATGTGTTTGATGTTATACTTAGAAACCTTCTACTGAAGATGGTTGCTAGGGTTATCATTACTTCCAGGGGAATTAATTCCTCAAGTCATGGTCGGATGGCCAAAGGCTTCGAGTTATAGCTCGTCGAGGGCTCGGAACACACCATTCCCGGTAGACTCATTGGCTTTTCTGCTGCCGAGTGCTTCTCTCACCTCATCCACCATAGAGGCAGCGTCCATGGTTTGATTGCCAACTACGTTACTCAAATATGGCTGTCCTTGCCCGTTACTTGACGTCGGATCCAGAACCCCCGAATTATTTTCAGACGAAGGGGCGTACTGGGCTATAACCAGTATGAGTATTAGTGAGAAAATCACCACGGACGTGATGATCCATATGGTCTTGAGACGTTTTCTTGTCTTTTCTTGCCATTCCATATCCGCCCTTTCCCAGCCTTCGATCCGCTCCCGTACTACATCTACCCGCTTGCTAAGGGTCTCGACCATGTCACGACCTGCATGTATGCGACCCTGTAGTTCTTCGATGCGTCTCTGCTGATCGTCAAAGTGACCGAACGAGTCGGCCTGTTGCTCTAACTCGTCTACTAGTCCTTGCGACTCTGCCTTGAAGCTTTCGTCTAGCTCCTGCGACATGCTTGTGAGTTCCTTAAGGGAAATTATCGTACTCTGAAGCATGCCCAACCTCTCAAGAACAGAGTAATACGTATCATCTAGACGCATCGTCGTGGTAGTCGAAAAATTGCTTAATTCTACTAGCGACTTTCTCAATCCCCTATTTCAAATGTTAGTTATCGAAGACAATGGCTAGTCAATTTTTAATAATCCCCGGGAAGCTGTAGTGACGAACGCTAAACTTGATGCTACTTTTTCTCTCTGCTCGCGCGCTAGTTCCTCTTCAGTTATCGAGGTCGGCACAAGGACCGTAGGTTTGGTACTACGTGTAGCATCGTCGGAAGAAGGGTTCAGCATGCCGATTCTGAGATTTGTTTCGGAATTTGCATATGGGGTTGTGCCTTCGGATCGGGGCAGCTCAAATGAGCCTCGTGGAAGGTGAAGAAGCATCGGATTTGCAGATTGGGGGGTATGGTCATCGTTGTCGCGATCCTTTCGCTGGTGAAGATGATGTAAGTGGTGATGCCGGGGTAACTTGATTGGCGATGACAGTTCAGTTATTGACCGTCTTACTTGGTGACGAGGCCGTTGTGGGGAGGTAGTCACAGGTTTCAGGAGGTCGAAATCTTGATTCTTGGACATCTTTCCACAGGTACCAGAATGGCTTAAGGTAGGGTAGCCTGATTTATATCAACGCGCGTCAAGATTAAAACAAGTAATATGGATGTACTGTATTGCGCGCATTAAATTGTACCTACATTAGGTAGGTATGCAGTCGATGCAGTTGATGCAGTAGTATGAATGGTTGATTAACTTGGAGTGAGTAGGAGAGTAGATTTCCATTGGATCGAGATTAGAGGATCGGAGGAAGTTTACAGCACTCCGTTGGCACATGCTCCCTCCCCACTACGGGACTTTCCGCATCTTCACATGTCACTTTTAGTGTACATTCTTTAGGTACCTAGCCTAATTCTATGTGTCTTACCACCACGATATTTAAAGAAACGCCTATCTACTTCCTATGTATGTAGTCGAAACACTTATCTACATGTGTAAAATGTAGTAATCTTGCATGGCTAGAATGTAAATTTTGTATAGTACCGTTGGCCCTAGCACAATGATACATATATGTAAAGACTCGGGATGTTAAATCAAATATGGCGAGTTGTAGGTTATGTAGTGATGTTATATTACTAGCCGTGTCAACCGTCACAGAGTTGGGTGCTATCCCGTTGCGCACAGTTCGACGACCTACTCCCTGTCTGCCTTGTTGACCTCAAAATGTCACTACTGGCTTTAAAGCAACACTAATTGCGGAATCCCGTGTGTTGGATACCATCTGCCTTTTCCTAATCTTGAATAATAAGCCGGCCTGGATCTGATTTTGATTATCTTCGTGCCCATAAATCTCTCAGGATCCATCGACAGAAAAGAGGGTTGATCCCACAGGCTGCTTTTGCTGTATTAAGTCGACTCGCTGCGCGTGTCCACCACTCCTTAATATATAAGGAAATAATCGTAGACGTAGTTCTCTGGCATTTTTGAACGGCTCATGAGTTGAGGAGCTTGTTGCGCTTTTCCTTTCTCTTTAGACGTTCGACTCGTTTTTTGTGCATCTTCTCTGCCATCTTTTCATATCTCTCCTTCTCCTCTTTCGCTGCGCGCTTCTCCTTGATGGCTTGAACCCGTTGCTAGTCCTAGTGTCAGCTATGCCCCACTGGTCTCATCTTCATAACTATGATGTCGGGTTTACCTTTCTTTCTGCCTCCTTTTCTTCTTTCATTTCATTTTCTCTTGCCTTCGTCGCAGCCGCAGCCGTGCGTAATTTCGTTCGTTTCTCATACGAAGTCAACCCGGATCCAGGGCGGAATGCTTTTCGCGGCGGATGCCATTGTTTGCCTATAAATTACTCATAAGCTTTGTGCCAGCCATGAATATTGTTGTAGTTCTCACCGTTCTTGCGTATGCCTTGAAGCTCTTGCTTCTGTTCGGGTTCAGTAATGCTGGTCGACATAATAGCGCAAGAGTCTCAATAGAGCAATTGCGATTGTTAGAAGATAACTATTATCACTTGCTTCTATAAACGCAATATCGGTTGCCTTTGATAACGTTTTCACTAAGTTGCGCGCAATGTATGGATCTTATCGCCAAGAGGCATATCAATCAAATAATGTTTGCGATTAAAAAAAAAGTTGACATATGGAACTGGGGTCTTGTAGGCAGAGTGGATCTCCTAAGAAATCTAGAGAGGCGATTAGCCAGAGAGCAAAAATATACGGTGCTGGATCAATTATCTTCCAGCGGCAAAAGGTACCTAAGCCCCGAGATCGTTCCAGGGCTCTGGGCCCAATCAGGTGCACGATATGTGCCGTGCAGATTAGTCTGTCGTTCTAGCTGAATTTAAAATCTGGTTGGCTAATGTACCTACATTAGTGAAACGAGATTAGCTTCTACGCCTCTCGAGTCGGGTAATTTTCTTGTCTTTCATTCCGTAATGGTCTAGCTTCCATCTGTACCACATGAGGTACAAGTCTTATTGTAGGTAAGATTTAATTGTTTGCTATTGTCTATTAAGCGATCGAGGTAAGCCTTGCTTGGTAGCGCATTTGTGTATTTAATATTTTCTGTACCTGGACGAAACCCTAGATGCAATAATACTAACTGTTTCAACGTTGCCTATTGCTATTTATGTGCATATAGAAGTTGAATAGTATCATCCTAATAAGACGATTCTGGTATAGTTCCAGTTTGACCCCCAAGGGTTCGATATCATAAGACAAGGGTCTCTCCGCAGAGGATTCAGTACCGAAACCTATCCGGAGACTGGAGTACATAGGTATTACATATTTGGAGTGCCTGGCTTGTCAAGCTTCTCATCAAGTTATCACTTGACCCCCAAGAGGCAAGGGCGTATCCCGGGTTGCCCATCGCTATCCCGTTCTCCGTGTCCGTATTCAGAAATTCGTGGAGAGTGAGGCTTGGGCTATAGCCGCTAGCAATACTAAAAAGTTTTGTCATTTATTTCCTGAGTTTTGCCGTTGGAGGGATTAGACGCGAGATTACTTAATTAGTTGTGATATTCTTAGATACATACGATTTTGAATCGGAGATGAAGAATCATTGGTGGCCGATCATTGCTTACAGCCCGCTGTTCAGCTTGATTCTTTACCTTACTAGTGACAGATCGTGTTTTTTTAGCAATCTTTAGCATGTCCGCTACGAAGCGATCGTATACTTTTATTTTATTTCTTTAAAGAACCATCGCTAATGGGATAAACAACGAGATGCGAGCTGGCAATAAGATCAACTATTCTTTATCCGGCGGAATACCCACAGACTCATGCAAAGTTATCCGAGCGCGTCGAATTCCATGGCCTTGGTTGGTTACGAACCATGGAGGCTAATGCGACGGCTGCTTACGGGCTTGCAGTGTGTAAGGTAAGGTAAGGTGTACATACGCACACATGTATGTAAGTCCATACCTACCTACCTATGTAAGATGTAAGTGCTGAAGGTGGTATGCGAATCGCGGCCACGGCTGGACCGGCTGCCTACTTTGCGCTAAAAAGCGGACGACTTGCGTGGGATAATAGTCCTGTTGGCTTGGCTCATTTATTATCTATTCTAGTTCTTGTTGCGCTGGTTTTGTACTTGGCCTAGTAAGATGAAGTCTAGAAATGCAACTAGATTTGGTGCTACCTTACATAATATTGAAGATAAACAAATGTTCATCAACTCGTATATGCATTGCCTTTCCCGTGAACAACATCGCCGTGTTTATATGTATAGGTATGCACTGAGCACGGAACAGCAATGAAATGTACCTGATCCTTTTGCGTAGGATTGATTAACCTAATTCTGAAAGCCCCTCCAGCCGCAAATGCAACGAAGCAACCGAAGGTAGGAAGCGCGGGGGGTCATTAACCAAGAAGGGATAGGGTGCTGCAGGGGAGCACCGAGGACTAAAGGCAAGCCATCCAAAATAGGAAAGCGGTTTTCTCAATTACACCTGTACACGGATTTGTGTTATGTACTGTACACGTAGATGCATAATTAGATGCAAGGTTTCCAAACAAGATGACCGGGTTCAAGTTGCCTCTGCCTGCTTTGTCTGCTTGCCTGCCAACCTGTTACTGCCAACTTGTTACCTCCCAGCTTTCGGCTACTCTCTGTTGAAGATTTTATGTGCTTTTTTTAAGGGGTTTCAACTTTCAAAAAGTATTTAGTTTTTCGAAAACACCCTTTTATCAGGGATGGCTTGTTTCTGCATGTCTGATTGCATTAAACCTAGGTTACGGAGAATAATTAAGCCACTTTCGTTATTCGCGGTGTTCTGCTGGGCCGTCAGGGAGGCCAGTGCTCCATTCTATGAACTGCGCATCGCAATAATTCGGCATGCACTTGTGTCGTTCTCAATGTGGGAACACTTGTTGGCGACGGCGCATACTGTACTGTTTTGATGGGACTTACATACAATCTATATATGAACAGTACAGTACCTCTATACTACCTGCGCAGTAATTTTTATTTTTATTTTATTCTTTTTTTGACTTGTAATTTTCTCCATTGTTGGTTGTATCTCCGTCATACCTCGCACGAGCCTCAATCGAAACTTCAAACGGCGGAGTAGCCTGAGTAAGTCGCGATCATGAGGTCATGGACCACTCAAAGACGGCATTCAATGCTGACAATGTAGGTATAAGTTTTACTTATGAACGGGGCATCCACCCTATTACGAGGTTTATTTGACAACGGTAGTGATACGTACCTACGTAGTCCACGTAGGCGCAGCCTCCTGCAGGGACCCTCACGGAGAGGCATCCCTCGGTGTGACTGCAGATCATGTACACTCCGTGCATTTCTAACTAGCGTTGTACTTTGGTGAATATCCTCGTAGTTTCGATAGTAACCGTTTTGATTCAAGGACCCAGGTTGACTTGAAATTGGCTTAAAATGAGATCTTGATTCCAATGTTGACAATCTTGAAATAGGTATTTACATACACCAATGCAAGATTGAATTAGCTAGCATTAGTGGTATAACGATTTAGATTATACGACTAAGAGTTACGTACGCCACAGCAAGATATATGGCATAATCAAGCGTGAAATAATCATCATTCCTCTGGGCTGTCATCATTTCGAGCGCATTTTTAATTGTTGATTAAATGTTATTAGATACGGTACCTACTTATTGTCGGCAGCAGGTAATAGCCACTATGGTACTTGCTAATTTGTACCTACCTGAGTGCTAGGTTTATTCTACATACCCTAGTCCTTGCAAGCTTGAGATCCTTATTAGGGTACTTATTACCTAGGTACATACAGTACAAGCGTTTAAGTTAGTAGCGCTGCCGCACGGTCCAGAAGGACACAACCCAATAGCCTAACAGTGGCTTTTTTCGACTTTGCACACTTCCATCTTTCTGGAGTCGTCTACACACCTACGATTATCTCCTCAATCCTTCATTCACTCCTCCACCTTACCTCAACCACCACCACCACCACCACCTACTGGTCCAATTCCAGAAGCAGATCTTGTGTTTCTAAGATTTGCTCTGGTCTTGGCCGTCCGCTCCTTTGATTAATCCCCTCTTCAATTCCATTATCCTACTTCTATCTTTATTTTGGTTGTTTTTGTAACCAATCCATTTCGAGGGAAGCCGGACGACAATTACGCTCACCGACCGCCAACAAAACATTCCGCCTCACCCGACGACGAGGTACGACTTCATATCACAACTTCGTGCCAAGAGTTCAGAAAGCTAGTCATCTGGGCTTTTAATAATTAAGCGGGAAACTGACCTTTTCCTTATCTCAGGCGCCCCAAGCACCACCGTCGCGCATTGTCAAATTGTCATGACCAATTAGCCTTTTCGATTTCTACGCCCTCACCTTTACACTATACTCGAAAGATACTCTATGATATCTCCCTATATCTAAGTTTTTTCCCCGCTCTCTGCGCCGGGGAGGCTTGAAGGAATAATGGCCACCGTAATTGCTGCTAGTCTCCCGACCGAGACGGCTACATTGAGCGGGGTGAACGATGTCCCATCGCGACAACTCCGTATCTCGACGCATCAAGATGAGACCATGACCCAATCAGCCGTTCCCGGTACCCAAAATTCTTCGCTCATCAACCTACCTCCGCCGAATCCGCCCTTCGTTTTTCCAGCTCGCCCGTCACCGTCTTCAGCGCCTTCGTCTTTCTCTCGGGCAACGGGACGACGACCTCAGTCTGCGATAGAACTTCAGGGCCGGGCATTTGGCTTCGCTGGCGGCATGGGAGATTCTCCCTCCAGATCGCCGGGCTTGCCCGACTTCAGTTTCAACCCGGGTGCCGATCCTAGTCCAAACCCCAGCAGCCAGTCATCTAGGTCTCCAGCTCTACCGGATTTCGCATTTAACCCAGGCGCTACTCTTGGACCCGATGAGTCCCTCCTTAGTCCTACACTCTCTCCACCGTCGCCAATGATACACCCCAACCGTGGTGGCCATCGACGAGGCGGGAGTGAGTTCGTAGGCGGTAAACTCAAAGGGGGAGGGTCGATTACTGTAATGAGTACGAGCCCAACTAGATCTGATGGTGGCATTGCGTCCCCCAAGCTCTCACCTGCAGATGTTCCGCCAAGAAGAGGACATGCACACCGCCGCTCTGCTGCAATCTCTAGTCACGATTTGACTATGATACTTAAGCCAAATAGTCCGGCTTCGAGGGGCAGTAGTGCGCCCACTAGCCCGGCTGATTTTGACGAGAAATTTCGCAATTTTCCCGAGCCGAAGACGGAAAGTCCTAAAACCGAGATTGATCCCCAGCAGGCAAGCGCGGAAGACGTTCAGGAAGTATGCGTTCAGCCTATGCTGCAGTCTCCTCCATCGCCAAGGGCCGCCGCACGCGCGCGAGTTGGGTTCTCCGATACACTTGAATTCATTCCCCGCCCTCTGTCTCTAGTTTCAACCGACACATCAAGTACAGTGACGGTTCGTCCTGGCCACCGAGTTTCAGGGAGCATCTCATCTATTGTCTCAACGAATTTAGCATCTACAGATCGTGATACTTCCAGTGTGCTTGGATCACCTGGTTCTCGTACGAAGAATGATTCGCGCCCTAGCACCGCAGGCGCTGTTTTAGAGCGATCCCCGAGTCTTATCGTACTCAATGGAGATTCTTTATCGCGTAGGCGCAATTCGATTCCCTTACTAACAGAAATCCCTAAACGCAGCTCGGGATCGCCTACAAACACGAGTCCTTCAAAAACTCCTAGGAGGTGGTCTTTTTTCGGACTCGAACCTTTCGCGGCGACCAATTCGCCCACGAAATCAACATCACTTAGCTTAGGTTTATCTAAAGCAGTGGAGAAGCGATCTGAGCCTGCTTATCTATCAGCGGAATCCGACTGGGTGTCAGCTGAAGATGGATTATCTCGTTCAGAAAGCAAGAAGGGTTCAATAAGGAAGAAGAAGCAGAAGAGGGTTAGGTCATGGGCTGGCTCTATTTTAACGAGGAAATCAAAGCCTCGTAAATCGAAGTCAGTGCGCCGTCGTTCGGCTACGCCACCAGTATATCAAGAACAGGTGATCGAAGATTTCGGTGACTATCTTACGGAAGTACCCGAAGCACCTATTGCACCGGTAGTTTTGGTAACTGAGCCTGAGCCCGATCCAAGTACAGCGGAGCCAGGTCGAACGTCTGAAGATGATATATCTTATCCTATGATCGATCTCGATGCGGCTCTTGGTCCGTTCAATACACCCTCCTCTCGTGATCCTCAGTGGGACGAGGCGCAAAAGACGGGCGCCCCACCAAAGCGCCAGCTACACAGTGCTGCTGGCTTAAGGGGTTTCAGCGGGCCAGGAATGCATTATCACCGCCGTGCTGAGAGTGCTCCTGAGATGCCCCCTTTTGAAGCTGTACGATTCGGCATACATCGCTTCGGCAGTTCTTCGACTATGGCGGATGTGTTTGAAGAGGACGAAGAGGAGGAGGATACGAGCGCAAAAACTCCATCCGAAGAATCTTCTATAGACGCCCAAGACGCTTCAGCTGATGAAAGCGAATCGACATCAAGTACTGAGGACGACGCAGTTCCGACGCCCACGCAAGAACGCGAGCACGGTAAAGCTAGTCCAAAGGATATCCTACCAACGCCTACCTTGGTGACACGTAAAGGCAGCGGGTCAAGCTTGGACATACAGCGACCAGTATCTAGGATGAGAACCGAGAACCTTCGAGAAGAAATCATTCTGGAAGAGCCCAACTACGGTACGCCTAGACGTGCTATCCATGTTATGGGCACCCCGGGAACCCCTGATTCAGAAGCCCCATCTCCCCGCCAGATTTTGAACACCGATATCGATCCGATGGATACAAGTAATGGAGCGTTCCCTGGTTCTTCGACCATGCCAGCCACCCCATATTCGCTAAGCTATTCATCCTCATTTCCGTCTCCTCGTTCGCCAATGTCGTATGACGCTCAACGAATCTCGACCGCCCCATCTTCGATCGCTGATGAGAACAATTACCATTCACTATTGATGGGCGAACCTGGACCAGAATTAGTCCGAATATCTGTTGATGTTCCGTCTCTAACGAGTAGTAATTCGACCATGACACGGGATAGCACTTTCACGCCGGGCGCTCAACCTAGGAATATGCCCTTCCATGATCAGCGGCCTGCTTCGTTTAGCGCCGCAGCATTCGGCCGCCGAAGATCCAGTTTGGTCAGTCTCAGTCGGCTCATTAGTAGCGCCCACGGAGAACGGAGCAAGCTGAGCATGGAGGTCCCTCTTGACTCGGACCCGGAAGATAAGCCTAAGATGAGCAAATCGAAGCGTCTTAGTCGCATAATGCAATTCTGGAAGCCGAAGGGATCGGCCAAACCTTAGGGACATCTCCAATATTTTTGTTATAGGTGTTCACACTTAGGCTCGGTACTCTCGGGTAGATAGGGGACGATCATCAGATTGGTTTCTGCGGCGGTCCACCGCTGACGGATCCGATGAAGTTTATGTATTCTCACGCATTTCTCATTACCTGTACGAAACAAAGTTCTTCACGTAGAGGATCCTTGATGGTACTTGAGACAATCTTATTCACGACCTTATTTGCAAAGCATGCATTGTTTTGTACGCATACGAGAAGACCTGAAATCTCAGGGGTCAGTCTCGCAATCGTTTATTTTTCTTTTACTTTATTTTATGAACGCATGACGGCATTTTTAAGCCATTTCATGACCACGGCTCCGTTTTCCAAGACATTCACCTAGTCTATTTTCATTGCTTCAGGAGGGGAAGGAAATTAAGTAGCCGTTTAGGCTTGCAGAAAAAAAAGTGCCGCCGGAGGATTTGGGGGCTCCGATTTCTCTGGACATAGCGCTCGCGGATATGAATGGGGATGGGGAGGAATATCTCGGGACCATGTTCCATAAAAACTTCATAAGTCTGTTGCTACATGACCTGTAAAGTAGTTGCTCACTATGGACTCGTGGAGCACCCCAGGTTTGTACACATACACACAATAATAGTGAACATACACTACTAAACAGGTTCGATGCCAGATGGGCGTTCATATTACTGAAGTGATATGCAATAACGTTTCGATTTGGACATCTTCCTAGTAGTGACTATTATATACTTTTCAGCAGTTAGTTAAATAAAGAATCAAACATCTGTAAAATATGAACATTGTTCAAAACATATTAAATTTTCGATTTATACGAGACTGCATATGTATTTTATAAAATAGCATATAATTATTATACATAGTTACGGAAATCAATCCAATTGGAAGGTATAAGACCACGTATAGACATTATAAACAATGTAACTACATAACTAATGTTGGAATAAGATTAGTTATAGATACTACAAGCTAATCACAGTATCCCACGACAGAACCCAAGACTTAGTGTTCATGTCGGTGAGCGTGGTACCTATTATTTGTTAATGCAATTCCCGTCCTAGCTAATGAATGCAATGCATACATTCCATAATACCTTGAAACTTGTTTAATTGCAACAGTCCACGTTACTTCCCGTGTAACACCGTTTCCACGGGTTCTATGCGTCCACCGAGGCTACTCCTCGGCCTGAACCGGGGCATCCAATCAGGACTTGGAAGCAGACCCGTGCTCTATCTAGCGAGGCACGGCGCGCCTTTGGGTTAGGTACCTACCGCCTGCCGAGACAAGCAAGCAAGCAAAGCAAGCCATCGGAGCTTATGTTATTACCTTGCCTTTACTTTGGCTTGTCCAACTACCTACCTAACCAACCTACCTTATCGTCACCCGGATTGGAACGAGCATCTTTCCGTATAAGACGAAAAAAACACACTTGGGACAGAACAGAGGTTTACAAAAGAAATAACAAAAAATCGCTCTCGAGTTATATATATATTGCTTTTTTAATAAAACAAGAATCGCATCGCTCGCTCGCAGAGACGGAATGGCGACTAATTCAGCGTCGGTTTCGCGCAGCGCGACCAAGCGCTTGGTAAAGGAGCTGTCTGCCTGGGAGAACGAGTCGCAGGCCGAGGCGGGCATCGAGCGCCTAGGCCCTGTGAGCGACGAGGAGTTGCTGCACTGGGAGGCCGTGATCAATGGACGGGGCGTAGGTAGTGGTTACGATGGTGCGTCGCGATCCCACATTCTCTATTCCCTTCATACCTCCGACCCCCATACCTTTCATATACAAAAACTAACAAAACTAACATCATCCCAGCGGGCCGCTGGCTCCTCGACATATCGATCCCCCCCACATACCCCCTCTCGCCGCCCAAGATCTCCTTCCGGACCCCGATCGTGCACGCCAACATCGCGCTGCGCGGCGGCGACATCTGTCTGGACCTGTTGAAGGAGGCTTGGACGCCGGCGTACAGCATCCTGGAGTGCGTGCGCGCCGTGCGCATGCTGCTTAGCTGTCCCGAGACCGACAGCCCGCTGAACGTGGATGTTGCGGCTTTGATACGCGGCGGGGATGCCATGGGTGCTAGGCGGCTGGTGGAGTTTTGGTGTAGCGATGAGGGCGGGCGGTATGAGGGGAGGTAGGGTTTGCGAGACGAATATGGGAGGTAATGGAATGAGAGTGTGGTGGAGCACGAGGTTACGATAAACTGGCGCGAGATGGATGGTCAAGTTCGACGGTGGTTTGGATGGGCTCAGATAGCTGGTAGAGGCACTATTTGCAAATAACTGGGAGGGATGTCGTTGAGGAATAGTTCATTGGAGCGGGCGTTTGTTGATATATATGGAATCCCGGGCCTCTCCTTACATATGATATGGACCCGGTATCGAACTACTACATTATTTTGATTTGATTATAACATATCATTCCCCGGTATTTCAACTCGATGAAATATGAAAAAAGAAACCATTCTATTATTGTATGATTTCTTCGAATTTCCAAGGCGCCTAGAACGAGAGTCCGGTCCCCTTGTATTGGTGCAATCCCGATGGGCCTTTGCCTAGTATAACAGTTTTTTAAAAAGCGCGATGATTTCCCCGTCCGGTGATGCTGCTACTACTCCTGTTGCTGCTACTACAAATAAATATCTACAGGAAAACCCCTCCCATCCCTCGACCACAGCGATGGAGGGCCGCGACGTATTTCGGTAACCCCATGCTCCGTAGTCGCAAAACAAACAATTCGGCACGTTTAAACTCCTCATCTCCAAAATGCAATGATCCGAGACTCGTGGCAGATTACAAGGTTCGTTATGACAAAAAGCGTTTCGAGCCGTATGTTAGTTCCGTCTTCTATTCGTTGTAATGATAAACCTGTATCCAGAGTTAGCCGGCTGTAATTTTAAGATGTCGTCAAGGCAAAGGTATTACTTTATAGTTAGGTAATCCAGTAGCATGCCAGCCTAACCTCCTCGCCATCTTCGCAAACCCTTCGGTCTCGATTAGATGGTAGAATGGGAAAGGCGGGAACATAGCACCGTCACGGTGAACATCCGCTTTAACTAGCAATGCAGTGCCACCAACACCGTCTAAGGGTACTTCCAAGTGTTTTTCATCCTCCTTCTCCGCCATGTAAGCCATTAAGGCCCGGTAGGTTGCCATTTCGGAGTATCCTTCGAGGATAATCTCATCCTGGTTCATCTTAGAGGCGATTTCTTGCGCGGTCGGGCTATCCTGCCAACTATTAAAGTCGTACGGGCGTTCCTTAGGCTTTCCCGTTTCCGAGTCAATATATCTCTGATAGCAATTCGGTACTATGATGGGCTTATCGTGTGACGCAAGGTCTTGTATCAAAGTAGGTGGTGTCTCGATGATATCGGAATCTAACCATAATACCCATGATGTATCGGCTCCCAGCGTGGTGAAAAGCAGCGAATTCCGTGCTCTAGACATCGAGGCTCGTCTCGCCTTCTGGTTCTCCATCTTATGTCGTTCGCTTTCATCTTGAGATGTTAGAGGAGGATCGAAATCCTGTCGTTCGATAATTATACTCCTAAATCGTTCCTTAACAGGGCCTTTTTGTGTCTTCGTGATTTGAGCCTGCAGCGCAGTAGTCGCTGCATTACCCTCCTTATTTTTAGGTAAGATAAAGGCAAGCGTAACCAGATCTCGAGGGTATTGTAATTTTAGTAAGTTGTCCCAATATTCCTGGTAGAAACGCGCCATTGGAGTTAAAATAAGGACAGCCTCTCGGTTTCCAATCGGATCCGGGGTAATTGTAACACTATTTAAGTTGAAGCGCCGGACAGGAGGCCGTTCGACGATTAGACTCGACTTCGTGCTGGGCTTACGGGTAGCGGATCGGCTCGCATTGGCGGATTGTGAAGTCGAACCGGTATGAGAGAGGAAGTAAATTATAAAGATACAGAGAATCGCGCCGATAGACAATGTGAGGTAATTTGTCCTCCGCAGGCGGACCGGCCCCAGAGGGCGCGCCATGGTGAATTGATATTATCTCTCAGATCAGGACGTGCAGAATGCCGAGGACAAGGCGTAAGGCGTAAAGCGAAAAAGGAGTGTTGATGAATGGAATAAAATGACTAATTGGCACGGGCCATCGAGGGCGTATAAACGGTACTGCTATCGGGATAAAGATTCGCAATAGGTAAAATAGAGATCGCAGTAAGTGGTCCCGGAATTAGCAACGCCAATATAGGACGGCGATGCGTACGTCGGTTCGTCAAGTTGTTGATGATGTTATGAGGCTGTCGTAGAAAATTGTTGTTAAATTTCCCACGCCGAATTGCCAGATAACACTAAAACTGAAATGGATTTCGAGTTACCATGTCCATATGCTAGGTACTACCTATTAGGCCTAAATTAGTTACTACCTCTACCTACATCTACCTGTATGGTTGCTAAGCACCAAAGTACCTATAGCACCTAATTAGATAGGCGAAGTACCTTTTAAAACTTATAATATCAATACGAACGTTATATAGCAAGGCGGGTAACTCTAGCGTACTGCATAGATCCACTTTTTTTCAGCCATTGCATCAAGCCATCAATTGTTCCACATACATATGGTACATATGGACATAGCAGGTCTGCAGGTGTCAGACCTGATAGCAATAGATAGGGTATTCACTTGTTGGTCCAATCTTATTCAACCGGAAGTGTTAGGAGGTGTCGAGATACCACCTCACAAACATGATTAACAAATTTGTCTGACTTAAATATAGAAGACATCTGATCAGGTATGTAATAATTACGTTGACCTCATACATATATAATGGTTATACATACAGATGTAGTGTTATCTTTGTAAGTTGTCAGTAACCACCTCCTATGTGGTTGAGGTATTATATCTTACTAAGGCATAAGGGTCTTTTCCCTTCTGGAGCCACTTACCAATAATAGGCTAGATAGGTAGTTAATCCTATTATAGCTAAGTATAGAACAACATCTCCAGCTAGTAGGCTAATCGCAACCAATGAGTTTTTCATTCATGCATAGAATTTATTAGTATTAACCGCAAGTGAAGTATGTACCTAAGGTAACTACTTAATATAAGTACCATATGTGTGTTACACAGATATTTATATATCTTAAGGCACCATGTAGGCAGGCACATGTTTGTTTGCCGTGAATTATTTATACTGGATCTCAATCGATAGGGTCGCACAGCTTCGCCAAGCGGAAAACCTATCAATCGCACATGCCATTTTGTAATCTATAATGTAATGTAGGTAGTGCAAGTTGTCGACATATGTACCTAAAAGAATATATGTGCCAAGGCATATGAGGCAGTTCCGAGATAGGGTTAGCTTGTGGGGCTGAATTAAGGGCCAATCAGTGGTGGAACATCGAGTCGTTTTGATTCAGGCAGGGACTGAGGCAGGCTAGGCCGTTCCATGTACTGTACCTTCTCCGTGAAAACTCTCTATTTAGTGGCTACTAGCAACCAAAAACCCGCTACGCTACTAATGATACATAATAAATGCAGGTGATCTTCTCCGTATGTGCCTACCTACATCCACCTTAGTCCATTTACCTAGCATTTTATCTAGCCTTAAACATCTTCATACAACCCCATCCGCTCCATCTTCGGTCCCCTCTTTCAAACTCCGAGAAAGGCAAGACGAATTCCAAGTCACCAAGTCACCAGCCAAAGGTCAAAGGAGATAACCCCGGAGGGTCCCTGTCTTACTTCAAGTTAAACTAACCCGTCTCCGGAACCTGGGGAGCGTCTCCTGTATTATAATTCCACCACCGCCTCCTCTCTCTCTCCGCAGTCTTGCAGGTTTGCAGGTTTGCAGTCTTGTGCAGTCTCGCAGGGCTTGTTAACCGTTCCTGGCATCTGGCATCGGACTTATCCGTCACGGCTCGATTCAAATGTCATGTTTCGTGCCCATACCACTCCTGATGGACTCGCCCACCGCTATTAGCAACCCGGCCAACTAAGGACCACAATCACAATATCACAATAGTTATAACATATAACATAACACGCATACAAACGCGCACAGTGACACTTCCCATTCTTCTTCTCACCTCAACTTCTTTCTCATCACCTCGCCTATGCACCTCTCACGCGTAATCAACCCCAACAAGTCAGGTCAACGCGGGAGCTCGGACACTTCGAAACTGACTCGGTACGACATATGACCCGCATAAGATTCAATTTCACTCCTCGTCTCTACCCTGCCATCGTTCCACAACAACTTCGAACTGGCGGTCGCAATATCAACCCAGCTCGCCCTCTCCCTTCGCAAGCAATTCTTGATTGTCCGGTCTTCTCTCACCTGAGACCTACATTCCAGAGTCGTACATCGGACGGACTACCGATCTTCCTTTTCTATTGACCTTCAGCGGTCGGCCATCTATCTCGACAAATCACCCCTTGGCCACTGTCTTGGCCACACCGCTTCATGTGAAAACGAAGTGAGATAGATAGACCGCTTAGGCCTTTGTCCTCGTTGGAAATGGAGCCCGTCCCTGAGACAGAGAGAATGGAGGAATTCCGCTCCTCTCCTTTACCTACTCTGCGTCTACAGCCAGCTGCCATCATTACGAATGATTCGGATCCTGGTCGCAAGCCTTACACCTTCCGCAGATCAACCGAGCCTCCATCTCCAAGCTCGCCATCTTGGACAACAGCAGCCTCTCTTCCGTATCGACCTCGAACTACCTCCCCTTTGACCGGCACTCACGGCCGATCTAAGTCAATGGCCAGTCTCGCACCACCTACCATCGGTCGTACACGATCAATGCCAGGTGTTGATGGTTCAGGTCGTATCATTTACCCGCCGTTGCTTCGTCCAGCTAGCCCCTTGAGTTCTCCCAACAGAAACCGAATGCCTCGAAAGCCGGTCGATGAAGCATACCCCCCGACTTCTCCGATTCGATCTTCTGTCTTGGATGGCGAGAGACATCTCACCGAGCTGGGAGGTTCCCCTAGTTCTAGTACCCCGAATTTGGGCAATCTAGCTCATCGACGAACATCTTCGCCCCTACGCCTTACGAGTTATTCATCAAGCACTCCGTCTCTTCCCGGAACTCCCTCGGCTACAGCAGGTTCGCCTTCATTCCGACCCGAGAGTTTGTCGTATGGTTACACTTTCCCTTCTTACTATCCCTCATCGTCGGTCCCTTCGACACCGACCTCCATGAGATCTCGCAGTCCCAGTATTTCAAGTCTGGAGACTATTCCTGATTCTCCTGATGCTGAAGAGGCTGCTTTGGAAGCGGAAAGAATATCGCAGTTGAAGGCTGCCGCGGATGCCGCCGAAGAAGGAGAGTCCGGAGAGGCAAAGGGCCGGGACGCGCCCGCGCGTGGAAGAACTATGGGTCTTGGGTCAAGAGATAAGCGTAAGCGCTGGAGTGTCTGCGGGGCCGAACGACGCGGTGATCTTGACCTGGAGACGATCTGGGAAGACTGAGAATTCTGCCTCAGAAGGAATACGAATGAATGGCCCTGTTGCATGGCACACAGCACAGAAGGCGGGTCCTAATCGGTTTGCAAAGCATATTTGATTTTTGGTCAGGATGGAACAGTAAGGCGTTCTGCAAAGGTTGCTTGATACCCTATTGCGTTGCATTTCATGAGAGACATCATCACGAAGGTTAGCAAGCAAGCATCATCACATTACGTAGCCCCAATATCAGCATTCGAGGCTGAGAAGCTGTAGCTGACTTTGCTTCGTCTGCTTTTCTGAGCTTTAGCCGCGTTGCTTTTTGTTTTTCTTCCAGAAATCGTCTTCGTTGTCGCGTTATTGCATGATTTGCAACCTCTGTTCAGCACAAAACACACATAAAACTACTTACTCGACTATCCTAGTGTTTGCTTCATAGGGGCAAACATGACAGTTAGAACACCGTAGTTCAGTAGGTAGGCAATGCAATATGATACAAACCCATGAGGTTACTCATAAATGAAGCACAGTCGATGTGTTTCTGAATACCATAAAAGGGGGGTATAATATACCACCGATATCCGTTCATTACAAGCAGCAATCACTACGTAGCCATATAGTTTATAGAGGCTAATCATACACAAACTAACTAGACATACTTCTAGTACCTGTTTTTACTTCGCAGTGAATAACCGTGTTGTTTGCGCTTTCGGTGAGTGATCTCGGTAAGCGATACCTGCTACTAAGATAAAGGTCAAAGCATATCGTTTGCTCTTATTAGTGGTGAAACAAACTTAAGTATTAGGAAACCTCTTTACTAAATTTAGGTGATTTGTTTATACTATAGGCCTTAGTAGGATATTAAGGGTTGTTTTATAAAGTGAAAAGGGGAGAATCTGTCTAGTGCGAGCGATATGGAGTTATATTCATATGAACTATAAAAAATTCAACTAAGTCAATCAATATCCAAGTTTGACCGACAAGACTAGTACCTATCTATAGCTTAATGTAAATCTCATTTTAGAAGATATTCAGGGTTATATGCTTTCTTAAACAGCTATACCATACCAAACCACACTTTAAACAACAACCTACTCACCCAACAGAATTAAGTTGCCATTTCATAGACAGTTAGACTAAAATGATAAGAGGTGTTTACCACAAGCTCTACAGGAATATACAATAACATAACAAGTTCTCGTTTACTACCGTGTTAAAACTAAAATAAACGCCCATACTATGCTATATTTTTTTTAAATATAAAATTTTGTTACTACGTGTGCATGCATGCAAACATATCAGAGGGAGGTGGGAGCGTGAAATATACAACAGCCGATCCGAACAACCCTGCTGATAAAAGCCTCAAGGATATCTTATATATGTGTGTGTATCTCCGACAACAGTATTCCACCCAACCCCGAGTTTCTAGTCGGTTCATATTTTCATCGAGACTTGAATGAATGATGAGAATCAGAACGCCCCTATGCCTACGTTGATTTTCTTATTTGAGACTCTCCCGTCTTAGAACTCGATAACAAGCGTCTCTGAAACGCCCAGAGCACCATCTCCCCAGATGCCAACGACCGCCATCGCGAAGCCGATGCCCGCGAGAGCCGTCTGTATCAACTGGTTCCGGACGAAGTACTGGACCTCGCTGCGGACCTCCTCGCCGTTGAAGTCCTCCTCGTGCTCCTCGCCGCTAGCCTCGTCGCTGTGCGAGCCGCCGAGGTCTTCGTAGGAAGCCTCCATGCGGCGGGCGGCCTTCCTGTCCTTGCGGGCCTGGACCGCGGCGCGGCGTTGCGCGGCGGCGGAGAAGCTGGAGACGGGAGCGCCGAAGATGGACGGCGTCACGTAGTCGGACAGGCGGGTGCTAAAGCAGAATAGCGACGTGTAGAGCAGGTACGGGTGTTTGAAGCCGCGGGGGGATATGATAAAGGCGAGCAGGAAGGCGGAGCCGGATAGGCTGGCTAGGGAGGTGAGATGTGTTGATGCGGTTGATGCGATGTTGCGGAAGGCCTTGGCTGCGGATGACGCAGAGGGGAGCTCAAGGACGGATGGGAGGGTGAGGGCCGAGAGGGTGTACGAAGTGCCCTATATTATGTATATGTTAGAGCTAGTTCATATATGAGAGTGCTTGATGTTTATGAGATGAGATTTGAAGATGGCCGAGATGAGTAGCTGGGTGAGGCGCTCATCGCGGGCGGCGGGCGCGGGGGAATCTGGAGGGGCAGATGCGGACAATGGGGTTCATTAAAAAGTAAGTGACTTACCGTTAAGAGACCCAACGAGACAGTCCCCACGAACTTGAGGGCTGACACCTTTCCTGATGCCATGGTCTCTAGGTGGAATATAGAAGACCAGAGATCGATGAAGGATGGATATATGAAGACTCGATCTCGATAGATTGGAGGTGATGATGGTAACGAAAAAAAGGTTTCGGTTCAAAGGTGGCGTGCTGATGCCAGAGTGAGTTGCCTTTTAGGTATTGTCTTAGTGTCTAATCTAGTTGGGCGTGTACGTACATGTATGTATGTATGTATATATGTATGTACACTAATACATGACTTCTGGTTGGGTTTAAGGCCTCAAGACCGGGCTACACAAACACAGTCACGCTGTAATGTGGGCAAATAACAAGTCACAATTCGAGTGTCGTTATTCAATGGTAGGTATGAGATAAAGTTAAACTCGACTTTGTACAAATAGCGGGGTGGAAGAATTAAGGTATGTATGTATGTACTTCGTACCTAATGTACATAGAAAATGGTATATCTGGGGTACGTAATTGGTCCGAGCTCCCCAGATTAAAGTCGAGACTAACGAATTGCGGGAAAGCGGACTCTAAACCCGAAAATAGACATACGGAGGTCTTCTTATGCATCTATCCGCATGTGCACTCCTTCCATAACACTACATACCTAGTAGGCACCTCTTACAATGTATGGGTGGGTCCAGTTCGCTCTCGCTTCGAACAGCGGATCCCTCAACACGTCCTAAGCCGAGGCAACTCGCGCGCCTTTGTCCAAGTTACACCCTAGGTTAGGTTAGAGAGTCTACATGTAAGACTACCTAAGCTTCTTCTTACTTGGAGTTGAGTTTCTCATAGGGATATTATATAATTTGACGTCACTTACCTTTCAAACCCCGTCGTGATTCATCTTCCTCTCATTAATATTCACTCTCACTGTAGTTAGTTAACTTAAAAGGTTACTACTTAAAGGAATCGTATCCCCAACGTTAAGGACTCTGCATAGCGCCAACCATCCATCCATCATGCCAGTCCCAACGTCTCAATATATAAGCAATGTGTGGAAAGAGGGGATATTCGGTTAGTTCCATATAATTACCAAAGTAATTGGATAGGTACCTAGACAGCTAACATATATCATTTTTAGATGGCCGTGTTGTATTCGTGACTGGCGGCGCCGGTACGATCTGCAGCGCGCAGACGAGGGCTCTGGTCTACCTCGGGGCGAACGCCTGCATTATTGGTCGTAATCAGCAAAAGACGGAAGCCGTCGCGAATGACATCGCCACGGCACGGAAGGGCGCGAAGGTAATCGGAATTGGGGGCTGTGACGTAAGGAATGTAAGTTGTTGTCATAAACACAATTCCTTTATATACCATATTAACAATGAAATAGCCCGAAAACCTGGTTAAAGCTGCCGAAAGGTGTGTGAAGGAACTTGGTGCCATCGACTTCGTCATGTAAGAGTCTGATTAAGATCACACTAGGTTCTTCCTACTGACCCCTTCTCAGAGCTGGTGCTGCGGGGAACTTCGTAAGCCCGATCTCTGGCCTTTCGTCCAATGGATTCAAGACCGTCATGGAAATCGACGTTCTTGGAACGTACAATACCGTCAAGGCCACCATACCATATCTCATCGAATCCGCCGCTAGGAACAAGTCGAATGAGAATGGTTTGACAGGTGGAAGAATCATCTATGTTTCAGCCACATTCCATTACACAGGTATGCCCATGCAAGCTCACGTGATGGCCGCGAAGGCTTCCGTCGACTCTATCATGGCTTCCGTGGCCCTAGAATACGGTCCGTATGGTGTAACCTCGAACGTTGTCGCACCCGGCGGTATCGAAGGAACAGAAGGAATGGCAAGGCTCGCGGGCAAGAGTGACGAAGCGAAAAATTCCGCAGCCGGTATCCCGCTAGGCCGATGGGGTACGATCCGAGATATTGCGGATGCGACTGTCTATCTTTTCAGCGATGCGGGTAGCTATGTTACCGGAGAGGTACTCGTTGTAGACGGCGGCGACTGGAGGAACGGAGGTATGGGCGTCGGTCTCGATTCCGACATGAAGTACCCGGAGTACCTACTTACGGGAGAGTTTTCCAAGCACGTCAAGAGCGGTAGAAAGGACAAGTCTAAGCTCTAAGCGAAAATCACTTGTTCAGAACTTTATATATGAAGTCAGTTCTCTTGGCGTATTCAACGGCATGGAGGCGTTTATCTGGGTCATAACCGATTGGCTCTAGGGGTTGAGCCATGAGACACGGCAATGGTAGCCTCTCTGCGAGGCTTTCGCTCATCCCCGTGGAGAAATGCGCCATGCATGGTGTCATTGTGTTTCTGGCGTCTAATAAGTATATATGAAATCGGCGTTATAAGTAAATAACTCTTGAATATAGGCATCAGACCCATTAGGTTTCTGGGTCGGAATTCGTTGAGGGAAGTGCATACCTAAGTGTCTCAAGTACGACGTCTCTTAGTCACTGAACTTGGGTAGGTGTGTGAGTCCATTAAGTCTTCGTTTACCTTGCGGTAACAGAGGAGAACTTCAATATATCGGTGTCTTTCATGGAAGGTTAGGTATTGGGTGCGTGTTGAATAATATGTCTAAAGGGGGTATGGTTATGAGCTATAATGAAGTTAACTAGGTTAGGTAGTACGAAAATCTGATAGTAAATGAAGCTATTCAGAAATTCGTTGTGTCCCCTTGAGTGCGTAGATACTTAGGTTCTTCTAGCAATTTCCCTTTGTTAACGGTGGGCTTAATATAGGTATAGAGGTTAACATGAGTTACGAGGAGATAAGATGTTTGAGGAATATAATGTTGTTGCAATTGTAATGAATCTAAAAGGGCGTGGTGGATTACTGATCCCCCTACTTCTTTCAAGAGTGTGGGTAACATTCATCTCCGGGAAACTCAACAGCGGAAGCATCGGGTGGGTGGACAAGCCACGGGGTGTCACGTGGAATGTCTGAGATGTGACAGGTTGAAGTGCTACAAACGTGGCGTCAGCTACGATCGATTTACAATTATATAGGTACCTAGCATAGGGGTCTCATGTGTTTCACAGTACTATCTATAACTAGTCTAGAAGGGGGCTATTATAAAATCACGATATTAACTATCTAGGTATCTATCTACATAACTACTCTAATGAAGGGGTTTGGTGCGGCATTAGCCGCGACATTCCACCTAGTCGATGGTGTCCAAATACATTCCAGAGCGGGCAAGAATGTTTATTTCATTTCTAGGCGTTTTTTTTCGTCACGACGAGCTTGAGAAATGAATAAATTCTGGCCGTTGTCGCTCCACCGGTTCCCCTGGAACACATCTTCATCTTGATCTTCATTTTCATTTTCATATTCATATTCATCTTCATATGAAAGTTTGTCCCCACTAGGATAGGTTTCTTTGTCCTCATACTCACTTTTAGCGTTGCTATAATAGCTATCGGAGTCTTCAGGGTAAGCGAAGCCTTGAGCCAGCTTACTCTTCCGTTGATTTTTCCGAAGCTGAGTGTTAAACTTTGCATATTGCTTTTCGTGTAATTTGTCAAGCTTCTCAATGGCAACTTGTTCACCTTCACACTTAGCGTTAAGAAACCTATTAGAAAAGCCCTGTGATAGCTTGCTACGCAACTCCTTCGCCAGCTGTTTTTTGGTGGTATTATTCGCCATAATAATTATACTTAGTTTCTGCGTTTGAAATTAGGCAATTATGCGTTTATTATCAGTTAGAAAGGGTAACTTTGGATAGTGTAGAATTTTAGATCTAACTAGGTTAGTTGGTTAATGAGCTAGCTCTCTCTACTCGACAGGAAAGCAATATCTTTATAGAAACCAAAAATATTGCTAAAGCAACTCCTGTTCGGTAATAGAAGGATTGTAGAGAATTTTCAAGAATAAGTTATCAAACTAACTAGTTTGTTTTGGTTCATATCGACTTCAATATATAACAATGATGTTGTTTAAACACAAGGCTCCATTACATAAAATACTAATCTGGGGGCAAGTTTCTACCTATTTCCCAATTTTATCTCAATGAATAGGTAGGAATGAATAGGTAGGTAGTTTGATTAAAATATAATCAGCTCTCGGGCCTTTAGAGAGCGGGTCTCGTCGTCGCATTATCTTTGTTTAGAGAATAGCACTAACGATAACCCTTTCCGGCAGCAACTTTACGTTGAAGTAACAGTATTCTCATTGGTACGCGACCAGTATTTAACACTGAATTATCTAGTCTAAGCAGTTATCGGCTTAGTCCATCGTTCGTGGACCCTAAATTAAGAAAAATGCTCGAGATTTAAAATGCTTCCTTAATGCTTGATCTCCAAGTATATTCATGAGTATATTCCCACCAATGTGCCCATTTGGATACTTTTCTATTCCTATGTTAAGCTTGGCTTATGTCTACCGTCTTTTTAGAATTATTTGAACTTATTTTCCTAATATAGCAATTATCATGACCTTACCTACTGCTACTTGCGCCTCAATTTAGTTTAAGTGATTATAGAACTTAGGTTGGATTTTACTACGACTTAGGTACTTACTGGCTAGGCCTACGTCATAAGCTAGACAATTCTTTGTATGAAAGTTCATACTAGGTACCTATCTGTGCCTTAATATGGTGGGTGGTTTGGGTTGGTCAGACTGGTATTATCTGAATTTCAAGTAACTATCTGAGGGAACGCTTTTTGTAATTCAGTTGTATCATTGCGGCTGATAGAGATTACGGTGTTGATAATGGACTATGATCTCGGGTATCTTAGAATAAGGGATCTGTAGAGGTATTGTTGTAATAGATGATAGGGGTTCTCAGCCCCTGAGAGTTTCCTAGCCGCTGAAGTATAGTAGAGAATATCAATACGCTAGAGGATCGTTATAGATCTTGACTAATACATTGACTTATAGAATACATAAATATATGATGAGGAATAAAGAAAGCCGTTCTGATGGCAGCTTCCACCTCAGTGTATTGGCACTGCTTCCGAGACCATTTTCTAGGTTGTCAGTAGAGTCGGGCTGTTGAATAACGGTCGAATCTCCAGGTGCGAATAGAATGCCGACACTATTAGCAGACTCGACATCGATCTCCTCTGGTGAGAGCAAGGGGTTATTCACTAGGTCACAAGGCGGATTGTCCCCGGTGAATTCAATCTTATTGGTTACCGAGATTGGCACGTCGAAGATCGTGTAGTGATCCTCCCCGTTAAGACGGAAATTTTGGCGGATGGATATCTGGGAAGAGTATGAGTAGTCTGACTTAAGTATATGGAACCTTGATGACTTCAAGTACTAACATTGTAGACTCCACGATCACTGTCTGCGGTATCTGGCTTTCCATCACCGATGAGACAATCTGGCCAATGCCACTTGACATGTTTGACAGTACTTCCCGGTTCGGATTCCATGATGTCTCCTAGACTTATATCATTTATTGAGGCCGTTCCGTTCGTTATTGTGAAGTTCCTTCCTGTGTTATAACTGTATAGGAAGATGGTGATGTTGTTGATCCGACTGGGGCTATCATCACTATAGGGAGGGAGATTTAATTTGCCATTCGCAGTCACATCAAGAGCTACCTCGATAGTATCTACGCGTAATATATTAGATCATGGCCTGGTTTATGGCGTGTGATGGACATACCTCCACCTAATGGGGTACCTGGTTGAGGCGCATCAAGAACAGCAAACCCAGGTGTGAATATCTGGCCCCCAGCGATGGTAAAGTCAACGGCCCCGGCTTTGGAGATGAGTGCCGCGAGAAGGGCAACGGGGTATTGCAGATTCCTCATTTCAGTTAGTTAGTAGTATTCCTTCAGAGAATGGGAGTATGTATTGTAGAACAAAAAGTGACTAAAAGCGTATAATTATATCTTATTATAAGGTGGGGGTATGGACTATATATTTTTTTCGTATGAATGTTATATCTATTGGACAGTTACTAAAGAGGATAGGAAAAGGATAATCGGCATTTTATGATAGATAAGTACTGATCTGTACATATTAAGAATCTAGATGGTAATCCCCCCCTGTCCTCGGAAGACGGAAGATGCGGGAACTTCTTTTATAACTAGATTTCCTAAAACTTCCTAAGATGCTAGCATAAATAATAAAAGACTTCTCAAACGGATATTTCACGGGGCTTCGTCTTTTTGCTTAAGGTAGTGGAATGGGCGGATACAATATATGAATAAGATGCTCCTTTAATATTTGAACCCTTCTGTTAACGTAAAAGATCTCTTGATCAGGATCATCTACGAGATATTAGACCTTAAGTACCTACATAGTAGATTTATCGCGTAGCCGGCAACTTGAACCGTGTTGCCGAGTTCACTAGAGCTGAGAAGGTAGGAGTTTTAAAATGACGATGAAGCTCAAGATGGACCCCCTGGTAGTTTCAGATTGAATTGTGAGGTTAAGCTCAATGAGATGAAAACCTCATCCCAAAGTTATCCTTGATCATCAGCCCAAAGTCTAACCCGATTTGGTAAGGACTGGGACTCCCCCCCGCTTTGGGATGAGCTTTACAACTGTGGGATGAGCTTTAGTGCTTTTAATCGCTAAAGTACAAGGCTATATGACCTATATTTACAGCGCGTCACAGCCACTAAGCTCCTTATATTACAGCGTTTGACGAAGTAACTATAATATTAGTGGAATGGTAGAGGTAGTTAAGCCTTAGGTGCGCTAGTACTACTATGGTAGTATGGAGGTCCACATATACCCGATTGGGTTAGACTTTGGGCTGAGGTTCTGGGATAACTTTGGGATGAGGTGTGCCCTCTACTAGCAAATCAGGTTAGCGGTTGGGCTCAGGTGAAGTAGTGGGGCATTGCATTCTTGAACTCGTTAATTATATATCTTCATGTCGAAGGGCGCGCATTACCTTTTACACGACATCCGATTCGGTATTGGACGGGAGATATTGCACATAAAATGAAGTATATTTAAGTGCGAATACTATTTCACCTTAAAGTCTAAGAATATCAAGATCGATCATAGGAGTCAAAATCCGATCGCAATGAGTTTACTACGTCGGTCATGGCTCTTAGCCAGGGGCTCTTACAGCTGTACCAATCAATGGACTTCGATTGCTCATGCCCGCAGAAGGCCATTTTCAAGCTCGAAGAAACTAGGGAAAATATCAGCTCTGAAGGATCTCCTTAAAATATCTGAGGAAGTCACCGATGCACTAGCTACGAATAAGCCCGTAGTAGCCCTTGAATCAACTATATATACCCACGGAGCTCTGGGTGATGACTTAGACTTAGAGGGTATTGTTCGACGAAATGGTGGCATACCTGCTGTGGTTGGTATCCTAGGAGGTGTGCCTACGGTTGGCCTCTTGCCCCATGAAATAACTCGTATTGTCGAGGGATCGCCGAAAAAGGTATCGCGACGGGATATAGCCTATCTGGTTGGAATGGTATGTGTCTAACTCTTGGATCTGTCATGGTCTACTATGATACAAATTTGCGGTTAATTCTGAATGTATCGGTGTATAGGGCATTGCGGGCAATAAGATCAACGGAGGGACGACCATTGCTGGTACTATGATTCTGGCAAGGCTTGCCGGGATCCAAGTTTTTGGCACCGGTGGACTTGGTGGCGTGCACCGTGGGGGGCATGAATCGCTTGATATCTCTGCCGATCTTACTGAGCTTGGTAGAACGAGGATGGCGGTCATCAGCAGCGGCTGTAAAGGATTCCTGGATATTCCTAGGACCCTAGAGTACCTGGAAACTCAGGGAGTGCTCGTGTCAACTTTCTCGGACGGTCGAACTGGTGCTGTGGATTTCCCAGCATTCTGGGCAAGGGATAGTGGTATCAAAAGCCCATTCGTTGTGCAGGATGAGAAACAGGCCGCTGCTATGATATTGGCGCAAGAGAAACTAGGTATTGAATCAGGACTGCTGTTTGCAAATCCGATACCTGAAGAATTTTCCATCCCTCGAGATGAGATGAACGCGGTTATTGAGCAGGCAGTTAGCGAATCGACACAGCAGGGCGCTTTCGGCAGCGAAAATACGCCCTTCATCTTGAGGAAGATCAGGGAGCTTACAGGCGAGAGAAGCGTGTTGGCGAATAAAGTACTGGTACAAGCAAATGTAGAGCGAGCTGCTAAGATAGCTGTTGCGCTCTCACAGCTTACTGCGGGCGAATCTGTACAGTCTCATACATCGTGAGATTTAAATCCTTCGTAGTTGTAGCGTTTGAATCTAACCTATGGGATAATAGGATGAAGAAGAAAAGCGGATTTATTGCCCTTGAGAGCAAGATCAATCCATATGACGAAATACAAAGAGAAACTGAGGTAAGGATGCACGTCTTGCCTCTACCCCGTGTCGCAGCTCAATGCGCACCTGGCCTCGAATCTTGATACTTTATCTAAGCAGAAGCTACTATAATGTTATTGGGCCAAACTGATAATCATAGACCACCTCTCAAGCAGATATATTAGTCGCCGGCTCTGTGGCAATAGACCTAAGCTGTGACTATGTAGGCGAAGACTCGTTAGAGCACCCTGCTCCTCACTTACATACATCAAACCCGGCTCATATTGGCCAATCTATTGGCGGTGTCGGTCATAATGTAGCACTTGCAGCCCAGAGAGCCTTACAAACCCCTAAAGTGAGACTTTGTAGTATGGTTAGTGATGATTTGTGAGTGAAAAAAGCCAATAGTGAGCCACCAGTTGCTGATAATTACAGGGCTGGGTCAACCGTGCTATCGTCTCTGAGGGCAAGCGGCATGGATACATCTTGCATCAAGCAACTTAGTCGCGAGCATTATCCAGCTAGTCGGACTGCTCAGTACATAGCTGTCAATGATGCTAACAAGAACTTGGTCCTCGGTATGGCAGACATGGGCATATTTACGGCTCAGTCGTTTTCGGAATCCTGGAATTCTACGGTAAAAGAATCCAAGCCCAAATGGCTCGTAGTGGACGGGAACTGGGCTGAGCGTGACATTCGAGCTTGGATACGAGCTGGCAAGCAGAATCAGGCTCACGTAGTATTCGAGCCTGTCTCAAAGGAGAAATCTACGAGATTGTTCTGTAGAGAAAAAGGTCTTGAGAGTTTGGGTGTCTTTCCCAACCCTGGCGTTGATTTGATTACTCCTAACCAATATGAACTGGCAGCTATGCACGCAGCTGCGCAGCGCAATGAATATTTCGACGATCCACTGTGGTGGGAGACTATCGACGCTTTCGGCATGAAAGGAGCTCGAGATCGCTTTGTTAAAATTACATCTGTTGATATGACGGATGCTGGTATTCCACAACAGGCCATACAACTTCTCCCGTATATCCCCACTATCATAACGAAGCTGGGGAGTCACGGCGCCTTGTTGACAGCGGTCCTGAGGAAGAACGATCCTCGCCTGATAGACCCGGCGTATGATAGGTTTATTCTCACGAGAAGTTTCAATGACCATCCAGAAATTGGAGGTGTCTTCATGAGACTATTTCCGGCGGCTGAACAGGTAGAGGACATTGTGTCAGTGAACGGGGTTGGTGACACGTTTCTTGGTGTCTTAGTCGCAGGGTTATCGCAAGGGGGCAAGGTTGAGAATCTCATCAACGTGGCTCAAAAAGGTGCGATCTTGACACTTCGCAGCCATCAGTCTGTAAGTGAGAAACTGGGGATATTAAGGGACGAACTAATTGCTGCTGCTTCCTAACTATGATGGATTATCTAAAATACTTTAAACGAATTATTCTACTGGAGGAATATTTGGAAGGGTGAAGTATGGAAAGGGGAGGTATAGAGAATGCCTCGTTGTATTAGTTGTTGTATATAACTACCTACCTAGGTAACTACATCTATCGCGAGAGTGAATAAAAGGGGGACCGGTACGTACCGAAGCTACAGGGTAGTAGCACTAGATAGTGGGGCCATCTGTAAGGCTACTGTGAGCTCGAAAAAAAAAGTTTGTATTTTGCTACGATGGAAATTCTATCGCATCCACCTTCGATAAGCAAATTGAGTTATCGAACCACAATGTCTCGAAACCGCCAAATAGATACGATGGACGATGAAGGACATGCATCATCATCTAGTGAAGAGGAATCCGACTTCGATAGCGACGAAGAAATTGCGCTGCAGACCCGCCAAACGCAAGTGATTGATAAAGACTCCGATGAAGAGGAACTCGAACGATTTGTGCTTGGAGATACGGCCAATTTCCGAGAAAACTTGTTTCGAGACGAGTCGAGAGTCGACGATGTAGGGAATATTTTTAGTGGTCTCGTTGAAAAAGAAGGAGACGACCTTGAGACAGGTTTAGAGGATGTGGACGATGCAGATCTCTTCACCTTTGACGTAGGGGGTGCTGCCCCCAGCGGTGACAAAGCCGCTGTGGTATCACTGGTCCCTAAAAGCCAGGAAATACCAGAGAAGAACCGGCCTGCTTGGGAAGATAGCGACGATGAGAATTTAACTATATCACTGGCGGACGTATCTCAACTGCGAAAGCTACGGATTAGCGAGGCAGAGGACGTTATTAGTGGTACTGAATATACTAGAAGACTAAGGCAACAATATCTTCGGCTGAATCCACTTCCCAAATGGGCGAGAGAGGCTGAGGAACGCCCAGCGAAGCGTCGTCGGCGGTCATCTGCGGCAGCAAGCGACTCGAGCATATCCGACGACGAAGCAAATGAAGGGGATGGTGAAGCATCTGCTTTACCGCTGGAAAAGTTCCTCCGAGATGCCAGTACATTGAAAGATAAAAACACTCAGAAGGTGAAGAAATTACGTCCAGAGGTCATTGACATTCAACGATCTCGAGATATACCTGATACACACAAGGACGAAGTCACATCTCTTGCTTTCCACCCAGAATACCCTGTTCTACTGTCCTCTAGCACATCCTCTGTATTACACCTACACCACATCGCGCCAACTGCCCACCCAACTCCAAACCCCCTCTTGACGTCGGTACAGGTCAAACAAGTACCCGTTCGGAGAGCCGAGTTTCTGTACCCTACTGGCGATAAAATCTTTTTCGCTGGACGGCGACGATATATTCACTCGTGGGACTTGGCTACTGGTACGATACAAAAGACGAACAAAGTACAGGGTCATCGGTTAGAGCAAAGAACGTGGGAGCGTTTTAAGCTCAGCCCCTGCGGGCAATACTTGGCATTGATCGCCTCGACAAGGAAAGGCGGTGGTATTATTAATATCTTGAACGCTAATACTATGCAATGGGTTGCTGCCGCCAGACTCGACAGCAGAGGAGGCATTGCGGATTTCTCCTGGTGGAGCAATGGTCACGGGCTTACAATTTTGGGTAGGGGAGGTCAGGTTGGTGAATGGAGTATGGCTACGAGGCGTTTCCTTGCGATTTGGAATGACGAAGGCTCTAACGGAGGAACGGTGATGGCAATGGGGGGCCGGGACGGTCCTGTCACTCTCGGCGAGGACCGGTGGATAGCAATTGGATCTAACAGTGGCGTGACAAACATCTATGATCGGCAAGCTCTAATATTACCTTCTTCGGACGAAGAGCTGGAAGTCCAGGAAAGACCCGAACCAACCCGAAGGTTCATGCAGCTAACGACTCCAGTCACGGTTCTCACATTCAGCCCTGATGGTCAACTGTTAGCATTTGGCAGCAAGCACAAGAAGGATGCACTACGACTAGCACATTTGCCAAGCTGCACGGTCTACAGGAACTGGCCGACGGAACAGACGCCCCTTGGCAGGATTTCAGATGTGGCATTTGGTAGAAAGAGTGACTTGCTGGCTGTTGGCAATGATGCAGGAAAAATTAGATTATGGGAGATCCGAAGCTAGATTAGGGGATAGGCAATCCATATTCACGCGTTCTCTACATACTGTACTATCATGTTCTCGGATCCGGTTTCTTTTAGGAATAAGACCGTATTATGTCCCGTGCTATGAACTTAATCGTAATATCAGTCTTGTTTGGGGACAATTTTAGAGAATAGTTGTCGAAGAGGACTGCCCTTTGGCAACAACTTCTTAGGGAAGAATTTCCCGGTTCTGATTGTATACCTGCCTAGCTGGTAACTGTTGGGGAAGAATCGTGGCGGACTGGATGTCCCGATGGCTTCGAAGAAGTCTACTATGTTCACCCAGGTGTGTTTGAGAGCCTAGAGGAAGAAATTAGTGATAGACGTGAGTGAGGTCTTGTAGCGAGGGAATGTCATCTCGTACCTTTCGGCACTGGTTCTTGCTTGTAAACAAATGGCTATCGGCGAAGCCTAGAATAGACATCATGGTCTGCCAGATGTCAAGATCACCCGATTGGAAGTACCGGAGCCAGTGTTCTGAGTACCTTGTTTTCTTCCTGGCCTGGTCTGGCGTGGTTCTTGCGAGGGCGACCGTTTTGCTCTTCGGGCCCATGGTTAATGACTCTGGTATGAAAAGCCTGAATCGTATATCTCTTGGTCTGTGTTTTTGGGTGTTGATTGGCTTCTTCGTTGTTGTTGTTGTTATAGTCGCTTGATCGATGATTGCTAGCGGCTGATTAAAAGCTGCTGGGGGGAGGGCTTATAACTGCGGAAGACTGAAGGCTTCCTGGCTAGGAAGCGAGGTCAATTTGCTACATATTCTGCGGATCTCTTTCATCTCGTTTGTCTATGTGTTTTTGGTTTACCTTATGGCACCCTTGGGGAGAGATAATGCTGCCTGGTGCTGTATAGATCATCTTGAGTGAGGGTGAACGAGAACCTTTCAGCTACCTAATGTATTAAAGGGAGAGGGGGAAGAAGAAGGGAGGAAAACAAGAGAATATTCACGAGATGATATCGTCGTAATTGTGTTGGTATATGAGACACCAGCGTAAGTTACGTAGAGAACAAGGCATCTTGTGCTATATGAGAGTTAAGTCCTGGAAGCAGCCAGTGCTATTCGTTAAGCTTCTGGAAATACCTAGCTTCTATTTTAGATTTTACTATCAGCGAGGAAGGCCCTGGAAGGAAGAACGAGGCATCACCAGTTTAACGTCTTATTGGAACTTACCCCTTTAACATCTCGTGCTTGTATTTCTACATAGTATGGTTAATACCTAATTTACTCAAATACATCTGCTTTCTATACTATGTATATGATGGTTTAAGATTAATTAACATGAAGGAATATGGTATTGTAATTTTATTTTATTTCTAGAACGGCTGATTGTTACGTACGATGGTGAATTGATGAATTGATGCAGTCAGTTTCTTTTTAGGGTTACAATTAAAATAAGAGGGACCCGTCCCGCGGTTCTGGTAGTTGGGTCCCGGTGTCTGCCGAAAGTGCGGATAGCCTAAAAGAGTACCTAAGGTACCCCACAGATGTACCTCCCCATACTTTTAGTATGCCTTATGTAGTTTTTATAGGTACTTCAAGCTAGTTTACCTCATCGTACTTTTTTTACTTTACAATTCATTCGTCCGAACGAAACCCTCCATCTTTAAATATCTCAATATTGGGTCAAGGTATAAATATATATACAACATAGGTATGCTGGGTACTAATGCACGCAAGAAAAGCCGGGAATACTACCTGCAAATCATAAAAGAGAAACGTCAAAATCGCTCAAGATCGGACGAATGGGAATCACACCACCTATATTATTCTACTCCGCCTCTAGTTCCACCCCATAGTCGTATGGATACCCAACGCTATCAACCAGTTACCAACGGGGCCCGCCGTCTTACTGGTATGTTGTGTTGTCTAAGCGTGATTTGCTGATTGGATTGATTGGATTAGTATCAAACCTCTTTCTACCTAAGACTTATCTCTCCCGATTCTGGCCGGCCCAGTATCAGGACGCGTTCGTAGTAATAGCTTGGAATGCCGCGATTTATCACCAAGTTCCACTGAAAGGATGCTCCTATCATACCATCCGTACGGCTATGCATGCCAAAGCTAGTGGGTGTGCCTCGCAATATGTGGCATGTTATAAGTCCTACGTGAGACTTTGATAGCCGCGGGTACCGATTTACTTAGGCAGAACTGACGTATATTTCTTATCTATACAGCCATCTGTATTACATTGTCTTCTTTTTTTTCTAGCATACTCTAATAGATATGTTCCATTGCTCATTTGTCTACCTTCTCGTCTACGAGGACCTACACAATGGATTCCGTCTCGTCAAAACGGAGGACCAAGCCGGGGGCCTTCCCCGGAAAGTTCAAAAGCTTCGTTAATGATGTAAAAAAGTTCAGGGTTCATCGTCATGAAAGGAAAGAGAGTCAGGAAGTGTTGTCGGTGGGGTCTTCCCCTGCGCTTATCCCTCAGCCCTTCCAGCCCTCCCAGGCCTCTGAAGCCCCCATCTCTATCTCTGAAACAACCGTCCCCGAGATCAACATCCCAGATATCGATGATCCCGAGATTGATAATGCCGAGATTGATGAACCCGAGGTCAATATTCCAAAGATCGAAACTCCCGAGCCGAAGCTACTATCCTCATCGCAAAGTTCTCTTCCTGTAGCAAGTCTCGCCGTGCAGGTCACTATCACTTTTGATGAGCCATTGAATTATTCGTACAGTCGTAGCTATGAGACCTCGTCCGATTTCCTGGCCACCGACGCATTATGCCAAGGTTTATTGCGACGGGTTGATCACTGTTGCTACGAGTTGATCACTCGCAAGGACTCGACCGCCATGGAATATGCCGCTGCAAGTGGTTCGGATAAACCATTGAGATATGAGATCCAAATCGATATCATTCGAGGTTGGTCCGAGATATGGTCTTCCAGGACATTCAAGTCATACCAAAAACAAGCCCTATCAAACGAAGCCGCGAGAGAGATTATTACATCGACTCATCATATAATAGGGTTGTTTTTAAAACACCACGATCAGGATTTTGTCATGAAGGAGGGTTTCGTAAGAGAAGATCCGTTAGATGAACAGGCGAAGTTCCCACACCGGGCCGGACGTGTTCAGCCCATGTCGTGCGTACCGCGCTCCCACTTCCTTGAGAAATCACAATCTTTCGAGTCGTTACCCGGTTATACGATCAATTTCTCCTTCACGAGTCGATGCCAGCGTCGAAAACCGCATGAATGGCATACGAAAGTCAAGGTCGACAGTAACCAAGCAGCACCCCTGAATTCGATAGGGGCAGAGAACTTATTCTTCGAGGCTTCTTACGCATTGGACGGCGTTTTGCGATCAGAAAGAGAGATGTTTAGAAATAAACACAGCAAGTGTATGAATCTAGATGGGTGCAAAGATTGTCGTCATCATGACAATGATGGTTTGGAATTACAAATTTCGATCGTGAATAACCTCGGTCCTCAATTCCTTCACCTAGAGCGGACTGTACACTGCAGTAGCAACCTCTCCTTTTATACTGACACCGAAAAATGTGTGACATTTACCAACCAAGTAGAAGTTGCTCTCGCTAAAGTTCGAGATGATGCCGATGAGGTTGTTAGTCGAATGAACGACCTTGAATTCAGGATTACAGAACTTCGTGGTTATAGCTGGGCGCTAGATGAACCGCTCATTTTTACCTTACCTTCCTCTGATTTTCATTCCCGGAGAGATATCGAAGCGATACTAGATCGAATTCAAGCCGGCGTTGCAGAAATACTTCGAGGCAATGCTATCTCCGTTCGGATGACTGCGCACAAGCGAGGCCATTTTATTTTGGACAAGACATTCGTGGCCAGAGAGCCCCTTGAGACGGAGGAAAAGAAAAAGACCAAATCAATTGGGAAGCCGAAGGATTATGTATTGAAACGGCTGCAACAGCGCGTCGAGCGGGCTATCGAAATGGTCTGCAAAGATACCCTAACAATTGACGACGCAGAAGAGAAAGACAAAGATACTGGAAAGGAAGCTTCCATTTTGGAACAAAGGCCCCTTACTCGAGATACTCGGAATACAGACGCTAAAACTTTTATAAGCAGACCTGATACTGCTGGGTCTACCTCGCAAAATACTACAGAACAACACAAGGCCTCTTCGTATCTAACAACGGATGCAGAAGCTGGTGCCGTCGTTCCAAGCTCGAAGAGCGTGATAGAGAATGAACATCCAAGACCCTTTACTCCTACTCCTGAAGCTACCCCAAAAGCACATTCCGCACCACCATCCCCGACTCATCGTCCTCCGATTCCCATACGGCGATCGTCGATGGTCTTATACTACTCAAAAACGGGTGCTCGAGCCTTCCCATTAGTGCCGTGGGCGCATAGTTACGGAGAACTCGAGGGTTTAGGCGGGAGGAAATCACAACAGGATATATTCGGTCAGCAGGAAACCAACAATTTACTGCGCAAACCATCGACGCTGACTTTCCAACAAAGTGTTCTAAAACCTGAGGAGTCCGAAGGGAAAGGGGCGGCTGTGATGGCGAGTCAAGAGAAGGGAGTAGAGTCGACCCCAATCTATGAGCATTCGATTGCTTCGACACCTAGCTTGGTGTTTGGGGGCGACTCTTCTCCTGGTAGTAGTCTCCGTAAGTCTTTCCAGTAACAATCCTTTGTTCTCCTAATACCCCTTTTCAAATGCCTTGTATTTTGGGGGTATCCCAAATCACATTTCCAGTGAGTAAGACTACCCCGAATAGCAATTACTAACCTTTAAATATTATAGTAATAACTCCCAAGAAACATCGTCTTAGTACCGAGGTGGACTACTCCAAGAATGCAATCGCCGACAGTGACGACGAGGATGTTCGGGAATCAGTAGGCATGAGTATGGAAGCGCAACAGGATCTGCGTAAAAGCCAGCTATTTCGCACGCCGTCCCCACAACTCACCACGAAACCGACAAGCTCATCGCCACTTCGTGTGAGCGAAACTATACAAAGTCAAAGCAGTATTTCCCTTTCAGAGAGCGACAAAGTGTCCCTGAAGAATAGCACTAAACCTATCAACTCAAAGCCTAACCAGAAACCACTGGTTAACGGGGTAGTTAAAACTCCCGTTGTTGCCACACCAACGGCGCCTGTAGATGAGAAATATCTAAATACACGCAACACTACCACCAGAAGTGAGAGTTCAAACGAAGACACCTTCGCGCAATCTAAACCAGACTTCACCTTCTCATCCCCGCCAGCAGCCACCCCCGAGGGCGGCAATTCGGAGGGCGAAGAATCCTTCCAACCAAGGCAAAGGGAGTCAAGCCCAGACCCGTCCGAAGACCTAGACATGTCGCTATCCCAGGAGTCCCAGCAGCAAGCGCGCGGCTCCTTCGGAAGCGCCGGTGTACTCGGCTTCCACGAGCAGATGTTTGGCTCGCTTAGCCTGCGGACCGCGCTGATGCGCCATCGGCCTAGTTCTAACTTCGACGTTGCCGAGCCCCCGCGCGAGGAGAAGAGGCCTGGGACTGCGGTGTGAGGGTTCCTTGTCGAGTCCTCTCACAAAAAAAAAGAGAGAGAGAGTAAATTAGTAATTTCTTCCCTTTGTATAGTTACCTACCTATGTAATGGCATATTAGGCCCGGAGTTTAGGATTATTAAATAGCATATCATGCGTTTTACCTCTTCGCATGGGTGGGATAGCAATTGGTTTGGTATATATAGGATAGGGCAGGCATACCGCTAGGTATAGGAAAGGAAAGGAAAGGAAAGGAAAGGAAAGGAATATATTACCCTGGGTTACATGGGAACAAACACGTCGACGACGTTAAAAGTTGTATATATACATATATATTATCGCAAGACGTAAGATTTTTACCTCGGGGAAATCGAATATTAGAGCAGTTAACTAATATATTCAATTCAAGATTGCATCATGGCTTGAGATGTCAGAAACGGCCTTATATATATATACGTTCAAGTGGTAAGTATGATAGGTTGTGTGTAGAATTCACTGGTGAATACTGAAAATATATCTCTTACTTTGAGTAGAATATCAACATAGCTATTAGACAGGTAGCAATATCCACATAGTTTTTATATATACAATCTGAGGCGAGAGACTTGACGTGTATGCACATATATCTCACCCTTATTCATACAATATTATACAAATATCATCTCACATAACCCTTCCCTTCCGCATCCCTAGTGTCCCTTTTCATACACCGAGTCTCATTCCCTTTTTTCCCCGTCAACGCCATAAAAACAATTCCTCATACCAACAACAACAAGCTTAAGCCCGAATTACGAACAATCAGTTTAATGTTGTTCTTGTTGCTGCTGCTGTTGCTGCTCCGACTCTGTCGTCGCCACGGGATATACTTCCAGTCCGGAATTATCCTCCTTGATACGAACAGCCGCCTTATCACCCCTCTTCAACTCGCCGCGAATAATCTTATCCGCAAGCCCGTTGCTGATCTCGGTCGTGATAAGGCGGTTCAGCGGCCTAGCACCGAACTTGGGGTCGTAGCCCCGCTCCGCTAACCATACGCGTACCGTATCATCGACTTCAAGCGTGATGCGGCGGTCATCCAGCCGCGCCTGTAACTCGCGCAGCCGGATGTCGACGATGTCCCGTAGGGCGTCGATTGTGAGGCGCTTGAATACGATGAACGAGTCGATACGGTTGAGGAACTCAGGCGGGTAACTGCTCGCTACGACGTCGAGGACGGCCTTGCGCACGTCGGGGCTGATCTCGCCGTCGGGGGTCTCCGAGTACGGGTGGTGGGCATCGGCGCCAACTAGAATCTCCGCGCCGAGGTTCGATGTCAGCACGATGATGGTGTTGCGGAAGTCCACCTTGTGGCCCTGAGCGTCTGTGAGGTAGCCCTCGTCAAGAACCTGAAGGAGCAATGCCGAGATATCGCGGTGCGCCTTCTCGAATTCGTCGAAGAGGAGGACTGCGTAAGGCTTCCGACGCACGGCTTCCGTTAGCTGACCTGCGTCGTCGTACCCGACGTAGCCAGAGGGTGCGCCGATGAGTCGCGATATAGTGTGCTTTTCCTGGAACTCGCTCATATCGAAGCGGACTACGGCGGACTCGGTCGAGAATAGGAAGTTGGCGAGTTTCTTGCACAGCTCAGTTTTACCGACACCGGTAGGACCGAGGAAGAAGAATGATGCTAGAGGACGGTTATCGCCGCTTAGGCCAGCGCGCTGCATGCGCACAGCGTCCGCGACAGCTTTAAGGGCTTCGTCTTGGCCGCGGACGGATTCACGCAACGTGTCTTCCATGTGTATCAACTTCTCGATGTGTCCCGAAGTCAACTTAGACACGGGGATTCCAGTAATTCTCGAGACGACGTTCGCGATGTCGTCTGCCGTAACTGAATCATGGATTAAGGTATCGGGGCCTTGCGCGTCCGGCGCTATCTCACCGTCCTTAGGAAGTTTCTGCTCTAGGTTCGGGATGATGCCGAAGCGCAGTTCAGATGCCCTGCCAAAGTTACCAGATCTCTGCGCTTGGTCGAGCTCGATGCGGGCCTTGTCTAGTTCCTCCTGAACTTTCTTTAGAGCATCAATCTCTCCTCTTTCCTTTTCCCACCTTTCAGTTAAAGCCTTCTCCTCCTCTTGTAATTTCTTGAGGTCCTCCTCGAGCTTTTCGCGCCGTTCGCGACTGGCTACATCCTTCTCCTTTCTCAGACTTTCCAACTCGATTTGGATTGTCATTATTTTCTGGTCAAGTCGCATGATGTCTTCGGGTTTACTCTCCTGCTGCAAACGTAACGAACTTGCGGCCTCGTCCATCAGATCGATAGCCTTATCAGGGAGGAAACGATCTGTGATGTAGCGGTTCGAGTACGTTGCAGCCGCCACGAGAGCTCCGTCCGTGATTCTCACACCATGATGGACTTCATACTTGTCTTTGATACCTCGTAATATACTGATTGTATCCTCCACGGAAGGTTCATTTACCAAGATAGGCTGGAACCGTCTGGCTAGAGCAACATCTTTTTCGATCAGCCGATACTCAGCTAGAGTGGTAGCACCGCAGCATTGCAGTTCTCCTCTAGATAGAGCAGGTTTGAGTAGATTAGAGGCATCGATAGAACCCTCTGCTTTTCCAAGGCCAAGGAGAGTGTGCAATTCATCGATAAACAAGATGACTTCACCATGCGCTTCTTGGACTTCGGTTAGGATCTTCTTCAAACGCTCTTCGAAGTCGCCCCGAAATTTGGCACCGGCGATGAGCGATCCTAAGTCTAGCGATATAACTCTCTTATTCTTTATACTCTCTGGAACATCACCCCGTACTATCCGCAGCGCTAGACCCTCTAGGATTGCTGTCTTTCCTGTTCCCGCATTTCCAATCAGGACTGGGTTATTCTTGGTTCTTCGTGACAGGACCTGAATGGTTCGTTGAATTTCGGCGTCCCTTCCAATGACGGGGTCTAACTTTCCATCTCTCGCCTTCGCAGTAAGATCAATTCCATATTGCTCCAAAGCTGGCTTCTCGGGCTCTCCGCTCATATCCATTCGATGCGTACCACCCGGCGGATGAGGTCGGCCATTTGCGTATGTTCGATATATAGGAGCAGGTAGAGTAACATTGGATATTGTCTTTGCTGTGGTTATAAGCGCAGCTCTTGACAGTTGTGAAGGGGTTACATTAAGTCGGGCTAGTCCTCTCGACGATGCATCTGCAACTCGTCGTGAAGATTTAAGTAATTGAGTTCTCGCTAACATGATGGGAAGATTAAGGTGGTAATATTGTATAATTAGTAGAAGAAATTAAGAAAGAAAGAAAAAAAAGAAACAAAGAAACCATCGAACCCCGGACGGTTATGAAATATCATGAGAGCTTCAAGCTAATGCGGTTGTCGCCGCCTCTGGACCTTTCTCGAACCACCGTCGAAGCTCCAGTTATTACTTTTATCGATAAGTTATAGTTCACGATAAGATAGTGGGCCATTATGTCAATTCCTTCCAGTCAATTGTCAATTCTGGTGGCAAGCTGTGGCTCTTCAGATGACTCAATTTTGGGGGGGTAAAGTGTGGCTGGTAAAAGTACCTAGTTACCTAAGTAATATTTCCGGGTGATTTGACCAACCCTCGCTCAAAAAATTTCAAAAATACATCCCACCATACTTCAACCCCACCTTGCGTCTTCTTATTTCTTCACATCTTCACAGGCTTTTCGTTTTATTCTCTTCCCAAGATACCCCCGAGTTTTATTATACAGATTCTCTATTATCGTTCCTTCAAGTCGTAAAAATGGGCTTTACTGATCTTTTGAGCGACGCCGGTTTGGCTGGTATGTTCTTTTTTCGTCTGATTCGTAGTTTTACGGCGGGGTTCCTTGATACTTGGTTCTATCAGCATCTCTAGGCATCCCTCATTATTTTGACAATGGCTAACGACGATACGATACAGTCCTTAACAGCTGGTTGACCACCCGTTCATACGTCACTGGGTAAGTCATCTACAATTATTTCCTTAAAAATATACGCCATCGTCGAATGCGACACCTCGATAATGTGCCCCTCTTTATCAAAATGCCTTACGAACCCAATTACCTATTATGATGAGAAACATTGGTCCGTGTTTCTGAGCAGACTCAAGACCTGTCAAGGAGGACAAATACAATAGCACTCTTGTGCATCTCTGATTTTACAATATACTATCCATATCCTCGTTGCTCGCGCTTGATTCTCCCATATACGCGAAGAACTCGTAGCTGACTCACAAAAGTTACGCTCCCTCCCAGGCCGATGTTGCCGTCTTCAAGGCCATTACCTCTGCCCCCGAAGCCGCCAAGTACCCCAACGCCGCACGATGGTACAAGCACATCGCCTCTTTCGAGGATGAGTTCCCCACCCTACCCGGTGACGCTTCTAAGCCCTACACCGTCTACGGCCCTGAGGAGGTTGCTGCTACCCTAAACCCCGCTAAGGCACCCGCTGCTGAGGAGGATGATGATGTCGACCTATTCGGCAGTGATGATGAGGAGGAAGATGCCGAGGCCGTTCGTGTCCGTGAGGAGCGTCTAGCTGCTTACCGAGAGAAGAAGGCGGCCAAGCCCAAGACCATCGCTAAGTCTGTCGTCACTCTGGATGTTAAGCCTTGGGGTATGATTACACAATTCCCGCTAGATATAACATTCAAGCTAACGCATTATATAGATGACGAGACCGACATGGTTGCTCTTGAGGCCGCTGTCCGTGGAATTGAGAAGGATGGTCTAGTCTGGGGTGCCTCCCAGCTGGTGCCCGTTGGTTTCGGTATCAAGAAGCTACAGATCAACCTCGTCATTGAAGACGAGAAGATCTCCCTCAGTGATCTCGAGGAGGAGATCCAAGGATTCGAGGACTATGTCCAGTCTACCGATGTTGTAAGTTTCCAAAGTGCCATCAAAATACCTTTTTCGTATACTAATCGAATTTATAGGCCGCCATGCAGAAGCTGTAAACAATATTCTTCGCTGGGAGACGACATTCTTGCGCCAACACTCAATGCATGATACACGACTTGAGAGCCACAAAGGATGGCCGATGATTGTGATGAGGTTGGATGGATGATATGACATCGGGCTAATATCTCTATCGAGACAAAGTTCCGTAGAGGACATATGCTTAGAGTAGATGCATTGAAATGCTAATAGGAGACTTACCCTGATGAACTATTTGGACTTGAAGACTTAAAGTGTGCGCTTCCTTGTCAAGGGGGAAATATATCCCATGATAGCTACTCTCCAAAAAGAAAATTTAGAGTCAAATTCATAACATTCACCCGGTCTCGTGTCTTAGATTGTTTGAATATTCTTGTTAAAAGATAATTCTGCTACTTAGGAACCTTTTTAGGAGCCTTGTACAGGGACGTTTAATATTCTCAGACCAGTACCTACTCCATCCATCCTACCCATATTCCCCTTATCACATTGGGTATCTATCTTCGTATGTTTCATAATATTTGATTTTCTTATTTCCCTCTTGTTCTCCTTAAAATTTTTTTTATCTATCCCAACCATAGACCACACATACCGTTTGATGCCACTCTCTAGTGATGGAAGAGTCGAATGTTCTGCTCCACGAAGACGATGCCGAGCTTCTCAGCCGTCTCGTAGACGGCGGAGTCGTTCTGACTACCACCGGGCGCTGCGATATACTTTGCGCCGGAGCGGTGAGCGCGATAGATGTTGTCGACGAACGGGAACTGTAGAATCAATGTTAATAAAATTACTTGTTACAACTTCAAGGAAGAGATTAACAAATGAAGGTGTACTTACGAAAGCATCGCTAGAAACGGCGACATCACCTAGCTTGCTAAGCCAGTCGTTGCGCTCGTCTTCGGTGAAGGCGGCGGGAATCTCTTCGAAGACGGACTCGAACGCTTCACGCTCGGGACCGTCCTTGGGAAGCTCACCGCTCACTAGAAGGTCGATAGCGTTGCTCTTGTCGGGGCGCTTGGTTCCCTTCTTCCACTTAATGCCGAGGACGCGGGGGTGGAAGCGCAGCCACCAGTTATCGGCCTTATCGCCGGCCAACCGAGTGCAGTGAATACGGGACTGCTGACCAGCACCGAGACCGACGACCTGTCCATTCTTGGCGTAGCACACGGAGTTGCTCTGTGTGTACTTGAGTGCGATTGTGGCAACTGTCAAGTCTCTAGCAGCGGCCTCAGGGAGGGCAAAATCCTTCGGCGTGATAGTTCGAGTAAAAGAAGACGGGGAAAGTTCAATATCGTTACGATGCTGGGTGAGGTTTACTCCATAGACAGTTCGGACCTCAGTAGGGTCTGGTTGGTACTCGGGATCTATCTGTAGAACAAGGTACTTGCCACCCTTCTTTTTCTTAAGGATTGCCAACGCGGCATCTTCATATCCGGGGGCAATTACACCGTCAGAGACCTCTTTGGAAATGATGCTAGCGGTAGGAACATCAACCACGTCACTCAGGGCAATGATATCGCCAAAGCTGCTCATCCGGTCAGCTCCCCGGGCTCGAGCGTAAGCTTGGGCAAGGCCTGAAGTCTCAATGCCTTGGATATCATCGACGAAGTAAACCTTGCGCTCCTCGGCGCTTAGAGGAACGCCAATGGCAGCGCCAGCTGGGGACACATGCTTGAAACTAGCGGCTGCGGGTTTTCCAAGTGACTTCTTCAGCTCCTTAACTAGCGGCCAGCTGTTCAAGGCATCAAGTAGGTTAATATATCCAGGGGAGCCGCCAAGAACCTTGAACGGTAACTTGTTGGATGTCGTGTATGCAGCAGCAGGCTTTTGGTGAGGGTTGGCGCCGTATCGGAGAGGCAAGTATTGTTGATACTCTTGGCCTTCACCAGCATATCGTGCACGGAAGAAACCAGAGATGTGAGCATCATAATCGGCTGTGTGCTCAAAAGCCTTAAGGGCATATCTCTTACGGCTATCCTCCTTGATCTCACCATTCTCGAGCTCCTTTAGGAATTCAGGATAGTCATTGGGGTCGCTAAGGATGGTGACGCGGGAGTGGTTCTTGGCAGCTGCTCGGATAAGTGTAACACCTCCTATATCGATCTCCTCTACGGCTTCGGGGACAGTGACATTAGGCTTAGAGACAGTGTCCTTGAACGGGTATAAGTTGCAAATGACATAGTCGACCTTTTCGATGCTCTGCTCAGCAAGGTCTTTCTCGTCGGTGGCCAGGTTACGCGCAAGTATACCGGCGTGGACAGCTGGGTGCAAAGTCTTTACTCGACCGGAAAGCATCTCCGGGGCTTTCGTGATGGCAGAGATGTCCCTTCTTAGAGTTAGTCTCAAAATATCTAGGTATATAAACAAATATAAAATTGAGTTGCTAGTTATCTTACTCGACCGGGAATCCAGATTCACGAATCATCTTAGCCGTGCCTCCAGATGCTAGAATTCGCACATTCTGTTGCACGAGGCCCTTAGCTAGGTCCAACAGACCAGTCTTATCGAAGACGGAAAGTATGGCGATTCTCTGAGTTGCCGACATTGCGACGGATTTATGTAGGATCTAATTATAATTGATTCGATCTGAGAAAGAGAGAGAGATTTATGGTGAATGAGGTAGGTTAGATGAATTCACAAATCGACAAGCGCACACGACAGGTTGACGACGATATGACTTAAGATTAACTTGCTGGGATGATAAGACTACGGAGAATGACCGAGCTTAAACAGACTCGTCTAATCCGTTTATATCACTTGTAACGAGTAACGATTATAATGACGCCGTTACGGCCGTGATAATAAGAGAGAGAGAAAAAATAAAATTTCAAGCTCATGGCGGGGTCGGAGGTGTCAGCCCCACTAACCCCTCGGTGTTGAAGGTCAAGTACCTAATATTGCGCCATACTAAAAGCATACTATATTGTACTATATTGTAGAACCCCCCACCATAGTCCCTTCAATGTTCCTTACTGACTTGACCCCGCCCCCCTAGTGTAGAAATTACCTAAGAAGTGAAACGCGTTTTCGAATTTCATACGCGCCTTTCAACCTTTTAGTACCTCGGTCTTATCTTACTGCACTTACTTCACTTATACGACTATTCATCTCATTTAGGCCGTTATCTCGGTATACGAAATTGTCAAAAATGTACGGCGATCTAGGAAACAAACTTGTAAGTAGCTTATGCTTTGCTTATATTAGGCACTCGTTGAAATAAGAAGTTATCACTAAGTAATATCAGGTTCAACATGCAAAAAGAACTCAGAATTTGTCACACTTACCACCATATCAGACTGAATTAGTTCGTGCGGCCACACGAGAAGTTCGTGACTTGGACAAAGATGTGGCAGATATGCTAGAACCATTCCAGGGGTCCTTCAACCCAGCTGCTGACCAGGCAACGGCTTGTACTCTACTTATAAACCATTTATCCATGCGACGGAACAAGCGTTGTCTGCTAGCTTATCACCGAACGCGAGCAGACAGGCTCGAAGAACTTGTCTGGAAAGGCTACGACGTAGTTGATCTTGCCGGACAGCAAGTTAGGGACGGCCAAGGCGGACTCAACGGCCCACCGAGTATGTCAACTAGCAATAGCGGTACGAGTAGCTTAAGTCCGCAGGAGGAAGATTATGTGCGACAGTACAGCGATCTGCTAGCTGCTTATAAAGGTCAATGGACAGATATCGATCTCACAGGAAGTCTCGAACCTCCTCGCGACCTTTTCATTGACGTACGGGTGCTAAAAGATGCGGGCGAGATCCAAACTGAATACGGGTAAGAGAGCAGGCGTCTAAATAAAGTGAGAAGGACGCATACTAATATACCATTGTAGCGCGATCACACTTACTAAAAATAGTCAATTTTACGTTAGGCAGGGTGATGTAGAACGTCTGATCGCCCAAGGCTATCTCCAAAAGCTCAGTTGAACGGACCTGGAGCGCAGTCCGTCCTATTTAATGTATTCCGGGGAACAGTCGCGCCTTGTCTAGCTATCAGACGAACTAGAGCAGAACAAATTACGCGTTGCCTATAGTTCCGTCTAAGCCACTCCCGCATGCAGTTAGGCCAAGAAAAAAAAAGCAAAGAACTTCCATCGCGGCGGCATAAGGTTGATTCCCCGGAAGCTTGTTTGACTGTTGGAAGGGCTGGCAACATATATGCACAGATGGTCTCTTCCCAGTTAAGTCGTGGCAAACCAGATTTGCAATTCTGACGGAATAAATCGCAAAAAGAGGCGCACATGACGACCGAATGCAAGTGCCACAACCGGGCGCTTGGCCTACAGTTAAAGACCAATCATCGATCGTGACCGAGAACCGTTGTGCCGAACTCAACTTTCAGTGGAACGTGTTTACCTCGAAAAGCAAATGATATGCCCGGTGAAACTTAGTGCGTATATATAGATGGTAACGGGAGCTTCGTAACGGAGTGGAATGATTCTTGCTTGGTGTCCTCTATCCGACGCGAATGCGTGCCAAATTACCCGATACAGACTATTATTCATAATAGCACAACGATGAGCACAGTACCTAAGTGATAGGTCACATATGCAAATGCAGCCCCTCAATTGGCGCGTTCCAGCTCACGGCGCAGGGCGTAAGGGCTACTGAACCATACGGAATACAACGTTGGCCATGCTGGCCATTTAGTTGGAGGATTGGTACTTGCGGGGAGCAAATAGGAGGATTGAATGTGGAGAAGAATTGGAGGCTCCTGGAAATACTCAACTTCACACCTGACAACCAAACTTTTTCAGCGGGCTTCTCAAGGGTAGGATGTATGTTATTGACCGTGTCGCATTGACGAGGACCGTTCCGTCCAAAAGGTACCACAAAGCAACTTGACGAATACTATAGCTTTAAAATACGTAATAGACATCACGATGAGGGATCGACGTCCGACTTGTCCTGCTGTGATCGTAGAAGGGCCGGAAGTGTTGATGGTGAGGAGAAACGTAAATGCATCGTGAATCACAAAGCCAAGTCTCGTTCCAAATATAGGTAACTGAGGGATATTTGGCGTATTATACTTTTGAAGCTAGGATTAGACTAGCCGACTCCATGTTTGCGGTAAGTAGTGTTAATGGTAGGATATTAAGGGGCTATAAAATACTCAAACGACTAAAGAAACATTTAAACCATTGAAAACCTCGTAGAATTCAAAGCTGAAAATAGAGACGACAGGCTGAATTACCTAATTCACACGGTCTAACAGCTCAATGCCATCCAGGTGCCTGTCAGCTATTAAAACATACATGATATGAACCACATCCGCTCTCGGGATGTATGAGCTAGGACTGTTTGCATTATGCGGCCCAAGTATTATAGGATCCAGAGGTAATTTATGTAGAATATTAGAGCTTCAATAACGGGTGAGGGGGCTACATGATCATCTACTTGGCCAAGGTTCGATGTCATTAGCCGCACGGTAGATGATGACAAGATATTTGATGTCGTCCAAGTAGACGAGTATATATGGCGAGTTTGTGACACGAAGATATTATAAAAAAGATTCGTCTTACCCAATGACATTAAATAATTTTTTTTAAAAATCGTAGATTTACTAGTTAATGTAGTATTAGATTATAGTGTTAGGTCAAGACCCACCACCCAATAATCTTTAAGCGTCTGTCTAGAATCGGTGATGCCCCTCCATATCCCTGTCAATTGAGTTAAGGCCATACGCCAGAGTTTTCCGTGTCCTACGTAAGTACTCCTTGATAAATACTTTTTATAGTTAGCGCATTTAGTGGATACATCAAAATTCCTTGATAGCTACCTCCTACGCTACTTCTATCTATCTCGTGAGGTCTAGATCTACTAGATCCTCTCGTTATCATCGAACAACCTTTGCGGCTTTGAACATCCTTTTTTTGATTTTTTTTAATCCCTTCGCTCCATGTTTACCGTACTACTAAATCTACTGGTCAATTCATAAATTTATATTTCTTACGTCTATACAAGCCCTATAACACCATCCCCAACTTCTTTTAACGTACCTATAATTTGAATTCGCTATTGTATTATCATGGTTGCGCCTCGAGGACTAATACCTTGGTAGTCCACCAACGTTCCTCGCACACGCGCACTGTAGGCCGGCAACTAATGTATATATTCAACATAGAGATCTTGTAAACGCTCTACCGTAGAATATGGCGGCACCATCGTTCGGTTTCTCTTCTTGGAGAAGAAGATCCTCATCCGTTACCTCTCAGCCAGATCCGGTAGATGTTCCTGGGCAGATGCCCACTCCAAATGAAGGCTCGCGATTAGGTCCAGGAGATTTACGGCAACTCTCGTCTTCTCTTAACTCCCATAGCTATAGAGAACCCACTAGGTCTTTCGTGCCTGGCTCTCTTAGGGATCATTTGTGTAAGTCTATATACATAAATCACTGTGCTTTTTATTAACATCCTTCCAAGCTCCCGTGGACAGTGCTAGCTTTGCACGCAGTGTTCGTGAAGACACCGCCGAACTCGCTTCATACGTGCTTTCAGACAAGAAGGATAGGCGCAGCACGTCATTTCTCAATCGAATATCGTCTACCTCGTCCCACCCTAGCCGCGACCAGCCAGTCTTTCAGAATGAGTCGCCGTCCACAGGGGACTTGCAAGCATCAAGTACCGACACTATAGACGAAGTTTCCGAGCCCTCCTCGCTGGCATCTGAAGCGGACGGATTACCCAACTCTGGGCCCTCGGCACTCACAACTATGTTCAAACGTTCTCCACCTGAGTCTCTACACGGTCTGGACGCTGGTAGTAATTCAATGTCACAAAATGGCCAGCAATTACCATCAATTGGCGTATCCCAATCAGAACCCGATAATGAGTTATCAGAGACCACCCCCCTCCTCAGGAGGGTATCTCACAGACCAGAGTCTCCGGATAGTATTGCAGATATTGATATCGAGATTCAAAAACCGATGACACCGCCTTGGGGACCGTCGTCGACCGGTCGCGGTATTCGAGATAGAGTTCGTACTGTTAAGGGCATAATGAACCCAAAGACTTGGGATAAGAAAGTTATTTGGCAGAAGGCTGTAATAGACCCGATACATTGTTTACCAGCTGTGGTCGTCGGTCTTCTACTTAACATCCTTGATGCATTATCTTACGGTAAGTTACAATCCAGAACATGTTATATTCCAAGAGCCTAATAATATATATAGGAATGATCTTGTTCCCCTTGGGCAATCCGATATTCTCGAACCTCGGGCCGGCTGGAATATCAATATTCTATGTTAGCACGATTATCTCACAACTGACTTTCTCGGCCGGTAGTCTGTTCCGGGGTGGCGTTGGATCGGAGTTGGTAAGTGCTCTTGAGCTCTATGATTTATGAATATGTACTCACGTATATAGATCGAGGTTGTTCCCTTCTTTCATAACATGGCGACTACTATTACGGCGATAGTAGGAGAGGACCAACCAGACGCGGTTATCGCTACAACGATAACCTCTTTTGCTATTAGCTCTATGCTGACTGGTCTCGTTTTCTACTTAATGGGAAGATTTAAACTGGGCTATATCGTCGGCTTCATCCCTCGCCATATTTTAATCGGATGCATCGGTGGTGTGGGCTGGTTCCTCATCGCGACGGGCTTTGAAGTTTCAGCGCGACTAGAGGAATTCCGCTATGATCTCGATACCGGTCGAAAACTAATTCAGCTAGACACCTTACCTCTCTGGCTTATCCCTCTTGCTCTAGCTATCCTTCTCTTCGGCCTCCAGAGGAAAATCACTTCCAAATATTTCTTGCCAATCTATATTCTATCCGTACCGGTCTTCTTTTACTTCTTCGTATTTACGATAGACAGTATAAATCCCGAGAGCCTCAGGCAAGCCGGGTGGATCTTTGAGGCCCCTGAGGCCGGGCAGCCTTGGTGGTACTTTTGGACTCTTTATAGTGAGCACTTCAACCATTTCTAGGGATGAACTTGTTACTAACTAGCAACTATAGAATTTCACCTTGTCCATTGGGGAGCGATCTTGGAAACTGTCGGCGCTATGTTCGCATTGACCTTCTTCAGCGTACTTCATGTTCCCATTAATGTCCCTGCTTTAGCGCAAATTTCTGGGGAAGATCACCTCGATTTAGATCACGAACTCAAACTACATGGCTACTCAAACTTCCTGTCTGGGCTCGCAGGAAGTATCCAGAACTACCTAGTCTTTGCTAATACGCTATTCTTCATGAGATCAGGTGGTGATAGTCGTCTAGCGGGTATCATGTTAGCAGGCCTTACATTTGGTGTCATGACGATCGGACCAGTGATCATAGGCTACATTCCTGTCATGGTTGTCGGCACCTTGATCTTCGTTCTCGGGTTTGAGTTATTGGTAGACGCTTTAATATCTCCAAGGCGTAAACTCAAGCTGTTAGAATACTTGACGGTAAGTTTTGCTTTATTGTCTTACACCTACCTACCTGAGACTAACTCAAAATCGCCTTAGATCGTAGTAATAGTTCTCACCATGGGAATCTACGATTTTGTCGTGGGTATTTTCGTTGGCATTATACTCGCCTTTGTTTCTGCTATTTTCCACGCATCTCAAGTTTCAGCCATACGAGCGACTTATACCGGAGACCAAATTGGGTCCATGGTCAGACGGAACCCATCACAACATCGCTACCTCCGAGAAGTTGGTAGCCAGACATACGTAATCAAACTATCCGGTTTTCTCTTCTTTGGTACCATCGTCGGTGTCGAGGCGAAAATCCGAAATCTAATATCCGAGGACTCTTTCAGGGAGCATCCTATTAAATATATAATCGTCGACCTATGGCATGTTACAGGTATCGATTATTCGGCAGCCGAAGGATTCAAAACTATCAATCGGCTCCTAGCTGGGAGAGGAGTGCACCTTCTCGTAAGTGGGAAAGACGCAGATAGCAGAATTGGTCGAGATCTCAGAGCCGTCGGACTCGGGGCCGATGGACCTAGCGTTATGTTTATGCCAGATTTAAATTCCGCGCTGGAAAGCTGCGAGAACGAACAGCTGAAAACCTTCTACGCTCGCCAAGAAGCTCTAAGAATCTCCCGACCGGCACCGTCAAGCAACCTTGATGTGCCTAATAAGGGCCAACTTGGCCAATCATTAGAGATTCTATCTCAGTCGCCGAGGAGAAGCCATCTCGACCAAGCGGCTAAGAATGTGTTGAACCAACAAGAGATGAGGCGGTCAACGAGATGGCAAAACATCAGCGAACCTCTCCGGCTTATGCTCCAAGTCTTTTACGACGTAAGTGATAAGAATGAGGATTTCTGGTTCCGAGCAAGGCCGTTTTTCGTCCGTAAAGAATTCGCCGCCGGTTCCGTGTTATACCAGTGCGGCGAGTCAGCCAATGGCTTTTACCTCTTGGAGAGGGGCGAGTTGCGGGCGGATTATGACACGCCGCAAGGCCGTCTATACGAGCCTATAGTCCAAGGCACTACTTGCGGCGAGCTGCCCTTCTTCTCCGAGACGAACAGGACGGCGACGGTGGTTGCTGTTAAAGACTGCGTCGTCTGGGTTATGGATACGGAAAATTGGGAGAAACTGCAAAATGATGAGAAGGACGTGGCACAGGAATTACTACGGGTTTCGTTGAAGCTTACGAGCGAGCGGATGGAGGCTATGACGAAGTATATCTCGGCGGTTGGGAACTGATTGCTTGGACTGATGGGATGGGGATGGATAGATAAAATAGCGGTTATTTTTGGAAATACAATCAAATTTGCTCGGTGAAGGACTATTGTGCTGTTAGGTGACCATTTGTAAGAATCTGTGTTAGGGCGTAACTCATTAATTCCCTGTATCTCTCGTGAGTTTGAGCTTTGGTATAGTTATCTTGGGCTATGTGAGCCGTTCATGATGTCTCCTTTACTAAGACTCAAACTACAAGCTTAGATGCTTTGAGCTGCTACAACGGTATTTCTTCTGATAATTACCTACTAGGGGCATCGTCCATCTACCTTCGTACCTGAACAAATCTGACAAAAATAATTTATTATACAATGCTATTATAATCAACAAACGTAATCTGTTATTCGTAGTCCTAAGTGTTGTCTTAGCATACCCTGCCGTTGTGTAATCAGGGGCTAGTTGCTATTTCATAAGCAGCGGAACCGTTCCGCACCCAACATCACATATGACAAACAAGTGTATTGGTTTCGTAGCAAATCGACTACCACAACGCTCTATACTACGCAAATCGGCCAATATTTCTAATCATTCTAGTTGAAGAAGCTGATTAATTAGGTTGTTATTAGATATTACCAACATGGCGCAATCCGGCGAGCATGATCCTCCTAACACATAGTCTTAATAATGGCTGGAGAGGGTTTTTGTATAAAGGCTCGTCTAAGCCGACTATATGAGAAGAGTACATTCGCTCAAGACAGACCGTTCTAAACTATCCAAGCATTCAGAGAAACTATTTATCCTCATCCCTTCCCTCTCTATTCTTACTTACATATCTTTAGTCCCTACCTACACACCAAACTCACCATGAACTACACCAAAACCCAACACACCAAGCCCTACGGCGCCATCTCCCCGTCCCTCCCCCACCTCTCCACCGCATCCAAATCCATCCTCATCGTCGGCGGCTCCGCGGGCATCGGCAAAGCCGCCGCGCGCGCGTTCCTCGAATCCGGATCCCGGCGGCTCGCGCTGACCGGCCGTCGCAGCGCCGTGCTATCCGCCACCGCCGCAGAGCTCACGGCCCAGTACCCCGACGCCACGGTCCTGACGTATGCCACGGACGTCGTGGACGAGGCAGGCATGGACGCCGCGTTCGCCGCGGCCAAGGCCGAGTTCGGCAGCGCCCTGGACGTCGTCGTCAACGCTGCGTTCGCGCAGCCCCCCCTGCAGCCCCTGGCCGCGACGGACCTGGCTGCCTGGTGGACGGGCTTCGAGACGAATGTCAGGGGCGCGGCGGTCGTGGCGAGGGGGGTGGCTGCACATGGTGCTGGAAGTGCGGTGCTCGTGTACTTGGGCACGGCGGGCGCGCTGTTCCCGGCGAATGGCGCGCTGCCGATGTCGGGGTATGCGGCGAGTAAGCTGGCGGGGACTAAGGTCATGGAGTACTTCGGGGCGGAGAATCCGGGGCTGAGGGTCGTTAGTGTGCATCCGGGGGTGGTGACGGAGACGGAGGGGGGGAAGAAGATGGTGGAGGAGTCGGGGTTGGAGTGGCAGGGGGATGATAGTGAGTTTCTCCTCTTTTTTTTCCCTCATTCCTTTCTTTCTTTCTCACCTTTTCCCTGTGGATAGGAGAAGAATAAGACGTATGTATGTATGTGTGATGAGATTACTAATAATCGGTATGAACAGTTAATCTACCGGCTCATTTCCTCGTCTGGGTCGTGAGCGAGGAGGCTGCGTTTTTGAAGAATAAGTTTGTTTTTGCTGCGTGGGATGTTGATGAGTTGAAGGCGAGGAAGGATGAGATTTCGCAGTCGCCGGAGTTGATTCTTGGTCTGAATGGGTTTCCTCGTAGTGTGTGAAGAATTATGTGGCAATGTATAGGTCGTCGGTTGGGTATATGATTATATGTATTGCCCTGGTATAAGTCTCTTAGTCTACTACTTGTAAGGTAGCTTGTTAAATATGACTCACCCCTTACGCCGATGATAGTATGCATTTATTCGCTACGTTTCTAGAGAAGAGGTGTTAATAGCTGGATATATTTACTTATGATTAGAATATAACTTACTTTAAATACTCTCGTAAGTGTAACATTTGAATTGCTCGTAACAGTATCACTAAGCTAAAGCCACTGTTCGTACAGACTTAAACTGGAATATGTAACGTGCCAGATATCTTCTCTTCATTACTGTACAAACGTGCAATATGATCTAATTCATGAACGTCTGCCCATCCCTTTTGAAATCCGCCGTCTCGAAGCCAGCCCACGAATACGCCTGACTACCCAGAAACAAGATGGTGATCGAACTGCTCCCCTAACCCCCCAAAGTACGATGTTATACCACCCGTTTAACTTCGAAGAATCTTCGTAACCACCATACCTGGAATAGAGACTCGCCTACCACCACGCCGATTACGAACAAGTTCCACCATTTGACTCGGCTGTTTGTGCTCTCGGCGGTGTTACGGTGGGTGCGTTCACGGACGACGATGTAGGATTGCTCATCCCTTGCCTGTTCGACTAGTTCGGAGAGTTGCTTGACTATACATAGCTCCCGTTAGTAAACTGATCTAAGCCGTATTTGTTAAAGGTTAAGGAGTAGGCAGCAACAACTACAACGCAACACTTACTCTCTTTCTCTAAGGGGTCCTGAGGGGCATCGCCTTCGGACACGTATACTATTCCGTGTACGTTGAACGATACCTCCTTGCTGTTGGAGCCCCAGTGTTCGTTGCCGAAGCAGTAGAGGAATTTGCCGTCGTGTCTAGCCGTAAACGAGAAGTCGCCGTTCGAAACCGCCTTCTGGAAGGTTTCGTGCTGGCCCATCGGGTTCGTGATCTGTAGTTGTGGATCAACATGTAAGTCATTGTATTTATTCACCGACTAATCTATCTTAAGAATGCTGCCGTACCCAGAAGTCAATATCGAGATTCCCGGCACCGCCGAACTCCCTGTCGCCGGTCTGGAAAGTAACGGTCATGACATCGTCCTTGTGGAGCTCCTCGTGGAAGCACTCGCGGCCGTGGGCGGGAAGCTGGATATTGTGGGCGAGCGCAGCTTTCAAGAAGCTGGCTGCTAATAGCAAGGTTTTAGTCGAGAATAACATATTTTCTGGGCAACGATTGACTCAATTCGTTCGCTGAGCCCCGTTTTGAAAAATGTCGTTGCCTGAATATTTGTCATGCGACGGTAGGCTTTGAATCAATAAAAAAATAAATAAAGCCTATTAACTAAACGAGCTGTGAGGCTTGAAACTTGAGATGGACACTTTGGCGATTGCCAAGGATGGAATCTGAGTGGACGCCCGGGACGGTTTAGCGCAGTTTTCTCAGGCTAGATATGTACTATAATAAATCGTAGCGGCGGTACCTGAGAGATACTTCCTGAATCGCGACGTGTTACAAACTCGTGACCGTCTCCTTTCCGGAGAAGGCCGACTCCGCAGCATAGAAATGTTAGTCGTGGTCAGGGGGTCTAATAAGTATAGTAACTGTATCTTAGGTAAGGAGTTAAGGTACTTTAGGTACTTTAAGTACTTGACATAGCAAGAGCCCAGGACTTCTGTCAGGCCCTTTACCTTATCAGGCTGGATTAAGCCAAAGCAAAAAAAAAATAAAAAATAAGATACAAGACCCCCAGCCCAGCGACTGCCAGCTGCAGGCAAGTAATTACGTTCATTTCCATGGGACTCCGTCTTTCTCCAGCCACATTGCATTTTTACCTAACTTTCTGAAAAACACATCTGCTATTCTCTCTTCACCGATCTCCAACCACAATCCACCGCATCAACCCCTTTTGATAACCCATCGCCACGAGATCTCTCCTTCGCCGAGCAGGTCTCATTGTTGCAGAATAGTAAGTCGACTTATTACTTTAGATCTTTCTAACATCATCCCGACAAAGAGATATTCTTTGGTTATTTTCGCTGTTTTGTATATTTGTCGCCTTGCACGCTTTCGCTTTACAGTACCAATACCAATACCACTACCACTACCATTATCACTACCAATATCAATACTTACCCATATCCACGTATCTCTATCTCTACCTACATACCTAATCTACATACCTCTACCTAAATATTACATACATCTACATACATATCTCTCTACCTTCAACCTCCCCTCGTAATTCTTTGGTCCACCTGTTCATTTCTCTCTCCTCTCCTATTGTGGCAGCCTAGAAATAGCACGGGACAATCGCGCCCAACAATACCGACTCATCCCCAGGTCATTGCGCAGTCTTGGAAGACCAATCGATCTGTCCTTACGGAATACCTAAAACCCCATAAATCCCGACTGGGCTGCCAATTACCCCCAGATAATCACATCATCTCTTTTTTTCCCATCTCAACTAACCTCTCCCCTTTCTCGTCTTAGATATAGCGACTTCGCCTTAGGCCCACAGCCGTAATAGATACTTACCGCATCTTTTCTTCAAGTCGCAATCATGGGTCTCACATTCTCCAAGTTGTTCGACAAGCTCTGGGGGAAGAAGGAGATGAGAATTCTGATGGTTGGTCTCGACGCTGCCGGAAAGACCACGATTCTTTACAAGCTCAAGCTCGGTGAAATCGTCACAACCATCCCTACTATCGGTATGCCTTCTCCACCCGAACCGTCAGCATCGCCACCTTTTTGTTTTGATTATTGACACGCGTCGCGCTTCCAGGTTTCAACGTCGAGACGGTCGAGTATAAGAACATTCAATTCACCGTGTGGGATGTTGGTGGACAGGACAAGATTCGTCCTCTATGGCGACATTACTTCCAGAACACCCAGGGTATCATCTTCGTCGTCGACAGCAACGACAGAGACCGTATCGTCGAGGCTCGAGAGGAGTTGCAGCGCATGTTGAACGAGGACGAGCTCCGGGATGCTATTCTGCTAGTCTTCGCCAACAAACAGGATCTGCCCGTATGTTCCTTTCTTATCCTAACCGGTATTGTCTATAAATTTTGCTAACTATGGTTATAGAACGCCATGAACGCTGCTGAGATTACTGACAAGCTCGGCCTTCACAGCCTGAGACAGCGCGCCTGGGTATGTACTCAACTCATTCTATCTTGTCTCACTTTTATAATATATGCTAATCAGCGGTGTAGTACATCCAATCAACTTGCGCTACATCCGGAGATGGTCTGTATGAGGGTCTCGAATGGCTTGCCACCACGCTCCGTAAGGCTGGACACCAGTAAATGGGAGGGGGGCACTGTGTCATTTTCCCGTTACGACTCACCATGTTTCCCTTTTCCTCCCCAATTTAATGGGTCGGTTGTAACTCGCAAATTCATTTCCCGGAGCAATCGATATATTCCATAAATGACGCTGGTCTCGGTACGCTCTCTCTCATGGGTTACGGTGGACCTGCAAAGTGAAGACGCAAGTTTGATTTTGGAAGCATAGGAGGGGAGTGGCGTACTGGGACGAAATCTGTACGAATTGATATTACAGGACGTAAAAGAGAACTTGATGCGTTGGGTCACGCTACCAGGGGCCAGCGGAGCCTCGCATTCTAGTCTGTTTTTCTCGTTCACGAGGCATTTCCCGTCTATTGTTCCCCCCCATTAATAAGAATGATGATTAACACACAATGTCATGATATGATGGTGGCTCTTGTGAAGCCCTGGTGGGATGTTCTCAATATATGGTCCTGTTTCCCTTTTTACGCTGGCATTACGAGATAGAACGAGATTGGAAGGCTTCGTAGTTTTTACAGTAGTAGTTGTTGCAACATGAGATTTGTTTTAGATTTTTGTTGACGTATTTTTTGATTTTTGATTTTTGATTTTTTGGTATAGGAGATAAGATCTATGTTGCGTAATTGTATATGAGGGTCTCCCTCACATGGTCCCCGTTATAACTGGAGTAGACTTAAGAAAAGACAAGTGTAACTCCTTGCTTACATTGTACCTTGTACTTCGTAAAAAGGATGGAGCTAGCGGTGAATAAATTCGTAATAGTATGTATCAACATAATAACCCGTTATCTTAACAGCCTAGCTAAACTTATGATTACCTGTTATTCCTATTTCCATATATAACTACATATTAAGTAGATAATTGGTATAACTAGTTAGACTTGATTATGTATTCACACCTCTCTTATAAGTTGCAATTTCCCTCATTAAATAACTTTGGTAACACATATAGTAATTACATTATTCAGCTAATACAGGTAAGGCGAATTTGTAGTACTTTCTATAAAAGGTTTAGCTTTCTCCTGTTTTATGTTGCGTCACCGCGATTTTAATCGAATTCGGGGGTGGTACGGAATACATAGGTATGTAAGATAATAATAATAAAATGGTTCCACATAAAGCCGGGATCGGCAATGCTGGGATCCCGACGCTCATAATATATTTCAACGGCGAGGTAGTGAAGGTCTTCTCACCGACAACATAATTTCGGAATTGGACCGCCAGACCGGGGGAACGTGTCCTAAACCTTGATTCCCTGCCAATTGATTCTCAATTGTCCAAAATGAAGTCTTCAGGGATTCTCGTCACAGCTAAGAGGGGCCTTCCAGCGCTCCGAGCGCCTCTAATACGGCAACCCCGTTTCTTTGCCCGAGCGGCGTCTTCCTCGGCTTCTAAGACAAACGCCTCGGCTGCGATCGTCACTTCGCGAACTCACCCTCGAATACATGTATTATCTAATCGTCCTCCCCTCCCTGTTCAAAGCTGTCGAAATTACGCTTCGGCACCGACAACGGGATCCGAATCTCTAGGCAAGACGGCCCTTTACGATCTCCATGTCTCACACGGCGCTAAGATCGTGCCCTTCGGCGGCTTCTATATGCCGGTCCAGTACGCCGGGTTGAGCGTCACCGCTTCCCACCACTTCACCCGAAGCCACGCCTCGCTTTTCGATGTCGGACACATGGTCCAGCATCGGTTCGAGGGTCCCGGCGCCATTGCGTTTCTCCAACGAATCACACCCGCCGGCCTCGAAAGCCTCAGCATCAACTCGAGCACCCTCAGCGCACTGTTGGTCCCTGGTACCGGCGGCATCGTCGACGATACCATTATAACAAAGCTCGGCGAAAACTCCTTCTACGTCGTCACCAACGCCGGGTGCCGGGACAAAGACCTCGCATATCTAAGTGAGCAGTTAGGACAATGGGAGAAAGAGGGCCGTCCGTCTGTTAACCACAAGGTCCTCGAGGGCCAAGGCTTAATCGCACTGCAAGGCCCGCTTTCCGAGCAGATCCTGGAAAATATCCTAGCCAACCCCAAGGAAACCGATCTCCACGGGCTGTTCTTCGGGCAATGCCGCTCCGTGACGCTGAAGCTCCAGGACGGGCGCGAGGTGTCCGATATACTAGTCAGCAGAGGTGGATATACCGGCGAAGACGGGTTTGAGATCTCCATCCCCGAGGAACACACCGTCGCCGTAACCGAAACGCTCCTACAGTCGGCCGGCCCGGAGAAATTACAACTGGCAGGCCTGGGCGCGCGCGATAGCTTGCGTCTGGAGGCGGGCATGTGTCTGTACGGACACGACCTAAACGAAGACATCACGCCCGTCGAGGGCGCGCTAAGCTGGATCGTCGGCAAGGAGCGGCGCGGCGAGACGGACGTGTCGAACGGCGCGTTCCACGGCGCAAGCGTCATCCTCAGCCAACTAACGCCCAAGAGCAAAGGCGGCGCGGGTGTCGAGCGCCGGCGTATCGGACTAGTAGTCGAGGGAGCACCCGCGCGGGAAGGCGCCGAGATCCAGGACGGGAGCGGCGCCAAGGTCGGGTCCGTGACTAGCGGGTGTCCGAGCCCGACGCTGGGCAAGAACATCGCCATGGGGTATGTCAAGGACGGCCTGCATAAGGCGGGGACCGAGCTCGTCGTTAGTATTCGCGGACGTCCGCGGAAGGCCGTCGTGACGAAGATGCCGTTTGTGCCGAGTAAGTACTGGAAAGGGAACGCTTAACTACCTAAGGTGTTATGGTTGCGTTTCGACGGTAGGTAAACCTGGGTTATGGAAATTAAGATATGCGTGTGTCTGTTTGTCTATACGATGCAATAGATATAAATATAAGATGGTGGGAGCGAAGAATATGGACGGATGGATTGGTTGGCTGGTTGCATTTTTTGGGGCACTTTGAGACTTTCAACAATCCAGGGGCGTCGGGGTGGACTGATTAGACTACTTTAGGTATGTAAGTAGATGAGATAGATACCCTCAACGAAGATCTACGTTACGATTAACTACTATTATTCGATGGGTTTGGTCTATGGTGATATTAGTTGGGTTTGCTAGGTTAGTTATATGTTTGTTTGGCTTGTAAGTGTATAACGTGTTGCTTTCACTAAAACAGTGAAGATATTCGTAGAGGCTATGAATAAGTTTGGCGGGGGGATCGAGTTAACTACAGGTTTATATAGTTATGATGGAAAGGGAAGAATAGGAATACAATTCTCATATAGATAATAACACGTAATATGATACAACGGGAAACAGAGTAATTAGTTTCTATCCTCACTAACTGGATACCTGGTTATATAGGTAGATACTCAAATCTTCAGCTAGAAAAGAAATATACTACTCCGTGTATGTATAACGAAGACCAAACCGTGCAAGGCATACTAATTAATATATATATCTCTCTTTTTTAGTCATTATCCCCCAACCACACACCGTCACATTCAGACAACCGACCAAGCTAAACAAGGAGAAACATTTGTGTAATAGCGGGTATAAGTGAGTTCTCATATGCCTAAACCTTGACTACACAGCGCCATTCTTCCTACTATCCATTTACCGAATATAATAACTAGAACGACTATAACCACCAAATGCATCAACCGTATCGCTTTAACTACAAGTAAAACACCGGCTACTTCTTGAAGCCCAAGTCACCACGATGTCTTTCAAGAGGGCCAACTCAGGGTATACGATTCTTCAACTTCTCGTCTCTGTTCGTAATTAGGGGACAGCCGGAATTAAATACTAAACTGGCGAACAGCAAAACACACAACTGGGTACTTGATGTAGATATATACGCGTGGTAAATTGCGATATATCCTAGTATAAGAGTATATATATGATATAGATACGATACGATACGATATCCTCCTTCGATCTGCCTCTGCCTTTGCCTCTTATCTCTTACCTCTCTACCTATCTCTCAAAAAACCACATGCCTGTCTAAGTGTCATCATAAAGATATTAATCGTGCCGCGCAAGTATCGTGCGATGTGTGCCATATCATAAAAAAAAAAAAAGATGTGGTTACCAGTACAAGACGTTTCGCCTTAAGTCTGTCCGCTCCCTATAGACCTTGGCTCCGGTATGCGTTCATAAAAAACCGAGCGAGGTGAAGGGTGAACTCGCGGCAGGCGAAGCGTTCACGTGGATTATATACTGATAAGTCCCGCTATGTCCACTTGTGCATCCTTCTCCCGAAGTGTATCCCAATGAGAATCTGTTTGTTCCGTCTTCTCTTTCCACCCTGCCTCTCCTCGCTATATAAATAATGTACGCAATAAACCTTCCGGACTACCAACAGCAAGCGGTATGTATTCCCCCGGGGAATGAATAAACAAAAAGTGAACGAAGAAGAGGAAGCAATGAACCGATGCCCGTCGCTTGCTGCCCGTTTAAATGCTTGGATATCCCAATAACGCCTTCCTATCAATCCTCCCTCTCCCTCGCCCTCGCCCTCCTCCTCGCTCCTATATACGTCGCATCAGAACGTCCAGTCTTCCAACATGGCCGCATGTCTCCGTTTATGCGTAAGAGTCTGCTGCGAGCCCGGTGTTGCTACGATCTGTTCCGGGCTTTGCATCCAGTCGTATCCCGGAGTTCGCCACCAACTCCCGGGTTCCCTGTATTTCCTATGTGCGTAACTGAAGTTATCTTCCGCCCCAGCATCGCACCGTTCCAAGCGCATGACGCCTCCTCGAGAAAGGTCACATGACAACGCGATTAAGTCTTGTCCCTCATTAGCAAAAGCGACGCCGCCGAGTTCGCCAAATATGTCGACTGTCTGCCTAGTATTGAATGTCTGGGCGTCAATCAAATTGACAAAATCAGCTTCCTCGGCGGCGACCAGAATTCGCTTGCCAGATCCGAGAGGGGAGAACCGTAAGCTACGAGCGCCGGCCATCTCGGTTCGCACCACAGCAACCGAAGTACTCTCGCCCTTGCTATTCTTCCATTTACGGGCATCCCATATTCTGATACTCCTATCTTGGTTTCCAGTGGCGACAGTCCAACCATCCGGTGCCCAGTCGCAGGCGAAGCCAAAGTCTCTATGACCTTCGAGGCTTTGGAGTATCTCACCCGTCTCCGCGTCGGCAATGAGTACGTTTTGGTCGTCTCCAACTATGACACGAAGCCTCATATCTGGACTTAGCGCAGAACAATTCATCGCGGACTCATACATAATTTCCGACCTAACACTATTCGTAGATAGATCCACTACCCGGAAGCCAAAGTCGTTGGAAGCAAAGGCGGCCAACGGAGTGGATGAATGCCGAGAAGAATGGATTTGTACGTGATTGGTTATACCGCTATTATGATTGGTTAATAACCCTTCGTGTGCCTCGAGGTCTTTGGAGGAGTTTAGGTAACGGTAACGATAGGTTCCATAGAAACCACCAGCAATCAGGATGTCCTCGTTAGCGGTTAGCGTAGATATATGAGCACCCGTTTGGCTGTCGAAGCGCATCGCTACTTTGTCTCGTCCTGTAGTAGGGTCATGCTCCTTGATCGTAGTAAAGCTCGGATAGAATACCCTCGTTCGCGATGCAACGCCTAATATATTGCGAAGCTGAAAATGCAACAAGCGCACATCGCGCCTGATATCCATGCTCTTATATCTAAAATAATTCTCGACAGGGCGTAGTAGCCTGTCGGACGAATCAGTATGAAACGAATCAGAATTCGCTCTGTTCACATAGTTGTGGAACGTTGCCATACGACGACATCGCGCCATATTCCTCGTTACTCCTAAATCCCTCCAGCTGATGCCTTGGAAGTCGTATAGGTCACCCCTCAACTGCTTATAATCTACTCGGCGCGGGCATTCCCGGGCTAGACGACTGATTTGTTGGAAGGACGGCACGGGTCCGTTTGCTCGTAATTGCATGTCTGCATTGCTCTGCCACTCCCAGAGTTCAAGAAACTGCATAACGTGCGGGTTCTCAGGACCGAGCGACATGGGATTCGCATTACTAAGGGCCATGGGATGAAGACCAGTGTTCGCGGCGGCGTCGATATCATCTTCGGCAGGGTCTTGAACCTCTGGGAGTGGCAGCAACGTCTGTGAGGGTAGTATGGCACCTAAATCGGTATCGATGGGTGGCGAAGGTTGGATTGGGATCCCGAGATGGTTAATGAGCGCATATTCGAGAGGTGCCATAACGTGACTTTGTTCATCTGGATCTTCCATGTTAATATTATTTAAGGGAGCACCGCCTTCTTCGATATCGATGTCCAGCATGTCGTGGTTATTGTCGGCGCTGCTACTACCGGCGTCATCACTGTCTTCAAAGACTTGGGCGCCGTCGGAGTTGACATGTGCAGTAGATGTCGGAACGTATAAAGGTAAGGGTGAGGACTGGTAGTCATTCATAGGACTGTCAGGGTCAGGTAGATCAACTTCAGCAATTTGAGGCTGAGAAGATGAGAAGGCATCTTGGTCGATCTGAGGACGGTCTGGAGCGAGGAATGGAGAGACGGGTGGGGAATTAGTAGGGCGCATCGTTGTTGGAGGTGGTCAAGTCATTTGGTTGGAAATTTGAGCCTAACCGCTCTAGTATGGGGGTTCACATAAGACGAACCCGTGTTGCTTTTATGTTTCTGTCGTGCAGACAATTCCTATTGGCTTATATAAAATAAGGAGGTAACGAGGTATACATGTAATGTATGTAGCTGTGTAGCTGCACAGCTGCGTAGTAGGTGGTAAGTAAGTAGTAGGTAGTAAGTAGTAGGTAGTAATTAGTTGAGGTAGTAAAGTAACCTAGGTTAGGTATGTAAGTAGTGTGTTAAGGTAGATGGGCGGACGGGATGGATGGCGGATCTTCAGCAGGGCGCCAAGATGGGTCAAGGCAGCGATCCCTAGTTTGCGGCTATCGAGGTAGGCGAGGGTGGTATACAGTAGCGTGAACCTTTTTTGTTCTATGTATTTTGGTAACTACCTATTAGTTATTTGAATATGTATTGTAAGGTATTGAACTAGATAAACTTTGGTATGTAATAGATAAAGAGGGTCGGCGGGGTATAAGAATGAGACTAGTAACAGCACCACGTTTTGAACTAGTTACCTTATGTTGAATTTAAACTTGAGAACTTAAGTAGTTTGATGCGTTGGGTCTAAAAAGTTAGAAATTGCGAAACGGCATGCGTACCCAATCCCCAATCGATCGATGTAAGATAAGGAGCGGATCAGGCTGCTGCTAACTGCTACATCGTGATGACGATGGATTGGGGGGAGGATGAACTAGTAAGAGGTACTGATAGAAAAGATACAACGTCGATTCCCATTACATTATGCTACATAGTAGTTAGTGGAGAACAAATGTATGTAAATGCAGAATGCAGAAGCAGAATGCAAATAAAGGACCAATATGACGACCACGCAGCCACGCCACAGCTATTTTCGCTAAAGGTACATGAACGCATATCCACACCCATTTATAACATAGTACCTAGGTACAATATGCAAGTACATACATAAATGTATCTACCTTACCCACCGATTTCCACAGGCAGGATGGAAGTTTGGGGGTTTTGGAGTAAGAGCCATTTTTGGATCGACTTACATGTTAGGTACATATATACTACATACATATAAGGTAGTTATTGCAGTTTATTTCCACTAGTACGTATGTATATATAGATGTACACGATGTACACTACATATCTGACCAGTACTAGAGGTAACTACCTCCTCCTACGGACCCGTAGTGTCCATATGTAAAACGGAAAGCAACATTGAATCCACAATCCATCATCTCCCGTACATCATCACATGTCCCAATCCGACTCTGCATAGATGCCCCCCCCCCAACAACCGGAGATAATCATCATTAGGAATAAAATATCAAGTATTCCGAATATGAACAAAAAGGACACCTTTGAACCTTGTTTTTCATATTTTCCACATTTTCCATTCTCAGCAATTATTCAGCATAATGACGATATGTTGGTGCATTGCATTACCATATGGCAATCCAATCCTCTATCCTCTGTTAGTCTCTCAAATTTCAAGTATGATATATCACTTTTTAATCCCGGTACCCGTCTAGCCGTCCAGCCGTCCTATGAACCGCTCGTCCAAGTCACAAAATAGAAAGCTATTGTTTCCCATAAACCCTCCATTTCTCAACCGGTGAGTCCATGACTTCTCAATTTGACATGACAAGTCAGTATTCTAATACATGTATATATTACCTATGAGGTGCCTCGCCGGGTGAGACACCGAGATGGAAGAGGCTTGATTGACGGGATTAAAATTTACCCTTTTCGCACGGTTCCCGTCGAGTCTTCATTCGCCATGGCCCATAGCCCATGGCCCATGGGGGCGGGGGGGGGGGGGGGGGGGGGCGAGAAACAGAGAAGAGAGGGCCCTGGGGTCGTCGGGTCCCGCAACGTCCATAAAAGTATATGTACTCTCCCGAAAGCTCTCACCGCCGGCACACGAGTTATTAACCGAACTTTTCGAATCCGAGGCGGCAAAGGTCCGAAACAGGATAGACTGAGGAACGAAAGCTACATGGTAATAAACCAGCAACCCTTCGGTACCAAGCATACGGCACTGGGGAAAGGAGAATGTCCAGCCCTGTACACTACACCCCGCACCCGAACCCCTCGAAATTTGTACGCGCAACTAACAGCTAACTCCATCGCTAATGCTAATTTTGAAAGCCCAAGAAGTACCAACTTTTGGGGCCAGCACCGCTGATCCGTGTGCATCAGAACCCCCGTCAACAGAAAATAAAAAATAAAAAATATCGCGAGGCAACGCGCCGCTAGCATATTCCCGACCTACACTACTATTCATTATGGGTGGTGGTACAACATGATCGATCAGGGCCTATTTTGCGCCGGCATGTCCCGTCTTCGTCTCGACTTACCACCACTGCGTAGTTCCCGCAACGCTATTAAATTATCCTTCTCGCCGGCCTAAAATCGGTTGGCCCGTACGAAGCCGGAGCGTACTCCTTTACTCTCGTCTCTCCTTCTTTTTTCTTTTCTTTTCTTTTCTTTCCTTTTCGTTGCTCTCGTGTCTCATTTCTTGTCTCGTCGTGCCTTGAGGCGGAACACGGGTAGCTGCAGTGTAGCATTGGCTAGTTCTGATCTCACTGTTTCGAGCCTAAGATCGCCTCTCAATGCGGCCCTTCGCAGTCTTAGAACGTTCTTAGTCCTTTTACTTGGTGATACTAAGCTGACAACAGATAATATTCTTGACTCACCACCAACCACAGCCATCACCACCGTCCCGGATGCTGGGTCCTGTGGCTGCTGGGATACGTATTTTCGGGTTTTATTCTTTTGCCCGCGGTTTGCTTTGTTTGCCGATATCCGCGGACATGGACTAACCCAGCTCTTCCACAAGCAAATCTTCCACCGAGATGCCTTGACATCACCATCCCTTTCGGTAAACTTCGTGGCTTACGGAAGATTACCTCGCAATTACTATCCTTCTAAGATTCTTAATTCACCCCTAGCAAACTAGACGGAAAGAACCGCTGTATAATTTCCTACGAAGCTGGGGGTAGGTCTGTTCTAACACGTTATTCCTCGGAATTCTCATCCGCGTGGACGATCAAAACGATCTACCCTTTTTAGCCTCTTATTGTGTACTCCGTTACAAATATTTGCTACACCAGGTCTTCCACGCCGTAACACGTGCGTGCGAGATCATGTCGCACAGCCCTAGACCGAGCAGTGGACGATGGTCCTGTAGCTGCCCAACCGTAGTACGAGCCTAGCTTCCGACCCCGAAGCTGGTTACTACCGTGATCGCACAACTTCACTGTACGTACGAAGTATTCTGTAGAACGATAGCTCTACTATGAATCTCGTAGTATAAGATCACGGAAAGTTACACACACATAGGTAAGTCGGATGAAGCGGATACAACAAGTGAGCAGAGATTACGAAGTCTTGAGGCATAATGTGTATAATGTCCTATTAGTTTTTTACGTCATGATGGAACCTAGTGAGCCATGTTATGTACAAAAAGCTAAACGACGCCGAACGCTTCTCGTTCTCTCTATACATATACTTCAATCCATGCTATTGAATCCTGCATTATAGGATCTACACTTCTTCACTAGGGCAAACCGCTGCCCAAGTCTGTCTACAACAGCACCGATTCCTGTATATAGCAAATGAATAACCTTCGTAATACTCAATACGTAACCCCCAACCCCTCTTGTTCATGCGTCCGAATAGTATTGGTCGTCATAAGAATGATGGTACGGTGCGTTATTAGGACCCGAAGGGGGCCAAGCTCCGCCGGCTACGTTATCTCTCGATCCCCAGTAGTTGTCCCTGATTCGGCGTTCCCGCTCGAACTCGGCCCACCGTTTCATAGTAATCTTGCTGCTATCGAATTCGCCTTCGTACTCGATGCCGGCCTTCTTCGTCTTCTCACCCGCAGTCTTTCGGGTATCACCCCACGAAAAGTCGTCAAACTTCCAAAAAGCGTAAGTTGGGAGTACAAAATTCCAGACTGGCAGGGACAAGAGATAGATTAACATCCACACGACGTATGACCACGAATGCGCCGTGACAACGATGAGGACAGCCGGAAGACCAAGAATCAAGCCAAGGAGGATTAGCGGAATGACTTGTACCGGGCCAATGATAGAGGAGATGACTAGAGCCATGTTAGAATAGAGCTACGAAACATTAGAGATTGGGGATATAGTATGAACTTACCGACATAGAAGGTGAAAGCGATAGCTGCAGGAAGAACCAAAGTGCCCATCAACTCGATGAAAACGACAAATTGCATACTAAAGCAGAATGTACCACAAAGATCCTTAACGAGAACCAGTTCCATCAAGTTATGGATCGTAGAGTTAATCCATCTTCGTCTCTGAGAGAGCAAAACGCTGAATTCGTCGGGGACGGTAGTTTTGCACACGGCTTGAGGGACGAAGACTTGCTTACGTTTAGGGAAAGTTCGAAGCATGAGTGTAGTCAAGTATCGATCTTCTCCAAGAAGCAAAAGATTCTTCCGATGTAGAGTATCGACAACGTTTTCTGAATAATGCTCGACGACGTCTGGGTTGGCCAGGATAGGAACCCAGTAATTCTGCGCGCCCTTGGGGGCTTTGATGCGATACATGCAGAAACAGCCGGGAAGACAAGTGACACCACCGAAAACAGACTCGAAGGACTTAGACAAGTGATGGGAGACGAAATATTCGAAGACTTGAATAGCCGATACCCAACTTTGTCTCTTGTTGGCAATCTTGGTCTCACCACAGAGTCCCATGATATCAGGGTCGCGAACCATGGCGCAGAGCATATGAGTCAGACTGTCGGGGAACACCTTGGTATCGGCATCCACCATGAGAACCGCTTCGTAATAATCAGGAGAAATACCGGTTACTTTCCAAAGTCCGTTGAACATCTCAAATTCGAGTTCCGTCATGCGCTCATCAAACATAACCTTCTGCAAGAACGACATCAAAATAATTTGACTGTCACGCTTGCCTCGGTTACCGGGCTTGGACTTAGTAGCTTCGTCAGGCGTGCCACACTTGACCACTAGCATCATGGGAACCCTTTGCTGTTTTTCTACCGGAATGGCGGACTTAGCACCGTAGTCGTAAAATCCAGCATACACCTTGGCCATGTTGTGCCGCTTTGAACCGCTGGCTACAGCTACGTACGAGAAACCCTGGACTTCCTCGATAGGTACAGTGTGATCTTTCATCATACCAAGAACAAATTCGGGTGTCGTCATACTCTCGCCTTTACCCTTGATCATACCGTCGCAAATAACGAGGATAACCTTGTGGCTGTTTGGATAATCTGTCATGGCAATCGAGTCCAGAGTAGTCCTGATACCCATTTCGCCTTCGGAGTAGGCCGTAACAAGGCAGATGGAGTGAATTAAGGGGAAACCGAAAGGCTGGTAATCAGAAGGCGGCTGGGGCACCACCGCTTCGTGGATGAATCCAGCGGGGCCATAACCATCTAGCGGGCTAGCTGTACTACCGTACGGATCAGAACGGAGCATACTCGTCCTGCTATCGTTGCCCTGCTTGTACATCGAATTGGGGTGAAGTAGAGGCCCAGTTGAGGCTTGGCTTGCCATAGTCGTCGGCTGTGGTCGTCTGGGGTTCCTGTCAGTGCCGTAGACAGCTGAGAATCGAGACGTCGTCGGTAAGAAGGTGCTGGTGCGTTTGCTCGTTCTATCAGAACCCATATAGCTGCTACCCACGTCTCCGGGCATGCGTGGTGGTGCTCGATAGATATCCTCGGTCCAGTCCTCGATTTGTCGATTCCGCTTCTTCTTATCGGCCGATTGCGAGGTCTTAATAGCAGCATACTTGCGACTGATAAACCATTGAAATATCAGCGCTAAGCCGAATCTTACTAAAACGACGGACAGAATTAGGATTAGAGACACGTAAAGAACTACTTGGGACGCGATGCACCCGACCGTATCCGTATCTACGGTCCCGACCTTTGCGATCTCTTCGAGGCATCCGGCTATCTGTTTGTCGGCGGGTTTCTGGAATGCTCGGGTGATATCACGCCCACGAACTGCTTGGTTGGCAGGTGAGTTCTTATCTCGCAACTCCTTGAACCGGTTCGGGATCTTGACCTCGTCTTCGTTGAACCAGTTAAGGAGGTCTAGATCAAGGACGTTACCAGAGTACACGACCAGGTTCCGAGAGCTGTTCTTTATATCGTCCCAGGTGAAGAACACATCGCCGGTGGAATGAAGTTGAAGATAGAAGGTATCTCTAGATTTCTGAGTAGTGTGGCACGCGTAACCAGGACTGTCGTACGGCCAGGTAAAATTAGGTTCAGATGAACCATCTTGGTTAAACGCTGTACACGGAAAATACCAAGCGAGCTCGTCCGGGTCGTTAGCGTTATGCGGAACGTCCGAATTGTCCGCCAATGTAACAAGGCCTTTGCATTTACCGTTAACATTCTGGAAGAGAAAGCTGCCATCCATGCCGCCGTAATGAGTAGGCAAATCATATAAAATATTAGGAAATGAACCGTCCTGGCGAAGTGGGATACCCTCGGCCGGAGGGTGACCAGATCTCGTTAGATCGTAGGCAGTACCATGGAATATCATGTAACCAGAAGAAACATCATTGATATGAAGACGTATACCAGGCGAGGCGCAGACGGTTTGCTGGAAGCCAAAGGTCAAGTAACCAACGAAAGCCATGATGTACAGAATAAGACTGATGAGACCCATCTTTTCTCTCCAGGCCCTCTTTTGCTCCTTTGCATTAAACCCACAACATCCTAAGATAAAGTCAGGGCACCAGAAGGTGACGATGGCGCAGTATACGTTCCAAGCGCTCGGAGGACTAATAGTCTCTTGCGACTTCCGCCGCTTAGCATCCTTGGATTTAGCAATTTTGGGTCCTGACGAATGCCGTTTTCGTTGTGATGCTTTGGGTTTTTGCTTCTCGTCATCCCCGCTGGGTTTCCGTCGAGGAGGGGAGCTGTCCGAAGTAGCATCGATAGTCCGTTCGCCAGATAAATCTGTCCTTGCTTCTAGCTCCTCATAAAGAGGATCGTTTCCGGTGGAGGACGGAATTGTCTCCATATTAGCGGCATGTTGCCGATAGTAATAATTCGGATGGTCCTTGTCGATTCTGTTCCTCTCCGGTCTTATGAGACTCCTCTTGCGTGTCGGTACACCACTAGGGATGTCATCCGGAGAAGTCGGCGAAAGAGGTGATTTGTCTGTGGTTGCATTAGGATTCCTAATTGTCTCAGCAAAAGAATTTCCCGATGGCGCACGCTGGTGTGAGGACTGCCTCCGGCCGGGAACAGGATAGTATCCAGTTTCTATATCGGAAGGACGGGCGCGTCTCGACGACGATTGTCGATAGGAAGTCCGATGTTCATATGAAGGACTCGCCGGCCCCGGTCGCTCGGGGAGCGACATGATTTTAAGTGGTCAACTGAATAAGGAAGATTATTTGACGAATATTGAATGACTATGTATATATGAAGAATTTCGCAGGTCAAGACGTTATGCTGTTTGTTACAGCACGGACTGGCGGACGTGTCGCACGCAGGCCGGCCCTTTGCCTTGACGAGACACGGATTGGCTCAGGGATGGCGGAGGTTGGGACCTACTGAGCACGGAACATGGTAAGAAAAGATCTGCATGAATTATGTATGGAATTATGTATGGAGAATGTGGAAGTTTGCTGGGGGATGATGAGATTGCGAATGTTTTTCTTCTTACTCACTGATTTGTTGTGATGGGCAACTGGTGGTCGGAGTGTTTCCAAGTTTTAGCTGCAACTAAAGGGAGGAGGATCCCTGCACCAATAACCAAAGATCTATTGCGAAAGCTTATTCCGTAAAGCCAATGCTAATTAAAGTTAAAAAGGGGGGCGCAAGTATATATGAATGTCCGTAACCCGTGATGCCGACTTTTCTTCAAAAACTTCCCTTTTCAACGACGGGCCAACTCTAGAGAAGTTGTTTTCTTAACGGCGCATCAGCAGGATAAACATAACCATAAAGAAGGGTGTATCGTCGAAACCCCGTAAGCAATTGCAAGATTACGGACTAGCGGGTATCAATGGGTAACACAAGGCGCCAACTATGAAGAAGAATAAAAGGGCTTAGCTAATCGAACCTTCTGCCCTGTAATAAATTGGAGACGGCCGATCGCATCAATTAGATGACCAGAAATCAGGAATATTGCAGTTTTTTAAAGCCTTGAGCGAGAGTATAGCAGCTACGCAAAAAGAATGCAATAAAACGAAAGTAAGGCGGAGACCCGACAATAGCGAAAGTAAGAGCGAAGGTAAAGAGCCTCCGACTTGATGACCCGAAGGACAATTGAAGCGATCAGACAGAGCAGCGATGGTGATGAAAAAGGACAAATCTTGCCGTGCTAGCCACGGCGAAGAATCGGGGAAAGGGGGCTGCATTGCACAAAGTACAGTGTGGTTTTTAAGTTAGGTGCACAGTCCATTCCAGGTCGCTGTAGTAACCTTACGTCATCATTCTCGCATTACCTGGAGCTAAGTATCTTAATAGACGATCCTATATGCGCAGGTACAAGCACCAATAGCAGCTATCTTGCTTGTGTTCCATCAGCCGACCAGAAAAACTCCTAGACCAGCCCATAAATGGAATTGTATACCTAGATAGGTAATCGAATACGAATATTCATGAATTTGACTATTCAGCTATTGTAACTCTGGTTTACCGCGCGAAGCAAAGAAAAAAAAAACTTGCTAGAATTTCTCAATAATATTCTAGCCGTCTGGCTATTGCTAAAATATTAGGCTAGACATATATAAACCGCGATATGCACATCTTAATTAAAGCTTGTTAAGTGCTAAGCGTCGAACTTAGTACCCAGTCGGCTGGGTTAGAACTTTCAGGTACAATAAGTTAGGCGGGCATGGTAGTTGAATTATTAAGGAATGCCACCTGCCAAATTATTTCGAAGAAAAGAGGTCCAACCACTAAAGTTACCAGGTAATGACAGATGTACTTATTCTGTATATCCAAGTACACATTAGTCGCATTTGAACGAAATATCAGGTCGCGGCGCGTTCATATTCAAGACACCCCCGCCTTAAATAAATCTTTAAAAATCGATGGAGATGAAACAAAACGATCTAGATCTAATCTCTATGGCATGCAGCGTGTATCATCAAGATTCAAGATTAGATCAAACATGCAGCCTCGACAACTACCTTAAATTTATGTATGTATATACATAGAGTACAATTAATAAGAGCCGCAAAACAACAAGCGAAGGAAGACGAGGATAAATAACACGTGACGGTTCGTGACAGTTCGTGGCGGTCATACCATTATATCCCCGTTGTGTCGCCGTGTGGGTTCATGCAAACTTCAGCACGTGGTCTCAGTATGACGGTTGTTTCGTGAACCGAGACGGGGCGTCTTTGTTAGTTTCCTAAGAGGCCCGGCGACATGTTTGTTGGTCTTTTTAAGCAAGCTCTTCCTGGCAGCTGAAAAAAAGGAAATGAAACAAAAAGGCTGGAAAGGTCTTGAACTAGGTGCCAAGACAAAAAAACGTAATGACACCATACGATTTGAGGTTGGCGACAGAGACCGGTTGTTATTCTGCTACCGCTTTGAAAGCACTATTGAGTGCGCCTAAGCATAGCACCCACACCGGCGCTATCTAAAGCTCAAACCCCGCTGGAAACCCGTTTGACATGACATATTTAAGTGATAGACAAGAGGTGACAATAAAGCCGGCGGTTAGATAGACCAGATTGTTGCCCGATACTATATAAGTGTTTATGCATATAGCCTTAGCCATGTTGCCGAGACTGGAGACTGGATACTGGAAACACGAAGGGTCTTCTTTTTAAGCTTGTTAACCGCTTTTTGTGTATCGTATTACGCATATCGTAGTATATATACCTACATAATGCATGTACAACAGAGTACGAAAGCAGCCTTATATGAAGTAAGAGGCGAAGCTAACGTGCAAGTAATGCAGCAAGCTGCAGGCCCTAAATACCGACCTATACTAGATATATGTAAGTAGGATGTATGTAGGGCACAACTGGATCCTCGGGTTGAGATGACTCCGTTTTTTTTTTGCCCTTTGTGCGCCCGAGTTCGTATTACTGCGCGTGGTGTTGTCAGCTTTAGCTTTACGAGAAGAGGGATTTTTTTCTCTTTGCTCTTTCGGGATCATTCTGACTTGGCCGATGTCGAAGATCTCTCTGTAACATCTCTGAATTCGTCATCCTTCATTACAAGCAGTTGAGAAGGGTCCATGCTGACAACGCCGGCTTGCTTCATATGGTAACTTTGCTGTTTAACATATAACTATAGTGGAGAAGAAGGCCGCAAAAATGTGAATACGCTCTTCAACACGGCTGAGATTGACAGGATAGGCCATGCCAACGTTAGCTGCTGATTTGCTGGTTTGTTGCGTGATTGGCGCAATCGTTAATGTTACATCTCCTACGGGTCTCGCCAGCAGAACTCTCGATCCTTCGCACGTATAAATAGACAAATCGATACATTGTTTGCAGAGGAACCATTTTATATTTAGTTTTGTCTAAGAGATGGGGAAATATAGGCGTTATATGGGATCTTCATATGTAGGCTATCTAGTGTTTAACTTAGGTACATAAGGAAAGTGATAAATTTTAAATTCGATTTGTAACAAATTGCATATTGTACGTTGCATGTTGCATGTTGCATGTTGCATAGAGAGAAGAAGAACATTACCTACCTGTATAATGGAGCGATGGAGACCCGTATTTTAGGTGGGCAGGTGGGGAGACTGGGGAGATTCATCAGGGCTCTTTACAAAGCCTGCAAGCCAAGATATAATACATCCACATTACATAGTGCATGTCTCCGAAAAAAGTCGCTAAGTATACGAAGTTACACTATGTACCCCGACTAGGTACATGTACGGATTAGCCACCCCTAAACTCTCTACCACTTACCTCCGACCGACCATCGAATTTAGGTTGATCGCTTTGTTTCGTCGACCTGCAACATCCAGTCCCTCGTTTTTCTAATTACTGTTGTTTTTTTCTAGCATCGCACATCGTACAACAACCCTACCAGCGGCTGTAGCCTCAGCTTTTTACAGCTCTTCCGCCAAAGTTTTTTCCTGTCGTTATTGCTTTCTTGTCTAGAATTTGCATCAACAATTAGACTTATTGTCTGTGATACCCACCCCGCGGTCATAGCTACAATAACTTTTTTTTTTCAATTTCGATTTTTCAATTTGGTCCGACCCTGAAAACCTCCGAGCCCTGTTCCCCGTCCACCTCAGCCGGCATCCCCCCTGGCGTTCGTTCGTTACCAACGATTGGGTTGTTATTAGAGTTATACCGACCGAACAACAATCACTGCAGTAATTCTAGGGGTCCAAATATATGTAATGTTCGCGGAATTACAATAGAAACGAGCCTGTTGCGAATCAATGCTTGGGTCTGGGCTACGGCTCTAAAGACTACTTGTATTCATTCCTCTCTCCTCGTTAGCCATTGCGGCTGCGAATCTACTTGAGCAATGGCTACGGTTACGAGTCCTCCGACACCTCCGACGCCAGCTGCCGCCTCTCCTGCCAGATCTATTCACCGGAAACCTCTGCCCGTACCAAAACTCCCTCTTGGCCAACATGATCGTACCGATTCTCAAGAGAGCTTTGCCGACAATACCCTACCGACCGACGCCATGATCGAGTCGCCGAAAATCAGAGAGTTGCCTGTGTCTCCGGCCAGACTAAACTTTCAACCGGACAACTGGGCGCAACCGTCGAATGCGAGTATCGAGAACTACCAGCATGCACAACGAATGTCCTATCCAATGCATGCAGCTATCGACCCGCGAGACATCCCGAGGTCTTCAGATGCGCCCTTTCTTCCCCATAGTAGTACCTATAATCAGCCCAGGACTTTGACACCTAAACAGACATTTGCTACCGACCTTCCTCATAGATCAGGCCAGGAGAGTCTTCTAAGTCCTACCCTTCCTCAGACTGGAGTAGGGTATATGGAAGCTTCAGCTGCACCGGAGCTAGACGGCCAAAGCTTTAGCGAAAGTTCTCACAGCGATGATCCGAATCGACATAGTCGCGAATCAGATGCAACCGCAAGTACGCAGCAGCCGACATCTACTGAGTCGTCAGTCGAGACAAGCGCAAGTTCAATTTCAGGAGGTCTCAATGAAGCATGCGAGAGCCAGGTTGTCCCAGATGAGACATCTCAAGAAGATTATTTTACTGAGAACTCAATACAAGGCAGTCAATCAGTACCTCAGTTACAGTATCATCACCAGCCGTTTCTTCCGCGGGTCTCCAGCGTGCCAATTGAGTCGAACTCAAGGAATTCCTCTAAGTCTGACATCCTCTCGGATCCGACCATGCCCATAAATCGTCACTTGACTCCAAACTCTTTCATGAGGAGAAGTTCTATGCCCCGGCCGCAATCAGCATATTCCGGATATTCCGAATTGGGCCCGCGCGGACGGTCGCCGAGTTACGGGGCCGTTCATGCACGCACTCCTTCGGTCCATTCTCGCAGGTCGCCTGAAACTAGACCGACTTCCTACGCAGAATTGCTTAACGTGCCGTACCCTCAGCAGGCTCCAGCTCCCATCACATTTGACAATTCTTACCTGCGCAACAATGTTGGAAGTAACGCCTCCTTACTAAGTGCGCAGAAGACGCTGGAGATGTATAGGCAAAATGTGAAAAAGACCAACGACTTCTCTATTCAGTATTCATTCGCTATCTTTTTGATCTCTACTGCACAGGAGCAAGGTTTAGAATTTGAGGAACCTTCACGGAGAAAAGGTACTCCGAATAAAGAAACTCCGGATTCTTCGCCATTAGAATTGGTTCGGGAAGCTAAAAGTATATTAACAAGGTTAGCCAATGGCGGCTATCCTTTTGCACAGTATTATCTAGCTGATGGCTTTGCGTCGGGTCTGTTCAACAAGGGCAAGGAAGATTATAATGCGGCGTTTCCCCTCTTCGTTTTGGCTGCGAAACACGGCCACGCTGAGTCTGCTTATCGCGCCGGACTATGCTACGAATTTGGATGGGGATGTAGAAAAGATCCAGCCAAAGCAGTCCAATTCCTACGAACAGCCGCATCCAAAAATCACCCAGGCGCTATGACGAGACTTGGAAAAGCTTGTCTCTCAGGAGACTTAGGTGAAAATCGGTATAGAGAAGGGGTTAAATGGCTGAAGCGAGCCACCGAGGCAGCAGACACCATGTATAATGCCGCCCCATATCATCTTGGCACATTATACGAAACTGGATATGGCGATGACATTTTTAAGGATGAAAGTTATGCTGCTGAGCTATTCACACAGGCAGCCGAGCTCGGACACCCCGAAGCAAGTTTCCGCATGGGAGATGCGTATGAACACGGCAAACTAAACTGCCCGCGAGACCCAGCCTTAAGCGTCCATTTTTACACTGGGGCAGCAGAGCGTGGCCATGCTGCAGCCATGATGGGGTTATGCGCCTGGTACATGGTCGGTGCTGATCCCATCTTGGAGAAGGACGAGGAGGAAGCTTACGAATGGGCTCGTCGGTCAGCAGAACTTGGTAAGTCTCCAGTTGAATATCCGCAGTACCTTAGTATATTACTAACCGTGTCTCCGTAAGCAGGCTTCGTAAAAGCTCAGTATGCTGTTGGTTACTTCACTGAAATGGGCATAGGGTGCCGTCGCGACATTCTCGAGGCCAACGTTTGGTATGTCAAAGCAGCTGATGCCGGTGATGAACGGGCCAAGCAAAGACTCGCTGCTATTCGGGCCGCTGTGAGCGGCGGCGGGACGCCTATGGACGTTGCCCCACCACGTAACGCGAAGATGAAAAAGAATCAGACGAAAGACGACAAGGATTGCGTTGTAATGTAATACGTTCATACGATGGAGCTCGCTAGTTACGAAATGCTAGGGGTTGTTGATAATCAAGCCCCACCGTCAAATACCAGACATGTCTATGTTGGAAACCATGCAGTACTCAGCAAGCAGTGCGCCCTTTTTTTTTTTTAGAATATCCAATGTCCCAACCCCTATTCAGGGGTCTTAAAGTTGAGGAGGCCGATTTCGAAGCAACACACGGGAGATTCACGTGGTAAACATAACGATTGTGAGAGGCAGGAAAGCAGGAAACTTTCATTTTTGTCCTAGACCAAAGGATTCCCCCTCCCCCCCTTTTTTTTTTTTTTTTTTGCAAAGGGTCACGGGCGGCCGGATTCGCGTTCTTCTGGCACAAACCAAAATCATTGCATTTGCATGTGATACGAAGCAGGGTGATGGGAAATTATATCGGGTTGGCAGAAACGTAGATAGCCAGTTCCGGTATACTTCTTGGCCCCGTACTTGCATCACAAAAAGGCGTTCGATCACCATTTTTTTCCTCCTCTACTTTTCCTCCAACTGTCTACGCGTTGTTAATAAGATGAGACGACTGGAAATGGCACGGGGCGGGTTTGACGTACTGATTCAAAGACGGTAGTTGGTACGGCTGTGGCGGCTGGAAAACTTACACATACGTGTCCTCCATATTGAGCTGGTTGGCATCGCAGAAACTCGGCGATTCGCACACACATACACATACACACACACACACATCCTCTGCCACAGTATTGTTGTATATAAGGAGAACCCCGATTAATGATACTCGCCACGCTGCATCAAGTATGCAGTGTGGATTGACAAAAAAACCATGATCAATCGCTAGTTACATATTTAAAACTGCAACTTTCGTGATGGGTAGTTCTCATGTTAATATCTACAAGAGCCAGCCCCATCTATCACTTAACGTAAAAAACAGTCCTGTATAATTTTATCACTTACATATTATATATCCTTAGGTACATATTAATACATAATGCTACGCCAAGTCGTAAGAGACCAGAAAATGTAGTGTAGTGTAGTGTAAATCACAAGCACGATAATAAATAAACTCACGCTTGCACCCTTCTCTCCCCCCTTTCATCATCATATCATATCATACTTTCGGGCGTCGTCTCCCCTGTACATACATACTCAATAAGGCACAGGCTTATCTAAACTTTCAACTCTAATTTTTTTTTTAAAGTCTGTGATAACATATATGCATACGTAGGTACCTAATGGATGGGTGGGCTGACGCAGGAGCCCACGAGAGAACATGTATGTATGTATGTAGGGCCGAAGTTTAAGTGGAAGTCTTCGAACCTTGGGTACCTAGTTAAGATATGTATGTATCGATGAGCTTTAAGACCCTGCGTCGTGGGGAAAGTCGGAATATGTTAGGTACATAGATATGAACCTTAGTATCTAACCACTCTATCGAAGATAACTATAGGTTAGGTACCTAACCTAAGGTAAGTAAGACTTTAGAAAGATTTATTCTAGTTATAGTTATTCTGAGAGACGAAAATAGGTATAATTAGAGACTTAAATCTAGAACGTATTGGTTATATTATTATTTCCTACGGATCAGAAGAAAGGGGCACTTATATAGACCACCTCTATCCAGCCTGTTTATATCTCAGAGCCGTGAAATATACTTATGCTGTCTTCTACATATCGGCAACTCTAGCAATGCTAGAGTTTACCTTTATCTAACTATATAGAATCTAAAGGATTCGAAACGGGATCTTTTTAAATATAAAAACGAGTAACTAATCACTACTGATAGCTCTATTTTCACCATATACCCCCCGAGTTTTGGGATATGCCGAATATTACTTTGCGGTATAGATAATTTATAGATCTACTGAAGAAAGGGTTGAAAATTAGATGGGCAGGCAATTACACTTGAGAATCAAATAATATGAAAACTTATCATTACACACCGCGTCTCCGTTACGTTCAAATCGAGTAGAATAAAATAAATATGTATATGACCCCATATAACGCCATGCAATGGGACCTCAGGCTCTTGGAATGAACTATTAATAAACACGAACGCCCTGTCATTACTCATGACGTTAGAAAAGCAGCATGATCAATCGCTCTCCCCCCCATATACTCCCTCGGTGCTTTACGCGCTCCCCTTGGTAGACTCGACTTCGCTACCCAGTTCCCCAGGCCTCTTGGGATCGACGAGAGCCGAGTATCTCTCATCGCCCCAGCGAGCTCCGATTGTGACCCAGACATGCTTGCTGGGCCCGCTGTGCATAGTCTCGCGGCAGCCCATCCACTGCTGTCGGTGCTCGCGATCCATATTACTATTACCCAAACCACCATTCACAACCCACTCCTTGATAATATTCTTGATGAATTCGATCTTTCGACGGAAATCATTGGCCATGGGAATACCCTGCAGCATGGGGTTAATCTCCGGTCGCTTGCGTGTAGCGTTACGCGTTGGTCGGATAGCCGGCTTAGCAGCAAAGTTTAGGAGGGTCTGCAGCGGATAAGACAGAACAGCTCTCTCATCAAGAGCAGTTTCGTCCAATTCGCCCGTGGTTGCTAGCTTCTCAGCTGCTTCCTGTGGGAGATGCCAGAAGTGGCACCATGTTCCGGTCGCGTCGAGAACAATCTTCGTATGGTCGGGGAAGTTGAATTGGAGATGGCCATCGGCAAAGGCCCAGCAGCCTACGTCTCCAATCCGCTGGTAAAAGGTAACAACGTCACACGGAGGCATCGTCTGCTTAGTAGATGTGGGAACCTGTACTAGACCGGTGTCGTCCGTTGTGGCATCTTGATCCCGCCCATACGCCATCATGTAGTTGGCAAACTTCTTCCACAAGATAAGATGCTCCCGCTTGCGATAGTCAAAGATATCGCGACCCACTGGTATCTTTCCGGGGGTTCCATCTGGGCCTATGCTGATTTTGAACTGCGAAGGATGGACAAAGACTGTGGATAATCCAGACTCGCCGTTGTTCTCGTAAAATTGTACCGCCTGACTCATGGGAATAATCTGACTTCGATCGGGATATCCAGGATCGTGCCGTCGCGAGCAGTGCTGTTCGGCCTCCCGAACTAAGATGCAGCTTGGCGGTAGTGTAACCGTCTTACCTCCTTTAGCACTACCAGGTATGCTCTTGAGCACGCAACCAACACTTCCATCGTTCAGGATATAACCCAGACCAAACTTGTTGGAGTAGTCTACCCACTTAACGACGATATGTGGTGGCGCTGGTGTTGGTCCTTTGCCCATAATGGCCATCGATCTAGAGTTAAGGGCACGCTCGAGTTCATTCTGCAAACGCTGGAGTCTGTCCAGTACAAAATCGGGCTGTGTATCCGGTACCGCCATCTTGCGCTCTGCAGGTCCAAATAAGGTCCCCGTAGGCATTTCCGTAGGCACCTTCGTTATTCTAGACGTTGTCTCTCGCTCAGTCAGCTTCTGAGGGGGTGCTCTCTCCTCTGGTGTCGGGGCAGGCAAACGCGCCTCCGCTGCTTTGGGTTGCTGTGTGGTTGATGATGATAGAGTTAAAGCGGCTACTTTTGAGGCGAGACTGTTCTCTGATGTGCTCTGAGCGAGTTCTCGCCTTGGGCGTGACGATCGCATAGTGCTAGTAGCACTAGGTGCGTGCATATCATCCAACGTACGAGATCGTACTATACCAGATGGCTTTGCTGGGCGACTTTGTGCCCGCTGCTGTGCTGCAAAACTCTGAGGCGGCGCTCGTAATAAACCGTTGGTTCCTCCTTGCGTCCCCGTGCTTTCATCTTCTTTCTTCGTAATAGGTAGCGGGGCCGCGCGGGAGGGTACTTGGACAAGATTTCGCTCCCTGCTAACATCATCGTAAGGTCTATAAACAATCCCTTCGACAAGTGGAATAACCGGGGTGAGTCCTGCTTTTTCTTCTAGTGCAACTTCTCTCCAAGTGCTCTTGTACACTGATTGAGCGCTGTTCCAAGGTCCAACCTCACAGCTCCTACACATCTCCTTTAGGTTACGCATATTCTGAGCGGCCATCCGCGGTGTTAGTTCCTTATCGTAAAAGTGATTTCCATCGGGTGGGTAATCGCGTAATTTTATTGTTATTTCTGCTGACGTCGGGATATAACCTGAGAGGAAGAAGTCGTGTTGGACAATGGTGTCAGGGTCGGGCCGTAACTCCGCCTCTTCCAACATAGTAGCGACAACATCCTTCGCTTCTTCAGAGATATACTTGTTAGAACTGTCTGGTTTAGGCCATTCATAGTCCCGATTTTTAGCACGACGATAGATCTCATCCGTCGTTGAAGATTGGAAGGGCGGCTTGGAGGTGAGCATAGCAAACCTATTACCGTCTATTAGTTATGAATCACGAACAAGATGATGTGTTTGACTCACATAATAATACCCAAGCTCCATATATCGACCATATGGTCATGTCCTTTCTTTCCCTTCTCTAAAATCTCGGGTGCAATATAATTCGGCGTCCCGCACAATGTTGTACGACGAATTGTTTGCATGTCTCTGCCTGTAACCAGCAGCGCCGCCAGGCCAAAGTCGCCAATTTTGGTATTCATATCCTTATCGAGAAAGATATTGCCCATCTTCAAGTCTCGGTGAATTATACCTTTGGCATGCATGTACTTGATGGCACCAGCAATCTGTATTGAGTAAAATCGCACCTCGGGTTCAGTCAATCCCTTTCTTCGCTTAACCATATCCATCAACGAGCCATTAGGACATAGCTCCAGAACTAGATAAGTACAGTTCTCAAAGGAAAAGGCCCTGAGAAACTGAACAATGTTTTGGTGCTTCATTTTAGAATGAATTTGTAATTCGGTTTGAAACTACTCGAGTGGTTAGTCTTGAGGATAGCCCAGCAGCTGTCCTCTAGTGATCACCAACCTTTTGCTCCATCTTAGACGGCATTTTACTCTTGACGATTTTTAGTGCATACTTCCTCCTGCTTTTACTCCCCGCGAGATATCCTTCGTAGCAGACGGCGAAGCCACCCTTCCCAAGCATTTTCCCGACCTGATACGCAGCTCCGTCTTTGCGATCAAAGCTCGGCGGCTCGTAAACAACGGGAGGGGGCTGTGGCGGAGGCTCCTTTTCCTTCTGAACAACTTTGGGGGCTGGCATCGCTTTAGCTTTCGCAACGGCTACCACCCGGTTTGGGAGCTGAGCATTAGCATCTCTCGGGGACAAGGCGTCCGCATCAGCTGCTAGCTTCGCTGCCAAAATTCGGTCCGCCATCGGGATGTTGTGCTGATAAAGTACACAAAGTCAAACTTAGAAAGAAGCAAGGCACGGCTGCAGCTCAACGGACGATCTTTTATTATGATGTTGAAATTCCTAAACGCGACTATTAGCACGTTTACTAGTTCCCGTCACTCGAAGAAAGGTTTTTTTTCTAGTGGTAGTTTCGTAACAATTGAATAAGAAGACTAGGAATTTTCAAGGTACCATATGAAGAGGTATGAAACTTAAATTAGGTTAAACCCAAAGTTTTGTGTTGTTATGGCAGTGATGATGATGATCCTTCTGGAAAGTGCGCGTGGTTGATGTGGTTGATGTGGTTGATGCAGTTGTTGTAATTGATAAAATAGATAGGCGGTGTCACTTACACGTCTTGAAGAGCATTTGAATTAACATAAACTCTTCTAAAAAATTAGCAATTGTCGCCGAAATCGAAATTCGTCGACCCAATCCCTCGTAGCAAAGATGTTATGAGAGAAGCAAGAGGGAAAATTAGGTAGTATGCATCTAATTACAATATCATTGATGATCCAGTGTTAGACTAAAGAAGAAACGTGCACATTAAAAAGTGGCCCATTCATTTACAAGTAAACGCTGGTGTCGTTGGGGAGGCAACCGCTAAATACTTCGGTGTTTATCCAATCAGGTGTGCCCCTCATTACGGTGCGATCCATAGGGACTATCGATAAGACAAGTTTCAGTGATTGTAAGCTTCGTTGCCCTTGTAGGTGGGGAAGAGGTATACGGTGCTTCTAACGATACCCGATACCTTCCATAAGTACGAAATCATACATAAGCCCAACCCGACATGTTTCCTATACCCTAAACATACGAATCTTTACTCGAATCTCACGGTCCAGTCCATACCACCGAACCGAAATTTACTTCCTAAAAGAATCGAGGCGAGATGGTTGCGCTGCCATTGTTTAAATTAGCATCCTTGTTCTTAAGGCATATTTCCAAATATGGCGCTGTACGGTCATGACTTAGTTCGAAACTATAGCGTCACGAACGAAGTGCTGACGACAATGATCAGAATCAAATAAAGGTGCAAGCTCATGACCATCCGCGCTTCCGCCGTCTCGCTGCCAAGTATGGCCAATTCATTCACCAGTTGAACATGCGTCTATCCGTAGCATCCCTAAGAAACGTCGAGGCGGAAATAAGAGCAAAGGAGAAGGCCGAAGCGCCGACAGTAAAAACGAAGGAGCAAATAGCCAAGGAAGAGGAAATTCGTGCTAGGCACGGCACGACAAACCAAGAGACCCGTACCCAAAAGTCCTTGCCTATAATAAGCGTCTGGAGAAGGAAATTTAGGCCTCTCCCAGAAGCTAAGGCGGTCGACCTATTTGCGGACGTGGTTGGCGATACCTTCATCCTTTTCGTGGCCACGATTTTGATATTATATGAATACCATAGGTCCTCTCAAAAGCCGGATCCCAACATGGAGAAGCTCAAGGAGCTCAATGCCCGCTTTGACGAGCTTGATAGGAGAGAAAAGGAGCTCGAGGAGGCTGAGAGGCGTCAACAGAGTCGAGTATTGATACTCGAGGAGGCTTTAAGGGGAGTCAAAGACCCAAAAACCCAGAAGCCACTCTTGCCTCCGGCGCCTACGGCATTGCCTCTCGCTTAACAAACAGACGATGACTGCAGGGTACAGGTCTATACTACTTGGGTAATTGATATGCCTTTACTATACTATATGATCTAACGAATGTGTAACTATATATAAAAAGCCGGCGTTGCTAGACGGTTGTGGGCAAAGATAAAACTGTGTGTCTATGAAAGCTTAGTAGAGCACAAATATCAAATCCCCTTTAGATATTGGACGCCGCTCTCATGTATATTTCATCCCGATATATTCACTATTATTTGAATATAAAACAGCCCCTTGGCTCTTTACTTGATCAGTTCGTTGTTAATATATCCATCATAATAGCATTATGATCATCTGCAGGTGTTGACTTTTACACTTGTATAACTAGGTACTTAAGAATCAGATGTAATTATTTCCACCTACCTATACATAGGTCCATGTTGACTACATCTTAGGTGCCTTGGTTAAGATTAAGGTAAATAAATTATATATATAAAGATACTACGAACACTCAAAGGCTTATGCCCATTGTAGAGCCTCTTCATATGGTCAGCGATGAAGAATGGAAAGAATGACATAAAACCTTGTCCAGTGAACTAAGCTACATGTACCTGTAGTTATTTCATACAATTAACTTTACTTGCATTAGGTAATAAGTGCATTATACTATAAGATGTAGGCAGTAACCTACGGAAGGAGCAACTATCTACATAGAAACTCGAGGGTCGGAACTTAAGGCTTAGGTATATAGGTACCTATATTTTAATTCTATCTAGTGTCTCAAGTTAACTCTGGTTTTACTTTATACAGCCACAATTGACGACGAGTACTACAGGGTTTCAGTTCCATTGCTCCCAATAGGTCATTATCGAACGTAGAAATGTCGAATCCTTTAGTCTGCTACTCCTTGCGTAAGCGCCCTGTTTGGGCCTCCTTAACCGAGGCGCTTCAACAAGGAGGCAACAGCACCAGATGGAAAGGTACGACTATAGAAACGCCTCAACAATTTATAACCCGTCACAGGACAGCGCTAAACCCAGGTACTAGAGGCCAAACTTGATACCCACGATGTGGCTCTCCCTTTACCGAATCCTAGCGCTACACCACAAAGGATTCTGCGGGCTCTTCTGCTGTCACCGCCTGACGTTGGTAAGGTCGAAAGTAGAACCCGGATTCAACGGCTATTTCACCTAAATGGAGGGCAAGACATCGCGATCGTGTTCTTGCTTCAACAAGGACAGGACCAGGAAAGTCCTATGACGGCGCTTATGACACTTCAGCTAGAGTGAGACATAGTTTTTCTCTTTGGCCTCCCTGGTCCATATGTTACCCCGGTATGGCTAGGCTGACGAGATATAGTCTTGTCGATGAATTTGAGATACCTATTATCCTCGTTAACTCAGTTCAAGATGTATCGACCAACTTGATGACATTTCATCGTCAAATCAGTATCAGCAACAGATCCCGGAGGACGGCGAATCCAGTTCAAGCTCTTCTTCCGTATTGCTCTGACGGACAACCTCTGTCTGAGCATGCAGTTCATGTCCTAACTGATCTCACGTCTAGCTTCAGAGATCTAGTGGAAGCGGTGTCGACGCAGAGGGGACAGATGAAAATAGCCGAATTCTTAGGAAGTGGCTCGCAGCGCATTGCCTCCTTTTGGGCAAATGAATATCTGGTTGAATGATGGGTTATTGCAAGTCGGTGGCTTCCTCTACTAATTCTGACGTTATATGATCGGATTGGCTACGCGACCCGGATATTGCTTATAAACTATGAGCTGGATGAATGTAGCGCGCTTGAAGAAACCAGCAGTGCCACATCGAAGCAGTTTCGCTAACTGGGCTTCAAGGCGAAGCGTAATGAGAGGGTTGACAACAGCACAGAGCTGAGATAAGTACTGTAGTAATGAAAATATCCGGTTAGTGAGTTCTTACGTGTACGCATACTGATAAGTGCCCTAAGCGCCGGGGCGAGAGGATTGGCGGGCAAAGCATTACTAGATCGTAATATGTGTACAGCTGGCTATAGCGATCGACACTGGTCAACGCGGGTCAGATAAAGATCAGAATCGACCCTACATACGTAGATACGAGGATAAGCAAATACTATGTTGACGTCAACAGAATAAAATAGAAAAGATCCGATGGGGATATAGGTAGAAGTAGAGACTAGATATTGGCTATCTACGGAATTGATTGTGATAGTGATTAGGATAGCTACCGGCATCTGGAAACTGAACATTCTTTAAGATGTAAATTTGTCATTTACTCTTGACCGATAATAGATACGCTGCAAGTAGAGTAACATACACATGCACATGGCTTTTCTTTAGCGGACGTACTCGTGGGGGGTTAGGCATTAGGAGGGTAACATGGACTCGCTTACACGTTAGGCCAATACTACCTAATATCTTCAACGTTCCTGATCCGTTTTAATGGATTTGTAGAATTGAAATGGAAACTGATAAATCAACCTTGAATCGACTTATGATGGAGCCAGTAATAGTCGATATCTTAGACTTGTCAATATGAATGTGGATGGTTGACGCCGGGGCGGTAACAGGAGGGAAACTCTTATTGGTTAGAAATTAAATAAGTGCCCAGGTAAGCCAGGTAAGCTAGGTAGGTAAGCCACTTTGCTCCTCCACGCGCATGTGGCTTTCCGAGTAAGCGAGTCCAATTAGAATTCGGCAGGAACCGCCGTCAAGAATAAAGTTGGCCAATTGAAAAGAATCTCACATAGATTTGCCCCAAATGTCTCCATTTCCTCCCCATTTCGCTCGCGGCACACCGCATACAACACTTGCATACTGAATCCAACTTACGCAACGTAGATCGAATGATCTGTAAATATCCCCGGTTCCCGCTATATTCAATCACCTGACGATACAAATCGAGACTCATCAGCTAGGTATCATATCACTAAGGCACTAAAGTGCTGTGATAACTACACTAAGAACCTAGTATTACTATTCGCTTTTTCTTGCTTAACTTCTGATAACCCTGTGGTATACCTACCTAGTTGTAGGGAATAGAAAATGGGGAGGCCTCGGCACAATTATGTATTGTCTAGACCTTTCATGGCCGCCACCTCGCTTAGAACTGGCAAGACAACACGGGTTAGGATTTACTCGTATGTACTTACACAGCCATAGAAAATTTGCACTCTTCTTGGGTAGGCTCAAACGTGGATTGAGACACGCTGAAATCCGAAAAGCTCAAATTCGAAAATTAAAAGAAGGAATCGCAACTGGCTGTTGTTTTTATTTCTGAGGTGAATGCGGTCGGACCTCCATCGAATTATCAAACCCTGGTCCTATATCCCTGTCGGAACAACCCCTGATATATCACTCGATTTGGTATAGCCTCCCGGGTGACGGAGATAACCCTTGTTGCGAACGGCTGGTTGATCTTAACTAGTCGCTTCCAAACCCGATCTGCCTCAGCATTTTCCCCTGCGAAACTCCTCGTTGTTTGGAAGTTCTGGGCATTCCGTTATCCGAAGGGGTACGTCTCAAATTTGAAATACCTAACCAGTTGGCCGGAATCACTGCCTCAATTGCCCTGGCCTTTAAGGATTTAAACGTTCGATAGACTAGCCTAAGGCGTCACGAGGGGCAAGTAAAGGCTCGGATAAGGAGCTATGTATTCACGAGGTGAGATTGAAAGTGTTCTTGAGAGCCGCTCCCTGCCGGCTGCTGGATTGCTAAGGGGATCATCCTCTGAGTAATACCTGAATAGGTAACCGTTTTTTTGACATGGCTTTACCTAGTGTATGTAAGTGCAGAATAATACATACCTATGTACAACAGACTCCAGACTCCAGACTCCAGCCACTCATTCCGGTACTATGGATCTGACATCACGCCTTCCAACGATCAACGACGAGCGATATAGTATCATTAAATATTCCGAATTACTATCTTCGGCAGGTAATGAACAGATCATATCTATACCTATGAACTATCAAGCTGTTGTAAAGCTTCGAATTGCCGGGGTGATGAGGGTTCAGAGAATATGGAGACATTGGAAATATACCACATAACCACATAACTTCTTTATCCCATCTAATCCCTGTTTGCAGGGATTCCAGAGACGGGGGAGATTGGGGTTGTTATGCAGCGGAAGCACCCAAGAAAAGCTTCTCATTGGCTACGAAAATAATTGTAGCCGCCGACGAAAAACCCAATCACATTGTTCTCCCTCAATAATGGCTATTCTCAACGACCGTCCTCATGGCCGCAATATCAAATATACCCAATACCCATAGCCACAAGTATGCAGCATTACCGCCTATTCATGTACCCGCATATCCGGGCCAAGCAGCTTGGTACTATTTCTACCCAATCGACTGCTGGTTCACATATTGTATCCACCCTAGTTTGTCCAGTCCAGGTTGTGATGAGAGCTGCTACGGTCGATAATCGTCAGACTCTAAACTATTTTAGGTTATTCGCCCATTCTGCACATCATGAATATGTACGTACATAGATGTTTTTACATGTCCTCTCTAGATCTTGGCCATCTAAGTATTGGTTCTAAAGACGGCGGTCTCGGGATGGGCTGGTGATACTCTATGCGCTTCTTGAAAGACCCACCCCTTCTTGTCTCTTTCTTAAACTCTCTACATGCCACCTCGTGTCTGAAGACTTTTAGGAGTTCCCCTTCCATACATGAAGAAACTCGGGAAACCTCCTAAGTATCATCACCCTGTTTGATCCTCAACCCTTTTCCCATGCGACGAGCTTGAGCTTCACAAGCCCCCCCGGCACTAGAACGACTTGGACGAGCTATGACATTATGACATTGTGGAGCAACTACGAACACTTAAAGATACAACTTCAAACACTACCTTGCTCTCTTATATCGCCTCAACCTAGCTGACACTCCACTGCTGCTGGATAAGGTTGTGGATCATATATATACAATCAATTCATAGGCAGGGGCCGTAAAGGAGTTGCCAAAGATTTTCGATGCCGCTCGGATGCATGCTGGAGTTATAGACAAGATCTCAAGAACGTGGGTCTCGAACGAAGCTTAGCACTGTCGGCCCAGAAACGCCAGATACACTTATACAACCCCGGCTCGGATCAGTCGGTTCTGACACGAGCCTCCCTCAACGGGAGCACAGCTCCCGGCAGGGGATAATAAAGCTAAGGCTATCGGCCCTCCAATATAGCTTTTCAGAGCCCCGTCCGGGCTTGGATATTCCTAATTAGTCTTCATCTCCTCTTCTTTTCTTCTTCTTCTCCCTCTTGGCTGCCAGCGCTGTGCACTCGCCGTCGATAACCTTCTTTAATATCGACACTTCAATTCTTCGCCAAGCAGGTCCGGCTACCTGGCATTTCCATTCACTTCACGATTGTTGATTTTCGAGACGGTATTTACCCTTCTCTCGCTCGCTAGTCGACATTCGTTTTGCACCTGGTGTGTGTTTTGTTTGGATTCTTTTTTAGGAGGGCTGAGCGCTTGGATCGTTTGGGGCTTCAGGAAGAAGAGAAAAATTACTAGGACGAGAAAGAGCTTTGGAATCTCGAAGAGCAAAGAAAAGGACCGATTTTTATTAAGGAATTTTTAAGAAGAACGAACTGTCAAAATGGGAAAACTCATCAAGAACCACTGGGCCAGACTCATCGTGCTCACAGCCGCAGCTTGTATGTGTTTTAATACTACAGGAAATTTGCAACCCTACTAACAATTTTCTAGATCAAATTGCTGCCGCGCTCGAAGCATTCTTCTGGCCTAAGATATTCTTCGACTTCATGACGAAAGCATTAGATCCGGCCGTTAAGCCGGTCCCAGCGCTGCAAATCATAAACCTAATCTTGGGGATAGTGATATTTGCTTGGGAATGGCCGTTAAATCTCATCGCCGGAACCTCGATCCACAGGAGCATGGAGGCCCGTCTCGCTACATATCCGCTTGCTGCACTCGCCGCGATTCTTATCTACCAGGGCACCAACGCTGCTATTTATTATCTAGTGGCAATGATGGCCTACTTCTGGGCATACAGTGAAGGCGAGGTATGTTTATGTCTCCATCTATACGTTGATGAATTTTATAGTATCAAAGGCTAACCAGTCAACTAGATTGTATGTGCCAAACCATGGACTCTACCACAGCGAGGCCGTTCCGGGGGATCCAAGGCGTAGAGGTAGAACAGCGACTACCTCACCACCCTTTGGCCAAGCACAATGCACCCGGGGTCGCGTGTACACGGCAAACCTAACTTCTCTTCTCCCCCCCTTTATCCTTTTCCATACGGCTCCCCTAGTTTGACGTGGGCGCTAATCCTCGAAATACCCCTAATGTTGTGAGGAAGGGAGGAAGCGAGATTCCCTCGTACCATATATGAGCAAGCAGGCTCTTTATTTCTCCTTCTAAGGAATGAAATACCCCGAATGTATATGCATATATAATCACTATCTATTAAATAAGGAAGAAAGCATATATTGAAAATTAACCCACGTTGGTCCCATTTTCCCCGTCTTGTGGAATTATGGCATTTGCACGTACACTTACATCGGCGTTTACCAATTTGCTTTTTGGATATCCGAAGGTTTGATTTTTATTATTTTTATCATTATTATTATTATAGGATTTTGCCTAGGGGGGTTGTATATGAGGAGGACGAGTTATGACACTATTCCGGAATATTTACGGTCTTGGTCTTGTTTGGGTCCAACCCGATATCGAGGACGGATTAATGATATGATTACTACGCATACGGATTTGCCTACCCACCTACCTATCTATCTACCTATATTCAGAAGCGCTAGGCAGTGGCGGTGAAGTAAAGCAAAGGAAAGGTTACCCATACATAACCTTACCTATCTATGTCTGTATACATACATGCTACTAAATACACTACATCTCAAACATCTCGCCATGTTCGCATGTGGCGCGCGAATAGCCAGTTACTCAATGCAGTGCAATACAGTAAGTCAGTGATAAAATACCAAGAGTTGTGAAACCTTGCACAAATCCAAATCCAAATTCAATCTCGTATTCGATGGCCACCTACTTTCAATAGAAACGGAAACTAGAAATTAGAAACAGAGACACAAAATGTCGTTCCATGGTTGAGACGAAAAAAAAAAGGAGGAGTGAAGGTTCGTCGTAAATTTTTCACGGGGTAGCGTCGCGCGGACCTGGGCGTCGTCGTTTCAGATGCTAGCAATTTAACTAGGTTACGAAACGCCATGTGGATGAGATGAGGCTCGGCCGAGAGTACCAGGGTTGGGTTAGTTAGAAGGATAGTTTAATCATCATGAGAAAATGATTTAATTCATATCATAAAAAAATAATAGAAGGTTAGATAGATAAGTAATATTCATGTTGTTTACATATTCACTTGATAACTATACTATGCGATTAACTTCTTTCATTAGGATTCATATGTCGCTAGCTACGACTATCTTGCAGATCCATCGCGATAATATTCCTCGTTAGCTAATAGAAAAAATAGCTATTCTACGAGTATTGCATTCGAAATCCGCCTTGGTTGGTAAATCATGGTAACACTTAAACCAATGATACCCCTAATTCACCTGAGCGCCGCTCTCCTAATTGATAGCTAAACGCAGTGCAATAGAACAGCGCACCAGGTTACACCGGGCGCTGCCGGTGAGTTGAATTACCACTCTTATCTGGAAACCTGACCAGTGACAATGGAGCCTCTCTGGGCGTCATTCTTGGGTCCTTGGCGTTCAGGAAACTGATGTAATTTATCGTCAGTAATCGTGCCATTTTCTACTATTAGGTCATAAGGGAGCGACCTACCTCGGACTCCTGAAGTGTGCCAGCCTCTAGTATCTTCTTGATGACCTCATCCTCGTTAGAGACACCAAACTCGTTCTCGAGCGTACTATTGGATGCTCCGTCCATCTGGCCCTGAGTTCCTTGCCTGTTGGACATATCATGTTAGTCGCTGTGGGCAAAAATTGGATATACGTTGGGGGAGTGCATGAACTGGATGGGATCTGTGTTGGCTCCTGGCGTCTAAGGCGAGATGAAGACAGGATCGTTGGTCTATGTCTTTTGCTAGGCCGCGGCCCGGGTCGCACGCTTGGGGGCCGACTGTTGCAGAGATGAAGCGTGGGTAACACCGGCTCAGCCCGTAAGCGCCGGGGCGGTTACAGACTGGCAAATGCGGCTGGCCAACTGCATTGCCTCACCACAGCCCGCACTTTTCATGCCGCCGTCGATTGTGGGCCGTAGATATATATATACCTTATATATATATCATGAGGTCCTTGGTAGAGGTGGAGTGACATTGTGCTTGGAAAGGCGAGTTGCCTAGGAGGGGAAAGATGGTATGTGCTAAGGTAAAGACTTACTTGTGTGTCACGAAGATCTTGAAGGCGGAGATGAAATGAGCCATGGGAACGGACTTGTCGTTCTTCCACTTCTTATAGGTCTCGACGTCGTCGATGAAGATGATGAAGTCGTCCTCCTTGCCCTTGTAGTGGACCTTGACTTGAGTGGTTTCTCCTTTAGTCATATTGGGCGATTTGTGTTGGGATTGCTTGGATATAGGTAGGTCAGATTGGTATGTTGGAAGCTGTATATGTTACAACTTGGTCGTCTCGTGTGAGGTAAGTGGTGATGTTAGACGTGAGGTTGGAAGATATGGATATGTATGTAAGTCGTGGGTATCAAGTTGATAGTTTGTTAAGAGATGTTTGAATGAATGGAGTAACAAAGGAAAAGATTAAGAAGTAGCTCTAGGCTACTGAAGCTTCAAATACGCTACCGGAAAGCTGCTGTTTCCCTGTCTAGTTTACACATTCGATCATCATGTGGCATGCTCTTGCTAAATAATTGAAACTACGTCATCATTTACATATTGATTTACGTATTTACGTACAAACGAGTAGCTACCCCTCTGATTGTACACTGTTTGTTCCTGCGTCAGCTCCCCGCGAAAATGACTTACGTCACAGGCGGAGCTTATGACAGGGATCAACAAGTCAATTTAGAAGCTCTTTGTCTTAGCCCCAACCTTTCCTTGTATCCTACATGTTAATTTGCACATACATGTATATATGTACCTACCAAATGCAGAATGAGACCAATACGAAGGCTCTGGAATAGAGTAGAAAGGACACATATCTACATGAGATAGCCGTCAGAGGTACTTGGACAGGTACATCCCCCCCCCAAAAGGAGATCGACCTCAGCTTAGGTATCGCCGCATTAGACGGGAGCTGCCGGACATCACTGAAATAGTATACTGACCTACGTAGTAGGTAACGTAGGGTGGTGAGACAAATAAGGTTGCATTCCATGAGATAAACAGCATATTATTATTAAATTCTAGAATACCGGTATAACCGCTGGGTTGGTTGGCTAGCAGAGTGCCGTCGCTTATACATAAGTAACTTAAGAACTTCCATTGTTCTACCTAACTAAATTGCTCCGGGGTATAATCATAGTTTGTCTAGGTCTGAAAGCCTGACGAGGCAACTGATAAAAAAGCAAAGCGTTTCACGGAATCCGGTACCGTTCCGATGCCATCATGAAAAGAGAGGAAAAAAAAGAAAGAAAGAAAGAATGGTATAATCCCAAGCCAAAAGCAGTCCAGACCATGTATCTATACCCAACCCTGTTATCAATTATTGAAGTTGCCTTCCCTCATCTAAAGAAGCTTCGAATACCAGACGCCATCAAACCTCTGTTGATGGCGCCGACTCTTGCCCACTTGTTATTCGTAGGCCTAATATTAGTTAATGTTTCGTGTAGTCGATGTTTCGCTCCAAGTCCGTGGTAGATAATGTCTTCATCCCCAATAGACGACGGAGAAGATCCTACTGAGAGTGTCGTCTGCCTACTATCTCGTCGAGTGTGCCTAGATGATGGCGATGATCGTAAAGTGTGGGCGCTCATTCCATCTCCTAGCCAATCCAGGTCGAGTTTCAAAGGTTCAAGTTTCAATGTTTCTGGCTGTATGCAGGCATCAATTGCCGGTGAATTATCCGAGTTGGGATTACCAAAATGCTCGATCTCATCTCGAATCATTGGGAGTCTTGGCTTGATATCCCCATCCGTTGTACTGACTCTAAGGAGTCTAGACTTTGGCTTGTCAGTGTTTAGACGGGCAAGATTATCAACAGATCCGTTGTAATGTGGAAGCTCCTCTTCGCTCGACTTTAGTACACTGGTAGCGCTTGTAGAGCGCTTCGTAAAAGAGCTTGTGATGCTTGCAACGCTCAGCTTTCGCATAACAGTCGAGGCTGAGCTACGGACAAGGTGCTCGCTTTTCGATCGATACGTTATACCGGGAAAAGGTAACACCTTGCGACTCCAGACATCAGCCAATAAAGCCTCAAGGCGAGCTCGCTCTCCCCGGGAAGGAGTGAGAACGGGGATACGAGAATTGGTCGTCAGCAGCGATTGCGAGCGATTGATTTGTGGGGGGATTGACGATGAATTATCCTTCATCGTACTTGTATTTTTAAGTATAACTTGGCATAATGGTGATTTCGGCCCGACGGTAGTGGCCCTATGAATGGAAAGGCGACGAGCAACGGTGCCTATGGTTGGAATTAGAAAACATCTTAAGTTTTCAAATGTGAGTCCTGTGCCTACCTGGTTTTCCAAAAATTGTTCCAAGACTTTTTATGTCGAGGAAGATTGAGCTATAGAATATAGGTTCTGATAATTCACCTGATTCAATTGAGTTTTGTCGTGTAAGACGACTACGCCACTCCTGTTCTTCCTTTGGAGAACAAGCTGTCATTATAATTTCGTAGAGTTGATGATCACATTCGAAGACGAGCTTCCATGAGAAAGGAGCAGTATGACATTGGAGGCCTTGATTTGGTCAGCATACCGAAGATGAAACTAGAATAAATCAAGAAATTCTTACCTCGACCATTGTCCACTTCTTCAACCTTAATATCGTTAAGACTAATACAAGCTTGAATGGTATATATTTGGTCTGCTCGGCTGCCTGTAGCGAGGCACAAGCAGTCCTTGTATAAGAGCGTAACCATATATGCGCCATCCGCACCATCTTTAGTCTGCCAGCACACATGTAGGGCACCACATAGGCGGACGTGTCCGAATGAACGGATGGCGGTCTTCGAAGCCGCATCTAACTTCTGGTACACAATTAGAAATAGACTCAACTATAGGGGCTGACGCTACATACCTGATTTGGGAACACAAGTCGATCCTGAAGTAGCCAGGTCTGCTCCATTGTGGTTTTCATTCGTGGATCGTCGGCGGCTCGGTTAAGTTCGGCGGTAGCCTCGCGTAGCCGAATGAGAACATTTTCGATCTCCATATGTGAACTTGGGCAATCGCATACAGGCGTATACTTGAGAAGTTCGGAAAAGAGGAGAGGATATCTGCATATCCTTTGGATTGGCTTCCTGCTATTAGCGAAATTCTTGTCATAAAACAACGCTTTGGCTCACCTTAACCAATAGATCGCCAATAGTCAAAGATTTTCTGGAGTTGTCAAGATGATAGTTGGTAGCGCCTAACGAAGCTGCTAATGCTTCCAGCCCTTTTTGGTAGGTCTCCCATTCAGGTAACGTTCGATGGGCGGACGCGACATCCTTGATCATCATCTCATATTTCGCACCATACTCTTCGTAGATGAAGAATCGATTCATCTGCAATGATATTAGTGAAAAGCCACTCAAAAAATGAAGTGTACATACCCTCTTGCCAAACACATGAGCTACCTCGGCCGCAATAGCTGGCTCGGCTATCACACTAGGTATGCCTTGGAACCAACTAGAAGAACCCCCATCGTCCTCCGAAGTAGAGTCAAGACTCCGCCAGCGGTTATGGCTTTTAGAAGATGTTGGCTTTGGGGTGACCGGAATACGTTCAGGCTGCGTGTACTCGGAGTTAGGTACTACCCGATGAAGTTCGCCGAGAATCTCCTCGTGTAACTCAACAATATCTGTTAGATTGCGGTTGATAGAGGAGCGAAGTCCCATATGAGGTGACGGTAAAGAAGCTAATATGGTGACATAAACCTGAGTTGAATTAGTGGTGTGAGCTTAGTGATATTAATAGGATAAGCACATACGTTCATGAGAAACTTGACATCTCCAATATAGCTTTCTTCCGTGTTGATTATCTCCTCTAGAATACGTCGCCTTTGAAGTAGCCGTTCCGTCACCCCTGGGTCGTTTGATACTGTTCGCTCAAGGCACGTGCTATCCTCGGAAAACCGCGGTCCTGATGTCGATCCTCTGCTACTATGGTCCGCCCTGCTATGGCCTGATGATCGTGCAGTATATCTCCTTGGCCGAGTGATTACGCTAGCGCTTGCAAGACTGACGCTGGCGCTTCTGACAGCGGTAACAAATCCAAAAGAGGAACCGGAAAATGATTTCCTGTGACCGTCTGTAGATAAGGTCTCATCTTCGAGCGTGCGTTCTGAAAATTCGGGGAAAGACTCGGATCGACTACGACTGCGGCGTGTAACGGGACGATGTGCTCGCTTGTGTAAGTTCTTCATCCACTTGTGAAATGGGCCTACTGGCGGTGAAGGGGTTTCTTCTGAGTACCCAACATCGTCCCCATCATTCTCGAAAGTAAGTTTAGGAAATGCAGTCGAATGTGTCGTTTCTTCTTCGTTATTCTCTAAGTTTAAACCAAGGGCAGCTATATTATCCAACGTATTCCAAGCTTCTTCGCAGTCGTTACGAAATACATCGGGATCTTCAAAGCTTAGACCTAAATCAGGGGCGGTTCGATTCAGCTTAAGGGCTGCGGTCCAATTGGTCTGACCAGCAACGCGTAGGGAGCTGGTAGTATGTGAACAAGGTCGAAGAGAATCGTTGTTCAAGACGGCTAGGGGCATGGTGATGAAGGGCGGGCCAAGAAATGCGGACCAAGAAAAAGTGAAGATGCAAAAATTGTCACCCAAGACACCAAAACCAACCGGCTAGGACTCGATTCAAAACATAATGATCAACAACAACGACAAGAGAACTATGTAGTGGTGGTAGATGAACTGGAAGACGACGTGTCTCCCCTCGGGAGCATGGTTGATGCAGGTGATACTGCAAGTTGGGACATGCAGTACCCTAGTTATTGGTAGAGAGAAAGAGAGATAGAGACGGGGACCTCGAACGAGTGACAGCAGGGCTGACTTCGAACCTGCGAAGGAAAGAAGTGAACAGCAATAGCGAATGGGCGTAGTGGGGGGGGGAGAGAGCAAAGCAAAAAAAAAAACAATTGCCTTCCTGTACAAAAAATTATTGTTACTATGTAAAAAGCTAAGTAATAAAAATAAAATAAAATAAACTAACTGGCCGCGAGCAGCTCTTACCTCCGTCTCGGACGAGGTTTCGTAAATATTTTAATCGGGTGGTTTCAATGTTTATGAAGTGACACGACCTTTAACTAGTTAACTTTAGCGTACCTAACCTAAACCTACATGTACCTTAAAGCTTACCTCTCTACCTAAACTAGCTCTACTAAGGTACCTTAGCTTAATTGATGGCAGGCATAGGCGCAGCAGCTTTCGCCAAAGCTACCCGTAAGTGACACAAACTAGATAGCTGCGTCATATCGTCAACACCCTGGTAACAAGCGACATTCCGATGTGCAAAATAACGATCCACATTTTTCATTTTCGTCAGCTATGTTGTCATTCATCTAAGATCATATAGGTAGGTAGGTACATAGTTCGAATGATTCCCTCTCATATGGATGATATCATGATAATTATGGTGGTCATGAAAACGAATTGAGAGGGATGAGAAGAAGAAGAAGAGAAAAATTATAACAGATACGAACCGGTTGCGATGCAACGCATGCATCTATCACACCTTCAGCACGAATACGACTTTTCGTATGCATACATACCTCAAGAATGGACACCGTCGGTGAGTCGGTGCTACCTCAGCAGTCATACCAACCATCCGCCATCCGCGTTCCAATGAGATGAGCATTACATGTACCTAAGTATTATATCGATAGGCTATTGATTTGATTGGACACGGACCACAATATCATTTATCTCGCGGGTAGAGGCGAGGCTAGCCAATAAAAACTAGCCGCGAGAGAAAAATTCGCTTAATTCTTCCACATCCCGCCCCGCCCCACACTCACAACACAAACCCACCCGCTCAATTGCAAAATCTCCAAACTTAGGCCCTGGGAAATTTTCATAACCTTTCTTTCTCTTCCTCCCACCGCGAAAATCTACTAACCCAACAGCCATCACTCACCACCACCAATACCTTCCGCGATGGCAAAGGAAGCGCCAGCCCGTACCGGGCTCACCATCGGTCTCAACCACGGCCATGTAAGATGAAACCACCTACCCGCCTTTCTCTGTTTTCGAAAAGCAAAATGCAAAAAGAATTGCGAAAGAAACAAGAGTCGTTTCCGCCCGTCTCACCTCGTGGAGGATCTCTGCTCTTGCAATCAAAGCTTTTTTTCTTTCGCGAATGCAGTATAGCAGACGATGGACAATGGGCTGACTTTTGGATTCCTTTCCGGTAATTATAGAAAACCACTGCTCGCGTCGTCAAGCCTCGCGTTTCGCGAACCAAGGGCCACCTCAGCAAGCGCACTGCCTTCGTTCGTGACATCGTCAAGGAGGTTGCTGGGTAAGTCATTCTCACACTTATATGCCTTTGATACCAGTGCATTACTTGGGGTCGAATGATCCCGAGGGTGGCAATGTAGCTCCCTCAAGGCCTATCTTGGTATTATTAAATTACTAACGTCTGCTTTACCAGTCTTGCCCCCTATGAGCGCCGAGTTATCGAACTGCTGCGAAACAGCAAGGACAAGCGAGCCCGTAAGCTAGCCAAGAAGCGGGTACGCATTTCCTCTCTACTCCCCTCCGTCTCTCAAACATCGCAAGACTAATGAAATTATCAGCTCGGTACCTTCGGCCGTGCCAAGAAGAAGGTCGACGAGCTTCAACGCGTCATCGCCGAGTCCCGGAGAGCCGGTCACTAAACGACATGATCTCGAGTGGAAAATTATGGCGGTTTAACGGGGCGTCGAGGGAACAAAAGAAAGAAGCGAACTGATCGGCATGAGGTCTGGCGTCCGTCTTTCTCGGCATTGATGAATTTACGGAGGATCGGTACGGACATGATAGCTAGCTTTGCCATAGCCATAGCTATCTACCTGAATCCCAAATAGCCTACGACACGAATAGGAACAAGACCTGGGAATCTTGATTTGGCAAGCCAAATTATATTCATTTCATGACTTAAAACCAGTTCTTGATGATTATGTGCCATGTGAAAAGTCCTTGATAATGCTACCTAAACTCCGAGCAGATGTTGATTCCCTGATTCTAAACTGAACACATAAGACATCGTTCGTCGTAGCCCTTTTCATTTTTTCCCGAACCCTTTTAGCCACTTGGGCTTCTTGAACCCGGACCCCTCACCGTCACCCCTTGGCTGGGGTGTGGGCATTGATATGTTAGCAGCATTATGGGCCGCCTCATCCTCGACTACTACATCAGGGACTTCGGGAACAACCACCTTCTGTGCGTGACCAGCGGCGCTATTCTTCAAGAACGGCTGCTTCCGAATCACAGCAGGCACCTTGTCGTCCCACATGAAATTCACCAGCGTATTGGAGCTTAAGCGATATCCGCCGATGAGCTTGTTCGCGGGACTGCTATCATCTTTGATCGCTATCTTGCCGGGCGGTAATACCAGCTTAAATGGCACTGTCTCGTTGGCCATGATTTTCCTGATCTCGGCGTATAGCGTTGCGCCCGTGTCATCTGGGCTAAAGGGCCACTCTGCGGAGAAGTTGTCTGGGAAGCGGACTTTGATCTTGATAGACTTGACGGCCGCTACCCTGGCCGCTTCGGCGGCGGCCTTTTCTTCGAGCTCCTTGTCTGAGAGGAGGCGTCTGTTCTCACCTGCGGTCTTTAGCAGCCTTTGATGGGCCTGCGCGTGCTCGATGCGTGGAGCAAAAACTTCGTCAGATTCTTCTCGTAAGGCTGCAGCTGGCGTGCCGGAGGTAGGCGCAGAGAAGATGGTGACGGGGCGGTTATCAGCGGATGGGACGTCGACGTCCATAGCGTCCATGGCGTCCACTGATGGTGCTTGCACCGTAGAAGAAAGGTCTGCGTCATCATGTTGAGCTGCTTCAGGCGCATCCGTCTCTTGCTTCTCTGCTGAGGGATCACCCATTACACTATCCGAAGGCGGCGTATCAGCAGGAGGGGCTGCCTCATTGTTCGTCGTCGGTTCACTACTAAACTCCTGTGCCTTTTGCTGATTCGCTTCTTCTGTCTTGAAGAACTGACTCATCTCTCCCATAGCATCCACCAACGTCTTGTCAGTCTTCTGAAAAGAGAGGCGTATTAGGACACCACCCGAATTGTACCCTAGCTGCGACAGGCTCTTCTGAAAGTCGGCAAAGGTTGACAGCGTTCTGTTCTCGATCGTCAGGACCGGAGTCTCATAATACAACTGCCCACTCCCCGCGGCCGCTCCATTATTCGTTTGCGCCACGCCCCTCGCTGTGATGTTTAGGTTCTTCCCCTGACTCGACTTGCCGCTCTCAAACTGGCGTAATAGCTGCCATATCGTAATATCACTCGGCAGCTTCTCCGTGACTCGGCCGGATGGCGGGAATATATTTGACTCGGGAGCCGGGAGCTGTAAGGCGACGTTGATGGCGGAGGGGGTATTAGAGCGGACGATGAGTTCGAGCTTGGCGCCTGGTGGTAGACCTGAGGTTCGCCATGTCTGCGACAGATCTAACTGCTTTTGCTTATGTTTAAATAAGTATTTATCGGATGAGACCTTGAGCTTCTGGCAAGCTTGCTCTAAAACATCTGTCAGGTAGGTTCCAGGATTGACCTTAATGGTCACCTGTTTAAGGTCGGTTCCCACAACCTTGACGTTGGTCGCCATGTGTTGTAGGATCTAATCGACGATATTCTATATTTCAAGTGAGACTTTCTTAAAAAGACCTTTTTAAGAAATTTGAATATATGGATAACAGCGACGTAGCTACCTATTTAATTCCAAAAGACGGAGACGTGTTCGATTAAAGTTGTTAGTTAGTAGTAGAATATGAAAGAATATCTAAAAGTCCCATTTGTACATGTCTCTTGTAGGTAGCAGTACGATTACATCAGCCCTTTAGATCGCGACTGCGTAACTAGCTGTACATAGCTTCCATTAAATGGAGGGGCAAGCGGAGCATTGATGTTTTCTATTAGTATAAGTGTACTTCTGTACAATACAAACAGTACTTCCATGATACCAATCTTGATTAGCCGTCAATTTTCCGAGAGACCGTGCCGGAGTTTGACCTGGTCCGATCTGGAGCTGAGCTGCCGCGCCAGACGTGTTTGCCTTGCCGACGCTAACACTAACGTATCTGGGTACCTTAAGCTGCCATTCTGCCATTACAGCCAAACCTCAAGCCCGCCCTCGTCTACGCCATTGAGCTATCTTCACCATAGCGAACTGCGTACTCGACGACGAGATATCATTTGCAAACTACCAAACTCAAGTCGATACACTTTATTATCACAGTCCTACTAAGCCTCGCCGTCTATTTTTATTTTTCAGTAATACATTCGACGCCATGGTAAGCTCTATAATAGCCAAGCTCACAACTAAGGGGACAGACAGTCTAGCTAACATATACGAATAGTCGTCACCCTTCTCTATAAGTGCGCACCGCCCTAATCCTACTCCTCAACTCCCCAACCCGAGAATAAAGAACTAACCAAGCGAACGCACAGACGGCGGCGCCTGCGTAGCCATGGTAGGCAAGGACTGCGTCGCCATAGCCTGCGATCTGCGTCTCGGCCTGCAAGCCCTCACCGTCTCCAACAATTTCCCCAAGATCTTCCAGTACGGCGACGTATACCTAGGGCTCACCGGCCTAGCCACGGACGTGTCCACGGTGTCGGACCTGTTCCGGTACAAGGTGAACATGTACCGCCTGCGCGAGGAGCGCAACATCGCGCCCACCACATTCGCCAACCTCGTCTCCTCCTCTCTGTACGAGCGCCGCTTCGGCCCCTACTTCGTCAGCCCCGTCGTCGCCGGCCTCGAGCCCAAGTCCGGCAAGCCCTTCATCTGCGGCTTCGACTCCATCGGCTGCATCGACTTCGCCAAGGACTTCATCGTCAGCGGCACCGCTTCCGAGCAGCTATTTGGCATGTGCGAAAGCTTGTGGGAGCCCGATCTAGTGAGTAGCCGTAATAAACCTACCTATATATGACTCCCATACAATGCACAACGAGCATCCTACCTCGTCGAATTCGGAGGGTTTCCTTTCGGGTGAACGAAGACAAGCATACTAATATATAATCACGATCTAGGGTCCTGATGACCTGTTCGAAACAATCTCGCAGGCTCTGCTAAGCGCCGTCGACCGAGATGCTTTATCAGGCTGGGGTGCGCATGTGTACATTATTGAGAAGGACAAGGTCACCAAGCGATTACTAAAGGGCCGACAAGATTAAGAGACATATTATATCTGGTCCGGTGCTATCTTAGGTCTACTAACGTGTACTAGATACCTCATACGTAAGGTAGATAGTAATTCGAACGGGGTGGATTGGTCTACTCCATGAATAGATAAGGGCTAGAGAGAAATATCTACCGGAGTAAGGCAAATAAGACATAGCGAATGAACAGAGGCAGACACGAGGTGGCAAACAGCCCGTTATTGTACTAATATCAAAGGTAGTACCTTAAACAAAGTGGCCAAAGTCAAGATGAAAAACCTCACACGGGATCCTTTTATGATATTTCTCGTTCAATGAATGCATCGTATTTCTTATACATCTATATTGCGCAGCCTAATTTGCATATGCAGTGTAATACGTCTACTCTAGTCTATGTAGAACTTAGATCTATGCCCCGCTACGCCTTCTTCTTGGCCTCTGTAACATCATCCGTCGTCTTCTGGATGAAGAACTGTCTTTCGATAGCCTTGAGGACTTCATCGATGATACTGTGACAAATTAGTACTTTGCGGAATCAACTATGGTTAGGAAGACAACTTACATAACTGGTGCGCTGATGATAAGCACCGCTTTCCACTCGTTCCAGTTAAGAGGCAGGATGGAGAACAAGCTCTGGAGGAAGGGCGTATAGAGGAGTGCAAAGTGGAGCGCCATCGACAAAGTGACAGCGTAGACCAGCATCATATTCTTCCAGAGGGGCAGGGTTAGTAAGGACTCGCTAGACGATAGGGCGTTCATAGCGTTCAGCATCTCGATGACGACGAGGATAGAGAGAGATATCGTCGATGCTGCTTTGGACATTTCGTTACCGAACATCTCACATCCGACTTCCGAAAACTCGGTAGAGCATCGGTGGAAGTGAGAAAGCTGGTAGAAACTGATCTGAGGACCCTCGGGGTTATACATGAACCACCAGGCATATCCGGCGACAGTAGCGATACCAACGTAAGATCCAATAACCAGGTATCTGAAGAACAGCCAGCCACCGATGAGCGCTTCATCTCGCTTTCGTGGTTGTCTCTTCATAATATCATGGTCCGGAGGGTTGAAAGACAAGGCGGTAGCAGGTAGACCATCGGTGACGAGGTTGACCCATAACAGTTGGACAGGGATAAGAGCTTCCGGCATACCCAGGGCGGCAGTAAGGAAAATTGAGACGACTTCTCCGATGTTTGAGGAAATAAGGTAGCGGATGAACTGTTGCGTGTTGTTGTAGATAGATCGGCCTTCCTCGATAGCAACCTCGATAGTAGCGAAGTTGTCATCCGCAAGGACCATGTCAGCAGCTAACTTAGAGACGTCAGTACCGGATCCCATTGCAACGCCAATATCCGATTTCTTGAGAGCGGGAGCATCATTGACACCGTCTCCAGTCATAGCTACAACTTCACCGAGAGACTGGAGGAGATCTACAAGCTTCGATTTGTGACTAGGTTCCACGCGCGAGAAGAGAGATGCATGTTTCGCTGCTTCTAGCTGCTCGCTAGAGCTTAAGTTGTCAAATTCTCGGCCAGTGAAACTCTTGCCCTTAAGGTCCTCATATTCTCCAAAGACTCCGATTTGGCGACAGATACTCTCTGCCGTGTTGCGATTGTCACCCGTGATAACGATAACCCTGATGCCTGCATCCTTGCATTGCTTAATAGCGCCAGGAACTTCTGGTCGAGGAGGATCCAGCATACCGACGAGGCCTAGTAGGGTGAGGTTTTGTTCCAGTTGGGCATATTGAGCGGTCGACTTGGCATTGTGAAGTAGGGGGTTGGATCCAACATCATCTAAGCTAGCAAGGGCAATAACTCGTAGTCCACGGTTACCATATTCAACGACCTCCTTCAAGAGTAGATCACGAAGCTTGTTGTCGATACGAACACGGTTACCATCAGCACCAACCAAGGTAAACGCACAACGCTCGATAATGGATTCAGGGGCACCTTTAACCAGAAGCTTTTGTTGGTCACCGGCTTGGACAAGGACAGACATGCTTTTCCGGTCTCGAGAGAATTCATATGTAGCAAGTCGAGGGAACTTGGCTTCATACCAACCGCTAGCGTGGTGGACGCTGTCCTCAAGTCTCCAGTTTGTCGGTGCGCATGGTCCAACCTTTTCGGCTAGAGCCCTCAAGGCTCCTTCGGTGGGCTCTCCTACATTAGAGAAAGTACCGGATCGGGTATCATACACGAGTCTAGCATCATTGCAAAGGGCAGCGACCTCGTTCATCTGGCGAATTGTACTTGAGGTTTGAGCAAGATCCCTCGCCACTTTGCCGTTATGCTTGATGTCTCCTTTCGGTGCAAAAGTAGTACCCTCAACGTCAAGCTCTTCTAAGTCGGTACCATCTGCGTTAATGTAGACAATCTTGCTCACACTCATCTGGTTCGTTGTAAGAGTACCCGTCTTGTCTGAACAAATAACACTGCAGCTTCCTAGGGTTTCAACAGATGGCAGGCTTCGGACGACAGCATTCTTTGCGGCCATCTTGCGGGTTCCCAAGGCAAGGCATGTAGTAATAACAACGGCAAGACCTTCAGGAATAGCTGCAACGCCAAGAGAGACCGCAATCTTAAGATAATAAATAGCACCCTTGGTCCAGTTTCCATGACTCGGGTCCGCGAAGTTGGGGATGTTGATCAGCCATACAAGGATACAGATAACTGTAATAACCTTTGCCAAGGAGTCACCGAAATCGTTGAGCTTCTGCTTGAGAGGAGTCGGCTCGGAAATCTGAGCCGTGATACTCTCGTGGATGTCGCCAATTGCAGTATTCGATCCAGTCAAAACCACGATCGCCTTAGCACGTCCAGTTACAACAGTTGTTCCCGAGAAGAGCATATTGACCTGGTCCTGGAGGACTGCCTTCTCATCCTCCACGACCACATTATTATCCTTGCCTACGCTTTCGCTTTCTCCAGTTAAGATAGCCTGGTCCACGGCGAAACTGTTGCTTTCGATCGCAATAACACGGCAGTCGGCAGGTATCCTGTCGCCAACAGCCACCGAGATAATATCACCAGGAACCAATTCTTCGGCCTTGACCCGCGAGACATGTCCATTATTCCTAACCACGCTAGCGACGTTTGCAGAGTATTCTTGAAGCGCGGCGATCGCCTTTTCAGCGCTGCTTTCTTGGGAAACACCGACGACAGCATTGAGCACGAGAATAGTAAGAATCTAAGAACCGGCCAAGTTAGCTTCTGGGTCGCAAAATAAGAAGTGGGTAAAACTTACAACCAAAGGATCGACAAATGCGCTCCAGCCACTTTCTTCGTCCTCGAAGAGAGCCAAGACAAAGGACACAGCCGCAGATCCTAAGAGTATTAAAACCAATTGATCTTTGAATTGCTCCAGAATAAGCTCCCATAGAGGTGTCGGCGGTTCATCCGGGATAGCTATAGTAAGTTAGCATACATATCGACTTGGCTGTTTTCTAATCTGGCGCGTTGTAACATACAGTTCTTCCCATGTTTATTTCGTAGCTCAGTGATCTGTTCATCTGAAAGACCAGCCTTTGGGTCTACCTGAAAGGCAGCTAAGACCTCGTTTGTAGGCTTCGCGAAGGCGCTCTCCATGGCAGCCGACGAGGGTGGCGGGACGATGCCGCAGAAATTCTTTTCCTAACGGAAAGACTAAACAGATGCAACAAGATATTTAGATTGTTAATTGCTACCTATGAATGAGCATAAAAAGTGAACGGAAACCAGCTCGATCAAAAACTTTGAATCAGTGGAGGGGTTGGCGATATGCGAAGAAGAGTTTCTGATAGAATCTTTAAAGATGCCACATATCTTTTTTGACGATCACTAGTCTAGCTCTAAAAGTAACTTGTTAAAAATCGCCACAGAAAAAAAAAACAAAGTTGCCAGAGTGTAGTGTAAACGAAAGGATGTGCCGAAGTAGGTAACTGTATAGATAGTGGTGGAAAGAAATCGTCGCTCTTGAGGTTGAATGTGGACCTTTTACACAGCAACGTGTTCTCTCACTTGCATTTAGTGACATTCTAGGCGACTTATATCGCTGTTCGGCCCTGAACGGCACTGCGACAGGCCCTGAGCTGCAAAAAGCTTGGTCACCAGGTGCGAGGCGCCGTGAGCCCCAATCTAATCCGACGCTAGAACCCCTACCGCTAGACTATCTTAGGGTCCAAAGATCAATTTCGATTGGACGAGCTTCATGACTTGCATCATAAGCGTACTACCTACATGTACACACCCAGGTACCTACCTAAAATTGCATAAGTGGGATTGGAAGCCTGGAGATAAACCCACGGGGTCTAGATTTATTTTTGATTACCTCACATATTTACCTGATATATGACATATCTATTTCGATTCAACTTTAAATATATTTCAGCATTGGCAGTATATTTTCATATTGCACAAGTGTCTAAAAGGTGAAACACCTATGTACGTAATAGTAGACTGCAATTCCTTCTCATATAACTGTCTATTTGGGGGGTTTGCTATCTAGAAAGCTGCAAATGCAGCCATGCATCTGAAATCAACGGCCATGAAAGGTTATCGACCCCAACCCAGAGCGTACGCAGCCGTTCTGCATTAGCCCGCACAAGTAGCCCCATTGTCTTTCCGAACTTAAAGTATTACCATAATTCTCGTAGTCCACCAATTGTGTCCTCTCGTCGTAACTCATTTACAAGTCGTCATCCTCATCCTCACCAGGCAGGGGCTGCTGAGCAGCGCTGTCCATCTCCTCCTGGTACTGCTTGAGAAGTGCCTCATCGACCACGGCAGTGGGGGGTGCAAGAGCAGGAGCAGCGACAAATTCCTAATCAGGTTAGTTATTGTGAATACTGACGGGAGCGATCGAACTTACTAGTTGAGGGTTGCCAACAAGCTTGCGGGCCAGCCAAAGGAAGGGCTTCTCGAAGTTGTAGTTTGACTTAGCGGAGATATCGTAGTACTGGAGGTTCTTCTTTCGGTGGAAAGTGATAGTCTTGGCCTTGACCTTGCGCTCCTTCACATCGACCTTGTTGCCACACAGAACGATAGGGATGTTCTCGCAGACACGGACCAGATCACCTGTGATACAATTGTGAGTCAACACGAAAAAAAAAAGATCGGGGATTTATTTTACTTACGGTGCCAGTTCGGTACGTTCTTGTACGTGATTCTGGAGGTCACATCAAACATGATGATACCACATTGTCCATTAATGTAGTAACCATCACGGAGACCACCGAACTTCTCCTGGCCAGCAGTGTCCCACACATCGAAGGTGATGTTGCCGAAGTTCTAATTATCGTTAGATATTTTGCGCCAGATAGGGCGGATGCGATAGGACGAGGCGAGGATTAGTCCGACTTACGGTCGTGAAGCCAAGGGGGTGGACCTCAACACCAAGGGTTGCCATGTACTTCTTCTCGAATTCACCCGTCAGATGGCGCTTGACGAAGGTGGTCTAATAATCACGGTCAGTGGCATGGTCTTCGAGATCAAGAGCAAAAGGCAAAAGGCGGGGCAAATTATGCGCAGGACGGCACATAGTAAACAGAGCTTAGTATGCCGGTAGAAAGCTGATAAGCGGTAGGAAATAGCAGGTGAGATTCGGATGATTCATTTATTTACCTTTCCAGTACCACCATCGCCGACAAGGACGAGCTTGAAGGTAGGCGTCTCGGCAGCCATTGCGGAATCCTCTGTTGATGTGAGGTAAACAGAAGATGGGGAAGACTAGGCTCGGCGTTAGTGGGGGATGACTAAATGATGGAAAGGAAAAAAAGGGTAGAATGGTATTTTGCAACCTCAATATGAGTTATTAAAGATATATCGAGAAGCGGGTGGACGTACTTGATGTTATCTAGAGAAGCAGATCACGGAAAGTAATACGGGGGTGTTCGTAAAATAGTCGTTGAAATGATGAGCGGGCTAATGTTTTTTTTGAGAGTTTCGAGAGGCGGCGGGACCTGGCAAGAAGATCTAATAAGGTTGGGTTTCCCTCTGGGAAAAAAAAAATCGGGCGCACGGTTGCGGGGCAGCACGTGATCATCTGGGCATTAACGGAATGGGCGACAATGACGCACATTTGAGGTAGGAAACGACCTTCCAGATGTATTAGATGTATTATTGATAGCAAATACACGTACCTGAGTATGTACCGTGTACCTAAGTCTGATGGCACTTGCATTGTTTTATCATTTGCCTGCAAGGTACTTGAATCTAAGTCGTCAGGAACGGCATATATTTACACTGTAGTTACCTAAAATCTACCTTAAACCTGACTATGAAATTATAACTATTTTTTATACTATTTCAATAGTCTCCTAGCCTTTTGTTATTGTGAATCATACATGTGTACATAGGTATGTCCGGAGTATTACAAATGCAAGGCAATAAGTGTAAAGTACATTTCCGATACATTAGCCTCGTGGCGTCTAAAAATTGTAGGATTTGCGTTGCTACATTTATGTATTGTTCAAACTATGGAATTTGGTACCTACCTACTTATCTATTATCTTCCATGGCAACCATTAATTCGTTTACTAGCAACGTTTCATGGTACCATCTGGAATTTCATTTTCCTCTTCACTTTGACTCACCCCCATAGGCAGCACTTGATTTCTAAGTTAACAGCTGACAGCAATAATAAATAATTATTCAAGGTGCTAGACTTATTTTAGGCGTGGAAATTAGGCAACTAACAAGGAAGCTGCGGCAAACTCGCTGACCGGATATTTAGGTAGGTAACTTCTTCTACCTACCTTACATACTTGGTAACACGGGGAGCCCAACGACTTTTCTGTCAACAATCCTGTTGCGAAGGAGGCTGGGCAGCGTTTAGGCTAGCCAAAAGTTAAATATAATCTCGTATATCCGTCGAATGTCTATCCTACATAAACTAATTCGCGTTTCAAAGCTGCCTACTTTAGGAGGTAGGTACCTAGGTAGTTATGCCGTATGAATACGTAACCACATCTAAATCATCATCAATTGCCCAAGCAAGCAAAAAAAAAACAATGATTATTAATACTATTTGTCTCATTCATCCGTTTAAAAAAACCTTTACCTTCCACTCAATGCGAGAGAAAAAAAAAAAAAAGCGGCCTATTGCAAGATACGAAAATGTTCGCATCTAGAATGGAATCAATAGTTTAATAACGCATGTTATAATTGGACCATTAAAACTACCTATAACGGTAGGATATGGCATCCCAATAGGCCTCTTCCTCCCCAATCTCGTCGTGGGGTTAAATTCAATTGTAGCTCTTGCTTTTGGTTAGATTCTATTCGGCGGGTTACTTTAACAAGAATCCTTTGCTGTATAGAAGATCAGTCTTATGGCTCAAACCCTGCCTTAGCGCTTCGAATTCTCGTAGTGTTCAACTTACACCTTCATTTCCTTGGACGCACTCTGCGACTCTCTTGAGGCCGTCATGGTTTCCCCTATTAACGTAGCCGAAATTTCGAATTTCATCTCCGGGTTTCAAGCCGGCTGAATCTGCTGGGCTGCCTGCAACGACGCTATTCACCTTCGCAAAAGGTTCCTCCAAGGTTACTGGGATCGAGTCGCCTAACATCTCGGTACGGTTTGCTGAACCAGGCGCAACATCATCAGCATCTTGTATGCTCGCAAAATGTTCGTGGAGGTATTTCTCTAAGGTATTAAGGAGGTCTTTGTAGTCGTTTTTTAGGCGGATGATTCGAGCTCGGGTGGTGCGTACTATGGAGGGGGTTAGCTCAAATTCAAGAGCGTTTCTGTTAGAGGGAGCTCCTACTTTGCGCGACGTCAATATCTGCCCGAGGAAACCCATCGGCCGTGGTCAAAGGCGTTTCCATATTGACACCATGCTGTAGATAGAATCAGGACCGGTATTATAATGGGCTTGAATGGCGACCACTAACCGAGTCAAGAACACCACTTAGGGCTTTTAGTTCGGCTTCCATATCGTCTTTCTTGGCCTGAAGTTCAGCAAATGAGAGATGCTTTGCATTTCCATTTGCTAGCGGCCGAGATGAGGGTCCCGCAGGAACGGTAGGTGCGTGAATGTTGTCCATTCTTAAGGGAAGGCCCATGATAATATCGGGTGAATCAACTCATCATATGTTGAAAATTGGAAGAAGATGATATCACTTTCCCCCATACGTTTGGATATGCGCTTTAGTCAAGGGCTAGTTAGTTGAAGTTGAAGTGAAGTTTAGGCCCGTAGGAAGACGCGTCAAGTGGGATGGCGGGGTCGACTACCTCATATACGTACCTAAAGTACCTACTGTACCTAAATACATGTACTTTAACATTCAAAATTGAAATGGGTATGTGCATGCATGCAGGTAATAGTCCGCTCTAGGGAAGCCGCCATATGTAGACGTATACCTATACTTTAAAATTATATGCATATGGTCTTCTATTCTATATATATATTAATCTTATCTTACATATATATAAAGATTTACTGTGAGATAAGTATAATTTCTGGTTTACCTTTTATTTACTATAACTATGAGATTAAACTGCTAAAGGCAGTCACAATCGTTTCCATCGTAGCCTTTAGCATAACCCAAGACAGGTAAGTATTAATACTTATTAATAGGAGGTACCTATGTGATCCTTTAGAGGTAGTTATAATGGTAATTGAGTCTAGGTATAATGAATGGCCAAACAAGGCTTTTCGAGATCTGATGGTGGGAGTGACTTTATTTATACCTATTGATATATCAATTTACATAGGTTATCATCTGGCTAGTAAATATTAGAGTGGGATTTTATAGAATCGTTTCCTAAAAGGGGTTGCAGTTTATAGTGTTACTGTTGCTAATATTATGCCTCTCGTAATCACACTTCTTCGAAATGACTGATATATCACCATTACTTGGTCGGAAATTATGACAGTACTTACACATATGACCACAAACCTAAGTATCTAATTATTTAAAATACGTAAGTGTCTATGCATATCCCCGAGGATATACCTAATGTATATCAATATAACGATACCTACCTTGTATGCTTTAGTTAATTAGCTCTTTACAATATCTTGTTTGTTGAAGTTGGCCTATTTAATTGTAAAGTGTGTAGGTTGGCAAACACAGTCATGTCGGTTGAGTTGGATTTAGGCTTGAATATTAATACATCATGTATGTACTGTGTTTGCCCCTAGCCCCTGCAGGTCCAGCCTGACGGATACGCGCAGGAAACTGCTGGGCGGTATCTTGCAGAAAGAGCGCACAACTGTAGCGAATCGTTCGCCTAATTGAGTTATGATTTGCAACATGACTTACACATCTAGCCGTGTCCTACTTCCTTAAATTCGTACTCGGCTCTCTCGGTAATCTGTGAAGGGACGAAAATTACAAACATAGGAGGTACCTAATGAACAGATACATAGTGATATCCTGGTAGGAAGAAAGGATTTGACTTAAAACAAGGTACTTGTGTGTTGGATCCACGAATTTCCACTGAAGATCGGGGAACAGTCTACTAAGATTCCTCGACAATAAAACTCGACATAACCCCGAGATATTTCACGACTTCATAACTTCACATCTTCCAATTTACCTCTATAAATCCTAAAATGCACGCTATTGCGCTTTTAGGCCTTTTGGCCGTACCGGCCACTTCGAAGGCCTTGAAATACGCCGTCCCTGTGAGCCTTAAAGCCACTGGCTGCACGTTCCCGGCCAACTATACCGTCTCCAACTTCACTATCTACACGGATAGAACAGACAGTGGTAAAAATAGTACTTCGTTTCTTTTCGATGATCCGAGTACTGGGATCAATACCAGCTGCAGTCGAAATTCAACCTCGAAGCTTATTGGCTCTAACCGATGGCCCTGCGATGACTCGAACGTTGCATTTATTTACCAGACAACTGGTATCGCAGGACTAACCTTGATTGAAGCGGCATGTCCTGGAAAGTATGTATATTGTTTATATATTGACTCGCTACCCAACGCGATGTCAATGTTAAGATAGGTAGCTAACGACGCATAGTGTTCCTCAATTCGAAGCCTCTGGTCTCATTAGGCCAGACCTGGCTTGCACAAATTCGACATCGGGAACAACCTGTGTGGCTAAGCAATCTCCGATTGTAGGAGATTTCGACAGTCTCGAACCCGCACCGCCGCCTTCTCGCTGAGGGTTGGTAAAATACGATAGTTAGGAAAAAATGGCGAGTTGATATTGCCTAGGAGACATAATTATCATACAAGCTCTTCATGAGATTGGAATAGATGACTATCCACAAGGAAGATGGGTGAGATGTTGGGTTTGTTTAATCGGACATTCCTATATCAGATGGTGTCAGAGCTAGATAAAAAGCCACTTCATCAATAGTTATTATTAATTGCTTAATTGAGGCTCAATCAAGATTCTCACTACTTGTGTAGCTTAATGCTTAATTACTTAGCATGCGAATACACATTATGTGTGTTAGAGCAGAACAGGAATAGCGGAAGCCCAATCTAGTAACCTAACCGCTGTGGCCCCCATTTGGCACATACCCACTTTGTGGGACATTTCCCACCAAAACACTACCTTTTCAACCTTGAATAATATTATATATATTAATGACATTTACTTGAGGTTAATATTACCTGGTAGATAATTGATTTATATTTATAACTATATATATAATATTAAAATTAAAGTAATAATTATGATAAAATTGGTATTTTAATGTATTATATAAAATATTATATATAAATTAAATATAAAAAAATGTTATAATTATTTATTTAAAAACGTTTTATATTTAAAATTATTATTATTAAAAAGTTAATATTATTAATTTTAAATTATAAACAAAGTTTTATAATTGTAATTAAATTAAATGGTTTAATATATAAATTAAAAGTTTTGTTTATATAAATATAATATAATTTAATATAAAACTATTTTAAAATTTTAATATTTTAATAATAAAAAATATAATATTTATAAAATATATATATTATATATAAAAAAATATAAACATTTTATTACATTTTTTAAATTTAAAATATAAAACGTTATTATTATAATATTTTAATATTTTATATTATTAAAAATATTTAATTTTATATTTAATTTATATGTAAAATTATATATTTTTATATTAAATAATATTTATAATAATTATATTATAATAAAATTTTTTAATTTTATTAAAAATATATGTTTAATAATGCGGTTTTATAAAATATTAAATGAATTTAGTTTTAAATTTATATCATTAATATATATGATGTTATTTAAGGTTGAAAAGGTAGTAGTTTTGGTGTAAACTTGTGCCATAAAATGGGTATGTGCCAAATGGGATCGTTAGCGGTTAGGTTATTTTAGTGTGTTAAGATTAAAATTCGAGGAACGGGCTTCGCTTGCATTTGCCTCCTTTTTTTCGTTGGCGCTACAAGCGCCACGAAACCCTTGGTCCGTGTGTTTATATTTATGGGTCGTGGGGGAGGCGTTTTTTAAACTTTAATCTTAGCTAGTTTTGTACAATGTAAAACAAACCGGCACACGTTTAAATTTTTAATAAAATTTTTAATAAAAATATATTAACAACAATATAATAAGTAATAATAACGTTTAAAATATTTTCTATTTTAATTATTTAAGGTTAATTTTTTATTTTTATTATTTTCCCATTTTTTTTATATGTTTATACGATATTACGTTATAATATTATAAGTTTTAACATTTAAATAATTTTAAAACGTTATACTTATAAACTTACATTTATAACCACATATAACCATTTATAACCACGTTTAAAATACCTTTTATTTTTTAATCTAAAATTATTTATTTAATTATTTAAATTTTTTAACTTTTTTTATATATTTATATAATATTACGTTATAATATTATAAGTTTTAACGTTTAAAAATATATAATAACTTTAAATTGCTATATTTATACGTTTATACCCACGCGTTTATATTTACAACCACGTTTAAAATACTTTTTATTTTAATTATTTAAAATTAATTTTTTATTTTTGTTATTTTTTTGTTTTTTTTATATGTTTATAAAACATTACGTTATAATATTATAAGCTTTAACATTTATTACGGCTATTATGTTACAACCGGTGTTACGATTAATATTATAACTAATTTCAATTTAAAACGTATACGTTTTATTTAATAATTTATTTAAATAATTAAATTAATATTTATTTTTTATATAATAACTTTACTTAACTATTTAAAATTAATATTTTTAATTAATTTAATTATTATATGGCCGTTTAAATAAAAAATATTTAAAATCACCTTAAATTAAAGATTTAAAAATGTTTTAAAGGGGTGTACCGAGGTGTAATTAGTTGGAAAAAGATGTAGCTGGGGGAGGTACTTCCCCCCGAACCATTTTCAAATTTCTAGTCTAAGGTCACTGAGATAACGGTTAGGTAGGTATTACCTAAGTTCTGTACCAGCAATTCCCCAGAACGGTATAGGTACCCCGCGTTACCAACTACCAATACCTTATACATGTACATACAATATACTATTAGCAGTAGCTTCCTATTGGCCATAGCAGTCACCCTCGTCATTTCTTGACTTGCTAAGAGCCGTGTATGTATGGGCAGGTGAACCCCAACAATAGCCAGATCGTCAAAGAAGCCAAGGGATAAACCTCGTCTCATCTGTTAACGTTGTCAACATCAATTAGTTATCCCCTTTTAACTATAACTTTAAAATATCATATGAACTCCATAGCCTAGACCCTACTAGAAGTAGCATTGGCGCGATGCTTAATGCACCAACACAACGTCAATCGGGGCGTTTTAAAGTTTCATCATTTTCATCATTTATATAATACCTAATACCTAATAGCCGACTCGTCCATCTCCTTATTCAATCTTCTCCATCGTAGGCTACGAGCCTGTCTTCCCTGGGACATGGCTATCCTCGATATTGATATCTTAAGCAGAAACCCTCGACACTACGCACCCGAAATCGCCACCAAATTTGCCCTATAGTACGATGTTGATTTTTTTGTGGTTATCGTACTTAACAGCCACCATCGTGGCAGGGTCCCCTCTAGCGGACCAGTACCCTCTTCGAGAACAGAACGATGTTGCGACCACTGATCACATCTCGAACGGCCTCTTCGCATCCCTCGAGCGTCTCTCCCGCCTAGTTGATATAACTTACTGCGTCGGCACCACTGGTATCACGCCGCCTTTTTCCTGTGCATCTCGATGCAAAGAATTCCCAACCCTAGATCTTGTTACGACATGGAACACTGGAGTTTTGATGAGCGATAGCTGTGGCTATATCGCTATAGATCATGGGACGTCGCCAAGCGGGACTGGTAACAGAAGCCAAGGGGCAATCGTTGTCGCATTTCGTGGTACCTATAGTATAACGAATACCGTTATAGACCTAAGCACGATTCCCCAGGAATATGTTCCATACCCATCGCCAGATCAAGGAGGATCTGAACCGCCTAAAGAATCAAAACATACTTGCAAGAATTGCACAGTTCACATGGGTTTCTTGGCATCGTGGAGGATAGCCCGGACTGTTGTTCTGCCAGCACTTGAACCATTACACGAACAACATCCTAACTACCCGATTTACCTTGTCGGCCATAGCTTAGGTGGCGCCGTCGCAGCGCTTGCAGCATTGGAACTCAAAGTCGTTTCTGGTTGGGATAACATTGTTGTGACAACTTTTGGCGAGCCGCGGGTTGGAAACGATGGATTCGTCAAATACCTTGATTCGGTTTTCGATCTTGTCGGTATAGGAAAGCAATACGAGGCACAAACATATCGACGGGTAACACACGTGGACGACCCCGTACCGTTGCTTCCACTTTCGGAGTGGGGATATAGATCTCACGCCGGCGAACTTTTTATTACCAAATCGAATTTACCTCCCGAGCCTTCGGATATTCAGCCGTGTATAGGGGATGAAGACTCCAGGTGCATCGCTGGCTCAGTTGGGGAGCCGCTTAGGACGGTTGGCCAAGCCCTAATTAAGGAACGAGAACATGATGCTATTATGTGGACTAGTGGACTCTGGGATATTCCTAGCCGGTTTAAATTGTGGCAATTGTTCTTTGCGCATCGAGACTACTTCTGGAGATTGGGTTTGTGTGTTCCCGGGGGGGATCCTATTGATTGGGGCAGGGACAAATATCCTAATTTCACTACTAGTGATGAGCTATGAGTCACAGATGGGTAACACGCTTTATTTAATCCGAGATGAGTATCGGGTTTATTTCTAGCGTCTAATCTGTTACGGTGATTGAACAAAAGGAGTCAAAATTGATAATGCGATCAGGAAAAAGAATATTAACTAAATTACTTGTGTAGTATGAAATAATGTTTAATACACGTATTGACACATTTAAAGCTAGTGTATATGAACGTCACTATTCAATATAGTCAAACGTTATAATTAGAAATCGTCAAACTTATTTTGTACACTATTGAGAAATTTAAGGGACCAAATCCTTAACTTAAAGCGACTTTTTTTTATTTTTTTAACTAGAAGTTGTTGGGTTACCAAGTACGACAATGATTACAATCTACGGGCCAGGGGCTATACATATGTATGCATACATACAATCAGACCTAGAAAGATGTTCACATGTAATACCTATTATGAGGCTACGGAGTACGGTGAGCAAACCCGATGGAGTGGGTTCAGAGGTCATGATGTCTTGGCGATAGTACGGTGAAGTCTGCAAGATGGAGTGTTGACGGCTCGTGACAGGACTATTTCGACTGACCGCGCTTAATCGCGTGGGATTGATTTCTTGTGGGAGAGGAGGGACTCGTGACTGGAAGAAAAGGGTGCCAACTCAGCCGGCACCACTAGCCTTAGGAAAGTGATGACAACGCATGGGACCGACGGACCACACGATGATAAGACCCTGCCGTTGGGGGGGCAGAGTAGTGGGGTTTCTGGATTCTAGAGGAGTGCATTGGTACCTGTGTCTGCCTGTATGATACCTTTAGGACAGAATATACTCACCTAGGACATCTCATACGAATAATATAATATAATCACGAGCTGTAAAGAGAACGGGGATACCTATAAACAATAACTATGTATAACCAGGTATTTATGGTTTGGGGGTGGCTTTGCTGCTGACTGATTGTGAAATTCAACATTTCCGTTCTCGTTTCTCGCTGCCGACTCGCGCAAGAACGCTGCAGTGGACATGCGAGTCAGCGTCTGGATCATTGGTAGGATCTCATGCGATTGTTTGGCTGATATCTTGGTGAAGGATGAGATAAATTTGTCGCGTCTCTCCCTCTCTCCGCCTTTTAATAAATAATTTCCATAGGTCATTGAAGATCTAAGTCAAAACTCGACGGATATTCCTTCATGTTTCTTGAGCACCTTTTTAGTGGACTGTCGACCAGTTGTTTCATTCTAAGGTTGAGGCGGACGATAGTGGGGAAAGGCAGGCTGCCTACGAAGTCCATATCGTGTAATCTGAATTGGGAGAGCAAAAAATAGAGTTAAGGGTTCTGCTAACGTCGATACTAATTTACAATAATATAAGTTAGCGGATTGGTTCCCTGATATTTTCCAAGGTTTTATGATTAGGTATTCGCGGTCTTGATTATTTTTGTTTTTGTTTATTGATTGATTGATTGATTGATTTGTTGTTAACGTCCACTATTGCGTATAATGTATTTACATATGTCAAGTACTAAATACTTAAGTACTAATATACTTTGATAAGGCGTAAGATATCGAGAGAAGATTCCAGGCCGAAGACGGCAATGAGGGGCAAGCAAGCCCTGGAAAAGATGGAAAGGTGTATGGTAGCACAACCTTACTTTACTGGACCAGACGCTAGAAGAGAGTGGAACGTACCTAATGTATCAATGTACTCTTTCCTTTCCGCACAAGCCAGGTGCCAAAGTTGGAGTCTCAGGCGCAATTTTGGACCTGGCAGCCCTGGCCGCATTTACTGATTTCTCCTCCCGCACCTTAAACCTCGTCGATTTTCAACACCCTTCAACTTTGACGTACCTGTAAACAATCCCGTCTCTCCCTGTTCACCAACTTTCTCAATCCTACATCCAAACAGTTCATCCCCAATTTCCATACCTACATCACCCTTTTCTATCGCCTCTAGGCCCAGAATCCTCTTCTCAAACCGCCCAAGATGACTACTGAGGTAAGTTTTCGATACTCCGACTCCCCTTTCCACTCCCAAGACTGCCTTGTTTCGGGCGACACTACTATTCGCCTCCGCCGCTCCCGCGCACCGCTGCGTAGCCTTTCGTTATATCCTTACTCTAGCATTCTATGGATGGTGATCATGCTAACATTGCTTTCTACCTTGTAGCGTGAAAGGTTCGTACCGCATACCCCCGCCGTATCTAGTCCATGCTTGATGCCGCCTTTTTTTATGTACCGAGGGGGGGGAACGCAAATCCACTAACTAGCATTTTGTAACAGCAAGACTTTCCTAGCCCGCCTCTGCGAGCAGGCCGAGCGTTATGATGAGATGGTTACCTACATGAAGGAGGTTGCTAAGCTTGGTGGAGAGCTCTCTGTTGACGAGCGCAACCTTTTGTCTGTTGCCTACAAGAATGTGGTCGGTACCCGACGTGCCTCTTGGAGAATCATCTCGTCGATCGAGCAGAAGGAAGAGTCCAAGGGCTCTGACAAGCACGTTTCTACTATTCGCGACTACCGAAACAAGATCGAGACCGAGCTCGAGAAGGTCTGCCAAGATGTTTTGGACGTCCTGGATGAGAGTTTGATCCCCAACGCTGCCACCGGCGAGTCCAAGGTCTTTTATCACAAGATGTTAGTTGCCATTTTGCATCGCGGTGTAGTCTGATAATGATGATATACTAATGTTTGGATTGCCCCACATAGGAAGGGTGATTATCACCGCTACTTGGCCGAGTTCGCGTCTGGCGAGAAGCGAAAGGTCGCCGCCACAGCCGCCCACGAGGCCTACAAGGTTAGTCGATATCATAAATATACATTACATAAGTGTTCTAATCTCACATTTCTCCTTTATAGAGCGCCACCGATGTCGCACAGACTGAGCTTACCCCGACGCATCCTATCCGTCTCGGTCTTGCCCTCAACTTCTCCGTATTCTACTATGAGATCCTCAACTCGCCCGACCGAGCTTGCCATCTCGCCAAGCAGGCCTTTGACGATGCCATCGCCGAGCTTGATTCGCTGTCTGAGGAATCTTACCGCGATAGCACTCTCATCATGCAGTTGCTCCGTGATAACCTAACCCTATGGACCTCATCAGAGAGCGCTGAGGGCGAAGGTGCCGCCGCCACAGAGGCTGCTAAGGAGGACAAGCCTGCCGAGGAAGCTGAGAAGCCCAAGGAGGATGCCCCCGCTCCTACCGAATCTTAGACTACCTTTCGCGGATAACATCCTTGCCTCAACTGAACATGCATATCCTGTAATACTTTCTGAAGGGCCAGGGTTCTGTTGATACCCATACTGGCAAACGATTTGTAACATCGGTTGGGGAGGACGATAAAGGTGTCTGTTTTGGACGCGGAAGTGAAATTTGAACAGAGTGTCGGCTTTCACTCGAGGATACGTCAGTAAAAGGCTGCTTTTAAAGTAGGCCTTCTGCTTGACAATACGATAACATTTTCCACAACTATGGCTGTATTTCAACTACCTCTACCTGTATAGGGGCGGCGAGGGCTCGTTGGTGGTCGTGTGGACGGTTTCATACACGTTTCCCCTGTTTGTTTTTTGTGGTTTTTTGAGATGAGATATCTCACGTTTTCCTTTGATCCAGCACCCATTGCAACATCCCCTAGAGTCGACCTTGTACGCCGGTCCTTTACGTATCGCGGGAAGATTAGGTAGTTTACGGGTCCGCTTTCGGGTGGAATTGCAAAATGATCCATGCCTTGAGATTCACCAGCCGAAGAGAGAGAAAGCTTTAGCTTAGCTTTTCGACGGTTCGGCTCGAACAGACTGCGATACTTAATTAGGCTGGACTTCTGCTTTGATGCGTGTGTTTACTGCATTCGTCAATCGACCCCCCGATCCGCATCTACGCAATGCGTATGCCCCGATATCAGAAATTAAAAAAGCAAAACTTAACCCTGACTTATAGGCTTTCCCATGCTTAGATCTGACGTGCTCGTAATACCCTTAATGATCCTTTTTATCCTAGTCGGTACGTGAAGCTATAGTACAATCCTAGTAACGAGGTGTCTTGTTTAAGCTATTAAAATATTCATGATGGTAACTAATAACAGCCCGTGGAGGTTATTGTCTTTGATAAGGTATTCGTATTTCTATTCTGTCACAATAACACTTCCCTCGATTACTTCACTTCGCCTGTTATATAGACGTTGACTTACAGTATAACTATAGACTTATATAATAGTCTTAACACCTATATAAGTCATCCTACCTACTGTAGTAACATTAACTGTAAATGCACATATGTATATATAGGTATATACCTTAGGTACATAAGGTACATAAGGCCATTTACTTCAAGTACATGAGGCGTACAGGTATTGGCTTATCTCACGTGAATTGTAAAAAGGTAGTCTCAGCCTCATAGGTACACGGGACCCCCACCCGAGACTGACCCTCTTTTTTCATAAGAAGATAGGAAGATAAGTGGAAGATAGTATCCTCTCCCCACAATAGAATTTAACCAATTTAATCCATCAATTCGCAGGGCTGATCCTAGAAAAAGCCAAGACCAAACGTCACAGGGCCAGCTTTCATCAGTAACTTTCAAAGCGCCTCAAGCATGTGGATGCCGTCTCCGTGCATTTTTCGTTCAACTACTTGACTCTCAAATTTATCCAGGTAGCATGTGCTATTTTTCAAAACAGCTGCTGTCATCTTCTTGCTATCCTGCTGTCCTGCTAGTTCAGCATGGATCAGTATCCATCCGTAACCCGAACTCTCACTGCAGCCCCGTCGGCTGAGAAGTCTAGCCAGCTGCTCATCCGCGAATATCCTCATCGAGCTATCGCCATTAGGACGCCGACTCATGCCTTGATATTCCGATATAGCCCTAGCACGAGCGAGGCAATCGCCAATGGCTCGCTTGCATCTGTCTCGTCAGCACGACCCCGGGCTGCCGGGGACGGCCCCGTGTCTAAATGCATGGTCGAATTCACCCCCGTCTCTAAGCAGCTACTTAGCGACTTCAGACCTCTCACTCCTCGGCCCATATACGGAACCCTAGGCCTCATATCTATAAACCAGGATGTATTCCTATGTGTAATCACGCAAGCGTTACGCGTGGCGACGGTGCGTCCTGGGGAGACGGTCGAGAAGATTGCGAGTGTCGACTTCTTCTGCCTTAATAGCTCCGAGTACGATAATATTGTATCCCTAAATACGTACGAGGACGAGATATCCGAGTCCATGTCGCCGTATGGCCAGAACCTCGGTCGGAGGGAAGGCGAAATAGAATACCCATATCAGGAACTGCAGAAGCTGTTAAGCAATGGCAGTTTTTACTACAGTACAGACTTTGATCTGACCAATAGGCTTCAGGATAGGCCCATAGACTCGGACACGTTTGATATTGACAATTTTGATGATTCCTTCTTATGGAACTATTTCATGATTAGTCCTCTAGTTCAGTTTAGATCTCGGCTCCTAGCGCACGAGCGTGAGGCCCTCGATGCTTCTAGGATTTTAACATCCGCTATACGAGGATTCTGTTTAACTATGACTATCCCCCAAAGCGCAGCGCCTTTACGGGATGGCAGATCCGGCCTTCCTTCCTTTCTCACTGTTATTTCCCGCCTATCATGTAAACGAGCTGGCACTCGCTTCAACAGTCGAGGTATCGACGATGACGGGCACGTAGCCAACTTCGTGGAAACGGAAACTATTTATTGGAGCCCATCTGGCGTTCTCTTTTCGTATGCACAAGTCCGTGGCTCGGTACCAGTGTTCTGGGAGCAGACTCCGGGGCTCATTCCTGGTCAGCAAAAGATAACCGTCACCCGTTCAGCTGACGGGACGCAACCAGCCTTCGATAAACATTTTGAAGATCTGGAACAGTCTTATGGTGCTGTACATATCGTTAATCTGCTCAGCGCAACGAAGCCGGGCGAAGCCGAGCTGACACATCTATTTCACTATGGCTTAGAGCATTGTTCACTTAGCCATGCTGGTGAAAAGCAGTCTGCTGACCATGCTCTGCTGCGAGAGACCGACTACGATTTTCACATGGAAACTAAAGCTGCAGGATACGAAGCTGCTCGGGAAATCCGCCGATATATTGAACATTCAGCTGACGGATTCGCGTATTATCTTGCTGAGCTCACGGATGATATGGCTGATACGAATGAACCGTCGGGCCATCAAAGAATGGTGGTTGTGCTTCAACAGGAAGGAGTCTTCCGGACAAATTGCCTAGACTGTTTAGACAGGACTAATCTAATACAGACGTTAATCTCACAAATGGCTGTTGAAGCCTTCTTAAATCATCGTGGGGAATATGCTGCGTCGGATTTCTGGATGCGACATTCTACTCTCTGGGCTGACAACGGCGATGCTCTCTCCAGGATATATGCCGGAACGGGAGCTCTCAAGTCTTCCTTCACAAGACATGGCAAGATGTCTATAGCTGGTGCATTTGCGGATGTCCGGAAAAGCGCAACGAGGCTCTATATTAACAACTTTGCCGATAAAGCAAGGCAGAATACGATTGATATGCTTTTGGGACGGCTAGTTGGTCAGACTCCTGTTCATCTCTTCGACCCTATCAGCGACTTTATATCTGGTGAACTCGGTAAGCGTAGTGCCGAATATTCATCGACGGAAAATATTACGATGTGAGTCCTAAGACGTCCTAGCTATATGCCAATTTAACAAGACTAACTTTCTATAGGTGGGTTGGGACATTTAATCTAAACGGCCGTACTAATGGTATTGACGAGGATTTGTCCCCATGGCTTTGCCCTCAGGAACTCGGTTCAGTGCAGCCTGAGATAATGGCCGTCGGATTTCAAGAGATCGTTGAGTTGAGCGCGCAACAAATCATGAATAGCGATCCTCGTAGAAAGCAGCTATGGGAGCGAGCTATCAAAAGGACGCTAAACAACCGTGCCAAACGGTTAGGAGGCGAAAGGTATGTCCTACTTCGTAGTGGACAACTAGTTGGTGCCGCCTTGTGCATCTTCGTAAAAGCATCATCACTTCCTAAAATAAAGAACGTTGAAGGAAGTGTCAAGAAAACTGGCATGTCTGGCATAGCAGGAAATAAAGGCGCGGTTGCCATTAGGATGGAATATGCGAATACTCAACTATGTTTCGTGACAGCTCATCTTGCTGCCGGGTTCGCCAATTATGACGAGAGAAATAAAGATTACGCTACTATTCATCATGGACTACGATTTCAAAGAAACAGGGGTATTGACGATCATGGTAAGTGGATTGGTGCCTATGCATAGTACTCTATCTCTTACTGATTTATCTGCAGATACTGTCGTCTGGCTTGGTGATTTTAATTACCGTATTGGACTATCGCATGAAAAGGTCATGGATTTGATTCAAAAAAATGATCTGGAGAAGCTCTATGAAAATGACCAGGTACGATTATAAGACAACATCAAACGAATAGATGGTTGCTAATATGTTCCAGTTGAACCTCCAAATGGTTGCCGGCCTTTCTTTTCCATATTACTCGGAGGCTAGGATTACCTTCATGCCAACTTATAAATTCGATGTTGATACTGACAGATATGATACCTCGTAAGTCCTTGTGGTATACGTTCTATGAGTAAGGCTAATATTAAGACAGCGAAAAAGCTCGTATCCCGGCGTGGACGGATCGCATCTTACGCAAAGGCACGAATATAAGACAACTATCATATAACTGTGCCCCCTTGCGTTTCTCGGATCATCGCCCGGTATTTGCTACGTTCCAATGCACAGTGAACATCATAAACGAGGCGCTTAGAGAGCAGATCAGCCAGGAGCTGTATGAGCGTCGCAAAGCTGAAGTCGGCCACACGGCGTCGAGTTTAATCAGTGAGGACTCCGAAGATGATGAAGATTTAATTGGATACGATCCTATCGAGCCAGGTTTGCCTCCGGCGAGCTCAGACCGACAGAGATGGTGGCTCGAAAACGGCAAAAGGGCGCAGTCTACAGTTGGCCCACCTAAGCCTAATAACGGGAACCGCGATAATTCAACTATGATGTTAAATCCTAACCGTCCCTCAAACCCATTTTCTCAAACCGAGGAACCTGATTGGGTTGCGATCCCCAGATCTAATTCAAGACTCTCGTCGTTTTCTAGTATCTCTAGCTCACCATATGAGCATATTAACCACTCTACCCTTCTATCATCATCCGCCGCATCCAACTCCTCGCCTAGAAAGCTACCCCCGCCGTTTGATCCAGCAACATTACCCGTCAAATTCGGCCAGGTCAGCTTGCTTGACGAGCAAACACCCATACAGAGGAACGAGGCTCCACCGCCGCCTCCGCCTAGAAGGCAGACCTCCACGGGAATTATGCAACCTTCTCAGACGCTCACCCCGTTGGGCGTGCAATCAGTATCGCGAGAAGCGAAGCCTAGTGGCTTGCAACAGCCATTACAGGCAGTACCATCATCCTCATCTCAGACATCGAATAAGTCTAAAGCACCCCCACCTATAGCAAGGAAACCAGTTCATCTCATGTCTACTTCGCCAACGACTAGTTCAGCAGTATCCGAAAGTGGTAGCTTTAGTTCGCTCGTAGACCAGCAAACACCTAAACCATCCATCCCACGTAAAACTTCTAACGCTGTTTCCAATCTGACTTCTAAACTTGAAGCTAGTAGATCGGGGGCCTTAACGGGCGGAATGCACAAGACAATGACTATGCCACTTCATCTGGAAAGAATTTCTTCTGACGAATATCCTGTTGGGGCATCAACTCGAGTGTCTCTACCTGGATTGGGAAACATAGAACGCAAGCCAAACTTGCCGGCTCGCCCGCAACCACAACTACAACATATACAACCGCCCCGGCCAGAGGCGAGAAAATCTACCGTCGACCTCCTAGGCGGTGACGACGGGGTCGATGTGAACGGGTGGGAGACGTTGAAACCGAACTAGTTATTTTATGTCGCATTTAGACGGGTATTGGGTTGTCAAAATTTTAGTACAGCATGGTGTTTACGGCGTTAGAGTATTAAAGTGTTAATGTTAGACGAGTATATACGGGTTTCAATTGCGAGACTAGACAAAAGTTTTGCTTTACTTGTAAGACGGGTTGATAGTATTGTGATATTGTTGATGTGCTAAATATAATGTGTGGTGAGTGAGTATGAGAACATGTTGCTATGCAGTTGTTTAGATTTGCATATGTTATTGGCATAAGTGTATATAAGTGTATCCCCTCAACTGACATAAAATAATTATTAAGGGAGGTGTACACCGAGTAAACCCCGTTGAATTATACGTCATGCTAAGATAAGATAAAGCTTTAGGTTAAGGATGCCGCGTCCGAGTCACGCGTTACATCGACAACTTTCGGGTTGCTTGGAACAACCGTTGAAGCTTCAATGGATTACCCAATCATACTTATTTTATGACATAAGTGGGAGAAACATTTGCGGTCTGGGTTTTATCATGCCGAACGATCAAACCCAATGTATTACCATAATATACCGTGATACGGATACCCCAAGGTCTCACGAACAGGTATCCAGAAGCTCGAGAGCAAGTCCGGAGCATTTCTAAGGATATATCGGTTTCGAATTGTCCGGCTCTTCAAAAACAATCATTGATAAAGACAAGATGTCGGGCACGCACAAAAAGTTACCGGAGAGAAAAGTACGGATGATCGAAGTCTGGAGAACCGAAATCAAGTCGAATCAGAATTATTGCGCGTGCTCTAGACTCGACTTAGGTTCATCTAAAGGCCCAAATGAAGTATCAGGATCTACATCGACTACTGCTATAGGAATAGACAGTAGACCAGAATCAGCACATCAATCTAACCCTACCTCGTCTGAGCCTCCTGTCACCTTTTCGCCAATAAACATTACAGAGCCAGGACTTTCGGGCAAACCAACATGTCCTGTTTGTCAGTTGCTGATAGATAAAGACATATCGTTAAAGAAGCTTAGGAAGCATAAGGATACGGGTCTCGTACGCAAGGGAAGTCCACGGTCCTCAGCCAGCTTGCCTAAGATGGACCAGGTTATATTGTCCCATGAGCATGAACCCGCCAATATATTCAAGAAAACGAGCGCCGTCAAAGCACAAATCTTAAACCCATTTATAAGACTTAAACGTCTAGGACTAAAGACCGTAGCCACCTCGAAAAAATTGAAGGTTAAGGGGATGCGCGGTCTAAGGTCTCTTAAAGCAAAGATGTCCGCGCCGCCAGGCGACTACGTTGGCGTTCGAGATAACCGACCACGCGCCACGGAAATCTACGCTCAGTACAGGCCGGATGCCTCGTCCGCGGGGTCAGTTGAGACCCTGGCGGGATTGAGTGATGATGAACGTAGAAGGCCTGGGCTAACTATTGATGAATCTGCAGCTCGTCTCCGGAGAGCTTCTCGCCTGCTAGACCGCGCAAATGTCCATATTGCGAACGAGAACACTAATAATTCGCCGAAATTTTAGGTCGATCGAACATTATACGAAAGGGTTAGAGGTATCATGGAAAAGAGTAGATTCGATGTTTTAAGGATACCAAGCGTTCTTCTTCAAAGCGCTGGTTTCTTGGGTTATAATATTCATAATAGCATTAGCCACCCCTGTGTAAGTGAGCGGTAGAGGTGGTGCAGGAGATGGCCGGAGTTAGGATACGGATACAGCGGCATTTGGATTTAAGAATAGGAATACCCATTAGTGTTATGAATCGGATTCTGGTTTATCAGAATGGGATAGGAGTATATGTAGATTACTCCAGCTGTTGATGTATAGTCGACTATCCATGTATCTACTATATCGTATACGAAAGACCCTCCATTGACTGACTTCAAGCTCTAATTATAATTCACTCTGTCTAGACAGAAATATATATAAAGCTATTTGGTTGGATGATAAATAAGGTAGAGAATAAAATAGGTAGAACAATGCAGGCCTCAGATTTAACAATTGAGATCATTTCCATTATGGATATCCCTCTTCCTATCATATGATTTATTAGAGTATCATCACCGGCCTGCTTGTTGCTTGAAAGTTTCCTAGTAGAATGCTAGGAGAGATGAAGGAAATATACCTACGAACAAGACCGATGTTTGAAGTCTTGAGATAGTTATTGAACCTCTTATTCTGGTAAAGAATATCACACTTGTGATTGTTATGCAAACGTTTCTTACATATACCGGGTCACTGATACTATCGAAGAGCAGAGCTTATGATATTAGATCCCCCATTGATGGTGATTGCGTGGAGGTTGGCCTTGAAAATAGAATCGTATATTAGAAGAGAGAAGGAAATGCTAGGTAGTGTCGAATAAATTTTCTGCAGTATTTTATTTTAGCGCTAGAGCCAAGTAGTACAGGTACGTACCCACACTGTTTAGAAAGAGATAACTAGCATTTAGGTTAACCATGGAATTTCTGGTACATAAGATCAAGGATCAATGCTTGTTACACATAGAAAAAGACAGGTAGTTACCTAACTAGGTCATTGTTAGGTACTAACCTTACCTTGTTTGAGAAAGAAACACACACAAACGTATTGTTTCTACCAAGAGTCATCTATGGCAAGTGCAAGTTACATAGTAAGAAACGTACAAAGCAACAGACAGGTATGAAAAAATAAAGACCCACACACATTCCCTGTTAATGCAGTTAGTTGAATGTAAACGCACGGACCACATGCAAGATATCCCATGCTCCCAGCCTCATTTAGCTGCATGTGCTTTTCCTTCCTACATACCTTAGTTAGTACTATTTGAACTTTCTCTTGCGATCATCATTGTTCGTCGATCTCGACAACCTCATTGTCATCCAAACTCATTCCCCCGTCGCGTCTTTCAAATCTGGGGATCATGAAACTTCAGAACTACATTATTCCTTCATTGTAATTATCTTATTAAAATCATCGCGATTTCAATTCGATCCACGTCTTTTCATTCCTAGCCTCGCGTAAATTCATACATACCTCTACTTACCTTTCATCACCTTCACCGCGTTGCTAAACTAGTCGCATACTATTTTTATACAAAGATGGCCGATTTTAATCAGTTCGGCTCTTCTGACGAGGAGAATGCCGAGATAAAAAAGCTGGCACTCGAGGTCGTAAGTAACCGAGTTTTCCCACCCATTTCGACCTTACTACATTCCAATGGCTCTTTTTGACGTACTAACTATAAGATAGGAAGCTGATACCGATAACTTTGAGTCTTGGGAGAAGCTCATACGCGCTTGCGAGGCCCAAGAAGGGGGACTTAACCGAAACTCCAGTCCCCAGGCGCTTGCTGCGCTTCGCGATGTCTACGATCGATTCCTCCTCAAGTTCCCTCTTCTTTTCGGGTACTGGAAGAAGTACGCCGACCTCGAGTTTAACATATCTGGCCCAGAATCCGCTGAGATGGTAATAAACTTCCCTTTCTGATAAGTCGGTAGTTACTGTAAGCTAACTTGTGTTAGATCTATGAACGAGGATGTGCTAGTATAACAAATTGTGTTGATCTATGGGCTTCCTATTGTTCCTTTAAGATGGAGACCACTCACACCCCCCATTTGGTCAGAGAGTAAGTAAAACCGGATGTTTCCTACCCCATAACATTTACCACCAACAGAGCAAAAGCTACATAGCGACCCCTAACACTATCGGAGCGTTTAATACACGACTGCTTAGTCGTTGACGGTGAGAGATGCCAACAGAATCCATGACATGTTGGATACTTTCTCACAGATTCTGCCAGGCCGTGGTTCCCTACAATGTCATTGGTTTGACCTTGAACATCCTCGTCGCACTCTACACCCTGCGCCTCAAAACGGATTGATTTGGAATCGGAATAGTTGCTTGCACAAATCCCTCCTCTTCTGTATTTGCCCTCCTACCCACCCTCATTCCCCAACCCCCTTCATCGTTCTCGTCTTTGCTAACCTTTACCTCTAGGCTCTTCGAGCGAGCCGCTACTTCTGTCGGCCTTGACTTTCTAGCACATCCCTTCTGGGATAAGTATATTGAGTATGAAGAGAGACAGGAAGCGCAGGATAAGATCTTTGCCATCTTACAGCGAGTTATCCATATCCCGATGCACCAGTATGCTCGATATTACGAGCGCTTCCGCCAACTCGCCCACAGCCGGCCTATTAAGGAGTTAGTACCACCCGAGACGCTCGCGCGTTTTCGAGCAGAGGTGGAGGCTGAGGGCGCTGCGTATGGTGTGATGCCGCGGGCTGAACTAGAAGTCGAGCGAGACGTCCGTGCTAAGATCGATGCCATGTTCTACGAAGTCTTCCAGAAAACTCAAGATGAGACGAATAAGCGATGGACGTACGAATCGGAAATCAAACGGCCGTATTTCCACGTCACTGAGCTAGAGAACCCGCAGCTAGCTAATTGGCGGAAGTATCTCGACTTCGAAGAGAGCGAGGGCGATTTTGCTAGGACGACATTCCTCTACGAGCGTTGTATCGTCACATGTGCCCTGTACGACGAGTTCTGGCTGCGTTATGCCAGGTGGATGTCGGCGCAACCTGGGAAAGAGGAAGAAGTTCGCCATATCTATATGAGAGCTGCTACACTCTTTGTGCCTATTAGTCGGCCAGGCATTCGTCTGCAGTTCGCTTACTTTGAGGAGTCTTGCGGTCGCACCGGCGTCGCCCGAGATATCCACGAAGCCGTATTGATGCAGCTACCCGACTGCGTGGAGGCTATCGTGTCTTGGGCTAACCTTGAGAGACGACAAAATGGACTCGATGCAGCCATCCAGGTCTACAAGGCCCAAATCGATGCTCCACACGTTAACATTTTCACAAAGGCCGTTCTCGTTACTCGATGGGCTTACTTGTTATGGAAGATTAAGGGATCCGTCGACGAAGCAAGAACCGTTTTCCTGAAGAACGTCCAGTGGTATGCTGATAGCCGCCATTTCTGGGAGCAGTGGCTTGAATTCGAACTGGAACAGCCCACAAACGCAGAGATCGAATCTCAACATGCCGAGCGTGTTAAGCACATCTTTGACGAGTTGTTGGCAAAGAGCCGGATATCATCAACAGCTAAGAAGGACTTGTTCCTGGTCTATCTTGCCTATCTCCAAGAGAGAGGTGGTGCGGAAGCGATGAAACAATTCCTCACTATCGACCGTGAGATCTACGGGTATGTGGTTTCTCTTTAGTTGTGTCTACGTTGAAATACTAACATTGCGTAAAGTCCTACTTCATTGTCAGTACTCGATAGGCCTGCAATTAAGGAGAACGGCGTCGCAAGAGCCCCTCTAGACGATGCCACCAAAGCAAAGGCTGAGAGTAGATACCCTGCCTATTACGAGTACTATATGGAACCCGAGGCCAACGCGCAAGGAACTGCACCTTTCCAGTAAGGTCGAGCGCAAACTCAGCTTCGACTCCTCGAGAGTCAATATTCAATATCCTGACCTCGGTGAGTAATAATGCTCGGGAAGTAGGAGGAGGCAATGGATTTGTATCATATTTGAGTTCCACTTGTGTTAAGGGCTTATTTATAATAGGGGCATATGAAGTCTCGGGCGGATTGGGATGATAGGCAAAGGAGAAGTCTGGTGTGTATAACGGCCAGAAATATTCACTCGAGGAGCTTACTGCACTCGGAAGTTACCAGGCAATAGTTCGTACGCGTGTTTTTACGATTGATAAAGAAATGAGAATTAATCCACCAGTTGTTTCAATTGCTAAATACCTATAGGCACCTAACCTAGATATTGTAAATGATTATGTTATATTTGTTTTCTATTACCTAACTAGTGTTTAAAAGAATAGTTGATGATACTGCTTGAGTCAGATTTGATAAATTGAGTCATTCGTGAGAATTTGATATCTGATGACGAGCTGGCAATTTTCGCAGCTCTTGCGGAAAGACGAGTCGGTTTCTGCCGAAACCATAAGCCGGTAATCGGAGATAAGGCTTTAATAAGCTACTTGGTACCTCCTACCATGCTCGGACAAGCTCGGGGAGCTGGGATGTTTCTATTCTTTTTTTTTTTTCCTTTCCTACTATGTTAGGTACATACTATAGGTAGTGGGACCTCGGGTGCGGCGCCGTGCGGGCAGAGCGGACTACACGTACCTAACCTACTCCGCGCCAGTGATACCTACCTATACATATCCCCAGGGGCCCAAGGGGTGCTATGGTGCTATGCTACATAGGTTAAGCTGCTTTAGCCGGGTGGGCGGGGAGGGTTTTGCGGTAGCGTGTATGGGAAGGCTTGACGGGTTCCTGACAAATACGAAATATCTAGTTAGTTAGTTAGTTACCTGTTAGTTAACCAAAACTTTCTAAGTAAGGTAATGTTAGCAGTTTGGTTTAATTCGGGGAGAATGGAGAGAATGGATGGAAGAATGGATGGAATTTTTGGTTGTGATGGTTCGATTATCGACCTTGGTACTTAAATCCAATTGAATATATGCAATACACGTGGGGGCACATGTTTCTATGTAATGTTGAATATCTTTTTTTTTTTTAGGTTGATATGAGGTAGGTAGGTAGTTTTTTTAGGTACGGCCTGAGAGAGAATGTTACATGCGCACGCGCAGGTTGCATGCATGCGTGGCCCCGTGAATCTAGGCGTTCTATTCGCTACGTCCTTGTTGGCATCAGATGTTGCCATCGGTTGCTCTTTCTCATCAACAAAAATTCCTCCGCGGGTAAGAATTTTAGTACCACCTATGCTGTGTAGGCCATGGCAAGCGCGAAAAGGAAAAGAAGGAGAGAAATAGATAGGTACCCGTTTAGGGGCCCACTCTAGTAGAAGCCGACAGAAAATGATGCTAGGGGGGTTGCCACCCAATAGGACGGCTTAGATTCTTCCTTACTAAACATTTTGGCTGCTTTTCCCAACGACGGAGACTTGCCGTCCTCGGATTTCTTTTCCTGTAAGCCTTTAACAATAGAATTGGCCTCTTCCCTCACCGTCCCTCTTTCATCGTTATACATCGTTATATATTAGGTCTCTCTTGCTTTTTTTTTTTCGTTTAATTTCCTTTGCCCCGGTTGAACCCAATTGCATTCCTCTGCTGTGCACTAGGAAAGACAAAAGTAAGATATCCATCATATCACCCCGCCAATATCGGATATTTCGGTGTGTTTCTAACCCACGACGTTGTAGATGTCGGCCGCAACTGTGTCCCGCCAGATGGCCCGCGCGGCCCTGCGTACCTCGGCCAGAAACACATTTGCCACGTCTTCTCGGCAAGCATTCCGACAACACGGCCGACGATTCTACTCGTCGGAGCCTCCTAAGGCATCTAGCTCGTCCAGCCTGATCTACCTGGCAGGTGCCGCCGTTGCGGGTGCTGCCGGCTACTACTTCTACACCTCAAACAACTCGGGTAGCGTCAAGGTGTTCTCAGCCACCAAGGACGACTACCAGAAGGTGTACAACGAGATTGCTAACCGCCTCGAGGAGAATGATGAGTACGACGATGGCAGCTATGGCCCCGTCCTCGTTCGTCTCGCATGGCACGCCAGCGGTACCTACGATAAGGAGACGGGTACCGGTGGTAGCAACGGTGCTACTATGCGATTCGCCCCTGAGGGTGACCACGGCGCGAACGCCGGCTTGAAGAACGCTCGGGACTTCCTTGAGCCTGTGAAGGGTATGTTATTTTTTCTATCCGTCAAGATTGAGACCGCAGGCTAACACCCAGTTTATAGCCAAGTTCCCCTGGATCACCTACTCCGATCTCTGGATCATTGGTGGTATTGCTGCCATCCAGGAGATGCAAGGTCCCGCCATCCCGTTCCGACCCGGCCGTCAGGACCGAGATGCCGCAGCCTGCACTCCCGACGGACGTCTTCCTGACGCTGCCAAGGGAACCCCTCATCTCCGTGACATCTTCTACCGCATGGGTTTCAACGACCAAGAGATCGTTGCCCTTGCCGGTGCTCACGCTCTCGGTCGTTGCCATACCGACCGAAGTGGATTCGACGGACCGTGGACCTTCTCTCCCACCGTCCTGACCAACGACTATTTCCGCCTACTCATAGAGGAGAAGTGGCAGCTGCGCAAGTGGGACGGCCCCAAGCAGTACGAGGATGTCAAGACCAAGTCGCTCATGATGCTGCCGGCAGACTATGCCCTTATTCAGGACAAGGCAACGAAGCCTTGGGTAGAGAAGTACGCCAAGGACAACGACCTCTTCTTCAAGGACTTCGCTGGCGCCGTTACTAGACTCTTCGAGCTGGGTGTGCCTTTCAAGCAGGATACCGAGAAGATCACCTTCAAGCCTGTTAATGCTTAAATTTAATGAGATACCATCTGATAGAGTTAGAGGGAGCGTATTAGAAAAGATGTAGAGGAAGACATGGTTAGAGTTAGATCTAGACCGAGAACTAGACCTAGAAGCGATATCGCTTCGTGACTGTCGACGGGAGAACTGACAAGAGTTGTTGGAGTGGGAGACCTGCCCCCGAGCAGGGCTTGATTGAACTGTATACCGTTTCTGTTAGCCTAGTCATCTATTCGATCTTGTTCAAGCAAAGCTTAAGAGCTGTATATATCAATGAAGTGTTCCCTCCCATTCGTATATCCATTTCATGTGTTACATATGATGTGTAGTGCTTGTTTGCTTACCGGGGTAAAGTTAGAGGAAAAAGAATCCGGGGATGATTGAAATAGAGATGTTTTAATAGGTTGAGTCGTAGCAAACGTAATGGAGATCCTTTTATTCCCCACTGCCATGCAGTTACTATGATGTGTTAGGTACTATTGTATGTACCTACGTACTATGCCTTAGTTATCCGCGATTTCTACGTTCAAAGTTCAATTTTAGCTTCATTTTTAATTCTACACTTAACCATCACATCCTTGGAACCCGCCAATCGGTGAAGCGTGGTAATACCTAGTAGATAGGGTTGTATATATATCTTTACCCGGCCTTTTCCTCCTTTTCTTTTCTTTCTTCGTGTCCAGTCTTTCCCAATGGCAACGGCGCGCATCCCGGCCCTGCGCAACCTCATCGGCCGGCGGCAACCCTTCCGCCTGCCGGGCCAGCAGCGCCGCTGGGCCCAGGTCCACGATGTACGCTTCGTAGCTACCACCCAGGCCGCCCGCAGCGTCACCGAGAAATACCGCGACAAGCTCGACCGCAAGGCCCGCGAGGAAGGCCTACGTGACATCGGCGAGCTAAAAGAAGCGTATAAAGACCGCATCCAGGAGCTTAAGAAGAAAGATAGCGCCTCGATTCCCGGGCTCGATGCGCTGCTTGCGGATGAGCCGGCGCCGGTGCAGACGACACAGGTTGGGGATGGGATTGCACAGAAACCACCACCCCCGCCCCCGCCGCCGCAATCACAAGTCCCACCCGTTGGCACGGGAAGCACAAACGCCGCTGTAAAACCCCTCTCCGAAATCCTCGACCTGCCGAAAGCCCGCGCGCTTCCCGAGAAGGAACTCGGCGCAATATGGCGGCTCCGCCACGCCTCGTCGCCGAACTCCCTCTGCGCGGTCATCCCCACGGCCACCTACGCGACCCTAGAGGCGACGGCGCGCCGCCACCCTTCCTTCGTGCTCCCGGTGCCCCGGGGCGCAGACGTCGGGGCGGAGATCCACTTCCTGCAGTGGGTGTTCGACGGGCCGTCGCGGACGGCCACCGTGCTGTTCACGCAGCTGGCCGAGTACAAGGCGCGCGGGGAGTGGGCGCAGCCGCACACGAGCGTGACGCATTACGTCGACGACGGGCTGGCGGGGGTGCTGATGGTGGGGAGCGTGGTGGATGGGCGGGGGGCTAGCGTCCAGGATGCGAAGTGGCTTGTTATGCTCATGCAGAGGTTCTACGGCGGGGAGGGGACTGGGGGGGAGAGGGACGATGGGAAGAGGCGGTTGTTGGAGGAGTTTGGACGGGGGGATGGTAAGTTTAGCGTTGAGAGGCTGTTGGAGGAGAGTGAGAAGTTGGGTTGAGGGGAGGAGGTGCTAGATGATGGGTTATGAAGGATTAATAAGTTCGAGTCGAGATAGACTTAAGCTTGGGGTATAAGACGGGAGAAGTCGTGAAGAGCATTTGAAGAATATATCGGATGGGAGGGACTGTTACGAAATAATATGCTACACGATGTGACGGATTACACCAGACATACGGGGACGGCATGTACTTGAAAAAGACTAGTTTAGACGACAGATAACGCTGCTCACGGATAGACAAAGGGAAAGGGGGCCTGTAGCTGGCTCAGCTTGTACAATTATCTGTATAAATGCTATATACACGGGTATTCCGGAATCTAGATGGGAAGATTTCCACGCCTGGCTTTGCATGCTGCTCTCGTCTTGACATATTTCTAGCTACTATACCACTACGGCAGCTTCTTCCCCCTTATCATAACTTCGGCCCCTCAGCCCTCTGGTCCTCCTTCCTAGCCTCCTCCTTCAACACCCGCCGCAGCAGCTTACCGCTAGCGTTCTTCGGCACCTCGTCGACGAACCGCACGCCGCCGCGCAGCCTCTTATGCTGCGCGACGCGCCCTTCGACCCAAACGATAAGCTCCGCGGCCTTGGCCTCGTCGCGCGGGACGTTAGGACGGAGAACGACGTACGCGCGTGGGACCTCGGTCTCGCGCACCTTGTCGTGTGCCGGCACGACGCAGGCGTCGGCTACTTCGTCGTGGCCGAGGAGTACGGACTCGAGCTCCGCGGGGGCGACTTGGAAACCCTCTGGAGGAGGGGGGCGTTAGTAGGGCTGAGGCTGTATATAACAAGGGAGGCAAGGGGGGGAGGCAGGGAAATAGGCAGATAGATAGATTAGGTACTTACTATACTTGATCAACTCCTTCAACCGATCCGTAATATAGAAATTCCCCTTCTTGTCGACGTAGCCGATATCGCCCGTCTTGAAGAAGCCGTCATCGCTAAACGTGTCCTTGTGCAGCTCCGGGCGGTTCCAGTAGCCGGGGAAGACATTGGGGCCGCGGAACCAGAGCTCGCCCTCGCCCTCGCCGGGGCCCTTTTCGACGCGGGTCTCCACGTCGACGATCTTGGCCTCGACGTTGGGCAGCAGTTTGCCGCAGGACCCGTTGAACCGCTTCCAGTCGGCGATGTGCCCCTTGGTGAGCGTGGGCGCCGTCTCGGATAACCCGTAGCCCTGCATCACGGGGATGCTGAGGCGCGCCCATACCTGCTCGACTAGCTCGCGGCCGAGCGGCGCTGCGCCCGAGTTCATCCATTTTATGCTCGACAGGTCGTATTTCGAGACGGACGGGTGCTTGGCTAGGGCGAGCACGACGGGGGGTGGGATGGCTGCGAAGGTCACGCCGAAGTCTTGGATTGCTTGGCAGAATTTGTCGAGGTCGAATTTAGGCAGGACGACGACTTGGAGGCCCATGAATATGCTTTGTAGGGCTATGCATGTGAGGCCCTTTTAATGTGTGAGTGTCGATCTAGAGTATTTGTATATATATCACTTACGTATACGTGGAAGAAAGGCAGCACTGCGATCTGCTTATCGCCCTTCCCGTCGATTCCTCCCGCGTGGTAAATCCCGTTGAAAATATCACAATGCCTTAGCTGCAAAAGGTTGGAGGCGATGTTGTAATGCGTGAGCATGACTCCCTTCGGCAACCCTGTCGTCCCGGAGCTGTACACGAGGAACGCGGTGTCCTTCTTGGGATCGATGCGCGGCCGCAGCGATAATCCCAGCAGTCCCGAGCTTCCCCGTATCTCGGAGAAGTGCTTGAACTTGCCCGTCGGGTCCCTCGCGTCGCCGAGCAGGATGATGCGGTCCTCAGATAGCCCGATGGTCTTGGCGGCCTCGAGCACAGTCGGCAGCATGGGAACTTGCGTCACGATGCCCGCGACCCCCGAGTCTTTCATCTGGTACGCGAGCTCCTTCGCCGTGTACGTCGGATTGGCAGTCGAGCAAGCGCCGCCGGCCCAGTGCACGCCGAAGAACACGGCCGGGTAGTCTACGCTATTCGGCGAGAAGAATCCCAGCACGTCGCCCTTCTTGAACCCCCATTGCGACTTGAGTCCCTTGCCGAACTCGAGAGCCGTGCTACGGGCTTGCGCCCATGTATAAGAGCGTCTTGTATCGGGGTCGATGTATATTTCTATTGGCCAGTGTTAGATATCTCTCTCCTTCTCATATAGATGTCTTACATATAAGTGAATTGGTAACGAGTGTAGATAACTAGTCTTACAAACGTGGAAGGTTTGTTTTAACTTACCCTTGTCTTCCGGGAACGCCCTATCCTTCCTCTCGAACACGAGCTGCCATAGGTCGACCTCTGGGATCTGTAACGGCGGGTGAAAGGACTTGATAACCACCATGATGACGACGACGACGACGACGACGACGACACTACACTATGGGAACCTCGGGAGCACTTAGATAAGCAGAAACAAAGACGGTTAGATTTGTATTTACATGCACGTAGTAGTAGACAATAATTAAATATGTATGTATGTATGTATATACATTCAAGCTCAAGCCGCCTGAAACTAAAATAAGTTGTTAAGTTTTAGGTAGTTAAAAGAAAACCGACGAAGCTAATCGGTGAACGCGAAGCTCCCACAGTTAAAAGCTTCCGAGGTTGTTAGTAGCGCTAGACAAAACGAACCGTGGTAAGCCGTGGAGCTCTCCTCCCTTGGGATCCAGTTAGAGCCCCCGTTCCCGTCCCCCTCCCCGAGGCGATACATACATACACCATGTTAGTTGAGTGGAGTTTGTTGGGGTGGAAATGGAAATATTGGCTTAGAGATATTATTAATCGGGCTTCGCGATCCCTGACCGGAGATGATCTTCCTGTCCCCGTTGTAATACTACGTTTCAAGCTACATACTGTATCTACGTAGCCCCTAATCACTTCTGATAGTGAAGATGATATCAACGACTAGCTTAGCTTAGTTAATTGTATAAAACTACCAAAGTCTCAAGTCGGTACGCACGTATAGCTCTCCGTAAACACACGGATAATAGAAATAATGCTTATCTCAGATGGCTTAGCCATGGGGACCCCAGATCATGCGGAGGAACAAAAACACTAATCCAAGAGGAGATAAGCTTTAATGTATTATTGCGGGGAACTTGGAGAGAAGTTGGAGCTGCTGACCAACATGAAGATATTCAGAGCGATAATTACATAGGTACCTATATATGTATATTCAAGTATAAAATGAGAACAATAGACATTATATATACTCTATGTGACCTATTTGTCTCGTCTTATATACGTCTAAACATAAATCCAATATATATATATAGCATATCATACGCATCAGCTATGCTGTATGTAATCATCTCCGTAACGTCACACATTCGTGTTCAAATGTAGAAATCAAAGGGGGTATCATGTTCCAATCGAGGATTACGCCGAATCGCTACTCGACTGCTCAGCATCCTCGTTATCTGCCTCGGCCTTTTCTGGCCGTACCCACGCTGCTACGTCCTCGCAGCCTTTCGGTATTATGCATTTGTCTCTAACGTCGCAAGTCTTCCATAGAACTTCCCGAATATCACCAAAAATCTGATCCACCGCGTCCATCGCCCAAATAACATCTAAGTGTTCGTAGTCTGGCAGTATCTTGCTGTGGACTACTCTGACGTGTGGTTCTCTTCCCTTCTCAAACCGTCGCAGCAGTTTCTTCCCATCCACGAGACTATCTTTTCCGGCTACCCATAGCGCAAATGGACACACCTTCTCATTGTACCACGCCGTAGACCCTTTGGGTTTCTTTTGGTGCTCTCTATTCATGTTTTGTAGTATAGAACTTCGGCGCTTGCTGGCTGTTTCGGCGAGAGGTCCATCTGTCCCGTCCTCGCTCTCCTCGCTCCGCCACTCTTCCTTAGTAGAGAGTATGCATTTATGTTTGGCAAAGCATTCCCGACCTAACCACCAGCGCATCGATTCGGCGCTCACGTAAACGGGGGCAAACTGAAACATGCGATCTCTTAGGCCACGATCCCAACGAGCATCCGTCCAGTCGAATAAAAACGAGAATACCGTGTATCCAAGCTGTCCGTAGATGCCAGAAGGTAGGATCGAATGCATGGTCATCATAATAGGAATGAATGCGTGAATACCGAACATAATTCGAAAGAGAGCCGGCGATATCACGCGCATAAATTTGAAGTACATCTTGCCAATCAGCGGACCGGCATAGGCTGCTGGCGCAAGGGCGCAGAACACGGTGAGCTTCTCTCCCAGCTCGGGACGCTGCTCTTTCGCTAAGGCTACAAACGTTTCTGTCGTGCCTTGTGAGTGACAAATCAACCCGATCTTCTCGAATCCGGTCTCAAACAATATTCGTGAGACCAATGCAGATAGATCAAACACCCCCATCTGCCGAATATTCCAGCACCACATACGAGGGTCTGAGTAGTCGAGTAAGGTATGCTTTGGACTAAAGCCGCATCGATTGTTTCCTAGCCATACGTCATAGCCCGATTTGCACAGGTAAAATGCTAACGAGTCATCGTCGTTGACGCAGTAGGCGCCAGAGCTTTGAAGCAGACCGTGCATCAGCAGGACAGGAAACTTACGCTTCTGGTTTGGGTCTCTTGGTACCTTTCTGTTGTCACCCGTAAATAATTCTGGTCCTCGGTAGGCCCGCTCCTTATCGTCTAGCCTAGTATACTCGCGAGGATCGTAAACGTGCCACAGGTCAATAATGAATCCATCCTCGGTTTGTACTTGGAATTCCTCAATATCCAAACCAACTCTCCGCGCATAGTATCCTACATCGCAGACAACGGGATCCGGACCACCTTCGGTCGGGATGTAGCCTTCATTTCCCTGGGCGTCCTCTTGATCCGAATTTCTCCGTGCCTGGGATTGCCGCCTCTTCCAGGCCTTTTCCTGTTCATCTCGTACAGTCTGCCTCCGAATCTCCTCTTCGTAAAATGGCCTCTTAGCGTTAGGGTCTTGGAAGGTCATGCGCTTCCAAGCCTTGTAACATACTTTAGGTATGTTCGTAAATAGGGCGCCGAGAACAATTACTCCTAGGAAGGCGGCGCTAAGAAAAAATGATGTAAACCGAAAGGTCCAGCATTGTATATCGCGAAGTAGAGACGGCGGCCCATACAAGGGAAGGGGAGGGAAAAGCGGATGTGTATTTGTCGGTGGCATAGACCTCCGCAATGAACCCTCGGATGATTTCTGTGCTGCTTTATCATTGGCGTAGGACATCGACCCTAAGCCAGCGACAGCATGAGGCGGTGGGAGGTCATCGTCACTGATACGATTAATAGCATCTTTAGAAACACCACTTTCTAGCTCTTCTTTTAATATGTTAAGTTTATGCGCTTGCTCAAGAGGAACAGTAGGCAGTCGGTTCCCATCGGCTGTGATAATGACCGGATCCTGTGGCGTCACAAATTGGGCCTCAACAGCAACCGTATCTATATGTTCGTTATTTTGAGTTGTTTGAAGTGAGAGCTTCTCTGCCTGTTGGGCGAATTCAACGGCTGTTTGGGCAGTAGTAGCGCCAGACGGCTCCAACCTGGCCTGGCTATGGTCGGTACTAAGTCCCATTGTGATGTTTAACTTTTAGAGGTATATTCATCTAGCCTCGAAGATTATTCGTCAAGTCTTTGTATAAACTCTTTTGATTAGACGGAAAGATAGTTTGCAAAATTTTGCAGCTTAGATAATATCAAGTAAAAAAATAACGAGTCGTGTACCGAATAGATTGACGTCGCTAAATCTAGGTATGATCTAGTAATGAGATCAAGTAATGAGATCCAGTAGCCTAGTAATGTTTGCAATATCGCGTCAGCAGCGAAGCCGCGTCATGGTTTTCTTGGAGTAAGCCACCGATGAAATGAAGATATATCAAAGCAGGGAGTTGGTGTGTCACTAGTGTAAATCGGTGAATGGCATTAGGATCAAAGGGGCCACGATAAAAAATGGAAAGTGAACCTCCTACTGCAGGGATTCGTGAGGGTAGAATCTTGCCAAGGTAGGTCCCGGAGATCAAGGAATACTACGTCAGTATGCAGATCGTAGTCTAAATTCCTTGTGTGTCTATTAGGTAGTTGATTCCGAGCCACTGGACACTAGTGAATGTCGAATAAAAGAGAAGGTAGAGGATGAATGCTCCCCTGACTAGGTTAAGTGTTGCGGGTTTGACGACAAAGACATGTGAAAGTGAAGAAGAGAGGGGGCTATTGCCACTAACTATATATATATATATATATGGAGGCGAAAGAATCCTCAAACATGTGAATCATTTTATGGTTAACTAATAGTCAATATCAAGTTTCAAGTTAAACAATTGATGTTGACGGAGCAAAAGCTAATCAAGTTAGCTCCAATGTGAAGAACATGCAATTTATACATAAGGTTCTTATAAAATTATCTGAGTGTGGTTTCGTAAGGAAAGTATAAATGGATAACATTGGTAAAATTGTGCTAGTTAAACAAGGCAATTAGAGGTTAGTACAAAGTTTTTGCCCGTAACTAGAGATTAATACTAGAGTTACCTAAGACGAACCTAATTGCATGTGTTTAACAGGCAAGTTTACTTGAATCACATTATAACTATTATTTTAGATAGATAAAAAAAATAATTATATAGGACTATGCATATATTTAATAGAATCTATACTCTTTTTCTTTTTCTTTTACCTATCAATTAAATACCTTAAGTGGTTACAACTTATATGTGGTAGATATAGAAATACTTAGGTACCTCATATACCTTTAATTCCATGCAAGCTATAAATTGATATCGATAACGTTGGCTTATTCTATTTATCGTACTACAATTGGTTATTGGTTATTGGTCTGTGCATCTATCGAATATGGATAATGCCTCGGTCAAAATTATAGCAGGTGTAAGTAAAGCCGAAAGTCAATTGGGTCAATTAAGTTAATTAGGTCAATTGGGTGACGCGAAGGAGCGAAGAAGAAGAAAAGGGTACCTACCTTACAACGCGACGGAATAATATATCCGTGGAGTCTTATAAGTTATCATCCTATCATTTATCGGCCTTCGTCAAATAATTATTCTTAAAAATCTAAAAATTCCACTTTCCTCTATGCGCGACACCTCGCAACTTGCGGGGCCCTGATCCGCCTTAATGATTTCTATCACGGCGTACCGCTCCTTAATAAATATTTTGAAAGCCATACGTCGCGACTATGGCTACTCCGACTCGCGATCCAGGTGCTCATCGAAAGCGAAGGCGTAGGAGAAGGCAAGATAAACCTGCCTTACCAGCAAAGCTTCTATTGGATAATCATGTGAAAGGAGATGTTGGCATATTATCCAATAATCTATTCGCTGATTTGTTCCCTCACTTACAAGACGGTGAGTTGTCTCGATGAGATACTTGGGCTTTCTGCAAGTAGCCGTGTCGAAAACTAATAAAGACTTAAGGTGATACAGATTCGGTTGAAGATAAGACCAGCCAACCTCTCAACATCCAGCATGTTGCCATTGCTCCGTGGACACCGTCTCCGAATCCCCAACGTACAAATTGGACCATAGTCCCCATCATTAAATCCAATTCCCTTGCCGATTCTACAATCCAATTCTCCCCTTCGTCCCTCGCCCTGCAAAGTTTTGCTACAACGTTGCAGCAGGTTGCACCCTCGAGGCTTTCTGGCCATAATAGAGGCGGCATTGAAGTTCTGATCTTAGACGTGGCAACTATCCCCTTGGATACTGTCTTTGTACACCTCGAAAGTGACTTAGTGAAGAGACTTGAGAATGGAGAAGGTACTTTCTTTAACGATCATCTGTCCGTTGAGAAGAAATCAGCTACGGGACCCGATGTATCGACGAATCGCCTCGCTGCTGCGTTGCGTGTAGCTTTGGGGACCTTGAAAATCGTTCATAACGGAGACCTATTCCCTTTACCATTGTCTCCACATCCTATAACACACGTACCTCCTACACCCGGCAAGGTAACACTTTGCGAGCCCGTAGCACAAGGCATCCTAGCACCAACTACCAAAATCATTTTGACGAGGGGTCACACTCAGTCGAAGCAAGCTCGAGGCGCCATTACCTCGCCTCAAGCTTTAAATAACGTTGACCAGGATGGCGAGGACACGGCAACCGACCAGTTTTATTCTGCTACCGAAGAACGAGATAAGGCAGATGGTCCGAGCGAGACGTCGGATATTATAACAGATGTTGACACGGAAATCTCAGAACCCGAAAATGAAGATGAACTCTCCGACGATTCACTTGACGATATCATCTCTCTTCAAGCTCCGTCGTTGCCATCTACCAATGCTAGCGGTGTCTCTACCATGCAACCAGGAACTCCAATGACACTCGGACGAGGAAGGATTGGCAACGGCAATACTCCCTCGGTCTTTTCTAGTTTTACCGCCACGACTGCTCGCCAAGATCGTCCTAAGGGTCGCCTCTTCAAGGCTCACGGCTTGATGAGCCAAATACCGTCAGAATTACTTCACCCTAAACCAACAGCCGAAGACGATGAAGAAGTAAGGGTATACGTAGATATCATCTCTCTAACTAGGATAGGGTGCTTCTCTGGAGATTGGGTCCGACTCGAGGCCTCAGAGGAACCTCCCGCAAACGGAATTGGTTTGTTTGGCCTAGGCAGTTTCGGGCAACCAGGGGAAGAAGAGTCAGTATGGCGACCAGCTAAGATTTATGGGCTCCCGGAGGGTTATTCCCACAGGCCCATGACTAGAATCCCAAGCTCGAAGCACGATGTAAATAATCGGAGGCCTTCGTTCTTCGACTCCAAAGTTCCAACGCATACTGGACCTAGTGCGTACATGTCGCCCCTCTTGCTCGCAAACCTAGAGGGCGCGCCTTACGTTCGCTTATCTCCGTTGAAAAGAATAGCTCAGCCTCCGAGGCCAGGCCAGGCAAAAATCACCGGATCGATCCGCCCTCCCTATGCTCGCGATGTCACTCTTCAGCAAATACGGACGCCTGTCTCTTCTGAGAAAGCTCTTCAGACGGCTATATTTGGCGGACTCAAAGATCACTTCGCGCGAAGTGTTCGCGTAGTCAAAACTGGTGATTTAGTTGGAATTCCAATTGACACGCAACTTGGACGCACCCTTCAGGAATCAACAAATACCGGCGATGGCCTTGTTCTTGACGACGTCGTGGCGCTTACAGCTTCAAGCAAGTCTGGCGCAGTAGCTACGTCAAAACCGGACGCCGTCGCTTGGTTTAAAATCGCCCATATAGAACGTCAGAAGACGGAACCCGTCGACGAAGAGGACGAAGGGGATATTTGGGGTGGTGTAGCCTGTGTCGACAGCTCTTCGACCCAGATTGCCCAATCTGGCGGTACTACTAGTTGTCTCCCAGGCACGAAAGATAGCAATTGGCCTTACTATTTAGGCGTTGAAGAAGCTCCTCGGCCCACATCTAGTGTCCTGTCTTCGGTGGCCCAGCCTCAGGTGAGGTTTACCCCGCCCCTGAGACGACGATTAAGAGAGCTACTAGCCGCTGCTACGAGTAAACGAGCTGTTCATCTTAAAATGCCACCGGTTGCTGTTCTTCTCGTATCAAACCAACGCAACATAGGCAAGGCCACTTTAGCTACCAACGCTTGTGCAGACATTGGTCTACATACGTTCACTATTGATTCTTATGACGTGGTCAATGAGAGTGGAGCTGGAGGGAGCGATGTCAAAACTGAAGGCCTCCTTAAGGCGCGAGCAGATCGTGCCATGAGTTGCGGCCCGGAATGCTGTGCTCTGCTTATTCGACATATCGAAGCCCTCACAGCCGACAGGATGGTAGCTGCAATGAAAGAAGTACTCGGTGACACTAGAGTATTAATTGCGACGACAACCGAAGTAGACAAGGTGCCGGACGGAATCAGGGGACTCTTTACCCACGAGCTCGAAATGGGTGCTCCCGATGAAGGCGAACGTGAAGGCATTTTACAATCCATAATACAAAACCGAGGGGTATCTTTAGCCCCTGAGGTTGAGCTAAGCGGAGTCGCTATTAAAACGGCAGCTCTAGTTGCTGGTGATCTGGTTGATGTGGTTGAGCGTGCGATAGTCGCACGTGACTCACGCCTAGAGAGATTATCGACGAAGGCTTCAAATGATAATTCGATTGTCACCGTTCGCGATGTACAAGTAGCAGGAGGTTCGTCTGCGAGATGTCTAACGAAGGCTGACTTTGAAATTGCTGTTGACGCGGCACGAAAGAACTTCGCAGACGCAATTGGCGCACCGAAGATTCCGAATGTCACCTGGGATGATGTTGGTGGTCTCAGCAATGTCAAGGAAGCCGTGATGGAAACCATCCAGCTTCCGTTGGAGAGACCGGAGTTATTTGCCAAAGGAATGAAGAAGCGTTCCGGTATCCTATTCTACGGCCCACCCGGTACGGGTAAGACGCTGTTAGCAAAGGCAATTGCCACGGAGTACAGCTTGAATTTCTTCAGTGTGAAGGGCCCCGAGCTACTAAACATGTATATTGGAGAGTCCGAGGCCAATGTTCGCCGCGTCTTCCAGCGAGCCCGAGATGCGAGACCCTGTGTTGTCTTCTTCGACGAACTTGATTCGGTTGCTCCGAAACGAGGAAACCAGGGCGACAGCGGAGGTGTCATGGATCGTATCGTCTCCCAGCTTTTAGCAGAACTCGATGGCATGTCCGGGGGGGATGACGAAGGGGGCGGCGTCTTCGTTATTGGCGCCACGAACCGACCCGATCTACTTGATCAGGCGTTGCTACGTCCCGGTAGATTTGACAAGATGCTCTACCTTGGCGTGTCCGACACGCACGATAAGCAGATCACAATTATGGAAGCCCTAACAAGAAAGTATGTCTTTAATCCAATTATCCTAACCTTACACGGGAAAACAACTCATAATATGCATATGCTAACCTCGCCTACAGATTTACACTCCACCCGTCCGTCTCATTGCCGGTTGTCGCTGAGCATCTGCCCTTCACTTACACGGGTGCCGATTTCTACGCATTGTGCAGTGACGCCATGCTTAAGGCGGTTACGCGACAGGCATCTCTAGTAGACACCAAGATTCGGGTTATCAACACGGAGCGGGAGAAAGATGGACACGGTCCAATCTCGACAGCTAACTTCTTTGACCACCACGCCACGCCCGAGGACGTCGCTGTCATGGTCACAGAGCAAGACTTCCTCGACGCGAACCGGGAACTAATCCCCAGCGTCAGCGCCGGCGAGCTTGCCCACTACGAGCAAGTCCGCGCCACCTTCGAAAACCATGACTCCAAATCTCAGAAACAACAGCGACCGCCGTCACCGCCGCCCCAGCCAGAAATAGCTGAGGCTCCCGCGACGCCGGCGTTCCGCAGGCCGAAGTCCCGGTCGATCTCGAGCAACAAGGGCAAAGGCAAACCGACGACACCCACCAGCACCAGCAGCACCAACAGCAAGGGGAAAGGGAAGGCCCTCGCCAACGCCAGCGACGAGGGGAGCGGGAACGAGAACGAGAACGAGGCGGGAAGCGTGTACGGTGGGAGCAGCCTGACGAATGGGAGGAGGAGAAGCGGGAGCGCGAGTACGATGACTAAGGGGAAGGGTAAAGCACAGGCTTCACCTACAGCGAAGTTTAACCACGGGACGGCGAGCGATGACGAGGGCCTTTACTAAATGGACATTCTGGGTGCCGTCGAAAAATTGTGAGGGGAGGGGGGTTGGGACTTGGAGGGTTATATAGAGAAAGATATATATATAACTAACTATAATATATCTACTATTAACTATTAACTATTTTTATAACAACACATTACTAGTCTAAGAAGAAAAAAAGTGTTCCCATCATTGATATAATACAATACAATACAATACAATAATACCACATACCGCTATTAAAGTTCTCGCAGATCAAGATAATAATCGATAGTCTTTATTTATTTTTGTCTTCTCTTCGCAAATTTGGTATCTAATTAGCACCCCCTTGCCCCTATTGTCTGCTGAAAAAGCAGTATTAAGTGAAAAAGTGCAAAAAGTGAAAACTCGCCGGCATCGTCGACGTGTCGAATACTATAAAAGTTGATTGATTATTTCTTGACTTCAACTTTTCCCTTTCCCTTGCCTTCTTCTTCCTCATCCGTCTCCTCCTCCTCCTCTTCCTCATCGTCGTCATCTTCATCATCTTCTTCTTCCTCTTCGTCCTCACCCTCCTTTTTCTCCTCTTCGTCGTCATCGTCATCGTCTTCCTCTTCACTATCTTCTTCCTCCGAACTTGTCGCCTCGGGAATCGCCTCGGCCTTCTCGATCTCGGCGATTTCTTCGGGAGACACCTCCTCCACGACGGCACCGTGGAGAAGCTCGGTTATGTTGGGAGTCGCGCCGGTGCCATCTGCCCTCCACGATCCGGTTGTCGGGCTTTGCAGCATCGGGCGCAGCACGTCCTCTTCCGTCGGGGTAGTCTCGCGCCATGATGCTGCCGTCGGCGACCGCAGGGCCGCTTCGCCTGCCGGTATTTCCTTATCTTTGTCCGATAGCTTCAGCTTGCTTAGCTTTTCGGCTGCTGAGCGTGTGGACATAGCAGCCTTAGGCTTGGGCAGTGTGGAAGTAGTTCTAGATGATGTAGTCGTAGTCTTAGGCTTGATCGGTATTGTTTTAGGGATCGTCTTGGCAGGGGTAGCTTTCGAGGGAGTTACTCTCGAAGGAATTGTCCTTGAAGGAGTTGCTTTCGAAGGAGCTGCTTTCGAAGGGGCTGCCTTTGAGGGGGTTGCTTTGGAAGTCGTTACTTTAGGCTTAGACACTGTTGCTGCCGCTGCTGCCTTAGCTCTAGACGAGGCTGTAGTGGTAGTAGGAGTAGTAGTGGCCTTCCTAGCACTAGAGCTAGTACTGGCGGTAGCAGTGGATTTCTTAACATCCTTGGTATCCGTCTTCTTAATGACCTTGGTTTCTGGCTTCTTGACCTCTTTGGTGTCTGGCTTCTTAGTTTCCTTCTTTTCTACTTTCTTGACATCCTTGGTGTCGGTCTTCTTGGCATCTTTGCTGTCGGGTTTCTTAGCATCCTTGGTGTCTACTTTCTTGGTCTCCTTGGTATCTTTAGTATCCGTTTTCTTCGTATCCTTGACATCCTTGACATCCTTTACTTCCTTCACTTCCGTGGTATCTGGTTTCTTAATTTCCTCGGTTTCTGACTTCTCGGGAGTCTTGCTCTCTAACTCCTTGGTTTCCTTGGGCTCTTCCTTGGGCTCTTCCTTAGGCTCCTCCTTATTCTCCTTGACGTCTTTGTCATCTGACTTCTTAACATCTTCGGTCTCCTTAGCGTCCTTATCTTTCTTCCCGTAGACCTTAGCTCGCAAGCTATCCAGATGCACCTGCTTCGCTTTCGCCGCGGCCTCCTCAGCAATACTACGGACGGGTTCGGCGGTGCTAGCTGCTTTGGCTGCTACTCCGGATTTACTTGTCGATGACGATGTTGCTGCTTTCGTCTTGTCGTTTTCGGGTAGCGGAGGTGCTGCGGGCGGTGGTGGTGGTGCGGAAGCGCCCGTCGCAGGGGTAGAGGTTGATGCCGCGGCTTTCTTCGTCTTCTTAACTTTAGGGGCAGGTGGTGGAGGCGCCTGGCTCTTGGGCGGGATGGTGAAGTCGTCGTAGTAGATGGTGACATTTTGTTTCAGTTCGCCATACTCGTTCCACTCCTCAATCTCTACTAGATCCTATGAGGTCACTTCGTTAGTAGTATATTTTAAGAAGTTCACACTCGTAATCAACTTACACCTAGAACCATGCCCATCTGTACCAGACCGGGAAGCTTACGATCTCGTCCAGATGCATCTTTGCCAGCTCTTCGACCCCATATCATACGTGCCTTATCATCAATAGCAATATCTAGAGCTTTGAATGGTACCTTGTTAGCTCTTAGGATAGTTTCCAATCGCGAAGTAGCCGTCACAATGTGAGATGACCCGGCCGTAAGAGATGTGTAGATATATAGAGCGGGGTCGGTCGAATACGTCGCGGCTTTGGTGTCTGCCATCGTGTCGCAAATGATGTTATCAAGTTTTCGAGAGGACTAAGCCGATAGAAGAAGAATGAGGAAATAGAAGGAAAGAAATCAAACTTATAAGTCTTTGAAGGTTGGAAATGGGATGCTCCTGGTTCGAGGTGGGAAGAATGAGAGAACGAATCCCCTGGATCAGATAACGATAAACGGCCTAATCGATAATACGTTTAGGAGGTTTAGGAGGTTTAGAACGTTTCACCCGTGCTTTACACTCTACCAACCTACCGGCACGAGACCGAGACCGCTAAAGGCTTAAAAAGCCATTGGCGCAAGATTTAGTTTTTGATTGGACGCTTGTACCTGAATATGACTTCATACATAATTGAATAAGGTTTGACATTTGAGGTTTAACTGCATATGTGCAGCTTTACCGAAACCTCGGGATTTCTGGTATTGTTCAAATATTTGCCTTCTTAGAAGTATATTTCAATTTCCACGCCAAGCTACGAATTAAAAAATTAAAATTAAAAAAAATACTTAGACAAGTTATAAATAACATGTAGTCTTTATACGAAGAGGTAATTTTAGAATCAGAATTTACCAACTAGCAATTCGCAATTAGGGTAACCCTAATCCGTACATTGATTCAAGACATATGAATCATAGTAACAAGGGGACTCTTTCGAAATCCCTTGGTTAATGTACAGACAACCCGACATCAATCCAATCGCACATAAATCCAAGATGCCCAGAGTCTATCTTACAGTCGAGTCTACATAATAATCGTATGTATCAAACTTATCTACAACTCGAAGAATGAAAGATTAGTGATTTGAACATTTCCAATTGAGGCTGTTCCCCAAGGTATACGATGTGAATATCAGACATCAAGGTTAATGTAGTAACATATAACCAAGACAAAATAGACTAGACAGAAGGGCATACCCTTCATAGTATGACCTCATACAGTTCCCAAGTGTAAAGGGGGGCAGACATACTCATGTAGCTCAGGAATGACATGACGTATTGGTCTTAACTAAGAGACAACATAGAGCTAATATCATTATATCAGTAGTAATCGCTTGATAAGTAACTGCATAGATATTCTGTCTCACTTGCTCTAACCCCTCTTTAGAATCAGAGGTTAGAATCACAGGTGCCATTTGGCGTAATGTGGTCGTGGTTGTTGAACATTACAACCAACCCGAACTTTTACCATCCAATTTCTATGTCTTCACACTTGGAAAGCAGCTGATAAATAAACTGCTGAATACCTAACGCAGTTAAACCCCACATTAGTTAGTTATTTTACCATGATTGGACGTGCTAACTTTACAGATCTACGGGTTACGTATTATCATACGAAGTAGTGTATGCGTAACCGATTCCTCAGCCCCTACCCGAGTAAGGGAGATCCCCGCCTCGATCCGTGCCACGGAAGGAATATCCATACCCAGCGCAAACCAAGGACCGTCTTTATATAAAGAAGCTTCGTGATAGGTATCGCGAATCTCGGACCGGTGTCGTTGCTGACATATAGTGCTTTTCCACCGGTTACTCCTCGTCGTACGCGTACGAGTATTACATCCGTGGTTACTGTCTGATACCCTTTTCACTTGTCATTTTAGCCGTTAATAGTGTTCTATGAGCACCTATGAATGTAACACTATATTCTACAATAGTAAACGACAGGGGAGTTAGGTATTGTCTCGCGATATCTCTACGTCAGCAGTATGTATACGAGCAAAACAAGCTCATAAGCCGCTACCAGCCTTTTTTTACGTTTATACTCCAGCAGGGGACGCATGCATGCATCCTAAGCTGAATGTTAAGCCTTGTTAGTTTGAAGATAAAGAAGAAGAAGAAAAAAATAATATGTTTGCATAATTCGCTCATCCTGAAGGAAGTGGCTCGGTCTACCCGCGGTACCGGTTCCGTGGGAGAAGTCCATTGCAGAAAAATAATGGAAACGGGGACTTCATCAGTCAGAAGGATACATACATACATACATACATACCGAATATAACTTCTCACCGTGTCCCCCGAAAGGCTTGTTAGTTCCATTTCTTCTGGGTATCTGCAGCAAGGGATCCCTGCGCGTACATCCGGTGGGTTGCAGCGGGCAAAGCCTACGAGGCTATCATGTATGAGGAATCTACTATTGGCTGCTGCGTTAAACTATAGCCGTGGCTTGAGCCTCCGCCCACGTAAGTAGTGATATGCTTCCCTTTTTTATCCCTATGTGACACAGGCTACGAGGTTGCTCGCAGATCAACTCCTTTTTAAACTAGAGTACAGTGATTGCTAATCCTGTTTCCTATGTCCTGTCGTCTGACTTTGGTGCACCCTATTTTGGGGTGTCACTTTTGAGTTCCTTGTTTATCTCAAGTATTGTAGGTATAAGCATATGGAGTTGGGCTTATCCTTTTCTACAAACCCAGGTAGATACTATTATATTAATTAGTATAAAGACTGCAAGGCTTTCCTAATACGGCTCTTATCACATATCGTAAGCAAATTCGAATAGTTATATCTATTAACTATTAGTTATCTGTAATAATAGAAAGTTCTTTTCACTAGCTTACCCAGCTACATCAACACGGCAGGAATATTGAAAGCCCAAATCCTAATGACGGCTCGCTAGTCATCAGACCTGAAGATTTCTATTCTAGTAATACCGTGATAAGCGGTGTACGGCTAAGTTTGTGACATACTTGGTAATATCTCATGCCGAAGCGTAACTCACGAACAAACTATTGTCCCTTCTAACTCCGAAACGCCGCTGTTCTATATGCTTAGCCCTTACTCCCCGACTTCCCGAGAGACGCCAGTTGGAGAAATCACAGTAGGTAACCAATCACTAGAAAATATCGGCAATCCCCTACTTGGCATTCTGCTGCCCAATGGCGTTTGAGCCCGACATTAGAGGACAGATTTGACGTCCCGACTACTCGGGTAGGATGTTGAGCAGTCGGCGGCCGTCGGCCCCACCGTATCTCAGTGGCGATGAGGCAAGCGTCGATATGTATATACATATGTAGACATTCCGCTGCAGAGTCCCTTGTGTCACCTACGTCTGGTAGCTCGCGTACGAAGTACGGATTACAGGGGCTTTGATTTGATAGCTTTGCTGCACGTAACAGCTAATATGTGCATGATGTGCGTGATAGTGCGCACGCGGTACCATAATACACATACACACATACATACATACATACATACACACACGTTACCAATTTCAGCTGCGTTCGCTTAGCACAGAGACCCGTCCTGCTGAGTGGTCGAGGGGGAGGTCAGCATTAGAGCTTACAATATACATACATATAGGTATACATATATACCCAATCTTGCTAGTGTACCTAATGTATGTAGAGCACACGGGTCGCTTAGGGATGCTCACCCGTGGGGGAGAAGAGAGACGGAGACCCTGGTAGAAAATGAATCGAAGGAGCCGCCCAGCCGGCCACTAGAGCCCCTTCGCCGTAAGTCGTTCATCATGACAGATGCTACCGTCGACAGGGGTCGAGCCTGTTTTTGGGGCTGCAGGGCTAGGTATTGATAAAATAACCCGCGTTAATGACTGGCATGACATGACATGGTTGAATAGGTAGTGTAGACCAAATGTTGGGACGGCCAAGGGTTACCCTTTTTTTTTTACTTTTTTTTTTTGGTTTCTTTCCAAACGGGTATTTCGTTCCGGCCGTGCACCGCATTTCGAGGCCCGCGATGTGTTGCAGATCCAAGTCCTTGGGTCTAAAAACCCCCGAAAGGTAAAAATGATCACGACAGGCCCCCCAAGCTTACCGGTTTGGTTTGGTTTGGTTTTTTTTCCTAAAATTTTTCTCCTCAAATCTGTCAACTTCATTCTTGGTACCGCGCCCTCTTAGAGACAAGACGGGCTGAAGCCGAACTCGAAAAGGAGGAGGAGGAGGGGGAGAGCGGAAAAGTAAAAAAGTCAAAGTTCTGATCGGGCACCCGAGATTTTTTGGTCGTTGAACCCGGATTCTAGTTTATAGGTAGACATGAAACACGACGTTACTTCGACCATGATTGAGGAAGGCTAACGATGAAAGGAACTACCGCTTGGACGTGATGATACCAAGTAGTAGTAATGGATAATGTACCTAAGCTAATAAATGGTTCATGGTCGGCTGGCAGGCTGGCAACAATTTTTTGGTAACTAGCGGGCACGAAATGACGAGATGCCACTCAACCAGGAAGACGTGAGTTCTGGTCGAGACAACCCCTCGGATAAGGGAGTCTGACATTATTTCTAAAGAAAGAAAATAAAAGAAAAGAAAAGCCAACCTAAACCCAACCCCCCGTAGCCTGGTCTGTAGGTAGGGTGTTCCCCGAAGAGCAGGATTTGCCTTACTCTCAGCATGGCTTAAAAAAATAAAAAAAGAATCCTGGGTAGGCGAGATAAGTCTGGTCTGGTCTGGTCTGGGTTTGGTTTGGTTTGCCTACTGCTTATAAAAAGGGCCACGGGAATCCTCTCGCAGCGCACCAACGCAGGTTATTCCCGCTCGATTGCCCTTTTTACTATATATATATATATATACCTTATATGTGTGTGCGTAAGACGTACATTAGAGAAGAGACATCTGCTAGCAAACCGCATCTAATTTCTTCTTCTTCTTATTGACGGGACCGTAAGAGTTTTTACAAGGGTTTGGGTATTAGTATTGGGTTTTTTTTCCTCTCTGGTTAGTAGTGGCTTATCCCCCAGAGATCCCTCAATATGACAGCTCACAAACGGGTAGACTAACATTGGATCAGGTGCTCGTGCTACAAGAGGGAGAGGGAGAGATAGAGAGTGAGAGAAAGAGACAGAAATAGAAAGGGAGAAAGGGAGAAAGGGAGAAAGAGAGAGAAGGCCGCGCGGCGATAACCCAATAATTCGTTCGTCCGATCCATAAGTCGATCTCTGCTTATAAAAATAAAATAAAAACCACCCGCAGCCGCCGCAATGGATGCCGTGCGTCATGAGCTCGACCGTGGTGGCTCTGTTGTTCTCCGGCCAGAGCTTACATACAGCCACGCGGTCCCCTCTTCCGACCACACATGGTTCCGTGCTGTCCAGGACATATCGCCGCTTGGGACGAGCCATCGGGGACCAAGAGTGGTAGAACTCGCGCAGAAGTGGTGCGACCATCGAGATCGAGGTTGTCCGCACGACTGCGATTCGAAAAAAGCCTTGTGTGATAGGTGCGAGAGAAACGAGTGTAGTTCGTTTCACGGTTAAAAATACCTATGCTTTTGGTGTTATATATATATATATATATTTAGGAATGGGAAACGGAGGAAACAGCAGATCTAGATCTAGAGCGGGGAGTTCTTAATGGTTTGGTTGGATGGATGGATGAATGGATGGATGGGCATCTATACTATTAACTCTTCCCAACTGTTTATTCATGTTGAGGGAATAATATATGTTACGTGTAAAGGAAGCAGTGGCTTGGAGTGTGCGTGTTGTTGTTATTTTTTTATTTTTTTTATTAAATTAAAAAGGAATCCTTTTTCTTCCCTTTTACCAAACTCTGTGCTTATATCAAAATAACATCGCACCATAATATTTCCGGTTTCCCTGTTCCTGACGTGAGCAAAAGCAATTTCGAATCATGTAAGCATGACATATTCCGTACATATATATATACCTTACATAGGAAATTCATATCATCATATCATATCATCATCATCATCATTATTCGTACTACCCAACCCTTCAGCCTGGTCTGTCTAACCCTCCAACCTCGTGGCTGAACAGGGATTACCGGTTTCATCATGGTGGAGAGATGGAGAGATGGGATTATGTTGGCCCCGGCCTCCGGAGCCTTTCCGAAGCCTCCATGTCACCTCCAAACCCGGTTGCGGGATGAAGGCACACGAGGTCAAGATTCCCGTAAATAGATAATCAAATCAATAAGATAATAATACGCGTTAAACAACAACAGGAAAATCTTTCACCGGTGTGGGGAAAGGTAGCTGTCAACCCCCCCTGTGATTAATTATTACGACTATCTTATATGCGTAGATCCGAGCGAAATCGGCCTTACCATCGAGTCATCTCGTTCAATTTCCGAGTTATGGTAGTATTGGAAGTTGAGATTGTTTAAAACATAGTTTGCCTAACTTGACTTATACTATAATTACAGTATTAATATAGTATAACTACACTGCTAATATAGCTTAGAATAAGAATTACAGCAATTCATACAGAACTTCGCTAATTCACCTCGGATCACTATATCTATAAGAGGGCGAGAGAGGATTACATCAAAAAGAATTACAAAGTTCACAGCAAAGAAACACACAAAAAAAGCATTGGCAACGGAAAATATTTGTCATTGGTCGAGTCGGCTCCGTATAACCAACACGATGCCTTATAGTTGAATATGCAACATGAAGAACCATCCAACTCCTCCGCATGCTCTCTTCAGTAAGTTACCGCACCGCATCGCACCGCACTCACTCACTCGCAACACAAAACCTGCAATTATAGACATAGAGAAAGCGCTGTCACGCCTAGGGGGTATTCGGCCAAACCCGGCCAGATTTTTCCTAAACCGATATATTCGCCTCCGAAATGCGCCAAACGTCCTTCCCCGGAGAATTAAAAGTGTGATTGGACAGAAGTGAAGAAAAATATCGTCCGAATATTTTTTGAGCTGAGTGTTCTGCTCTACCTTGCGGGAGCTAGAACACAGGTTTGCCAAGGATAATTGTCACATCTGGCAACTCCTCGGCCATCTATCTTTATCCTTCCGCTTAGATTAGGAGAGCAGCACCCATAGCCACGACACCCATCAGAAGACCCGAGTGGACAGACACCAGGCCAGCAGCACCGGTAGTGGGGACTGCGGGCGCGGAGGCCGACGGCGTAACAGCCGGGGTTGTGGGAACCACCGAAGTCAGAGTAGCGTACGTAGTGGGGATCACGTAGCTAGAAGTAGCGTTGGGGTAGGCAGTAGGTCCAACATGAGTGGTGGAGTTGGAGATGGGGTACCAAGTGGAAGAGATGATAGATGAAGATGAAGAGGTAGAAGAACTGCTGCTGGTAGTTGTGTTCAACGCGATAGAGGTAGTGGGATAAGCAGGAGGCGTTGAAATCGAAGATGACGTCGTCGGAACAGAGCTGGTAGAGGGCGTGTACAGCGGGCAGGCAGTGTTGTCAGGACTGCACTTGGTGATGGTGACTGTCGCCGTCAGGTAAGATGTGGCGGTGGTGGTGTCTGCGACGGCGGACGCGACGCTAGCAGCCACTGCGATGAAAGATGAGGCACGCATCTTGAATGTTTTTGGTTGTTGATCGAAGAAAAAAATTGGGTATCTTTTTTTTAGAATATCCTCCTCGAGATCGCCGGAGTAGAAATGTTCTAAATTGTCCAAGCTAAAATAGCTACTTGAAAATCACTGGATCTGAAGGGAGCGTGGATATCACGATATCACGATATTGCTGATCTTGTGTGACGATCGGAATTGTATGTAATTGTACTTCGTTAAGGCGTTATTTATTTGTTGTCGAAGGAGTGACTTGGTTAACCGCGTAACTGATGAGATATTTAAGGAGCGTGGGTTGCAAAAATGCAAAATTGGTTCTCAGTTACGAAAGGGAATGAAACGAAGTCGGTGCTTGAAGCTTGAGGGGGGGACCTTAAAAGGGGAGGAAACAGAAGAAGGGAAATAGGCGGTGGATGTGGATGCTGGCGACATGGCCCTTTTTTATTAGAACATGGGGGGGAAATTTTTTGCAAAGCTGCAAAGGTAAGGTCAATTCTACCAATTTCTTCCAATAATACCTCAGAGACAAGGGCCGGTTAGAGAGCTAGGTCAAATCAAGTCATACTACCTACCGATTAATGTGGATCGACAAACGTCTTCCGGGAAGAAACAAGGGGGTTTTATCGACTACGGTCCCCTGCTGGGGCCCTGCTGGGGGGTAACATGGACAACCGACAAACAGCCTTGATTGCGACAAAGGGTTAAAACTTCAAAGGGGGGGCAATTATATTGCTGCATGGTAGGCATGTCAGGCATAGTCGTGCCATTAATCCGCGTGTAATTCGCATGGCCATATTGTCGGCCTAGTTATCAGTTAATAGTAGTTAGTTCAATGGGGCCATCCCATCATGGACCATGAAAGTCGATAGTTACATGAAAGAAGATCAAAGAAAACTACATAAGTACCTTGGTAGTTAGGTAATTGTATTTGAGAAAAACTCTCTGACTGGTAGAATAACACAGACGAATAGCTTGGCAAGCAGCGCGTGCAGCGTGTTCCTACAGTAGCTCGGTAGGGTTACTTTTTCATTGTTGTTCCTGCAGGAAAGACGAGAGAAAAGAAAAAAAGCGGGAATAAACTCCTGTCATTGGAACACCCCATGTGCATTAGCCAGGAACCGATGGTCTAGCGTAGCCGCTTGCAATTCCCTTTATAGAATTAGATCATCGACGCTAGAGCGGAAACAGCCTTTAGGGATCTTCCTAGCTTATCTAGCCAATCATAGTCTATTGCAATCGGTACCATATAAGGAATAGGAAATTATACAAAGTACGTACCTCATATGCAAGATAGTGTTGTATTATGAGTCTAACTTAATTCCGATTGATTCAAATTCTGTGTCCGTCTTGTTTGCCTCCAGTTACAAAGTCTTTTCATTGCCAACGTTAGATGGCAAACAAAATTAATAAATCGCGCTCAAGTAGGAGAATAATCATATCTAGAGTATTTCTCATTGGTCTACATCAACGTATTTTTCCTTCATTGCCCGAAATTACAAACACCTATACGGAATATGGCATGATTCTACAGCGCAACACACTTGGGCATATTCCGTATTGATCACCGATTAGGTACCTATTCAACCAAGATATCTATTTTCTGTTTCGTTCCTCCATACATACATAGTGCTTAATTATATCTCTAGACGATGTTTCTAGAACCTCCATAAATACAATCTTGGTTTTCTATTCAGCTCTTTGACTCTTTATCCGCTCATCTGCCATTGCCACGGATCTCGACCCATCTTTCAACTCCACCTAAATCAAACAACAACTAGATCGCGCATTACAAGACTAAAATGAGCCCTCTCCACTATCCTCGCCACCCCGAGATGAAAGGAGAGAGTCCGTTTTTAACTTCGAATCACGGTAGGGCAACTAAGTGGTCATAGCTGTTGAACTTGTGGCTTCAGCATGATTTACATACAATACATACACTACAGGGACCTGGGAGTTCCAGAACCTAGACCCTGAGCAATGATACTACTATGTAGAATCAACAACCCCATGATAACACGTGAGGATTCCAACTTCATATTCGATAATGACTAATATCAGGGGAAGAGGTTGGGCTCTAATGTCCATATGCACTATGTATATACCTACATACGGTACCACTCAGTAATAATTGGGGCCACGACCGTCCCACACCCCGTTGTGTACAACCGGATCGTACTAGTATCTAGTAGTACCATTTCTCTTCCCCGGACCACCGCGAGGTGTACTGCCGTCGTCGTCGTTGTCGTTATGGTAAGCATCGCCTCGGCCCGGAAAAGGGGAAGCCTGAAATTGTTGCCAGCCGCCGCGGGGGTCTGCATGGTACTGGACACCCCCCCACGGCGGTGGAGATGTCGGGGCGTAGGCATGGAAGTGAGTGTGGCTCTGGCGGTTTCGCTCGGGGCGGTCAGCGTGCGAACCCGCCTCACCGAGAATCTGGTCCAGGCATTCCAAAACTGACCGCTTGAGTTTCCGGTCGTCGAGGGGTGCCTGTCGTTCATATGATGTTGTTGTTGCTGTGTTGTCGTTATTGTTTCTTGTGCTTGGCTGTTGGGCCTGGGCATTGCTATCACTACTCTTAGACGACGATTTCTGTTCGGCCTCCTGTTCCGCCTGTCGAAACCATTGGTAGTAGTTCCACGCTTCCTGCATGTTTTGCTGTCGCTGGCGCGCCTGTTCTTTATTTTTCGCGTCTTCCTCTAACATCGTCCGGACTTTGCTGATCTCGGCGACGCATTTGTCTTGCTTGGTGCTGTGCTCGTCGTAGTGCTTGTTGATCGCATCATGGGTCTGTCTAAGCGCGTCATTCGCGCCCTGGACGGCTGCGTGGGTGTTGTTAATATCATCACGGGTCCCCTCGAGAGTGCTTTGGGTGCTTCCGGCCAAGGCTCGGGCCACCGCGACTCCGCCGGAGACGACGCCCTTCAGCTCCTCTATCTTCTCCCCGATCTCCTTCGTCGCGCCCAGGCTGCCGTTCAGCGCCTCTCCATGCGAGGCCCACGAGCCACGCGTTACGTAGTAGGGTTCGTCTTTAAAATACTGCTCCATGCCGTATGGGAAGTAATTGAAGTACGGATGATACATCGTCGCCGCAGTTCCTACTCCCGTAGGTTCCTGATAGAGTGCGTCGTCCGCTGCTTCGTACGGAATATCGTGGACCACGTTACTGCCGACTGCCCTCCTCAAACCCGCTTGCTTCTTTGCCTTCTTATTCCTGGGCTTGGGAGCTGGATAATGGAAGAAGCACATCACTCACATCACTAAGAAGAAGAAGTAAGAATACGAGTTGAATTCGGTTGTACATTTGAGAAGATACACGCACCACATCTTTTTATAATCGTCTACATCTAGAGATCGCGGGTATATTTTATCCATCTCTCACAGGAGAATACTTTATCCTGGCTGAATCTGTTCTCGGACAAGACGAAAGGTGATCTTAGACACCTCCCACCGCCATTTAGATGTCGCCGCATTGTTGGATGCAAGAACCCGAAGCATACGTTCGCATGACCCTTTGGTATGCCTATGCAGGTTTTACATAATGCGGCTCCCGATATCTGATCGGGGCGAGCAATCTTTACTGGGTTGGTTTCGCCGGCGACACTTTCGCATCCGACCCGAGACAGGATCATCAAGGCTCATACTTCTTTGTCGTCATCAGAAGTCATCCAATCACTTTATCTTTATCATTTCGGGACCTTGAACCACGAGGTCCCATTCCATCATTGTTTTCACTAACGAACAACCAAACCTTTACCAATCGGGGAGTCCGAAACGGGTCACATCAGTACCGGGATATGTCTTGATGCAGGCGCTTCTGGAAAGCGCATGGGAGATGTGAAGCGAAATAACGATGGTAACTCATGTCTCGAAGAGAAGATACGGTTTTCTATGGTGGATAAAAAAAATCATCTACGTTTCTTTTGTACCCATGTTTTCATTCCGGGTCTAGATTACGGTATAGGAGGGGATGGAGTTTATAAGAATGATTTAGAGCTAGGGTTTAAGGGGCAACGAAGCATTGATATAACGGCAACGTATATACTATAACTAGATCTAGAAACTGGGATTCGAAATGGGTAAATGGGATTCTCAGCCATATTTTTTTCCTCATTACAGGATAGAGAAACCGAAGACCATTACATCTACTATATACGTGAAAGTAGCACTTCTAACGATACGCCCATCTATAAATAAATAGTGAAGAGGCATGCGGTCTCTACAGATGCCAAGTTTTTAGACATGTATTTTACATTGACGTATTATCGTAAAGACATAAGAGAACTTACGAAATTCAGCCCTTATGACCTTCGAGAGCTTACTCCTCTGCTTAGATGATTAAGCCAAGGAATGGTAATAGAAAGTTATGTTTATTGTTATTCATTATCTTAACCTAAGCCTCGTACCATAGATTGCCTACCAAAATTTCAGGTTTAAAGCCTACACAACTAACCTTATAGATATTCTTCTTTTCGAACCCCCAACTATACAACACATACATGCGCGCAGTTCATCTCACCATCCAATCGCCTTATGAAAACTTACTTGCATCGTTCACGTCCTGGAAGTGCGGAAGGTCATAAGAGTCAAACGTAGAGTAAAAATCTTAAAAGTCAATGCTTCATAAATTCTTGAATGGTAAGTCCATCTGCTATGTGCGCATGTCCATAATCCACCGCACGCCGAGGCGTCAGAAGGGGGAATAAATGGTGAAGAATATATACAGGTCGAAGAAGAGAAGTTAAGAAAAAAAAAATCCCAACGTCAGCCCCCCTTGCTATCCATCGGAACGAGATACCCAGCCTATTGGGTATCTTTATGTACTACCGCCCCTGTACCCTATACCGTGGTATCCTGCCGAATAAAATCGCAAAGTAAATGAATAAAACGCCGTGCTTAGAACCTCTGGGTATCACTGCCCTCCTCTCTCCTTCCGACGCCACAATCCAAGCCGCCCCCTAAAAGAATAGATCACGACAAAATCTGTCCTGACCTCCTAAGTACGATATGCGATATCTACGCTGTAAATCGTCTCCGGACAGCACCGTCTCGCTTCGTCGCGTAACCGTCCGAGAACACTTTGACTGAGTTGATTAACCAGTACGAATCCTTGAACGCCTCCGGGTTCTGCGCTACATAGTCCTGGCACGAAGACGCCTTGGCAGCGCAGACAGGGTCGCTGCCAAATACCTTTCCAGCCCAATCACCGCACAGCGTTGTGTCGAAGACGATCTGGTGCTCCTTGAAGTGGCTTGGGATATCGCAGCCCTCTCCCGAGAACGAAGTCTGAGGTCTACCCCAGGTACTAGGATCGGGTTGTCCCGCTGCGATATCTTGAGGGATGTCGCCGTTTCGCGGGAAGAAGAATATGTTAATGGCTGACGAAGTCCACTCCACGGCGAAGATACCACCACCGATCTCGTTGAAGCCGTCTGCGAAGGTTTGCGTGTCTTGACTCGAAGTTCCACAACCGAGGTTCCCGGTTCCTGGAGCATTGCAATCGCCCTGCGAGAATGTACATCCAGGACCAGTGTGGAGAGTGTAAGTGCTATTCGTATCGAGGTTCACGCCTTCAATAATATCAATCTCCCCGTTAAACGGCCAATCTTGGCCAACAGTCCAGAACGCTGGCCACTACGAGTATAAAGATTAGGCACTATGTTTCTCTTGGGGTTGAATGCGGGTGACTGTGTGTTGGGAAGGGAAGAGTACTTACAGTTCCACATTGGGAAGCTGGCTGATGAGCAATATCAGCAATAATAAGACCGTTACTATAAGTCTTCTTAGAGTTGACTCTGACGGATCCACGACCACCGATAGGGTTCATGGTAGTGTAGTCGACGCCTAGGTAAACGGCATCGTTGGCTAAGCCAGCAAGCGACTGGGCATTTGCCTCGATCGCTGTCTGATACCTGACAAACCCGTTTGTCGGATCAGGGAGACTGAAGAACTCGAAACCCTCGAAAAAGTTTGTCTGGTCGTACGAATCTTGGATCGTGTAGGCAGCTTGAGTCGCTGCGGCCCCGAGGACTAAGGCGCTACCGAGGCGCAAAATCTGGTTTGTGAATAGCATCTTGTTGGCACAATATAGTTCGTGTAAGGAGCGTGAACGCTAGTCCGAGATATGCGTGGTAAATATATCGTAAGGAATGGATGAGTGGAAAAAAATCACTTGCGCCGGGCAAGGTTATGATAGTATAGTGAGAGAACCGAGGTCGGTGTTGCAAACCAGTGCCTTTGAATTTAAATATGTAACAAGACAAGATCGAGTCTGAAAGGCAAAAGTTATAAATTTGAAAATGATTGTGTTGTGACTGAACAATCACGCGGGTGAATATTTCGTTGTTGTTTGTTGAAGCAGCTGAAGCACGTGGTGGAGTCGAGAATAAAGGTAGCTGCAACAAAGAAGCACTTACTTTGACGGACAGTCAAGTAAGTTGAGTCATGTAGATGTAAATATAATGAGAGACAAAATTTGAACAATCGGTAATATGCCGCATAAGGAACGACGGCTGACCGAATTGAAGAATGATGGAATCTACGGTGACCGGAATGTGTTGGCCACAGAGTTAAGAAGTTTGGCAACAACAAGTCGAATATAACAGACTTAAGAAGTTCCGAGGGAAGGTCGGAGAGAAGATAAAATATAACTAGTTGTTTCTTTCCCCGGTCATAAAATAAATTAAGCAGGCACGATCAAAGTTTTGCAACCTTCCTAAGGAATCCAAGGAAGATCCCAGCCAACTTACCTGATAACTTATCTGATATGTCATGTTCAGCCCTCGCAGACCTGATGTGTAGGATGGCTCGAACATTCGAACATCCTCGAACAGGGTCACATTATTCAATACAAATCGGAGTGATAGGATCTAGGCCGTCCACCAGTCAATTGGCGAAACGGGCTTTCCTAGAGACGCGGACATATGAAGCTAGCATGGGAACCCGGGCTCACATCTTTAGACCGGAGAGCTAGAATGGTGTTGGTTGGAGGATATGCCACCGAATTTGCTGTATTAGAAACATGGTCTACATATCGGATAGTAGGACATCGGACCGGGGTAGGAGATGGAGCCTCAGGGGAAAATGCTTCTTAGGATGCGACAGTAAGGCGTAAGTAGAAGGTTGAAGTCTACTAGAAAGTCCAGCTAGTCCCCGGCACGCCGGTCTTTGTGGAGGCGGACCATTTCCAGGTCGGGCAGGTTTAAAAGCTCCTCAGCCAATGATTGGCATTGTACCGATCGAACCTGGAAATACAGGCGCCACATCCTTGGCAGCGCGACCAGCTCCTTATGTCTTGCATATGGACTACTAAATGTACTATACTTTTAGTGACAGGTATCATTGCTAATAAATAATATGACGAGCAACTTCTGTTAATCAGCATAATACTAAACTTTTACGCGCCACAGCTGCTGATGGGCCTTCACCCCGTTTCTGAAACAACACGGCGAAACAAATTGCTCGAAACGGCCTGCTTCCTCTAGGCATACCGTTGGATATCAAAATTTAAATCGGGTAGCAACTACTACGCATTTCGGCCCTCCTTTGAGTTTGCCGTGGATGATCTATAAAACGCTTGAAACAAAATACTACCATATCTATACACTACCTACTTATGTTATCAGATCGAGTTGAGATTGTAGTATTGTCATATGTTTGAAGATATCCTCAATTTGATTAGTTAATGTAAGTTAGTAACAACATGTCTTCTCTTTATTTACTTAAGTAGTTTTACTTTTTTCTTCCTTTTTTTTCTGAATATTTATAATTCTCAAACCTGGATCCTTTATACTTCGAACAGGTTTAAATCAATTACGCTAAAAGTAACTTAAGTTAACTTCAACTAGTTAGCTTTGATATTGCCTAAAATTAGATATCTGTAGATTAGTAACCATCCCTTATCCCTCGATATTCTTTGAGTAGAATAGTTCTACTTGTCGCATGCTAGATTAAACCTAGGTTAAATGCTAGGGATAATCCCGGACGAAGATCGTCAGCTTTCTTTAGGACGCATGAATAGATAATCCTACCAACGTCTATTTCGAGATGGTAGTAACACAACGCATTGAATTCATCTATGTATATTCGGGGCTATCTCCCTTGGGTGTTAGTGCATCATCGAACTCCCGCACTACCTAGTAAAGATCCAGATCCTGCAAGGCATATCTCGCGTTTCACGACGTTCCCGAGATCTCATTCTCAATGAAAAGATGTGGCCTATCGAATCAGCAGTAAGGTGGCTGAACTATCAAATATCGCCTTGAATGGAACTATAATCAAACGCATCGATTGACAAAAGAAACATTGCAATTGATCTCTAAATCTTACTTGAGATCAGGGACAGGCTACCGAGGTTGTCAGTTTTGGTCCAGATGACTTAAGGGGTATACTATAACTCACGCATTTGCGGACACTGTCACGAACCTGGCAAACTTTCTTGTGAGTTGACCAGTCAAGTCGCTGGCATGTAGCGTTGCAGTAACGAACAGCCTTACAACGGCCACAACGAAGGTCGACGTCTCTGTCCCCGCAATTCATACAGACTTTGCTGATCATCTCTGATGAGGGAGCTTCATCTGAAGAAAACCTATTGGTGAAGGTATGGTTAGTAAATTTCCGTCTAGCCCATTTTTTCATCTCGCCGAGTATCAGATAAACGATGGTTAAAACAAGAATTATTTTCCAGTATTATCGACGATACACCTTGTGAGATGGTTGATACAATGGTGATCGTTAAATACCTAGGAAGTCTAGCAAGAATGGAAGTCTACCACTTACCCCAAACCACTGTACCAGAATTCATCACCAAGGTCGTACTTCTGCGGGCCTCGTTCCTCAGCTCGTCTTGTGTCAATAAGACCCTTAGAGCCCGTCTCCCAGGGTGTTCCATCATTCTTGTACTCGTCGAGCGCCGTAACTAGCTGTAACTGCTGCTCGAGAGTAGGGAGCCAGGGCCGAAGGATTCGAAGCGCTCTCAAGTGGCGGTCTTCGATGATAACACCGAGCTCCATGGCCAGAATCCCTAAGATGACAGCTATGCGCTCTCGCTTGTGGTGGCTGGTAGTTGGCGTGAAGTCACTGGAGAGAATCTTTTCAAACTTCTGGGAGAGCAGACCGTCGTTCAGCTTTTTGATCGTGCCGGATCTGTCCTCTTCTTCGGTCGGATATATGAGGTCACAGTCGCACATATCGCTAAGATCGTTGGCGATATCGTAGTCATCGTCAGACTGCATGAGACCTTTGCCCCAGGCCGGCATCTTGACTATGCTTTGGAATATCAGATATGGATATGGTATGATATGGGTGGTGTAGAAGAAGAAGAATAGTTAATTATGGGATCGCCGATAGGGAAGATGAGGCGATTTTGAGGATAACAATAAAGAGTTTAAGAAGACGGAACGGAGGAAACAAATCGGCGCCTACCTAAAGGTATGTAGGCAGGTGCCTTAGGTACCTAAGGAGTTAATGTGACATGCACGGATGTGATTTCTGCTTAAAAGTCATTTAGGAAAGCGCCGATTGCTATTGTATGTTGTTAATACGTACCCGTACTTTCCCGCATGGCAAACTTTCTTTCTCTTTCGATATGTTTACCACATATAATACCTTAGGAGGTTAGGTAGGCCTGGTATTATCATCGATAATAGCTGTTACATCATAGTGCTTGACTCATCTGTATCTTTTGTCCTTACTAGGTACCTATTTGGTTTGAAGTGTGATATTAGGGTTATAATATTATCATAGCATAAATCACTCATGAAAACATATCTCTATCGGCAAGTACGTATCTCAAGTGAACCAAATTGCAACTTAAATATCCAATATCATTGAATCCTTTCATATAACGTCAAAGGATGACATACATTACATAGCAATACAGATGCACATGAGCCCCAGTCCTCTTACTCCAAGTCGTCTCATCCCCTCAAACAGGCTGGCTGAACCATTTCCCCTATTAGCCCACGTCCATGATTAAAAGAGGCTGAGGATAGACACGACAGCCAACTAGATAAACCCTGAAGACTTCAGCATACCCTTCCGGTTGCATCGCAAGATGGGTATATTGCGCAACAAGTAAAGCCGTTGATTGCGCCACAAATAGGGACGTATCAAGATGTCGTAGGCAGGGACAAATAATATAATATTCAAAGAAAGAGAAGTATAAAGTTACGCAATCCAGTGGTCCAAACCAGGAACCACGTTGGAATTAGGGCAATTCCGGGTCCAGAAGGTAGTTATCCTATACTGTAGTGCCGAGAGTTAGTAACTGTTGACCATATAATTGAAATTATCGGGTGTGAATTGAGTTTGAGTAGAGAAAGGTTAAAAAAAGACAAGCGGTACGTTGACGTAGCCAAGGTAAAGGGGAAGTAGAAAAATAGAACAGATTATACGCACACTTGACTTTCTGGCCCGTTATTTTCTCCCAAATTACAGCAACGAGGTCTTCTTTAAACCTCTCCCAAGGATTGCGGTTCAGGTAGTAGCTGAGCTCGCGGAAGTTATACATTTCTCCCCAGCAGTCGCGACCCCATTCACAGCCTGCCATGTTAACAACAAAATCTCGATCTTCCTGCTTATAATGGATGCGGGCGTCATTTCCGTTGTCGGAGCATGCGCCAGTGGGGAAGCTGTTGATCTTTCGCTGTGGGAGGAAGGCTGTATGGCTTCGAATCCAAGGTTGATTTGTATATAATTGCTCCAACGCGTCCTGTTCTTTATGTTCCCACTCCATGTGTTTTTGCTCGTATGCTACTGGGTCCCACCATATATCCAGTAAACGGTCGGTCCACTCGCTTCGTCTGATGAAGAAGGAACCCAGATTAAATCCCGAACAGTCCTGAGAGAGTATGAGGTTTATAGAGTCGACGCTTCCGTCTCCTACCGGGCTCAATGACTCCGGATCCAGATAGTTGGCTTGAAGGGGATGGGAGATATTGAGAGGATTAAACTCGTTTATATCGCGATAGACGTGCTTTTCAAGATTGTTGAAAATGTGATGCTGAAGCGAATAGGAGGGCTCCATGACGAACGTATTCAGGTCCAACCACCAAATCCTCCAACACGTTAGCGTAACATAACTTCATAGCGCAATCGGTTGCTTACCATTCGGCTTTTGGATATTTCCTAAAACTGTTCCTGATACTGTCCACCTTCTCCCAACTTTCTCGCCATTCGTGCGCGTACCGCTTTTTGGTGCTCATGTCGACAACTTCGAGGTCGTAACCCCATCTCGCAACATACTTTCGTTTGTTCCTCACACTATCTCTTTCGATAGCCCACTCCCGCGCTCCTTTCCATTCCATCACTCCACCGCCAACATTTGCGGCAAGTATGATGACAAACTTTTCCCCGCCTCCTAACCAGCCTGTCCTTCTCCAGTAGTACCATAGGGCTGAAGCGCGGTTAGTTACCTATACAGGTAGAATCTATGGCCAAGACTTACGAGTGATATAGAATAGTATATAGCACGCGAGTAGGAGTAGCGCTATAGCTGCACGTATCTTCCATTTCCTACTCATTCGTGTAATCGCGGCTCCTAGCCTTCCAAGGAGGGGAACCTTCCACCTGCCCCGTCCAAGTTTCTCTTTCTCTGCATATCTGTCATCCGTCGCCGTGTTAAAAGATGGTAGGCTACTCGAGATGCGTCGCATATGTCGGGTGAAGAAGCCCTGGTTGTGTGTTGAGAAGGATGGATAACTGGTAACACCTTGGGTTTTAAGCCTCGCAGATTCCCAAGTTACTCCACCGCCGTTGGGCCCCGAGAATGACGCCTTCGCTGGGCTGGATCGGCCACTAGTGTTGATATTTAGGCCCGGAGAAGACCATCCTCCTCCGGGGACGGGAGAGGGACTCCTGCTCAAGGACATCGGAAGGTTGGGTGTGCCTGGAACATAACTCGCGTTAATAGGGTTGTTTGAATCGACGGGAGGCGCATGTCGTCAACATACCAGGAATCGGACTAAGCGTTGGTTGCAAATACTGGGCCTGTTGGCCCAGACGCAGAGGAGGAACGCGATTATTACCAGGCGCGGAGACAGAGTCGTTCTCTGCGGAAGAAGGTCTCCGACGGTGGGCGATCGCGGGGCGGTCGCTAAAAGACGAAGAAGAAACTTCGTTATCGGAGTCGACAGGAGCCAGATTTACTGTCCCTTCCGTCGCAGTCCTCAAGTTGAGAGGCTGTCGACAGGCAAAGACAGGTATATGTTAGAATAGAAAGTCTTAAGGTGGCTGAAGCCACATTCAAGGATGCGGGTAATAAAGGTGACGGGAGTGTCTCAGGGATAACAACACGGCGACAGGACAATTGGTCTTGTCCCGATTGCGATTGGGTCTCTATCGGAGGAGAATTTACCTATCTGGCAAAAAAAGTACGAAGTAGATCGACCCGACAATACAATTGACAAATTTAAGAAAACAACTGTGTTCAATGTTGTCGTTCCATAGTTCCTTCTTCTATGGTGCAGGGATTATAGATAAAATACAGTAACCGTATCTGGTAGTCTTTAATAGACTAATCTTTTTTTTTTCTCCTTCTAGATTGTCCTTTCCTCCTTTGCCTCTCCATCCTGCGCGACATTACTTAGATAGCCAGATAGCCAGATAGCCAAGCAGTACATCAAATTTGTAGTGTGGGACAGTGGACCCCCCACGAGCCGCCCATTGTTTTTTCTTTTCTTTCTTTCTTGAAGGTCACCAAAGAGTACTGCTATGGTACCTATATTCCCCATAACTGTCATGTTAGATAGAATGCAAAAAAGTACGCCACATTCTAATGTTAACTAGTCCCTTTTTAATACATGTATGTTGTTAAATATGTAGATTTGACTCGCTAATTAGCGTGCATGCATACAACTCGGGACACTGCGCATGGAAACCCGTCCAATTAAACCCTGCGTTTTGCCTCATCCGTACAGCAGAAAGACGGATAGGTCTTCGGGATGCACCTAATGAGAAATTCCCAGTTCTTCGGTGCAATTGTGATACAAGATGACGTGCCTCAGATTGAATTTGGAGCTTTTGGCTTCTTGTGTCTGCTTGATTAAGGGTCCTAGTAACCCATGATAGTTTTACCCTGGCGAGATGAACTCTACTGTTTTAAGATTTTCAGGGTCTACTACATAATGTAAAGGGTAATTCAGATTAAGGTGGTACCTATAGTAGATGGATCTTTATTCTCATATTTGAAAGTCCCAACCTTAAAGACAGGAATCCGACGAATCAAGCTAATTCTCTCTTAGATACGTATAGGTACGAAGTAGCCTACTACATAATAGATTGATATGTATTTGGAGAACTGTCTAGCCAAAAAAGGTATCGTCGTTCATTCTAGACCTTCTATATACGAGAGTTGTATATAGAAATGTTACCTATGAGTCTACCCGAACTTCACACGAGCATAATAGTGTATTTATTATATGGATTTGATTGGCTGTTTTACCTATCGCTCAAGACTGCCAAGGTAGCTATGTATGGAGTCAAATCAATCGATCCTGCTCTAATACTGCTTCCGCTAAGTTAGTAAGTCCACCGGCCTACTGACTAAGTAAACGAGATACTGCACATTGTAAGATTTTAATCCAATGACTTTTGTTGTATGATAGATGAAGCCACGTAAGTGAGAGTATTCTTGGGAGCTGATACTCGTATTGAGTAAGACTTTGTTGAATTCCTACGTTAGTAAGTACATTTATGATAGCCGATACACTCTATCTGAGATATAAAGACACTTTCTCTCACCGTGGTAGACTGGTCAACGTTCGCGGAGATTAGTGACTAAATCAAATAGCTATCGAGTAGCTATGATATAATAAGTCTATGTAGCTAGCTATTTTTGTATATGTTGCGATATACTAGAGATTAGAAACATACTATCTCCACAGTAACTTTTTAGTAAGCCTCTTAGTTTAATGATGAGTTGGATTTGGGTGAGTTATGGAAGTATGTATTCGTAGAACAACTACAAAAACGAAATGTCACGCTTAGATTAGGTATGGCCCCGCGTGCTTGTCAGCTCTCCTTTCTACCAATAGTGTGCATTCTACAAGTACTTTGAGAATAGGCCTCCATACTCACCTCTAGCTGGTGAATACACGTCGACGATTATTATTTGAAGACGGCGGTACAGCTGGCTGATACCGAGCTGTCTTAGGTATTTACCTCTCAGCACTATCAAGACATACATGAATATCGCCGCTTGCCACGGTGGCCGTCAATACTGGTGACAGGAATCATCAGGCTTCCAAGACACGTAGTGTACCTCTGTATGTCTAGTCTCAGCTGTACAGCCCGATTGAAACATACCGAGTAGAAACGATAAAATCGAATGTCAATGACACAGTCTTCGTGTCACTAGTATAAACACATGTGGCATCTTGAGTATGAATAGACGAATTTCCTCGGGATACACTACTGATAATCGGGTACTACACATTTATATAGTCGAATCAAGAGGACTTGTCGAATAGGTACCTAACTTAATAGTAGACATAACTAAATCAGCTGCTCGGCTAACGGACTATCTAGCTCGTAGAAACGGCTGCAGCTTGTATGTAGGTAGGCAGGTAAATATGCTTATGCTTTCTTATGCTTTAGCGTTGTGTGGGTGGAAGAGAGTGGCCAACCTGCAGCATATTGACGTGGCAGTCCATATTAATGTTAAGATCGATTTGTTGATAGACGGTTACAATTGGATTGATAACAGCCAGTGGTAGGACGGCATTCATGTGCAACACACGTGATAGGATTATCGCCGAATCCCCGCTCTGGAACAGCTGAAGGCCTCCATCCAACTTTTTAAATTATTATGCGACAAGAAGTGGAAAGCGGCGAAGGAAACAAAAACCTCCCAGCCACCCCTTCATCAACAATTAGGAGTGTTAGCCGCCTTATGTGGGGCTATCTATATCTGGCAGCAAGCATTGATTTTATAGTACATAGTTACTGCTACAGTACCATCCTTCAGCTCGGTTTTAAGTCATTTCCCAGCCCTTGATAGTTTCCTATATGTCCCCACAGTTGTAATCGGCATCTAAACAAAACATCGTTATACTCAATTTTTGGCCCGTCGCGACGGTATACCAACTTAATTAATGTACACTCTTATTAATCATTCTAGAGTGTTTTCTGAATGGACTCGACTATACGTAACGAGTCTAATTCTGTAAGATGATGACCCGAGAGCATCATCGCCGGCGGAGCCCCGAATCCTCTCGCCGTCGGCGCAAAGAGCGGCGCGATTCTAGAGAGCAACTTCGGAATCAGCAATTAGCACTACCTGCACCGCCTCCGGAAGAGGAAGAACGAAACGAACTCATACACCTTCGATCGCGTGCACCCTCGCCCCTTTCATCGTCATCCTCCACTTCTTCCTCCTTATTAAATATCTCCCGTCCCTCTAGGAGATTCGGGCTTGGCGCGTTTTTTGGTGGCGGTGGCGGTGGGCGGAAGCAACATCGTGTAAAAAAGAAGCGTAGCCGTTTTCTTCGGTTCGGGAATTCTTCCTCGTCATCTGTAGGCTCGGATCTTGCCTATGGAAGAGGGTACGTCGAACGGCAGAGGAGTCGCGAATTCAGCCCCCCTAGTAGTAGTGCTGGTAGGCCGCGTCCGAAACGTGATCAGACGGATGAAGAAATACTTGAATTAGGAAGACAGTTTGCCGAGATTGCTAGACAACAAAATGCCGAAGATCTTAAAGCAGCTGGGAGGAGCCGGCCGTCGACATTGGTTGGTGCTGCGGCGGCCCTGACTCAGTTTCGTCGAACAAATAGCGGGAACTCGAACAGGGGGGTTGGAAGCTCTAAACCCCGCCGTGATGATTCTTCAGATGACTCGGAGTGGGAGTCCGCTTCTGAAGACGAGTCATCGTCCAGCGAGTTTGACTCTGGCCTTGCCTATGGCTCCTCGGGACTTAGCCTGCCTAATACTATTAACCAGCCTATTCCCCGTCAGAGTACCCCTAGCTCTTCACGTTCCCCCCGTCCCTCTCAAGTTTCAATTTATGGCCCCCCTCTCCGCCGTAAATCTTCGGTGGTCGATCCGAGCCTCTTCGGACCCGTAAATTCGCTCCGAGGTTATGTTGAGGCTCCTTGTGGGTTTGAAACGGTTGACCGATCCACGGTTGTTGGATCTCCGCGACCGTACGAACCTTCAATAACTCCTACAATAACTCCTAGTGAAGCTACACCTGATAATCGCCCGTTACAACTGGTATATCCAGCTCCAACATCTGATCCAAAACGCTTTGATGTTTATAATGGCCCCGTCGTGTCTAGCCAACAGGACTTGTCTGCCCCGCCTCGACCTGCACCAGTACCCATACAACATCCAAGGCCCATAGTGCAGGTGCCCAGGAGAGTTCTCGACTCAGTGGAAACGGGTTCTGGATACTCAGAGCATGTGTCATCTAAAAAAGTGCCCGAAGATACTGTTGTTGTACCAGGCTCTGATCGTAAAGATGACCACAACAAGCTCGAAGAGAAGCGTGATCGTGACAATGAGCGCCGGCCAAAGCGTTCAGACGCTGGCGTACAGGCTCGGAAGGGTGAAGAGCGTAAGAGTCATGATAACGTCCCTCCGGCTCGTAATGATCTCACTGAAGTACCTCGAGAAACGCGGTTTGGAAATGGCCTAGAGTTTAAAAGAGATTGGCATTACCGGGAAAAGATAGTGCCCGAATTAAAACGGAAGTCTGAAGAGGAGGGACGCCGTCGTGACGAGCACGATGACGATAGCTCTGATCACGATCTAACGCGTAACAAGCGCAAAATCGACCCAGAAGATGAACGGAAGATTATCCGCGAAGAGACTTACGAAAAGGAACGCCGTGGCAGAGACGGTGCCAATCGCTCTAGTGTGGGAAGCTACCAACCTGTGAATGGCCCCGAGTATCCTATGCGAGAGGGTCCAATTGATCCATTTCAGTATCAAGTAGCTGATGATGCTTTTCAGACTCCTCCTTACACGACACCGAAACGACCTCTAACGCCGAATGTGATAACTGTAGATCGCGAACCTAATTTCTCCCCGGAACGACTTAGTCGGAAAGACTCTTATGAGCGGGAACTTCGTGATGCACATGAAATATACCAAACTGCTGAGCACGCGACGGCTCCTATAAGCGGGGTTGCATTTGCTGCCGCCGCTGCGGCGGTGATGGCTGAAGATCGCCGTGGACGTAGTCATAGCCGAGGTGGCGATGCTAGCTCTAGGAATAGATCGCGACGGGATGAATCCCCAAAACGTGAAAAAGATGCTGTCCAAGAAGATGCTGACCGTTATTATCGGGAAGCAGAACTTGCGCGCAGAATCAAGGACGCGGAGATACGGGATGCCGAGTCTTCGGTTGTAGGTAAATGGAAGCAGGACCAGCAACCGGTGATTGTGGATGTTGTGTCACCCCCAGAAATGGATCACGCAAAGAAGAAGAGCGCCTACGATGCGCCCGATGCTGATGTCCGTATTGATAATGTTCTAGAACATCCTAATGAGCTTTCTCGTTTTCGAACGCTGGATATCAAAGGTCTCACTAGGATCCCCGTATTCACGGCGAGAGACCCTTCCGCTGAACGAGAGCGGCCGATGCTTAATATCGTGCGGCCTACGCCTGTTCCCACACCGATTCCAGAAGGACAGCGACACGCGGAAGAGCCTCTTCCTAAGCTTGTCAGGAAGATTGATATTCCTCCCCCTAAGGTCGTATCTGACGTAGTTACTGAATCTCGAAGCGAAGTAGCCCCGGCGCCATTGATAGCAAAATCTGTCAGTTGGGGAGAGAATCAGACAAAACGCTACGTTGTGGAGAGTCCGGAGAGAGAGGATGACCCGTATTCGGGGACTAAGATTGTGACGCCTGCTAAGCCTCCAAGAAGTCGGGCCGGGAGAAAGAGTTCTTGGGGATTAGCATCCATTGCAGCAGCTCTCGGTGGTGGCGGTAGCAATAAAAACGCGTCTTCGAGTACATCGGGGCAGACTGCTGTTGTTGAAGCGACCGAACCTAAAAAAGCTTCAAGGAACGGAGACGAACCCGCAAATCGTAGAGCTTCGGTCCCATTCAAGAGCACATATGATAGCCCACCTATCCCTGGTCCCAAACCCTCCAACCTAAAGGGTGCCCAGATGCCGGGTTCATTTGCTGAAGACCCGGTTTTTACAGCAAATATAGCCGCCGCTCTCGAAGGCAGTGGATTTGACCCTAATATCGTTATTAACGATGCAAGTTTTCATAAGCGTGATTCACCGCCTGGGCCGAATGACTTTAGCGTATATCAAGCACCGTTTGTGGAGTCAGTGGCCGACTTGGGAACAGTTGACGGTTCAGGGACTACCACTTCACAGGGTGTCCGGGAACATGGTTTCGTTATTGGGGAGGTCGAGACGCCACCTGACGAGAGGGATATCTCGACCGATAAATCGCGAATTCTTCCCGAACTCAACAGCGTAGAGCAGCGCAAGCAGGACAAGGCCCTCGAACGAGACAGTGCCGAAAGGCCCCATGCTATTGTCGATGGCAGTGAGGCTATACGACTTTCGAGATCCAATACAGAAGACGACTGGGATGTGCTATCGAATGAGTTTAGCAAAAAGGAGAGAAAGAAACGCGAGAAAGCAGCAAGAGCTCAAACATTGGATGATACATTAATTGGCAATAAGGCCCGAAACGAGCAAAATCTAGAGGCGGAATTTTTCGCTGAAGGGGAAGACAGCTCACCTAAGAAAAGGTCAAAGAAGTCGAAAAAGGCTGTCGTTGTCCAAGAGGATTCGAGACAGCCTGACATTGTAGAGAGCCCCAAGGTTGTAGCTCTAGTCGATGGTATTCGGGATGTACAAAATGTCAATACTGTGCAGATTGACACGTTAGATCGTCTAGATGAGAGCAACAAGAGATCTAAGCGTGACCTAGAAATATATAACTCGCCTTCAATACCCACACCGAAGCCCGATACTTCAAAGAACGGGCCGAGGGGGCCTGGTGGAGCGGATATCTTTTTTACTCCTGATGACGAATCTGGTAGTTCAAGAAAGGATAGCTGGAGGGCTAGGCGAGACTCGGGTGGATCTTTTTCGAGGACAGTCCTGCCATCGGAACTTTCAACAGCAAGCTCTTACGGGATAATCGATACCGCGGATAGTATAATCGAGACCGAAGAGGAGTGGGATACACCGAAAAAGAGCAAAAGGAAATCGAAGCGTGATAGTGGGGCATATGATTCACCACCCAGGTCTGTACCAATCTTGGAGGCTGCCCCTGACCTTGTTCAAAAAGTAGACGTTACTTCTCTTCCTAAAAGCGAACAAGGTACTCTAAGAAAGGGTAAAAAGAGTAAGAGTGGCTCTGTTGATGATGAATTTGCGTTTCCGACTGTCCGTGGCCTCGAAGGCTGGGACTCGTTCAACGAGTCAAAGAATAAGTCTACGCAAGACGCCAGTGCTCACGACTCCCTGCCGCGTGTAGCGCTCCCTGTTGAAGATCTTTACGATAGTCCAAAGGAGATGATCGAATCCGCCAGTGATATACGTAGTGAAAAGACAGCTGCAGCAGAAGAGGAGTTAGATACACCGAGGAAATCGAGGAAATCGAAGAAGTCTACGCGAAGTTCGATTCCATACGAGGATCGGCCCTCAACACCTCAATCCGTAGCTCCATCTGAAGCCTCCGTGGGAAGTTCCAAGAGATCGAAACGGGATTCCTATCCTGATCCGTTATCGACGCCATCAAGGTCAGCTCCGGCCTCTGACGCGGGTACCGATGATTCTCGGAAGAAGAGCAAGAAAAAGAGAAACGTTCCCGCCAATTTACCTGAAAACGAGAATGATCTTACTGAAGGAGGACCGTCCGATAAGGGAAAGGGTCGATCTAAGATCTTAGATTATGATGCTGACTCTGTAGTTCCGAACCAAGCTCGTTACGACGATAGCCAACCGACTAGTAACCAGACAAGGGATGACAAGGCAGACCAAGCTAAAGCTGTGACCTCCACTCCGAGCAGTGCTGGTAAAAAGGATCGCAAAGGCTCTACGAGTTTCTTCGGCCGCTTAAAATCTTCAATTGGGATAGTAGAAGAAAAGGAACCTCTACGCAAATTGGATGAGGACAAGAATGATCCTTTTTTAGGTAATGCCGGCATCCTTGGCGCAGGTGTCGGCTCGACGGGCGATGCTATCATGTCCCAAGAGCCTCAGCCAAATGCCACCAATGCTCCTTTGGATGAGGAATCCCAAACCGTCCCCTTCATTCCCCAGAGACAATCAACTTTATCACGAGAAGCAGAGCTTATCGACCCCGAGATTATCCCGCGGGAAATTCGGCCTGCCATAGATCCTAAGCATGGTGACCTGTTACCTTTACCTCCAAGTCGCTCTGTGTCTCCTCTTTCTAAGCTTGGCGATGACTTTCCACCTCTACCGGATAGCCGTCCCGAGACACCTGAGAATGAACGACATTCGCGCGAGGCGCCTACTCATACTCGTCGTCGTAGCACCCTTGAAACGCCGACTAGGCCAAAAACGCCTAGTCAAAGCGCGATACCTATCCAATTTTTCCGTCCGGGGCATAGGCATACACCGAGCAATGGAAGATCTTCACCGTCGGTGTCACCAATAACTGCCACTGTAGAATTCGGAAGCGAATCGAAGAATCGTTCTCGCCCAGCATCCTGGGAAGCCTCTCGGGACTTCAAACCCTTACTTCTTCTCCAGAGGGCGCTACGGGGATCGATCGACTTATCAAACTCTCCCGAGAGAGAATCTTCGCCTTCGGGGTCTGAACTTCGTGAGCGAGGCTCGCCTTCATCAGCCCACCTGATTCTAGAGTCTCCCGACCGAGACCACCCTTTCCGCGATAATATCTTTTCCGGACCACTGTCATCGCCAGCTGTGATATCTGCAGAAAAACCAGAAAGCTCGCATGCGGTTGAGAAAGCCCTTCAACTTGATGAAGACGCCTTCAGGCAACTACCTAGCGAAGCTTCATTCCACCGAAATAGTAGAGCAGATGGTTCCCACTTGTCTCCTCTCCCTGAAGAGTCAGACTTGAAGCTGGCTGAGGATGATTCTCATAGTCCTTTCAGCTCGCCAACTTTCTTAGTAGCCCCTAGCATTGGAGATCGAGGTGATTCCATCCAAGGCCTTCTCAAAGATAACTTGGAGGATAGTGTTGTTTCAACAGAAGCAGCGATGCCTATCATAGGAGAACCAGAAATTACGATCACATCTGATGACCGTAGCTTAAGTCAGGCCAACGAGGCCGTTGTTTCTACAGGAACACCGCACGAATTTCTTCCCGTTTCGGACTTCTTTCCTGGAAGTAAAACGCCAGATTCGATCGATACCTTCGATACTGCTCTGAGCAACGCAGGTGACCATAGACCTCTAGAATCTAGTGGTTTCTTGGACAATGGTCAAGACGACGATAAGATACAAGAGAGGGGATTGAGCGATATCGACGAATTATTAATGGGCTCGACTAATACAAAAGCTACTCCGCTCCAAGATGAAATTCTCGGCGGTATTGCATACGAGCGAATTTCGCCTGCTGGACAAGTGGAGTCTGTACCGGCTATTACCTCTACAAAAGATGCACTAAAGGCTTTGGAAGAAGACCTAGATGATAATAAATCGATCGAAACACTGGCGCCCGAATCCTCCATATCAGAAGTGCACGAGGAGCAACCTTCAATTGAAGTGCAGGAACCCGACTCTGATGCCTCGACTATTTCGCAGAGTACAAGTACTACGCTAAACAAAAGCAAGAAAAAGAAGAACCGCAAGTCTCAATCTGCGGAGCTTAGTCTAGAAAGCCCACTCATAACTACGGATACTCGAAACGTAGAACTAGACGAGCTGCCCTTACATCGAGCTGGTGATGCTGTTCCAGTCTACAGCAACCTGATCCCCACCGAGAAATTGCCTTTGGTCGAAGAGAAACCGGCCATTGTTGAAGAACTCGCTTTCGGCCACGAAGAGCCAGCCATACCTGAGTCCAAGACACCTGAGGTTGAAGTAGACAGTCCTAAGATTGAGCTACAGGTAGAGCCAGAGCCAGCTCCTATCCCATTAGATATAGCCGCTGTTGAGAAGCCTACTGCCCCTGAATCTGAGATTGCCATACATCCGGAAGTATCTAATATTGAGCTGGGAGTTCCTTCAACTAACCCGGAACGTAGTGTTGTCGAGTTAGAGACTACTGCGACTGAACCAGAGATATCCTCTACTGAGCCCATAGCGACTCCTGAACCAGTACTTCCAAGCGGCGAAGCAAGCACGGTGGAAACCAAGCTGAACGCTGGAGAAACTCGTATCGAAGAGCCAGAGACCTCTACCGTTCAGAAAGACGTCCCTGCTACTGAAGCTGAATTAACCGGAGTGAAACCAGAAACGCCTAACGCTGAACTAGAACCGGTTGCCAAGTTAGAGCTGACTACAGTCGGAAGCGAGACTCCCACTATTCAGGCAGAGCCTACCATAATTGGAGTAGAGTCAGCCTCTGAACAAGAATCAGCCCTACCCAATGCTGAGCTAGAGAAGCCGGAGCAACTTGAGACAACCCTTGAGCTTTCTCCTAGTGCCTCTGAGAAAGATGAGAAAAAGGAAGAGGATATTCAGCGGCCATTATTAGAGAATGAGGAAGCCGAACCTGTCACCTCTGTTGAAGAACCAACCAAAGAAGCCGAGGAGTTAACACAGGAGACCAGCGTAGAGAGTCCCCGTGCACTTCCTGTTGGCCCACAAATCTCCAGTCAAGATCAACCAGAAGCTACTTCACCAGAACCGCGTGATGGCCAATTGGACTCGCCTGAGGAAATTCCTACCATAGAGACGTCCGAGAATGAGGAGAACAAGACACAAACAACAGTACCTGAGCCAGAGGACCAAGTTGTTGATGAACAAATCTCAGCCCAGGAGGAAGAGGGTCAGCCTCTTTCTAAATCACCGCCTCTTCCAATAGTGCAAGCCGAGGACCAGCAACCTGATACTCCTGTGGAAGGCTTCGCAGAAGCACCAGCTAGCTTGATACAAACTGAACAGCAACCAAATATATTTCCCGAAAATCAATCAATTAGCGAACAGGTGCTCCAAGAAGAGCCTACAAGGCCCAGTGATGCCAATTGGGATAACGAGAAGACGTCACGAGAAACACTTTCTCCAAACCAGCCGATGGAGCCGATATTGAGCAACCCCGCGGTTGATAGCCACGACGATTTTCAGTCTACAGTCCCCGTTCTTGGACAAGATGAGCAGCCGCAATCGGCATCGAAATCAGTTTTAGAAGAGACCCATTCGCCTGACGATTCTATAAAGCTTGCAGTTCCTATTGTGGACGGAGAACAACACGATGAGCAACCCACTTTGACTGAAACTAACCTGCAGCGCTCCATCGAACAGGCATCAAACGGCTCGACATTATTGAAGGACACTAACGTGGATGAATCATCGCCGCAGCTCGATATACTTAGCGGTGAAGATACTAGGGACCAGCAGGGACCTGCGCCAACCGATCTAACTGAGGTTCCGCTTTCTAAGCCCGACTGGAGCGAGAGCTCAGAAGACAAGCAAGACAAATCAACCGTACCATTCCAAGCGGTAGAGGAAGCACCGAGTTTATTCCCAGAAACCGATGAGGCCCAACCGCCGAGTCTTCCCAACGAAGTGATCAATGAAGAGGCACGGGAAACGACCCGATTATTAGATGAACCCGGCAGCGAGAAGGGGGAAAGCAAGGAAATGAGCCAAGACGTGTCAGAAGTGGTTGACGCTTCTGCATTAACTGGTCCCAATCCGGAACCGGCGCCCCAACCAACACCCTTTGAAGCTGATGTTAACGAGCTTCAAGTCGTTAGCGATGTTCCCAAACAGCCGTCCCAAGACCGCGATAATGAATTGGATGCGTCACTCACGAAGGTGCAGTCTGTACCTCAATCAATTGTAGAGGATGCGCAGAAGCCAGTTGTAGAACAAGCTGAACCAACTGCGGATATTGTTTTGTCTGAACCAGATACCTCTAGCAAGGAATCCCAAAATAAGAGCGAGGAAAGCCAAGTGGACACTACCGATGCAATTGATGCACCTGCATTAAGTGGAGAACTAGAATCTAAGGAATCTGAGGAATCTAACAAATCTGTGGGGGAGCCCATGATTGTGGAGACAAATATTGATAGCAAACCACCCCCCTACTCTCCCGCTCCCGCTCCCGAAGTTGACAAAGTTGACGTGACAGCTGTCACTCAGGTGGAAAATCAAGCCCCCGAGTCCGAGTCAACCCCTAGCAAAGAAGAGGAAGACGAAGAAAAGCGTGGTCCTATCCAAGTCGAGACTGTCACTAACAATATTCCCCAGGAAACACCGGAAATTCTGGATGCGCGGGTTGATGCGGACAAGGAAGTAACTTCACCTACTCAACTTACCACTGATAGAATTAGCGACGACGCCCAAGCAGTTCAAGCAAAAGAAGATACGGACGGGAAACCTGAAAATATCTCTACTGACACTAAGGAAACGTCAGCATCTGTCATCTTATCAGAGATACCAACCGAGCCAGTTGTCGTTTCCGAGGATACCGCACAAACCGGAGAGAGTCTTGGTTTAGATCTAAATCCACCTAGCATTGAAAGATCTGAGAAGGACGAAGAAAAGCCCCAGAGCGCCCAATTTCCTGGACCACTCGAACAGGGAGCTATGGAGACTTCGCCGGAACCGGTCGGTGAGACCCCTGCGCCTGGAACAATCTTCAACCCCGACTGGGCCTCTATTGACCTACCGCCCCCACCGGATTACTTACCGGAATCCGAGGTCCATTCTCAAGAGGCATCGGGCAGTTTTGGTGATGTATCGAAAGCTCAACAAGAACCATCTCAGGATCAGCCAATAGACCCATTAGATCAACTTATCCAACATATTGAGGCTAAGACCAAATCAAATACCCTTGACGACTTACGAGATGGGCCAGACCTAAAGGATTCCGACGTTGCTGCAGGTACCCAAGAGCAAGCTCCCCAGGAAGATGCAGAAGTTTCAATGGAAGCCCAAAACAGTCTACTAGCAGAGGGCGCATCAAAGGGCGAACGTGACATCGTTCAACAACCCTCAGGAGAAATCGTACCAGCGGTGCAGGAAAGTGCAAACGACAATCTACCTACTGAGGCAGACGCTGCCCAAGAGCCTTCTACCCGGGATGAATCCCAAACCATACCAGTCCTGCCAGCTCAAGATACTCTCCCCACTGAACCCACCCCTACAGCAGTCCTCGAGCCACAGGATAATATTGAACAGTCTTCAGAAAGTATGACAAATGACAGCGTTTTAGCAATCTCTCAAGTCGGCGAGCCAACTCGAGCTATGCCTACTTGTTCCGAAGATGATCTGTCGAATCCTCTTACAGAGCATACTACCCTCAGCGATTCACAGGCTGAGTCTAACCTGTTAGCCGAGGATAAGACCCAAAGCACTATGGAAATATTGCCAACGATTGCGGAAGAGGGTGAGAGCGAAGATCAAGACGCGCTCGATTCTACAATAGGAGCAGTGGCGCCAATAACCGAGCCAAGCACAGAGGTCCCTTCCTCAGACCTTATCGAAATGCCATCCACTATATCGCAAGACCAGACTAATCTAGGTGAAGCCGCGTCAGAAACTCCGGTGATATCTGAACCAGTGGAGTCGGTGTCTCAGCCGCATCAAGATGACCCGCAGAGCCCTATAAATAAGGATAAAGGAAAGGAGAAGGAAATTAGCCAAGTACAGGAACGAGAACCCGAGTCGTCCCCCTTACCAATAGAACCTCCGACCGAACAGACGCAATCCCCTACTCCCGAGAGCAGTCAACCGCAAGATGTGATGCCTTTGGACTCACCCTTGGTTCAAGAGATTAAGACGGAGCCACACCTGACTGAGCAAGACCCGCCTGACCTATCCGATTTACCTACCCCCGGAACGAGCAAGACTGCGACCAGCACATTGGATATCTCTCCTTCTCCAACGAAAGAGGCTGAGCCGCGAGCATCAGATGTTACGGGTACAACCGTCCATTCTCAAGATTCTGAGCAGGAACCAGGAGTTCATACAGACAAGGCAGGTGACGATATGTTGATAATCAGGCCTGAGATCGCCCCAAGTGGAGAAGTTACAAATGTCCAGGACCAGGAGAAAACTCGACAAACCAATGATCTAACTGAAAACGCTATGCTAGAGGAAGAACCCGTGGCTGAGCCTGTACGCGACGACGAAAGCCTGGAAAACGTGGTCACGCCCAGGCCAAAGAAAAGCAAAAAAGGGAAAAAGCGAGGAAGCCAGCCAATCTTAGACGATGCGGCATCTATACCAAGCCAAGAGACTACCGAATCCGCCCCAAGCATGCCAGCAGCCGTCGACGAAACAATAAATCCTACGAAGAGCACTATGCCTATAATTAGCGAAGAGCTTTATCTCACGCCCTCGGACAGAGTGGACGAGCTTACCGAAACCGCAACTACGATAGTCCAACAAGATGATTCCAGATCCCCCACAAACAGTCAATCTCCCGAAGCCAATGTTAAGGAAATTGCAGAGCAAGAATCTAAGAGCTCCGAGAGCGTCTCTATCGAAGATAAGGAAGGTGAAGAAAATAAACAACTAACCCTTCTAGATGACAACCTATCCGAGCAAATTCCAGAGCAGGCAGCTAAGGAAAGTCCAGTGGTGCTTTTCACAGACGAACAAAGCGAAATTCAAGCCTCAGCTTCTACAGAAACCTCGAAGGAAGAAAAGTTGGATGAACCTGTCTCTCCTCGAAAGAATAAGAAAGGAAAGAAAGCTAAGGGGGGCAATTCTCACGACGAGAATGTCTCTGCCCCCCAAGTCGAACCTAGTCAAGTATCTATGGGCGCAATAGACAATCATGAGGAGACGGATATTGGCAGATCTACCCCCCAGCAAAGCCCCGAAGGTGCAGACATTATTGATCTTGGCTCTGCTGAAAGTAAAGACATAGAAATCAAGGATGTTGGTCGTTCAGATGATGTACAGTCACAAGAACAAAATCAAGCAGAATTTGAGTCTGCAACTCAACTAGGCATAAGTGAAATTGCAGAGACTGAAAACTTAACACTCGAGAGCTTAAAGGACGAAAAGGTTGAGGAGGCGGCTCCTACTAAGAAAGGCAAAAAGAATAAGAAAAAGAAACGCGCAAGTCTACGGAAAGATGAGACAATTTCACAACAAGAGTCAGCTCAACTCACTAGCGATCTAGCGACTGGTACATCCGCAATCGAGCAGGTCAATACAGAGAAGCTCTCTGTTTCAGAAAATCCTGCAGAGCAAGGCGCTGCAGATCTAACACCTGGCCAAAAAGACGATGGAGAGAAGAAGCCATGCACCCAGGAACCCGAACTTGAGGCCGAGGTGCTGCCCGAACCGGAGCCGGATTCCATCCTCCAGCAACCAGAGTCGCCTATGGAAGTCAGATCTACCAATATATCTCCTGATGTACCTCCCATGAGCATTGAAGATACAATTCCCATTGAAGAGAATTACTTGTCTAGCTTGCCCGAAGTACCGGCCGAGTTCACCAGTATCGAGGAGGCTCCGGTTGTAAATACAGAGGATAATAAACCTTCTGCCGAGGAGAACATACTCACAGTAGTGCCGCCCCAGATTGTCGAGGAGCAGGTTGAAAGGGATACGTTACTAGAGCCTGATATTCCTCTATCGGATCAAACCCCTCCTGAAAATATTGCCACTATTCCTACGTCCGAGGATCTCAACCCCGAGGATACCGCTCAGTCAGTGGTCGTCCAGTCAGAGATCGTTAGCCAGACACCAGAGGAGCAGACCAATGTTGTTTCCTCAATTCCCCCGCGAGAGGAGCCGCTACCCCAGGGACTAGTCCAGTCAGACGAAAAGCACGAGGAAACCGTAGATCCTATCGCATCCGAGACCCCGGCTGAAGTAGTACAGCTTGATGAGTTCTCCAGGTCAGGAGAAGATTTGCAACCAGCAGAATCTACCCAGCTAGAGGCCGCAGTATCAGGAGAGCCCATGCAAACCCAGGATCTGCCAACACAGGAGCCTGCGCAATTAGAGGAGCCAATAGCTACGGAGGAACCGTTGAATCAGGAACTACCCAAGCCAGAAGAGCTCACTCAACCAGGCGAATCTGAGCAATTAGTCTCTGTGCCACAAGATCTTTTGGAGGTAGAAGCACCTGCACAGGAAAATTCAGTACAGCCAGAGGAGTCTACACAACGTTCGGGACTGGAGTTGCTAGCTCAAGCAGAAGAACCTACACAGCTAGAAAGTTCTGAAACCCCTATTCAGGAGCTCCCCGCCACCTTGGATGAAACTGAATCCATGCTGACAAAGAAGTCTAAGAAAAGCAAGGGAAAGAAGAGTGTTAATCAAGCCGAACCAGAACCCGCATCAGAAAGCACGCAGCTAGCTGAAACTCAGACTCAAAAAGAGTTACCAAAACGGTCTAGAGAGCAACATGTGGACCAACGTGCTGAGCAACGGGCGAGCTGGGGTTTCTTTGGAGGGCTTACTGACTCATTCAAGAGTCTCCTGAGTATACAAGAACCTATGACGACCTCGAAAGACAACAAAAATACAGAGGACCTCCCCGAAATGCCTACAAAATCAGAGTCTAAGCCAGAGGAGAAGGAAGCCAGCCAGCTTGAAACGGAGCCTACACTAAAAACCGTGCCCTCATCAGAACCAATAGAGCAATCCCAGCACCTCGATAGTCAGTTAATCGTTGATGATACGTCCACAATCACCACAGATGCTGTACCCGAAGATGTCTTACCTGAGGTGGCTACAAGTAAAAAACCCAAGAAAAAGAAGAAGAAAGCAAGCCAAGTTAGCCAGGAGCCCGAGTCTAGCGCTACGGCCCCTCCAGAGTCCCAAGCACAACCAATTTTACCCGAGGGGTCTCCCATACAAGAGAGCCAGGAACAACTTGATACTCCGCCTAAGGTAGAACATACAACAGCCCCGAGGGGGGAGGAGAAGTCCAGAGAAGATCCCTCTCAATCTTCTGGTAGCAAAATGTCCAAGAAGGAAAGGCGAAAGATGAAAAAATTAGCTGCTTTAGCCGCCGAACTGTTTCAGCCCGAACCTGACTTGAAGGCCAAGGACGAACCAGTAGTGCCTAAAACAGTATCAGGCCCCTCAGAACCACCCACGGAGTTAGTAAATTCAAATTCGGAAGTGCAAAATGCCCCTATTACGACCACTACATCGACGAGCGTTCAGGAAGAGAGCTTACAGTCGCCAACAGTAGAGGCTGAATCCTCGACTCAACCTATCCAAGGACACGTCGGAGATCTTGCCGAAAAAATTGGTGAAGAAATAGGTGCGCCTACGGGCCAAGATACCTTAGCTCCTAGCTCCGAGCCGGCTCTTATAATCTCTGAAGTGGAAAATATAGTCAAGGATAAACAATTGGATGCAACTTCCAATACTATAGGCGAGACCTCACGCGACGTACAAGAATCAAAGAAAGCTTTGGCCGACATCCCTGTCGAAGATCTTGAGAAAGAAAAAGAGGCTCTGATACTCAATACTCTTGAACCAGGCACTGAAATCCCAAATTCCGACCCGCAGTCGCAAAGTTTGCCAGATGTCGAAAAGCAAGATGAGACGGCAGTTATCACAGAACCTTTAATAAGTGAAGAACAATTGCCTACAGAGTCAAATGATATTTCGGAGCTCGTCAAGACACCTAAGATAAGCGCTACCGAGCAACAAGAATTGCCTATCAATGAACAACTCGATACCGACCCTTCTACGCCGAAGGAACCAGAACCTCAGCCTTCCCCTGTTAGCCGCAAGAAGTCAAAAAAGGACAAGAAAAAGAAAAGAATGAATGCCCAAACCGGATTAGAAATAGGCTCGGGAACCCAGACGCCTGTAAGCCAGGAACCGAATACAAGTCATAATTCGAGCGACGTCATCGCAGGGGAGCCCACGGCTCAGGGACCGGAAAGGACAATGGTAAATGAGGGTGAGTGGCCAGAATTCCCAAATAACCCCCCACAAGACGAGACACGCCGCAAAGCGTCGGGCACTTCTACTCCTCTAGAGTCCATAGAAGATGCACTGGCAAACGCTTCTCCGGATACAGTAGCAAAAGAGAACGCCCCGAGAAGACTGACTCCAGAAAATATCTCAGAAGTCGAAGGGCAAGGTTCTAAAGCAAAGGACGTCGAAGAAGGAATCCCCCCCAAGCCGAAAGACCAAGATCAAAATGCTGAAAACATCAATATCAGTCACCCTGACGAGAACAGCGTAGAAGTTCCGGGAATTACTCAACCGCCGTCGCCCGTATCGGAGCGCCATCCTGGCAAAGGGCCTCTTAGCGAAACCAGACAAGACATTTTGGACCACGTCGAGTTACCGGAGCCTGTCACCCCTCCTCGGACTCCGTCAACGGTTGCCGCACACCCGGTCAATGTTGATCTTTCGCCAGCCCAGCTAAGTAGCCATATAGAACATGAGCGTCCATTCGATCAGTCACCGCAGCCAGGCAAGAGGATTAGAACCTATTTGTCCAGCGGCGACCCTACGATATCTGAACTCTCTCCGACTCAACTCAAATTTCCTCGAAATACCGAGAGCTCAAGCTACGATGCCCGCGGGCTGTTACCACCCGCAGGATCATACATCGCAGAAACCAGTGATAACAACGTCGTTTCACATGACATCACTCCTGCCCGAGAGATTGCAGTCTCATATTTTGAATCTCAGTTAATTACAAAGGCTAAAAACTCTCATAACGTCGAAGAGAATAGTGGTGTCAAGAAAATTAGCACTTCTGGTTTACTCCCGGTGCTCACGCCACAACGAGAGATTGCCGCTTCATATTTTGAAAGGCAACCTTCAAATGAGATTCAACCTCGCGACGACACGCCAGAAGACACCACTGGAGAACATGTATTCAATGCACCACAGGTAGCAATGGGCGAGAATATGTCTACTTCACCTGCAGAGTCGCAGTTAAGTCAATTAGATCCCAGGCATGTAGAAAAAGAATCTCTTTCAGCTCAACCTGAGGCTCGGCAGCCAAGCCCTATTCAAGATACGACCACGCCAGCACGTAAGATTGCAGCTATCCTTATGGAATCCCACTTTCATTCATCTAAAAATGCGAAGATGCATAAGGATACAGACTCTCCAGTTCCGGAAATTACTCCTGCAGCGCCCTCGACTGGAGAGGCTGCACATTTAACTGAGAAGTATGCCAACATGAAAACGCCAAACACACAAGATATACTTGATAACCGTGTAGTTTCAGAAATCTCTGAGCCCAAGGCACTGGAGGATAGGCACCCAGAGGTTAATGTAAGCGGTCAAGAGACTGGGCCGAGCACAGGGGCAGATGAACAAAAAGAGGCACCGTCTTCTGATCCTAAGGAGATAGAGCCATCAGGAAATCTCCCAACATATGGAAGCGCTTCCGAGGAAATCGAGAGCCCAGTAGTAGGAAGAGAAGTGCAACAGAACTTACCGGAACCTCGCAGCGCTAGTCGTGAAGGCTTAACATCGAGAGAGCTACCTACTACCGAAATCATACAAAGGCTAGACGATCTAGACACATCGGAGCACAGCAGTGAACCTTCGGAACCAATAGTGGAGCGCAAAATCGACGGAGCATTACTCAAGTCACCAAGTTCAAGGCCTTTAATTCAGGACTACGGAAATTCCGGCCGCAATTCACCCCGTGTCCTTCCTCCAGTAAAGGAAGAGACGGGTGAAGAACTACAAAATGAAGGACAAGATCGGAGTCACGGGATTACAAACAAGACATCGATTATTACAGAGGCGAATAGGGACAGTGGGTTTGTAACAGATTCACCAAATCCGATGCGGCGTAGTTCGATGGACGAATTAAGCCTACGTGACAGCGGTGTGAATTTGCGGGATTGGCCAGAAAAGACGCCTCAAAAAGCTGCAGCATTAGAAGACGAAAGCAGTGTAATTCGCACTCCCCAACCGAATGAAAAAAGAAGCAAAAAGCTAGGATTGGGAAACGAGACACCAAATTTAAGCACACCAATTGCTCGCAGTCAAGATGAGGTACAAGATACTATAGATCCTAGGAAAACGCGTTTGTCGAAATCCCAAGATATAAAATCTCAAGATGTCGGACAAAATTATGGGCAAAGAAGTGTATCGGAAAGTATAAGTCGAGTATCAACACCGCGGATGGAAAATCCAAATCAGCCAAGACGATCTGCATCCAATACAAGCATTTCACGGTTAAAGACACCTGAACCACAACAGTTTCGGCCTGAAAGTCCAGGTGGCCGTAATTTTCGGTCAGGCTCCAACACCCCACCCCTGGCTCTTCGACGCACGGGTAAACGAATGAGCGGTGACCTGAGATCTTTGAGTTCCAACCTCTCCAATAATAACAATGCCTCGAGAGAAAATCTCCACCAAACCCAACAACTTCAGCAAACCACGATACCTGTGGCTAATGAGGGCCGTGTTCGAGCCAAGGACATGACGGACGTATATGTAAGTACATAATAACAACCGTGCTCTATACTTTATGCTCCATGCTCCGTGCTCCTCTTCCCCTGTTACATTATTATCCATCCGTATCCATTCGTATCCATCCCGTATCCATTATTCAACTTTAAACAAATCATTTCGAACCGAACCGAACCTATCAAGCCATGACTGCCGCTACTCTATTTGCTAATCCCCATATGCAGGATGGCTATGGCGAGGGCCGCATTGGATCCCCACGATCTCCAACCCGACCACAGAGCATGCGTCGTCGACAAAGCATACAGGTTCTAGAACTCGAATCAAGAGTCGAGCAATTAGTGGCTGAAAATCGCGCGCTTGCCGATGAAAAGGCCCACGTCGAACAAAACATAACCCATCGAACAGCATCTGCCGTTACCGAACGCGATGCCGAAATCGAAAGTCTTAAGGCCTCACTCGAATGGTTGCACAAAGAAGTCAATCGATTAACTGAGGTTAATGAAGGTCTTCACAGCGCCAATAACGTCCTCGCCCATCAGCATAATGAGAAATACAAACGCCTCGAATCCCAGCACGCGTCGGCAGCCAAAGAACTCGAACGCTCCCACCTAGCTCAAGATAATTACGATAGGACAATACAAGAAAAAGACAGCGAGATCCAAGAGCTACGTGCTCAACTCGAGGTTACCAAAGAGCAGGTCAGGGAAATGCAACGACAAATACTTGCCCATAAACCTCCCGATGCAGACTTCCTTCGTCTTAAAGATGAAGATCACTTTGATCATCGTTGCCAACAATTGTGCCAACATGTACAGCAATGGGTCCTTCGCTTCTCCAAATTTTCCGACATGCGTGCTTGTCGATTGACGAACGAAATCAACGACGAAAAGATTATCGACCGATTAGACAACGCAGTCTTAGACGGTTCCGACGTTGATCAATACCTCAGCGACCGGGTAAGGCGTCGCGACATATTCATGTCCATGACTATGAATATGATTTGGGAGTTTGTCTTCACTCGTTACTTGTTCGGCATGGACCGGGAACACCGGCAGAAGCTCAAGTCTCTAGAGAAGCTTCTATTAGAAGTTGGACCGCCGCATGCTGTCCGCCAGTGGCGCGCCGTAACATTGACGCTACTGTCTAAGAGGCCAGCGTTTGGTGATCAGCGCAACCAGGACACCGAGGCCGTTGTACAGGCCGTCTTTCAAACCCTATGCATGATCCTCCCGCCTCCGTCTAACCTGGAGGCACAAATACAATCCCAGCTCCGCCGTGTCATGCGCGAAGCTGTCGACCTTTCAATCGAGATGCGTACTCAGCGGGCTGAATATATGATGCTACCGCCATTACAACCCGAATACGACGCCAACGGCGACCTAGCACGCACTGTCGCTTTCAACGCAGCGCTCATGAATGAACGATCAGGAGACTCAATCCCTAATGATCAATATGAAGTCCAGCGTGCCATCGTCCGCACGGTGCTCTTCCCACTCGTAGTTAAAAAGGGCGACGATAACGGCGTTGGGGATGAGGAGGTCGTCATCTGCCCTGCACAGGTGCTCGTCGCCAAGCCCCCACGTCACGCCACCATCCGCATAGTCACACCCACATCCGACACAGGCGGCCCGCTATCGCGAGGCGCCACTCCCTCCGCAGCTGCTCCTAGCACCGTCAGTCTTCAGATGCAAGACGCCCCCCTCCCTATGCCAACTCCCCCGCAAGAGGCCGAGTACCTAGAAGGCGGCATCTAGAGAATGACGCCTTCCTCACGTATACACAGAGCAACAGCAACAACGCGAACTCATAACAACAATAATAGTAATAATCATAAACGGAGGGCCTAGGCCAACGGGGCATACGCATTAATGAGGGGGTTCTCTCACGCATCTTAAGATTTAAGATTTCTTTTCAAACTTACGTCACGTTTTGTCTTTTCCACGGATTTACAAAAAACGGGCTTTTGTCTTCTCCCCTTTTTTTGGTAAAGGGGACAGCACAGCGGTGATACCTGGTCCGGCGTTGCCTGCATGAATGAATTGGGGACTTATGCTTTTTTTTTCCCCGCTCAATACCTATCTGCATGAATGAGATTTGTTTTTTTTTTCTTCCTCCTTGTCCAATATCTCGGCTCGGACTGGACTGGGAACGCGCAGAAAGATAGAATTGTTATTAATGAGTCATGACCCCGGATCGTGTTATTTTTTCTTATCACGGATTGTTTTCCTATTACTACTACTACTACTATTCTTCGCTTCGGATGATGATGTATGTATGTATTTATATCAGAAGAGAATTTACGACTATTACTTCAAATTTAATGCATTCGTGGTGTTTTACTGTGACGATATGTAGTGGTTTATCTAGGCTCAGGTAACGGTTAGACGAGGTAAGACACTAGATCCAGGACTATACAGACTTCGTCCTGAGAGAGTATTATCGTAGCTTACAGATATTACTTTGAAAAGTAAGCGAGAGCCCTAATATCCAACGTAGACATTTAAACAAATTATCATAGGACATATACATCTTAAATAGGAGTGACAGCTTCTGATCCTAGAAAGTACTACTTAAAAAATACGATTAGAGCATGACGATAATTAAGCAGATACATATTTTTATTTTTAAACATTCCCCAAAAAGCGAGTGCAAAAGCTCTACAATAATGGTATATCTCCAATCCGTGTCTCGTTAGGTATTCGTTGTACTCCCAACCCGATATACAAATAAAAAGGGAAAAAAAAAAATACAGCTATCCTAGCTCCTTCTCACTACGAATTGCTTCATATCATCGTCTATACTTGAAGTAGATAAAAGTTCAAAGTCCAAAAATAAATAGAAACTCCAAATGTCGACCCATCCTGCCCCATCCTGTCCTGTCCTATCCTATCCTATCCTGTACTCCAACCCGCAGCGCTGAAATTCGGGTCGTGAAAACCCTGTATACTTAATCCGCCAGTTTGCGGATCGTTAGGAAAAAGAGAGTTGATTGTGTCCTGAACCTTGAGTTAGCATGGATGTTAAGAATTTAAAGGGCAACGTAAACAAGGTCGTAAGAGACTTACCCAATCAATATTATCCATGATATTACCGTTGTGAGTCATCCCCGGCCCTCGAGTCCCCGGTGTAGGGATCCGTTGACCCCCTTGCTCTATGCTCGAGCTATCGCTCCCTGGGCTTGCGTGATTCGGCGGTAAGCTCCATAGTGCCTGCCCGTCAGAAACACCGGCAAACACCATCTGCGGTTGTGACATCGGAGGGCCAGCCGGCATTGGCGGAGTATACCCCGGTTCAACCTTGGGTACATCCGGAACTATTCCCTGAGGCGGTTGTTGTAGATGACCTTGCACAGGTGGCGACGGCCGTGAGGTTCCCGCGACGACATTTTGCCCAGGAACAGCCCGTGAGAGGCTTGTGGGCCCACGCATCTTGCGCATGCGCATATACACTGCAGTCTTACCTTGTATCTCGGAAAGGAGCTGTACGGCCTTAGCTTCGGGTGGAAGCCTGCGGTCCATGCCAAAAACGTAGTCCAAGCATGACCATATCCGATCAGCGTCGCGAGACTGTGGTCGGTAATAAACTTCAGTCGCTAATAACAGCGCGATCTGATATTGGAAATAAGCACCAAGATACCATGCCCAATCCTTAAAATTAGAATTGGTCTCAAGCTGTATTGCGAGCTCGACGATCATGATCCCAGATGTGATAAGAAGTTGATTCAGCCGTGGCGGCATTGGATTGGCGGCGTTTGAGTGGTAGGGATGTAGGATCATGACATGCAAGCGATATGTCAACAGATACATGACACATTTTGCATACCTCTGGATTGGCTGTGTGACATCTAGAAGACGATCGTATTTTTCTGACATCCGCCGGCGAAAGTTTTCAATCTTGGTGAGTACGGCTGTTAACGTAGTCCGGCGAGTTTCAAGTCTCCGCCTGTCGATCCATATGATGCGCATCATCTCGTTGATTTCAAAGCGTATTAGGGCAAGAGTATTGTTGGTCCACGCTTCTGATGGCTCTGGTGGTCTTATGGCATGTGTAAGTTCTTCGTCATTGCAGTTTAGAGGCAATTTCGTATCGTAGTCATCTCGCCTGATCACTGGCTTCGGTCCTTGGGCCTCGCAAGTCCGAATATCGAGGAAGCATAATTGGTGCCAGATCAGACGCCGAACATGCGTTTCGAGCGGCGTAAGACCATATGCTTCTCCATCGCGATGTAAACCCATGCACTCAGCCATCCGTACTGCAGCACCAACGAGTACTGAGTGGGCCCGTGACACTTCACCTCTGCATAGGGGAAGCTATCGTGAAATTAGTCATCTTTATAGCTAATTTCGGGGCAACTAAACGTACCATATACATAATAAACGCTTGTATCGTTTCTACCTTGGTAGTTCGTAGAAAGTTTGCCTTGCTTAAGGCGGTTTCCGTGCCCATCTTCAGGCTAGAGACCCAGCTAGCTCTGGGATATCCAACGAACTCAGGTGTGTTCTCATCTACACTGATAGCTCCGCTAAACATAGCACCAAAAATGACAGCTTGCATTGAGGGCCGGGGTTCATATCCGGCGTTTATTTCCTCCCAGAAGGTTGCGTAAGTAGCTTCTAACGTCGGCCTATGGGCACAAGGAGCAATTGGGTGAACACAAGTAAAGTATTGCTTCATTAACTGATCTGCAGCGGCTTTAAATGGTAGGAATTGGAGGATCGACGGTGGCTCCCCTAGCTGACCGAAGAAGAAGCCGGAAGTGGGTACTATATACTGGTCCCCTGGTCTCAGGAACTCGGGTAAGTCATCGATGCCGGATGTCTGTCCTCTGTGCTGAGGAGGTTGCGAGCCCGAAGGCTGTGAACCCGAGATACCGGCCGATATCTAAATTTCACACTATAAGTATCTTATTCATGCGTATTGTAAGCGTCACATACCTCTTCAGATATCCTAGGTCGCGAGAGACCACCTATTCTTTCAGTGATGCGCATTTTCCCGATCTGGATCCCTAGGTCTATCATATCACCCGCCCCGTCAACGTCGTCCTCGTACGTTACGTCTAAAGCTGCAAGTGGTGTAGCCTCTAGATCGCGCTCTTCGTCATCTTCACCTACAATATCGTCGGCCAGACTGCGCTGTTGCAACGTACTCTTGGACGTCGTAGATTTTGCAACATCACGCTCGAGTTCTCGTTCAAGAGTCCCTTGTTTCTCCTTGATTTCGGCGAGGCGCATTTGACTAGCTTCGTCCAGTCGCGGTCCTATGTATAGACAGTCTCGGGCAGCCTTGTTGCAGTTTGTGCAGGACGGGCTCGTCTTGGAGCATTTTAACTTTCTTCTTCGACATTCTAAGCAACTTTTTATAGACGGAGCGCAAGAAACAAAACGTTGGTCTTCCGGCTAAGTTTAGAGGAACATGCCGGGAAACCAAGTTTTGTTTCCAGGATACTCCGTGCTTGTAAATTAGCATCCATACTTCGTATCGGTAAAGAGGACGTAAGGAGGTGGGACATGTTAGAGATAAATAATATGTATGTCCGAATCACCTTTCTTTTTTTTTTCTTTTCTTTTTGGTCTTTGCGTCGGGAATATGGGAATAGGGGGTATATCTCACCTATTAATCATGCGGTTGCGCCGGCGAATAGGCTTAGCCTGCCAGGCGGCGCGTGAGTCCGGATCTAAGCCGGCCACGTGGTCTGTTTGTTCCATAGTTGAGGAGCGGTATTATAGTGGGAAACCGGCCGGAGTTGGCGCGGGATTATGAAGAACTACTCTAGCCGTGCTAATACGCCGACGCCGCCCTGTGGATCGTCGGCTCGATCTCATAGGTCCATCTAACTCCCCCAGATTTCATGTCAGATCTCACCCAGAATGCCGGAGATTTTGGTATCGGTTAATTGGGCGCCGAGATCAATTTATTTGCGTCTCGGGCTCGGTGGGTATTCGTAGGATTCTCTCGATACAATACGATAAAAGTACGGACGTAAATCAAGTCGTCTATTAGGTGTGGCGATCAAAGGTCTATTATATGGAATCAGAATAGAACCTGGTCAGTTGTCGGCATCTGCACCCACATCTTTGCTATTAGGACAAGCTAGGCGGATTCTGTACATCGAAGGGGGGTGGTAATATACCGATATCTTGGGCTCCCTTGCATATAATCAACGTCCATGAATCGAAGCAGTAGCGTTATAGATCCCTCCGTCGCCGCTGCAGCAGATGATGCATGGCGGAACCGCCCACGAATAGCCGTAGGGTATCAAGCGAGCCCGGGGGGGTCAGAGCGAGAGAGAGAGAAGGTTATGTAAGAGGGAAAGGAAAAGGGCAGGGTTGTCTACTCCGCCATGGCTAATAGGCGAATGGGATTGAAAATGGCAGATATATTAAAGGGATGAGAAGATTATAGAGTTATAGAGAGTATGTACCTAAAGATAGGCGCGCAAGCGGTGGGGTTATTGTTCTCTTGCGCCTACCTCTTATTGTACGCACGTGGTTGAGTAGCTTCCATACACCGAAGCATTGAGACACGGGGCTTAGTATCTCATAATGTACCTAACCTAAGGTTTACTAGGTAGGGTAGTGGGTAGGTAGGTAGGTACCGTACCTACTATCTACATACATGTATGTAATGGATGTTTACGCAGAAGTAACAATACGCCTGTATTCTCTAGCACTTACCTTAGTTACTAAAGCATACCTAACCTAATGGAAAATACACTAGACGAACATCAATAGTGGGTACCTAAATATGTAGTGGCTCGTCCAGCGACTCGGGTAACGTACCCCGAATAAGCGGAGAAAGGGCTCAAGGAACTATCAGGGAACAACCCTTTATATAGAAGTTAAGCCTAACCATTTATGGTTACCAATCAAGAACCTCGAACGTCCTTTCAGGAGACCCTTCGCGAGCATTCCCGTTTTCTTGTTTCTGCATCTCGTCTGTTGCATATTGACTACTATATGCGTTGATTACCTACCTATCCAGCTTCGGGCGGCGCCGCCGACGCAGTCCTCAAACAATATCTACATAACAATAGATACCTTAGGTAGGTAAGTAGATAATACCTAATACATACCTACACAATGTAAGGAACTACATGTATGTTAGGTACTCTTATAACTCTCTCAGCCCCTTACCACATCGAGGAATATTGGTTACAACTTATCAGCCCAACCCAGTGTTCAAGGTATCTACTGTGGTAATACTGTGGTAAGACCGTAAGAGGCTGACGCCCAAGTCCGTTAATGCCTGTGTTGCCTGTGTTGCTCAAGACATCCATCCTACATCCTAGCTGCCGTGTAACCGATAGTAATGTAATAACAAGCTCAACTCTTTCTAACAGAAACTTTAAGCTGTCATAGATACCAATCACCACCCTCCTTTCCTCACGTTTTAACAAGCGAACCCAGCCAGAATCAGTCCATAATGCAATGTATTACGTAGTTTGCACGACATTCTCCTTGTCATACAGGCATTCTTTCTATTTTTTCCCTCTATGTAGGTAGGTATATAGGTATATAGGTATATATTGACCATATATGCTGATCACATACCCCGGCGTGTGTCAATACATCGCGCGCATAATATCCAACAGTCGTGGTTTTATATGTATATCACATTCGACTATCACCTAGCAGTTTACTAGACAGCAGGACTAGACAGCAGGAATTGTGTTTTTTTCTTTTTCTTCTCAAGCCACCCTGGCTTCGGCCGGCGCCTCATCCGGTATTATTACGGCGATGCCGGGCATTATTTATTCTCCATTGCTTCAGAGCCAATCCAATCTCTAACATCTTATCGCGCCCAACATGCTTGTCTATTAACGACAAAAACCACCGCAACCGGGTAACCCTACCCGGATTCCCTTCTGCAAGGTCCCTTGTGATATTGTGGAGTAGTGCTCGCAGGGCTATTGTCGGTATTACTGTGCCGCGTCTATTTTGGAAGTAGGTGATACACCGTGAAATAAAAGCAAAAGATTGCCTGGGCGAGATATTCTGTGAGATAGCAAATGCCATTGCTGCTTTTGTTGCTGCCTTGGTTTCTTTCAGGAGCTTACTTCTCGTGATGAACTTGACAGGTCTTTGACTTCGTCTTTGCTCTTCCAGTAGCCGCTTTACCCGTAGAGCACTTATAATTTTGATATGCCTAGATGACCGATTTCCTATCAGAGTTTTCAAGGTCTCGGTAGATAAGTTAGTGTCCCAGAAATTTTTAGTGTCGGCCTTTATTTTGCCTCCCACTCTACTTTCTCTGTAGAGACTTAAGATTTCTATGGCTAGAACTGGATCGCCCATCCCAATAGCAATATTAGCTAAGGGGGTTGCCGCGCTCTTGGCAAGGATCCGCATTCCTTTCGCGAAGTTCATAATGTCTTGCTCTCGGCCGAGTTGATTGAGGAACTCGCAAAGGCCTTTCGCAAGGTCGAATTGGCCTGTCTTCCACAGTTCCATGCCGAAGTAACCGTAGCACGCCAAATCTTTTTTTCGAGTTCGCCGGAGCACCTGGTGTAAATTTTCGTGACTCTTTAGCGAAGAACGACACCTAGCCAGATACATTTCGCAAATCTCTCTGTTCGTAAGAGGTTTTGCGTCTTTGCCAGCTTCAAGAATACGAGCTATCCGTACAAGGTGACGGTCGTCTACGCTTGGTAATCGGGCTAAGAGTTGTAGCCATCCTAGACGCATTCGAGGGAAATATACGTCTGTCGAGTCCCTATGCATCAACAAATACTGGGTACCGCTTTCTAATATATGGAGATGTTCGGCTAGGTTAAGTCTCCTCAAGGGTTCGGCTATTTTATTAGTTTGCCGGATCACAGCCGTACGCTTCCAGGTACGGGCTGAGGCAATCAAGTAGACACGCAAATTTGCTAGAACGCCTGTTGATACGTCGTTTAAGTAACCTTCCGGTATTTGATTCATAGCTTTTGTAAAAATGCGCAGGCTATTAATCCGCAGCTCTGAAATTCTTTGTAGCAAGTCGCACCAAATAAATTTGTCTAGAGAGCTATGCTCTTGTACTCGGCGGCTAGAAAGACCTACAATAGTCGCGTCGAGTAGATCTAGCTTAATTCGATCAACGGCCCATTTGAAATGTTGCCCAGCGCCCGCTCGTGGTGTATTAATCCTCTGTTGGATGCTATCTAATACGGCGCAGATAACGTCGCCAGAGTAGAAGCCGCCGGTAAGGTAATCTTCCCAACTACGGCAGAACTGTGTAAAATTTGGCCTTGTCGCCGCCGTTTCCTCAGATTCTAAATCTCGAAAGATAAGATTTATCCCAGTATCGGTGATTTGCGTTGGTGTGGTCTGAGCGTCCCAAGTAATTTTTGATAATGAGTTGTCTACAACCCATTCTTTTGGTATAATATCATCATGAGAAGGCTCAGAAAACCAGTTCCGCATGGCTCCGGCCAAGGTCCGTTCTTGCGCGCTCTCGTCCTGGTGTTGTTGAAGTCGCGTACGAGGCGGTGATGGCGGTTTCCAACGCCATTGTGTCAGGTCTGCTAAGTTCTCGAGCCCCCATAGCGGCGAAGAAGAGCGCAAGTGACCTGGGTTCAATTCTACCATGTGTCTTTTCCCCATACGTCTTCGATTCTCCATAGGACCGGGAACAGAGGAGCCATAACGAGCGATTGTCCTTGACTTCGCACAGTAACGATCGAATGTGGCGGCGAGAAGGGCCTCCGGGACCCAAATGCTATCGTTTTGCGGACGTATGTGGCGGTTGGCGGCTCGACGACATTGCGAAGCCAAGGCGGGAGACATGAGCGGAGGGGAGGTAGAGGAGGATAAGACGTATAAATCCTCCTTTCAATCATAAGTAAATTTGATAGATCTAGTCAAATCATTTCAAATAAACGGGTAGTTAATCGATATTTCCGCTAACGGTTGTAATACACCCGGTCGACGCGATTGGGCGTCAACGAGGATACATGAGCATTAAATTGCGAAAGCTTGTGAAAGAATTGAAGTCGAAAGTTGGAGCTTGGGAAACAATTGAAAGAAGCTTATTGGTCCAGCTCTAGCTTCTCGTCTCCACTATGAGCATTCTGTACCCGATGATGTATAGTGGACTCCTTACATAAGACTCTTACAGGGGCACATCCCACCATTGGAGCTAACAAACCGTGGGGTCAAACGAAGACGGGGAGGGACGGGACAACCTTTACATTGTCTCAAGATTTCCCCCAAGACATATACCGGGGGGCTTTTTTTTTTTTTTTTTTTTTTGGTTTTTTCAATTATATTCTCAGCGCACTCGTCACTAATCATGGCTCACGATTTTGCGCCATTAACCAACGATCTGATCCTAAGGACAGCAAGAGGTATGTATTATCCCATCTTCCACACTATCACTATTTCACCAAAGCATACTAATCCGAGTTGTTGCATATCGCAGGTGAGGATGTAGAACGGGCGCCAATATGGATCATGCGTCAAGGTATATACACACAGTCAGCCCAGACATAAAAGGACGTTCAATTGCTGATGACCTCATCAGCTGGTCGGTATCTACCCGAATACCACGAAGCCAAGGGTAAACGTGACTTCTTCGAATGTTGTCGAGACCCCGAGGTCGCCTCAACCTTGACTCTACAGCCCATTGAACGGTTCGCCGGCCTGCTAGATGCCTCAATCATCTTCTCCGACATCCTCGTCGTACCGCAGGCCCTAGGAATGATCGTCGAGATGGTAGATAAGAAGGGACCACACTTCCCGGATCCGTTGAGGTCGCCTGACGATGGTCAATACTCCAAGGTCCTCAACAAGAATGTAGATGTCGCTGCCGAGCTGGATTACGTATATAAGGCGATAACATTAACGAGGAAGAAGTTAAAAGGCCGTGTGCCGCTAATTGGCTTCTGCGGTGCTCCCTGGACGCTCTTTTGCTACATGGTTGAAGGAGGTGGTACGAAGCTATTCATCGAGAGCAAGAAGTGGATCTACCGACACCCCGAGGAGTCAAAGGCCTTACTTCAGAAGATATCAGAGGTCTGTGTGGAATACCTGGCGCTGCAGGTTAAAGCAGGCGCTCAATTGATCCAAGTCTTCGACTCGTGGGCAGGAGAGCTCTCGCCCTCGACATTCAAGAAGTTCAGTGAACCCTATCTAGCTTACATCTCGGAGAATTTACCGAAGAGGTTGGTGGAGCTGGGCTTAGAGAGTGTACCCATGATTGTTTTCCCCAAGGGAGCCAATTTCGCACTGGACTCAGTTTGTAATCTGGGCTACGACGTCGTAGGTTTGGATTGGCAGATCGACCCGGCTGAGGCCGTCAAGATCCGAGGAAACAGACGGATCGTCTTTCAGGGGAATGCGGACCCGGGAGTGTTGTATGGAACAAAAGCATCCATATCTGAGACGGTAGAGGAGATGGTTAAAGGTTTTGGGGGTGGTAAGAAGGGCTGGATTGCCAATCTTGGCCACGGCATCACACCGTTGGTGAACCCGGAAGATCTAAAGTTCTATCTACAGGAAATCCAGCGATTGACTAGTAGGTAACGAAGCCCTCTAGAATCTACTTTATGAGCTAGCGAATCTAGGTGCTCTAAAGAAAGGGAGAAAAAGATTACCTATTGATCTGGAAAGCTTCTGTCCAGGTCTATTCCGCTCCTACTTGCCGTTAGAACGTTATGCTTCATAAAGTAAATAAATTGGTATCAAGGTTTCACATACCATGAGACCGACCATGCCACCTTTCCGCCCAAACTCTTGCAAACCCTTTGACTCTTTGGGTTATCCGGAGCCACATCCGCCCAGCAATGCTCATCATCATCATACTCCCTCAAGCGCTCGCGCAGAATCTTAACAGCCGCCGCCTTAGCAAAGCCTTTACCGCGCCACTCCTCCTCGCAGTGCAGGTTGCTCAGCGAAGAATCGGGTCCTAGTAGGACCCAAGCGATAGGCGTGCCGTCGCTTTTATAGACAGCCATGCTGGGCAGTAGGATAATAGTTCTCCTATAGATATATATCTCTCATTAACCCCCCAAATTCGAAACTTTAAATATAGATATATACATAGGTAGGAGAGGAGTAAGGTTAGTTAAAAAGAAAAAAAAAAAGAAAAAAGAGGGGGGAAAACATACTCTTTCCGCGGAATATTAGTCCGCGACAGCATAAGCGGGATATCCTCCCTCCCAACCGGCCTCCACTCCATCCCCTCGGCCAGCGGACTCGGCACCTCGGGCAGCCCGGCCAGGCTAAACATCCACTTGTCGAACACGGCCACGTAGCTAAACACAACCCCTCGATTCAGCAACGCCAGCCTCGTGGTCTCGCTCAGCGTCCCCGCGAGCACCCTAGCCGGATGCAGATCCAGCCCGTCCTGTCTCTGCACCGCAGCGTGGTCCGTCCCCGGGGCGTAGAACGCCTCGCGGATGGTCTTGGCCTCGCGCAGGATGGAGTGCGCGCACCCTGCCGCGAACTCCTCGGCGCTTTCCCCCGCGCCGGAAGCTGCGGACACGAGAGTCCCGGGCCGCCGCTCTAGAGACGAGTATAGCCAGATCTCGGTCTCGGGGCCGCGCGAGAGGTCTAGGTACGCGGCTGCGAAGGGGGTGTCTTGGGCGTGGTCGCGGGGCGAGAGGCCCGGTGCTGAGGCGAATAGGATGCGTGTGTGCTCCGTGATACCGCCCGGGGAGCGCGTGAAACGCAGACGTCGGAGCAGTGGTAGTGCATATGGGCGGTGATGCGTTTGTAAGAGGCTGATTAAGTCTTCCGGAGGTTGCGTGTACACGGTCACGGTCACGGCTGTAGATGCGTCTGCAGACATCTCGCCGATTTTCCCCTTTCTAATTCTCTACTCGTTCTGTTTCCTTGCGTGGTTTTCTGTTTGACTCCCTTATTTAGGTACCTATCTAATTTGGATACCATACATATTAATAAAGAAGTGAAGAAAACGAGTTGGAGAGTAAGTGGGGGAAAGAGTTTAGGTAGTATAGAACCGGGACAGGACCTACCGACTTATATCAAGACGGCCACCGGACTTAGATATTTATCGGCGTTGTCCCCGGCATCGCGGGTTTCGCCGTGACTCATGAAGGATTGCGTGGTCGGAACGAGTTTCATGCCGGAGTGCCGTAAGTATGCTATAAATACTTATTTAGGTGCTTCTCAATACTACTATATCTATATTCTAACTCCAACTTATTTTACTTATTTTACTAACTACCGTGAAACCTCTACGTTTATTATGATCAGTATCAGTACCGTCAAGCGCTTTGATATTAGATCAGCAAACTTCCTCACCCCCCACTTCTCAAATCTGCATGCTCCTCAAGAATATAGATACATCTCCAACGCTATTCTCACCCGAGGTAGACCTATAAAGAGGCTCTAAGTCATATGATATTTCCAGAAAGGCTCTCGACCCGATAACTCGTCTATTCGCTGACATGCACCACCCAAAAAAGAACTGCCGCAAACTACTACCATACAATAGAACTGTCGCACTTGGGAAGTCCTACATGGTAACTAATGCACAATATGATAAAAAGACTCATCAGTTATATGTTACACCAGCACATAAGAGCCTCATCTTCTTACCCCCAGATATCTGCTGATTCGATACTAAGAGAGTAAGACGGAAGAGGATGACCCAACAAGATCTGCATATCGGAAGTAGTAAGACAAAGACGTAAGCCAAACTCCGGACATATCAATTTGCAGCTAGTTACCTGATTATATTATAATATATTATATTATATTAAGCACAATAATACCCAATATAATACTGTCATCGTGTAATACTCGTAGGATACAACGTTCCGTACGACGACGAACTCCTAATTATTACGCCTACCTAACTTGTAAGTAAGTTTTTTTTGGTATCATCGTGACCCCCGACGCCGCGTGATTACCAATGCTCCCATTCTCTCTTAATACCACAACCGGGTTCCATTCTCGTAGCCCACCACCCGTCCTCCTTTTATTCCATAACATAACAAAAGACAGCCCGTAACTCCATGCTCACACACACCCACACCCACACCGGCACCGTCGTCATGGTATATCGGAATAAGAAAGCAAAGTAAAACGAAGCACAACTTCAAATATGCCTACCCCTCAGTCTGTAGCTCAATCCCATCGATCCGCTCGTCTCTAACAATGCCATCTCGCGGATTTTCCGTTCGAGATCCCTTTTTCTTCGCCTTTCTTCTCAAGGCAGCCTAAACCTTCTTGAAGAACTCCTTGGCCTTAGCCGCCAGCCCATTGGCTCCGTTGGCATGGGTCTTCCCGCCGTGGTGGTCCTCGGCGCCGGCAGCAGCCGAACCGTCGAGGCTCGTCTTGGAGATCTCGGCCTCCTCGCTGTTCAGTCTCACGACGTTGGCTGCTCCTCCGCGCCCGACATGGGCTACACCTTGGCTCGGGCGTTGCTCAATACTGGAGATTATCTATGTTAGCTTTCTGTCTATAGATTGCCTTGTTGCCAAGTATAACTCTCGGCGGGGCAGAACAAAGGTGCTGCTAGACTTACGGCTCGACATCCTGGCGTGCTCGCGTCTCGACGGGATCCTTATTCGGCGCCATGTTACCGGAGCCACCGCGGCCGGTAGTAACGACGGATGTTTTTAGAGTCGGAGTCTCGAGGTCAGTCGGTTGGATCTTGGGGGATTTGGAGACTTCAGCGATGTTGCCAGCGCCGCCTCGGCCGGTAGAAGTCATTTGTCCCGTCATCTTCTCAAAGCGTCTATTCGAGAGTCCTAAGAGCTTTGAATGGGGGAAATCGCTATAGCTGTAAGAACGTGGGGAGATATAAAGGTTACGAAGATGATGTATGTAAGCGTATTGGAATAATTCAGTAGCTTGAACCCTCGAGAGTAAATGCAACAATAATGAAGACGAGGCTTAGAACAAAGAAAAGCGCCCAAGTTGATAAATGCCCAACTTTATTTAGCTCTTAGGAATTGCGCAATCTGGCTGGGCAACAGACGATTACCTCGGTACAACTTTATGCGATTGACTTATTAGACGTACAAAATACCAAAGACATGTAAGGTTATTTTTGTAGTATCACGAGCATAGCACTATAAATAAAATATTTATTATACATAACTACCTCTTATAATAACTAACTAACACTTGGACGTACCTACTTTTCAATCACAAGACTACCCCAAAAAAAAAATCTTCCCACTTACCTACCTGTACACTAGACGAAAAAAAAAAGAAAAAAAAAGAAAGACCCTTACATACAAGTCGAAAGGCACCACCAAAGACCACCAACAAAAAAAAAATCGTTACATCACTCGCGCCGCCCGAATGGCCAAAGCAGAGTTCGCCCGGTCGGTCCCCACCGCCCAAAACCGGCCAACGGAATGAGGTAACTAAGACGTAATAGAAACGGCGGGTGATCCAAGTGCCTGCTAGCAACATACATAGCACGCAGGTCCCTAAGAATACATATGTACACCCTAATACTTAGCGGGTGGTATGCCCCCCGTTGCCGTCTCGAACCTCTTGGCTTCTGTAATAGTTGGGATTTAGCACCGAGCTACTACCTACCTTACCTACGAAGTGACTTTTCTAGTGTTAGGTACATATGTAGGTATCTACTTACCTATGTATATACATCTATTACCTGTATTCCTACCTAAACCTAACTCGTATTATCTTAGGTAAGGTAACAGTAGACATCTTCAAATAAGTATTTCCTAACCTAAACATACCTACAAAGGCTAAGTCATTACCTATTCCCACGCGCTACATCCGAGTAAAAAAAAAAAAAAAACAGCCCAAAGAAGGATTTAAAACACCAGCCTTACCTACCTACCTACCTATCTACCTATCACACCAGACGAGTTCTCAACGAGGCGGTCTATATATCTATCCGTCCAGCAAAGATCCGCCAATCTGCTAGCTCGAATCTCGAATCTCGAATCTAAGCTAAGCCGTCTCGCCTTACCGGAGATACGGGGTTCCCGTTTTTGCCCCTTACGGTTCCCGGTTCCCCATACCTATCAGATCAGGTTTTTTATCAGGTATTACATACCTACCTATTTTAAATCGCGGCTGAGCTTTAGATCGATCAATCAATCTGATATGATAGATAGATAGATATATGATCCGAGCGGGCTAGCAGATAGCTTAGGTAGCCAGCTAGCTGATTGATTGGCTGGCGCATTACTCACCCTATCGATCTATCGATATTACCATCTTCAAAGAAAGCGATAACTACCTACGTAGCGACGTTATGTAAGTATGTGTTTGAAGAGATTAGGTAAGATGTAAGTACCTAAGACGAGTCCTTGTTAATAGCACGGGAAAGCACCTATAGGGCAAGTACATCAGGTGTTTGTATAGTCCGACCTCGCATCTTCGTACTTCGTACTTGCTTGCCTCAACTTACAACTTAACATCCATACCTACATGTAATGCAATACATGGGAATTATATATGTCAATCGAACCTTGTCCGTATACATACCTCTACATACTCTCCACCGATACCATCATCAGACGACTTTTCCCATCTGCATATAAAAGTATCCGATTAATGTTGGTCCAATGTCGGTTTGGTTACATAGTACTTCCGTTCCACGTTTCATTCTGAATCATATGTACCTACCTACCTAGATTAAGAACCCTAAAAAAAAAAGAAAAAGAAAAAAAAGTCGGGATATTTTTTCCCTTTTCCAAGCCAAAAAGCCAAAAAGCGGTTCGGTGGCGCAACAAGCAACACACACACACACACACCTGTCATGTCATCCCAAGAATTTTTTTTTAAAGATAAAGTTACACCACATTTCTGTAGCATACCCAAATTGTCGGGGCTGTCAATATATCCACGCGGCATCCTATGCTACATTCATACGCAACCTTATTGGACATGCATGTCCTGCATGTGAATATTACCTAGGTACCATACGGTCTTTAGCAGACCTGCTCATCGGACTTATGAATAAGATACGAATGAGCTTCGAGCATCGACTTAAAGACCTGTAATTAATTAATCGGCGATAACGAGCCTCATCAGTCCATTATCAAGACTAATTCGGTAGGTATACGTTCGTTATCATGTACCTGGGTCACAAAAATGGTAGAGGCAGAAATAAGGTATTTGCCCATAGTCGCGCGCGGGAACCTTGGCTACTGTAAATCCCAAGCAACCAATGACGCATACATATTTTCTAATTTATCGCTTTCATATCTGGACCTGTACTATGGCGGGTATATTGCAGAACCAAACCATCGGTTTGCAAACGTAAAACGTCAAAAACCTAGTTAACCTCAGGTAGGTAAATGCTAGGGCCGAGCTGGCTGATTTTAAATTTGCCCCTTTAGTCGCCTGAACCTCGTCTTTTGCCGGTATCAAATGGGCCTCTCTATTCTGCTGCACCTTGTAATCCAAGATCCATTCCGCCACATACCTGTTTTGTTAAATGATATGAGCGCACGTGCCGTGATGAGCACCTCGTGGCGAAGTAGCTTTTTCTGTTCTGAATTTGATGTCACCGGGCAATGACATACCCGTATTCTCGTCAATGGGAGCCGACACCGTCCGTACCCGAAAAAAAATTATATCGAAGGTAATTTATCTTAATTCTCATCTTCGTCATCTGATCCTCGGCCTTTGCTCCCCTTTCCGTCCTGCCCGTCCTTTCTGATCGGGATCTTAACACCCTGTACAGCGAAACATTTGCTGAGAGCAGTGCTTTCGCAGACACCTGGAAATTTCTTTGCTGAATATACTTGGAACTTCTCGCTGAAGACCTGCGCAAGGACTGGAGCCCTGCCTCTGTTTAGGAGTTCGGCATCGCTGCCGCCATTAGTTATCGCGTCTGGCCGTCGTAGGTTGATGAAAGAAAATCGTAATCTATATATCATGTAAGCGTGTGGTAAGTGGCTTATGCTTGGCGACTTACCTAAACCACCCTTCTGTCCGGACACTTAAATCCTGTAAAATAAACCAAATTCCAATCTTATCTGTAGGATCGGTGAGACGCGAAGCGCTTGCAGCGAGGCTACCGATGAGATTTCTCGTATACATGCCGTTTGGTGATTGAGGCCCCATAAGACGGTTGTGTGTCATCTGATGTCCCGACATATCCTGGGAGAACCGGGGTCCGAACATGGGCTGCGAAGGTAATTGAGGCACGCCCGGTACCATGTCATTTCGGTAACCACCACCAGGATAGCCATACGGTTGGGCTTGTGGGGGATAACCGTATCCTAGACAATGTGTAAGACATGAAAAAAATCAGATGAGCATAAACGGGGGGTTTTTTTACCTTGGCCGTACGGGTCTGGCTGATAAGGAGGCATTGCGTGAGGGTAAGCAGGGCTAGGTTGCTGTGCGTATTCGCGGTTTGATGGCACAATGGACTGGTATCCATAACCTCCCGCTTGGCTTCCCTCGATCACTTCTCGGAAAGACGAAGCTTGCGTGGATGAAATCGACGGCGACTGCTGAGAATGCTTGACAAGGTTGACCTCCTTGTCTCCATTTTCAGACCAGAGATCCACGTGTAATACATAATGTTGATGTTCAACCTCGCTGGCCCAAGGTTAGTTCCAATCTAAAGAATGACAAGGCCGCGCTCCACACACTTGCAATCTACTTCTTTTCCCGTAGTCTTATCCATCACTACTAGTCTGATGCAGGGCGGGGGAGTAATAGGCCGTCGGTCCTGGTTAATATTAGCGTCTAATTGGCACAGACAAACGGTGAAGGCAAAATGTGCCCACCTTGTCACCAAAACCGCACATTCTCGCTCTTAGGGGTTGTTGAACCACCTCAAGTCTACATCGCTCATTAGTTCCCAAAGCACTATAATTAACAAGCTCTAGAGGCTATTATTAAGACTTGATATTACCTATATTTCCTAGTCGCGTCGGTGCCCTCAATTGGCTGAGGAGCCGGTTTGTCTTTTTCTTCAGGGCCAGGCTTGGAAGAAAGTGGATTAGGACCAGAACTGGTGACGCCGTTCTCTGTCGTACCGAGCTCACCAGCACGATCTCTGGGACCTGGCATGTTGGGCGGGGCCATATTCGTTCGCGGCGGAGGCATGTTTGCACGGTGAGGGTTGGTTATGGGATCTTGCTGATAACTAAAAGACAATGGGGGAGGAAGTTGGGCATAGCCCGGATGGTGTGCGGAAGGACCTGACATCTCGGGCGCATAGGCTTGCGAGTGGTGGACAGGCGGAGCCGGATATCCTGAACTCATGTTGTCCCGATCTCTTGCTCCCCCTTTAGCTACTACGCAAATTATCCTCGAACTCTACGCAACGCTCTCTCTGTCGACTTCGGTAGTACTCTTACGCCTTATGAAGCTACGGACGTAAGGTCTGTAAGGTCTGTGAGATTTTGTATGGTGGGATGAAAGGAGGGTGGTTGAGTAGTCGGTTAAGGTCGAGGTGAAATGGTAAGCTTAAAGGTGGAATTATGCCGTGCTCGAAAAATGTATAGAGGGTGGAGTGTTTGTCCTCTAATAAGGATGTGAGCACTATGTATGTATATAGGTAGATAAAATGTACAGGGAGCAGCGGTAAAGATGCTAGCTAAGCTTGCTTAGGTTCATGCGATCAAGGGTATCTCGGCGGTGGGACCTGGCGGGAAACCCACAGCTTTAGTTTACCTTTCTAATGGAACGAGGCAAGACCTTCGCGGGGCGAGAAAGTTACCTATTGTAGATCGGACGGTTTATTGCTGTCAAAGTTTGTTTACTATGCGGTAGAAATAAGGTGGGATGATTAATTTTTTTATTTTATTTTTATGACCGTCGAATATGGAGAAACGTGGTTGGAGAAAATAAAATAAAATAAAATAAAACTATGTAAGACAGTCCCCGCCCAAGCTCTTAAGGGACACCTGCTGTGATCAACTGGGGGGGATTAGGAGAGGCGCAAACCTTATTAAAGTAGAAGCGCCACCAGCCGATTGGAGAGGTAAGGGTCTTTTAGCAGGTACACTTGTATCGTACAATTTCATATTACAGTGTCAAAATGTTAGAGTGTCTAGGTGCTATGTATGTATGTGTAGCTTGTAGCTCGTCCCTGTTTGTCCCAGCTTTTGGGGGGTGGTGGGGAGAAAGTGGTAGGTTAGTGGGGGGCGGGCAACCGTGGACCTATGTAGGTAGGAGGAGGTTAAGATCTAAGTAGACTAGCATAAGTGTAGAATGGCAAATAGGTTGTATTGCACCTACCTAAATTTGTACCTAGTATTCCGTAGGCAGATTTGCATGGGAGAGTTTAGTCCGTAAGTACATCCACTTTAAGAAGAAATACATACCAACCTTACATATATATTTTGTCTTTAGCACTGTGATACCCATATAGGATTAGTGTATATGGCGGCAGGGCGGCTAACCCATGCTAATGTGCTACGACCTAGCGACCCCAGGAAGGTATGCATCGGAAGTTTTGAACGGTCGAACAAGGGTAGGCCAGCTTAAACATTTGAGGTACATACCATAGTTATTGTACCATACATACCTAAGGTACCTACCATATAAGTAAGTAAGTAATTACACGGGTTAGGCTTATAAAATTCATGTATGGACATAGGTCTAGACGGCTTTGGAATTGTGACACTTGTTAAGCGCTACTATGCGACAGTTTGGGGTTAAGTTTATGTCAAAATAGGTATAAAATTTAAAAAGTATAAAAATTAGGTATAACTAATAGATGAGTACAGAATACTAAGGTAGACAAACATTTCCATGCACTACATATACCTTACATATACATACTTGTCGATAAAGACTATAAGTGCCGAGGGCGCGGCAAGAAGAAAAGCTGCTGCGGGGTGATTGGATGCCGTATATTCGGGGCTGATGATGTAGTTGAACGTTATCCCTTTCAAGTTTAAAGTGTCCCTTTTTTTATTATTATTTTTCTCTTGTCTTACTCTCTACCATGTACTTACCTATTCCTGACATGAACCCGAGAAATATAGACAATCGTACCAGCTCTGCGTCTCTCGCCCCGCCGGTATGGAACAAGTGACGACTGATCGAACGACAGCTAAGTAAACATGACTCGTAGCTGCAGATGATGTGCGTAAACATGAATCCCGCATTGTGCTAATGATATAATAAGAATAGTAACATGTAATATTAACGGGTTAACATTACCCATTGCCTATTAACCCTCTTAACAATATTTCAGCATTGCTCTCTAAGCGCTGACTTATATTAAAGCATTAAATGCTTGTGTATACGCTTGGCAGACCGGCTTTACGTTATATAGAGTATACATAAGAGGTAATTATACATATAATATATCCTTGAATGCATGTTCTCGATGGTCTGTCTCACTGCTTATACTGGACGGTAGAGCTGCAAGATGTAGCGGGTCTATTTGAGAACCGTAGAAAATTACTGGATTACATGGGATTCTAAACAATTAGATTATTGGCTTAAATATCTTTCTTTATATATTATAGATTGGGCGTCAACCACTTGGAAGCCTGAGAGTATACACTAAGATAGACTTTTTTTTCCAGCTTTCTTCTACATTGTATCAAACGCATACGACGGGACCATTCAAGATAAAAATTTGTGTTTAATAATAATAATAAAGAATATTTATTAGCTTAACTAGTTCCTTACTATAGATATGCAAAGACCAGGGCAGTAGATGAAATATAGTGACGCTACTACGTTGCATCCAGTTCTCTCTCTTTATGTATTTTGTTAGCATTTCTTCGTCCAGTCCCGTAGCCCATGTCTTTCTCATCCTTACTTTTAGATTCGGCTTACCAGATCGATCCATATATATAAGTCCTACTTAATAATAGTAAAGATATAGAATGGTCCCTCCCTTGGTTCGCTTGAACCCCGCATGCATACTACATATCATGCCTACATACCTACATGCCTACATATCCATGCAGTGTGCCATCATACGCGGGTTCTCACCCCTTCTCCCCTCTCTTTTTGACGCATTAATATCTGGTCATCGGCGTTAATGGCATCGGCTTATTGCTATTGGTAGCACTACCTCGAGACTGCCCGACCTTTTGGAACCCTAACTTACTCGTTGACGTGAGAAGAACCTGGGGGCTGGATCACCCTCCTCCTTTGAAGCCGCGGATAGTCAAGGGTCACCTTTTTTTGAGCACGGGGCTCCAGATCGGCTCCCCGAGCACCCCTAAGCATCCCACCGTTACCTCCATGTTACCATGCTATCTCGGGCCTTGTCTGCCGAGTGCCACATTCTGGGGTCCTGTCGTCTGTCAGTTTTCTTGTTATTATGGTTTCTCGCTTCTCGTAAATCGACCCTCTTTAATGAATAACATCTTCCATCACCGTTACCGTTACCGTTACTATTACCTGGCTGCGAGAGGTCGTTATCACATGCAGGTAAGGCAGAAAGGATATCGACTTACACGAATGCTCCTCTTAGAGTTCTATTGGATATTTGGATATACCACTTATACTCGTACACATATACTTGTACCTACATTCCTACACGACTTTAAATTGCTTCACCTATCTGTCCCAAGGTTACTTTTCCTCCTCGACTATATGTAGCATCGCATTGCATCCCGAACCAGGCCCGAACATATTGAGGTCACGATCCGTGATTGGCAAACAGGTGGAGATCAGGCCCCAAGAAAATATCTGCTGTCGAAATTTTGAACCCACCTACGATTTGATCGGCCTCGTCTCGTCTCGTTTCTTTATCTCTCCACTATTTCCCGCCCTGTTCCATAACGCCGGGGTCCCTATGCGCACCAAGCTCGAACCACGTTGGCGTCCTCTTTTACCCTTCCTTTAGCGTCTAATGCTCCCGTTCCCTACCCGTCCCCTACCACTGATCCGAATAGGACTGGACTGGACTGAAGGATTTAGTTAGCAGGCGGACGACCCGGTCTAGTGTCCATCTACAGTGCACTATGTAGGCACTGAAGGATCCTCGTCTTATCTTGCCAACAAAATGCAAAATGCAAAATGGAGGAAACCAACAGTCAACTTGTTCGTTACTCATCATCACTGCTGCCGATGAGATTCGTCATATATATAAACCATGTGCGTTAAGATCGGCTTTAACACATACCTAATGTATATACGTACCGTCGTTTATCTGTCAGTCCGCGGAGATCTGTCATTCACGAGTCAGGTATGAACCCAAGGTGCTACCGCGACTGACTTTGGGTTACCTTTCGGCGCCAAGCGCTGTACTGTTAATGATCGACTGCCCATAAAAATGCTCGGCCGTGCCGTGCCGTTGGATTTAAACCTTGAGGGTAAGGGTATGTATGTACTATAGGTATATGATCTATAACATTATTTAGTCTTAATTCTGTAGCTACCTAAACCTATATCTCTAGGTAGATATAACTAAGATATATTCGTATACGTATATGTAGCATATGTACGAATGTAGGCATCCATATCCATATCCATATCCATATCCATATCCATATGCAAGCAGGAGGATTGTCTCCTACGTAGGAAATCGATAGTTAAGAAAATGCAATTTTTTTTCCTATTATTTTTTCCTCATCATCACTCTTATCCCCGTCCCCTGCTTCCCTCTTTGACTTCCCCTCCCCCTCCCTTCTCCCCCATATCGCTCATGGAGCAAAAGCGCTTACCGCTCGTCTATTCCAAATGTCTGGTTCTCTGTTACACTGGTAGGGCCGAAAACGAACTAAGTCGCTTGTGGACATATAAACGGTCCAACAATCACATACCGAACCCAATTGCGGTAATTCACCACGACCCCCAGCTCTATGTAACAAACTACAATACGCTACTAAATCCCCTACCTATATAGTATAGACAACTAACCTAGTAGCCGCTGCCATTTCCCCTCTCCCGCATGTCTAGATCGAGCAAAGGGATAGGAATGCGATCGCCATCTCGCGGCCATCTCACCTGACACTGGTTAAATTGACGACCAAGTTGTTGCCAACGCATCCTCCTAGAATGAGGAAACATGCCCGGCACCCGCACGCAGCTCCAGCGCATGCTGGCCTATAACTACCTATACACTAGATGGCTAGCCCCCCGTGCTAGACTGCCCTGCTGGCCCTAGTCTAGACTTACACGGGAACTGA